GACTGATCACCTCGATCATGAATGATCAACATGATCGCTCTCCCTTCACGTGATCACCATGTTACCTCGTAACAATTACCTTTTCTTTAGCTCTTTTCTCAGCGAAATTAAGAAGCGCTCGATTACAAGACAGGCGACTCTATATCTAAGATAGGCGACGCTGTAGTTCAGCCATCTTAATACTGATTTTCTCTAGCTATTTCAGATCCTTATTTATGGCTGATTTAGTTTTTTCTCTTATTTTATCCAGAGATTCCCAGGACGGACCCATGCAGGAGATTCCTTTATAAATGTAACTGGCGTATCTAGTTCCCCTTAAAGAAGATATAATAATATATATAAGATTATTTCTAAGGCAATCAAAACAAGCCTGAGTTGTTGGACTACCTAAGCTTTTGATTTCTGAAAATAAGCGTTTGCGATAGGAAGAAGGAAAGGAAGCTATTTTTAAAAGAAAAGTGGATCCTTATTAACTCTTTAAGTATTGAAGCTTAGGATAAACTTACTAAGGAGGGGAATAATATTACGAAATAACAAGTCATGTAAAAGGAAGTAATCAGTTTGATTATAGAATAATCGGAATAATCAGCTTGTATCAGGCTAGGGAATGCTATTAGTTGGCTAAGAATAAGTAAATAGGATTTGCAGAAGTGATTATCTTAATCATAGGATGATCAGAGTGATCGTTCATTTTCCAGGTCTATAAAGAAGGGAGGAATTCTCTTACTTGAAGGGTATAATTTAACTATCTAATATAGCTAATAGTTAGTTTGAATATATTCTTATACTTTTGAAGTTTAGACTATTCTAAGCTATAAATATAACTACCTTATTATATTCCTTCCATAATAAGCTCTTATTATACATTGTTCCTCTGCTCTAGGAAGCTTAACCCTTCCGAAGCGGCTTACATTAGTGAAGCCAGACGGTATTGGGAAAGTATTCCTAACAGTGCTCTTTAAAATAAATCTTTTATTATTTCTGGCCATGTTTGTACCATGGAGGAAGTCGAATCAGAGGCCGCGTCGTATTGTAAATTTTGTCTGCAGAGAACGTCAGCAAATAGAAATTCTGGACTTTCTGGTTACTTGTAACTTTATAATCTAATAGCTCTTTATAATAATCATATAACTTCTATAGATATCAATAATAATACTGAATGATTGACTGAGAAATGATCGTGAATATTAAGGGGAAATCTTTTCTAAATTCATATTAGTGACGTGAGAATCAAGATCCAAGCAATTAAGGGCATCAGCAGTGGTTCTGTCTCAACTATGGTTCGACCGCACTCCAAGTTTCGATCTGGGAAAAAGGTCATCAGGATAGTCACCAACAAAAGCTCATCAACAAGTCAAGCTGAAATAGACTGCTTGTTGGTGTGAGATGCCCGATTGGGATAGTCAAAGGCTCGTCCTCACGAATGCCTTGAGTTGATTCGACTTAGTGAGTGCGGAGATGAAGCAGGATGGGGAGTTGTAGAGCGTTCTTCTTCATGATTAGCTTCCACTACGAGTAGCGGCCCACCTGAACGACTAGGCCATCGTATTCGTCGAACATGTTAAGGCTTCAAACAGCTGCGGGCTTTGTGCAACAGCAGCGCTCTGTTTCTGACCCAAGCGTTGTTCAAGCTCATTCAATCTGTGGATGACATCTGACGAGGCACTGTAAATAAAGTAGTACAACTGATCGTTCGTTATATCCTGCGTTTGGCACGAACTTTACGTCGGATGGTGCACTCCACGAATATTAGCAATCCACTTAGCTGCCAGACACAGTCCAAAAGATGGGCTTCGGCCGTCAAAGTTATCCTTCATAGTAGATGAAAATTTATCAGTACAGTCTCTAGTCTACGCATTCAATAAATATGTTGTATTCTCGTCCCTGTATTGGTAGAATATACATGCGATTCGAGCGCTTTCCCATCAGTAATTCATGCAAACGTTATCTGCGCGCTCCTTTAAGTTGTGTTTCCATTACCTGGGCTAAATGGAGGCAAATCTCAAAATTTCGTGAGCAACAAGGACTCTAAACAGAACTTCTTTAAAAGGATTCAGAGAAGTGTGAAGGCTAGCTCGTGAGCACTCCGCAACATAACGTCCTTGAGATTTTTCCATATTTCTATTCATATAGGTTGTGATCACAGCCAGAGCTTGTCCTCGTTGGGATCTCGGCATCTTCCCAGCAAATTTTCATCATTGCGCCAATGTGATGTACGGTAGTCTCATTTGCAGAAATAGTCTGATCCTTGCTATAACGGCCGGAGCTTTCAACTCCTACCGAAATGAATTCATTCATGTGTGAAAGCAAGACTCCAGCCTAGCATTCTGCAAATAGTATTGTGTTTGGGTACTTATGACTGGTAATGAGTTTGACAGATTTGGTAAGATACCAACAAGAATTCGTGCATCCTACAAAGCATGACGTTTAGGATGATCTCATTGGATTTCTTGATCAAAATTCGAATAGAAATAGGAGCATTTTATTGAATTCTACATGCTGTTGTGTTTAGATGTATGTATGACTATCGGAAGGACTACCCAAGTTGTCTTTCGCCGGTAGTCAGATGGTAATGTAAGTCCTTTATCCGAGAATGAAGATAATGTTTCACTTCGGTTTTATTCTAACAGAAAATAATACTATTGCTATATGACTTGCAAACTATTAGTCACTGTCAACCATATGGCAGAAGGTCAATGCTTCAAGGGTTTGACATTGTGTTTCAAATTTCCCAATTCTGAATAACTTGCGAAGCTTCCATCTTTCCACACCATTCGAAATACCCACTCAAAAGGGAATTCTGTAGAGGAAAATGGACTTTGAATTTGCTTCCGAGCTTCTGACATGTGGAATTCAAAGGCTTGGCGACTCTGGGCCGAATATAGCAAAACAAGCCTACATTGACTCTGATCCTAGTACAGATGCTCAATTCGCCTTGGTATCCTTTTCTAGAAGGCAGCCTTCAGATTTCTCCTAGAAACACGGTGACTATTTAATCTTGACTACCCAACACCTTCCATTTCATCCAGACAGAATTGACAGAATTTTAGTTCAGTTCTTCACAGAAAGAAGACCTCTCGTTTCTTGCTCTCTCGCAGTCAGCATCAAAATGCACTTGTTCCACTCATTTTTGTTTTGTGGTCTGGCTCTTGGAGCACCGAACTTGGTGCGTCGCCAAGGTATAACATCCAATGATGTTCTCAATGGAGTATGTGCAGGCACTACTTTTATCATGGCTCGTGGATCTACTGAGCCGGGGAACATGGTAGGCTAAAGATCTATGATGTGATTACTCTAAATTTCAAAACTTACGTGCTTCAGGGCAGCGTTGTTGGAGCACCACTTTGTGCCGCTCTAAAAGCTGGCGGAGATGTCGCATGCCAAGGGGTGGGCGGAGCGTACCAGGCAACTTTGGCTTCCAATCTTTTGCCAAAGGGTACTGATGATGCGTCGATCCAAGAGGCTGTCAATATAATCAATAAAGCGATGACTCAATGCCCAAACTCAAAAATAGTTCTAGCGGGCTATAGGTAACTAATTTTCGCATCCTCTAGGGAGAATGTAAAATCCAGATACTAACAAAAAGATTAGCCAGGGATCTGCAGTCATTTCCCAAGCTGTCCAGTCGATGCCAAAGGCAAGCCAAGCAAAAATTGCTGGCGTTGCCTTCTATGGATACACCAAGAATCAACAGACGAATGGTATGCTTCCAGGATACCCTCCAGCTCAAACCAAAGTATTCTGTCGTGCCGATGATGGTGTATGCGGTGGGCAACTGATCGTCACCGCTGGCCACTTAGCATATGGGGTTGATGGGTCTATACAACAAGGCGCTGATTTCTTGCGTAAAATGGCCGCAGCAGCTACTGCTTAGCTGAAGATGTCATTGGATAAAGAAGTGCAAATTTACTTTCTTACCACCGTCGTCGTCTTGCCCTTTCAAGACTCGGCGTACTCTTAAATAGCAGACACCATTGCGTTGAAATGCTGAATAAAAAGTGTTTGCTTTGAACTGATGGTAATCTCTTGAACAAGAATGCACTTCCTTTGCGAATCTTCCGTCTTCGTGACCGTAGACCAAGCAAATTGTTGTGCCTAAGCTCTTGTCCCTCTATCTCGATGTTAGTTCAATTTGTACATAAATGCCTCACTTTTCACTCTAATCCAATCATTTGGACTTTGTTGCGTGCAGTGTAAAGATCTCATGATACCTTTACCCTGCTTTGATCGTGGTTTTGATGTACATTTCAATTGATAGCTAACGAAATCCGCAAATGTCAAGTTGCTAGAAGGATCTAGACAAGCTGGGTAATGTGGTAGACGGCTTGAATTGCTAGATATATGCCATAGTTCATGTGAAGAATTAAGAATGTATAGAAGAGTATAAATTTAAATTTCTTTGAATCTACTCGACCCTCCATGGTACCGGCCTTGCTGATTAAATATTTGAGGCCACAGTGGGAATCTAAAGTTCCATATCGAAATTCTGTCGATTTCGAGATTGAACGAATCACGTAGTAATTTGGCTAGATTTCTTGAATTGTGTGGATACAATTTCACAAGCATGATGATGTCGGAGCACGAGACGAAACACGAGACGAAACGCTAGAGAAGAATGGTTTTCATGCCAGCAATAGGTTGATTCAGTTACTCCCAATTCTGCAATTTCACCTTTTGAGATCGCGTGCTTCCGAACAGAAGCTAATCGTCGCTCGTCGCGGCGTGCATCACTTTCAGCTGAAGCAGGAGCTGAAAAGCGCGGCGAGGTAGCTGAGCGAGACGACTTCGACTCACAGAGTCAGGAGCAGCAAACCCTGGACACCAAGTCAAATGTCCAATCGCAAGTGGCCCAATGGACTTCCCCAATATCGTTGGTATTCGGACCATTAATCCGGATGCTCAACAAGTCCGTCCTTAGGTAAGCTTTTGGAGCTTATTTCCGATTCAACCAGTTCCTATGGCGGAGGGACACCGTTCTGAAAATGAAGCTGATCGGGCTTAAGAGCATTCCGCTCAGCTCCTCTTCAGCCGCACGCAGCAAAGTGCTGTTTTAGGATAGGCTACCAGACAATACAGAATTTTGTTAGGGCGTGGAATCTAACCAGCTTATAAAAACAATAGCTGAGGATGAGCTTGGATTACGGTCCGACCTTAAACAAAACTCGACATCCAAATTTCGAATTCCTTTAACAACTTCGAGCTTAAGCAATGTCTTACCAAACGATACCCGCGTATCAAACATACGCAGATGGTGCGGAGCAGCGCTTACGGGAACATCCTGTGCTTGATTTCTTGATTGATCACCAACAAGCTTTTGATCGCGGAAATATGAAGACAGAGCCATACACTGTATTTCACGACAAGGACTTTGTTTTTACACAATCAGATGGCACAACCTTTGCGCCAGGAGAAGCATCTTGGAAAGGCTGGATTGAAGGCTATGCTGCTTTCAGTGAACATTATCACGAGGCCCGATACGTTTGTATTTATGAGCGTGATTCCCATTGGGAGATGGTCGGTTTTGCCGAGATCTATGCGAATTTGCAAGTTCCGGGTGAAAAGACGAAAAAGGATTTGTCAGGCCGCATGTGGGACGTTGTGGTGCCGGGAGCATTTCTCTTTACGTGCGTAAAGGATCCTGAAGGTCCAAAGGGTTTTAAGGTCAAGTCGATGACTTTGTATGGAGATAGGCTTCCAATTGTTGGAGAAATGATCAAACGCGGAATGGTGAAACCCGAGGACATCTTGAAGTAGAAAATAACATAAGGAGACAACAGACACGTTGTCAAAGGAAAGTTACGAATCTAAGCCACTTTAACGGTCTGCGCAACAGCCCAGTCTCACGCAAGGTGAAGCCTACGGCGACAGACGCCCTTGATTAGAGATTTGTTGAGTGCTTATCAGTCCAAGCGCCGGAAGCAGACTGCGTACGCGAATGGTCATCTAGGTCGATATATACGCACGCTCATATGAATGACTCATCGTTTTGCTCATTATGAATCCTACATACTAACTCACCGGCCTGGTTCAAACGGAACTCTAATTCTACACAAGCTTAGGGCATGAAATCCAGTGTAAGCTTTGACAGAGGGGGTCAATATTGATTAGGACACCAATCTATAGACAGACGAGAATCATTAGGACAACCTTCCTACGCTTCATCATGTCCCAATAGCCGTCTTCGATCCTCTCCACTCCTCGCGTCTTGGTCTGTTAAGCCTTCCTTGTCTTCCCCAACGCGTAGAGTCAACCAAGCCGCAAGCAGCGCACATATTCCTCCAAACCTCATACACCACGCTACACTGTCGTCCCCCGGTGTTCCTCTCGGTTTGCTCAGCCCTTTAAATATGAGACTGCTAACCAGCGTTGCAATGACCTGTGGCGCGCTTACAGCGACGTTATGTATACCCAGCACAACACCTGCTTGGTCTGCAGAATGATCTTCGTTGCTTGCTAACAATTCACCATCGTGCGTAGGCGGAGGCCGAAGTAGACCACGACGAATGGCGTCCCGCTTGGAGATTTCGGACGCAATCAACGCAAAGGGAGCCCACTGCGCAATTGCCCATGGAATTCCAATCAATCCAACGAGCAAGGTGGCCATGAAAACTCCCTGAATTATGAAAGTCAACAGCATGCACGTAGCGAACATGATGTGTGCCATGAACCAAGCTCTTCTTAACGTCAACCCAGGGATGCGGAGTTTTGAGATCAAAGCCTCAACCAGGCTTCCGAATCTGTGAGCATACTGCTCAGATAGTGTTTGAGGCTTCGAGCTGGAGTTTGTAGATTGTGAGCACAAACCATGCTCAGATGATGCCATGAGCGGCGTTCCTGGAGATTGTGTCGTTATGGGAGCTTGATAAGCCGGCTCAATCATCCACGGTAAAACCACACTTGCAATGAAGGTAACAAGTGAGTAAATCAGTAGTGCAATTGTGCCACGTCTTGTGCCCTCCTCCCAGACCTTGTTCGCTTCTTCCGGTGAGAGATGTGGGTTTTCTTGGTATATTGGGTCAACATACATCTCAGCAATATACGTCGTCGTGTAAAACAGAAAGGGGAACCAGCCAATCCACGCCATGAACTGAACCTGACATACGCGCATAATTTGCGTAGGTAACCGGCCGATGGCGCGATATAAGTCCCTGAACACGGCTAGGAGGCCTTCTTCTTTTACGGGTGTTCCATCTCGCGTCGGATCGCGCTCGCGAATCGTTGCGCTCATCCCGGTCGTCAGCAACATCGAAAGGCTAGCGATAGCGCAGAGCACTTTGAATTGGGTATTGCCGAGAAATGGAAGCGCTTTGGGGAGATTCACACCTCCACAGAACATGCCAAAGATATTCCCAATACCGCATGTGCGCGAAACCCACGCGTTGGCGGCCTCTTGCTGATGCACTGGTGCACAGTCCACAATGAAAGCTCGTAGAGCCGCTTGCAAAACATTTATGGCGAAGTCCAGGACGTAGATGAAAACGACGGCGAAGACCATTATGCATATCGAAGTGGCCTTGGAGTCTCTTGCAATGCCGAACAAACTGAGCAGCCCACCCACAATCTCTCTCGCCCACGCGAGCATCATCAGAGAAAGAACGGTGGCCAAGGTTCCACCGACAAGATAAGGTCTCCTCTTTCCCCACTTGTTTTGCGACCGGTCGCTCTTGATGCCAACATATGGCTGCGCCAATACGCCAGAGAGTGGTCCCGCAATCCACACGAATGCTAACATGGTCTTGCTCAGGCCGAGCGACAGCAGGTACGGCGACCCGTTTGACATCTCCACTGACCATCCCATCTGTAGACCAAATCCAGCCACGGTGAGCAGAAACATATACCAGGCGCTTTTGGTGTCCTGAGATTTTCCATCTTCCCAGTCGTCGCTACTCAGCGCTGACACAGGCGATGTGTCTCCAGCAGAGGCTTCGCTGTGTAAGAGCGGCGAGTCTTCGCCCGGGGGCTTGACTACGGTGGCCGGCATCGTCGCGTGCTCAGCTTGCGAGAAGGTGACGTGCTTTATATAGGGGCTGTCGTCGCCGCCGTGATCGTCGCTTTGGTCGTGGTTGTCTTGGTGAAGTTCGGGGGAGGGTTGAGAATGCAGGCTCAGAGGCGTAGGTATGGGGCTGGGCGGATTGCTCCTCTCCTTCATTGTGACACGTATATCACGGTCTGAGGCGCTTGACGTGTTCTCATGTGGTTTTGGATCGAAGGACCGAATGATCCATCGTATGCGTCACGCGTGTCTCAATCTCAGGTAGGGTAAAGTTAAGATTGGCTGCGGTGCGGGCGCACTGCCTGCTCAGGAGGAACACGAGAAGGTTGTTGCAATGGGTACGACGAGAGATTGCGGAGGCAAGGTCAGGAGAATGTTGCTAATAAGCGTTTTCTTTGTTGGAAATGCATTATTATTGGGGTCGAACAGCGCGTCTCAGTTGCGTCTGCATGTCATCTTTCAAATGCTGGGGATGACGTCCTCTGGCTAAAGGGGTGGCTGACAGCATTGCAAGGACTGTCGAGCGGGGGAGGGAGAAACCTTACGCCAGCCAGGCGCGACAGCGGGGATGGAAGGGGGGGGGGCGCCTAAGTCCTAGGGCCTGCCCCGCTAATGATAGCGCGGGAAGGGCGGAAATAGTGGGCGAGCGGTCGTGCGACGGCTCTTCTTGAGCGGGTCCGTGGCGTTTCTCATTGCTTCTGAAGGTCAACAAGCTCCTGCTTCTCTTCTCTGGGCTTGCCCTGGCTCAGCACAAGAACAGGTTGCATCTACAACGCCGCTCCCCAACACAAACAACCATCACCAACCGCCATCCTTTCCGGCCGCTAGCCAGGCGCTGCGCGTCAGCTTTTCATCTCCTGCTCCTTTCTGAGCAGTACCGATCAAGCGTCACCTCATCGAACGAGACCGCCCCTCCCCCTCCCGTTTGCCCAGCAATCCTGAAGTGAACTATCCTCCGTTCCGGTCTTCTACGCAGCCTCGATAGACGTTCGGACTTTCAACTCCAGAACACAGCCCGACCTAGGGGGCAAGCTCTTCCCCTCGGCTCGCCAATGCCGGCGAGGTGCCCAACTAGGCACAAATGGCTTCAAATATGGCATGGCAGACCTTCAATCTGCTCACAAGTAGGCTCGCAACACAGCTTTTGCCTTGTCAAAACACAGCAGCTAATTCGCGGTTGCCATTTCAGCACGAGCGGACGATGCCGACGCTGACGGTACGTTTTTGCACCTCTCGGTCCTGTTTGTACCTTGTATTCTAATCCAGAGAATCGAAAGAACCGGACGCTAGCCAGGCAGAGATATCGACATCATGGGCTCTCTTTATCCTGATTATGCTGTTGATCCTGGCTCTGTTTGCCAGTTACATCTTGCAGACGAGGAGGATACAAGCTGTGCATGAAACCGTCATGTCTATTTTCGCAGGTATGCTCCCTTCATGCGCAAGTCGATTCCACATCTCCGATCGCTGCGACTCTGAGCGAAGGAGCTGCTGTGATAATGGCAGTTGCAGCGAGGAAAGAAAACTTACAGTGACATAGGTATGGTTGTCGGCTTGATATTACGACTTGCCGCCTCCCACGCCATCCTCAGCAACGTTAGCTTTGACTACCAAATGTTCTTTAACCTGCTGCTTCCTCCTATCATCCTCGCGTCCGGTTATGAATTGCATCAGGGCAACTTCTTCCGTAACATTGGCAGCATCCTCACATTTGCCTTTGCCGGAACTTTCATTTCAGCCCTCGTCCTTGGATTAATCTTGTTCATCTGGACTCGAATGAATTTGGACGGAGTAAGTATCAACTTTGTTGAAGCCATGTCTGTCGGCGCGACCCTCTCTGCTACCGATCCTGTCACCATTCTTGCTATTTTCAATACATACAAGGTAGACCCGAAACTTTACACGGTTATCTTTGGCGAGTCAATCCTTAACGACGCCATCGCCATCGTGCTCTTCGAAACTGCGCAGAAATATAAGGAAGGGAATGCAGACAAACGTCTGACTCCCCTAGCGCTGTTTGAGAGCATCGGCGTCTTCATCTTTGTCTTCTTTGGCAGCCTGGCCATTGGTCTGCTTATTGGCATGTTGACCTCTCTGTTGCTAAAGTTCACGTACATCCGCCGCTTCCCTAAGACGGAAAGTTGCATCATCATCCTTATCGCATATGCTAGCTACTTCTTTTCAAATGCCATCCACATGTCCGGTGAGTAGAGCTTTGAAAAAATGTATTTCATTGCAGCAGTTAACAATATCCGTAGGTATCGTATCCCTGCTCTTCTCAGGCATATGCATGAAGCATTACGCATATCACAATATGTCCCGGCGGACCCAGCTTACGACCAAGTTTATTTTCCAGGTCATGGCACAATTATCGGAGAACTTTATCTTCATTTACCTCGGATTGTCGCTCTTTACCGAGACAACCCTCATCTTCAAGCCGCTATTTATCCTCATCACCGTAGTGGGAATATGCGTGGCGAGGTGGGCAGCTGTTTTTCCACTATCGAGAGCAATCAATGCTGTGATTAGATACAGAGCCAGACGTCGAGGAAACACACAAGCAGAAGAGATTCCCTATTCACACCAGGCTATGCTTTTCTGGGCGGGTCTTAGAGGTGCAGTTGGCGTAGCGCTCGCAGCGGGCTTGACGGGACCCAATGGACCCGTTCTCAGAGCTACTGTTCTAGTAGTTGTCGTGCTCACTGTCATCATCTTTGGTGGCACTACAGCACGAATGCTTGAAATTCTCAACATCAGAACCGGGGTCATTGAAGAAATTGACTCCGATGACGAATTCGACATCGAGTACATCCACGGCAATGGTGCAAATGGCACATATACTCGCAAATCGGGCACAGGACTTGGCCATAATCCACGGCCCTCTGTCGCCGGGAACGGGTACGCACTTGGGACTCTTGACTATGAGCAGGACGCCGAGCGGGATCGCAATGGAACGTACAGTTCTGGCAACCGAAGTCCGAACAAAGGGCCGCATGCACCAGCGAGGCGAAATTCTCAGCGCTCCAGTTCACGGAATCAGGATGTTGCAGAGCAAGGTCTGCTATCACCAGCAGACACAGCCTCTCTTGATGACGACGATCTCGACCTTCCACCCGCAGCTCGACGACAGACGTTCGCTACGCGAAATGCGGCTGAAGCATCACACGGAGCAGAACCGTACCCCACGAGTGGAGCAAGGGAAACTCCCGTTGGTGCAGCAGGCATTGCGGCTGGCGTTTTGTCTCGAGTACGTCATGCCCCAGGTGCAGTGTCACAGCTCATCAGCGAAATCAGCGAAGATCCGGCTGATGCATTCCGTTTGATCGACGAGAATTTCATCAAGCCTCGACTTCTCCTTGATCCTGGAAACACTCCAAGTCCCAGTCATCATGGAAATGCACATCCGCATGGCCAACCTGGACATAGTGGATCTTAATTTGCCGGCTGAGATATTATACGACATTAGCGCTTGTGTATATAGATGCAATTGGGCAGGCGTTTGGAAGGTACACGGAGAGTAGCAAAGGCAATGCTACACTCTAGCCAGCAGCTGTGATGTTGATAATCAAAAATTACGAATATTGCGATATGTACGCAGCTTGATCTTGGATGAAATTCGCGAGATGTGATTATCTACGCGAGAGGATTACGAATGTCTTCTCCATCACTGCTCTCTCCGTGAGCATACAGTATCTCGCAAACGCCCCCAATTGGCACGTCCAAGACCGCATCCGTTCCTTCATTCCATAAGTTTTTCCAGTTTACGCCCGGCCCTAGATCGGCAGGTACATAAACTCGTTTCTCTTCTTTAAGAGAACTCTGCCTGCTCCTTCCTCCACATTTCCTAGTATCAGTACCTCTTCCTTTCCTCTTTACTTGGAATCGGCTCCGTTTCCCATCCCGAACAATCTCGCCATTTGAATTCAATACCGCAACCTTGCCTGCTTCGTCGACGATACACTCAATGCTAGCCATTCGCAATGTCAGGGTTCCGGTGTTATAGCTCTGCAGGGCGATGTAAATCCAAATTACTAGAACAACCAACCAACACGGAATCGCGAGTGCCCACCACCGGTTTGGATAATAATAGATACCCAGCTGGTGGAGAAAAGGAGAGGGAAGGTACGCCCATAACAGATACATCAAAAAGAACAGGGACGAGGCCAGATATAATGCAAAACCATAGTACTCATACGTGGGAACCTTCGGATGAGCTCGAGGAGCAGAAGCCGACTTAGAAGCGGCAGCATGTGTGCTTCCCGGAAATGTTGCAGACGCACCAGTTGCGGACTCAGTGTCAGAGGATTCGGGAGTGGTGTGGTGGGATGTATGCGTGCTGAAGCTGGGGCGAAGCAGAGATGTGAGCGAAGGAGATGGTGGCAGAGGAGTAGGCGGCCGGTTATAGAAGGGTGGAAAGAGTTGCGATGAGCTTGGTGGAAGATGTGCGTGCGAGCGATTTAAATGGAATGTTTCATTTTCGTCGTCGTCAAATGATGGAAACTCTTCCTCTTCCTCCTCTTCTTCGTCATCATCCTCTTCCTCTTGCTCTTGATCATCCTGCTCTGCCCTCTCCACTTCTTTCCGGTCTTTTCGCTCCTCCTGCTGCTGACGCTGGTCAACTAGGCGATCATCATCGTCCTCAGTCGTCACATCGTCATCCGAAGATTGGGGAGCGCCATTGCTATTTGGCCTAATATATGTGGACTGCATCGCCAGGCCTGCTTTTCTGTTCCGCTCATGGTGCTCGAAAGGCAAACGATCGCGTTCATGCTGAACTAGTTCGCGCACCGTGGGTAGATTTGGAGACGATTGAGACTGTTGGATTCCGCTCGGGCGTTGACCGCCTCTGCTTTGTGGTGGCATTTTGCGTTGCTGTTACAAGTTAATTAATTCATAAAGCCAAAGCTTGTCCTTACGCGACGAAAGGGACTGCGGGCAAACCTAGATTCCTAATTGGGAACATGAACTTGAACCTCGCACGTGACAAATGATTTTCAAGCTCACAAGATTCGGTGCTCGACGAGCCATGCAAATAGTAACACCCGCAAACGCCTGAACACAAATATCCTTTAATATTTGGTTTTCTATTAGCCTGGACAACTGGATTTGCTTAAGAAAGGGACCTGAAATATCTGGTGCTGCACTTTGCACATAGAGTTCGACAACATGGTTAACATCACAGAGAAGATCAAGGAGTATGTGAAGAGTCTGGGCTGTTTACAAAACGTGTGAAATCTAATCTTGTTCTAGGATAGAGGCGGAAATGGCTAGAACGCAGAGTATGTGTCCAATTCTTACCAGTTTTAGTGGAACGTCGTGTTTACTTTTGCACAGAAAATAAAGCAACAGGTATGTTCCGCTCCAAATTGAACTAGCAGATGTGACGCTGATATTCAAATACAGAGTATCACCTTGGACTGTTGAAAGGGTACTTCTTATCTTTGGAACTTGTGGTATCATGCAAGGCTCATGGAAGACAGAAAACTTGCGCGGCTAAGAGCCCAACTTCTTGAACCCGGACCAGGCAGTGGAAGCAGCGGTGGTGCTGGTTTTGATGTGTCGAAGTCTGGCGATGCTCGTATTGCTCTTGTCGGCTTCCCCTCAGTTGGAAAATCCACATTTTTGTCGAAGATCACAAAGACCAAGTCAGAAGTAGCCGCGTACGCGTTCACAACATTGACAGCCATTCCTGGCGTTCTTGAGTATGGCGGTGCCGAGATTCAAGTCCTGGATCTTCCCGGCATCATTGAAGGAGCTGCAGAGGGCAAAGGTCGAGGACGACAAGTCATCAGTGCAGCCAAGACTAGCGACATGATCATGATGGTTCTCGATGCGACAAAACGAGCCGAGCAAAGAGCATTGTTGGAAGCGGAACTGGAAGCCGTAGGCATTCGGCTGAACAGAGAACCTCCAAATATATACGTGAAGGCAAAGAAAGCCGGTGGGATGAAGATCAGTTTTCAGTCTCCGCCGAAGAATCTGGATGAGAAAATGGTATACAACATCATGCGCGATTACAAGATGCTAAATTGCGAGGTGCTTGTAAGAGACGAAAACGGTATGTCTAAACCTGCGGTTTCCAGTTCTTTCTCCTTTCTTTTTCTTTTTTTTAACCAGGCCACAGCGACTGTTGATGATCTAATCGACGTGATAATGAAAGATCATCGCAAGTACATAAAATGCCTTTACGTCTACAACAAAATTGACTCCATCTCCCTTGAACACCTTGACAAACTTGCTCGTGAACCCAACACCGCAATCATGTCATGTGAGCTCGATCTCGGCATTGACGACGTCATCGACCGTGCTTGGGAGATGCTCAATCTTATCAGAATATATACAAAGCGGAAGGGTGTGGATCCTGACTTTAACGAAGCGCTGATTGTGCGAAATGGAAGTACGATCGAGGATGTGTGTGATCGCATCCATCGAACATTGAAAGAGACGTTCAAGTATGCGCTGGTCTGGGGAGCAAGCGCGAGACACGTTCCGCAACGAGTAGGATTGGGGCATGTGGTGAGCGATGAAGATGTTGTCAGCATAGTCGCAAAATGACATTGTCGAGTCGTGCAGAGGCTGTGACAGTCATGTAAACAATAATTATGAATGAAAAACGCATTTGTCAGACTAACGATGTTTACATCACTCTTATGATGGCAACTGGTCCATAAAGATCCTCAGAACCTCGATATACTCTCTCTTTCATTCCGATTCCCTATACACGAGCTAAGTTTTCATGTTCCATGTCACGACTATCATCTCGTGACAAAACGCTAAAGCATCACACGATCGGCCAAACAAATGTCGATTACATTTTCAACATAAGCCACCCATGCTCACTGGTACATGCAAACGCACTGTCATGGCCAAGGCTTCTCCAACCCGTCATAGTTTTGCAAATCTGAAGCCATACACACTGCAATTCTAGGTGCTTTCAGCCGAGCAAGTCCTCTAATCCACCACCAAGCTTTTGTTGCTGTGCTGACGAACCAGAAGACTGTGCAGATGTGCCTGTTGCGCCAGCTCCCCATATGCCTGCGCTCGCCTTCTGTCTCGCCATGTCGGCCATGGTCGTACCCTTCGCAGGAGTACTCTTCCTGGACGTAGCCCCACCGAGAAGATTGGCAAACGCGTCACCACCCGTACTCTTGGCGGAGGTGGGCGCAGCAGGCTTGCCTAGGTTTGCCATTGACAATGGGGTAGATGTACCAGATGAGGATTGCTGTTGCGCTGCGACAGGAACGGACGTGAAGTAGTTTGGCCCTGTTGCTTGGTAGCCAGCCGGCTGTGATGGCCGTTTCTGTGCTGCGGAAAATGCGGTGGAAGGTGCTGCAGAAGAAGAAGAAAGCGGTGCCAATGTCGATGAAGATGTTGATGTTGGTTGAGGTGAGACAGATGCAAACAAACCGCTAATACTCTGACTCTGTAGTCCAGAGACGGGCTTAGGTTGCGCCAGTGGTGTCACTGTAGCTGAGGCAGAGTTAGAAGCTGGAGGGGCAATAGCGATTGAACTGCCAGGTCCAGCCTGTACAGTGGTTGATGCTGGGGCAGCCGACTGGAAATCATCAAACTCGTCGTCGTCAGTGGCTCCAAATTCACCCAGAGTAGAAGACGCAGGTGCCTTGGAAGTCTTTGTGCTGGTAGAGGGTTCATTTCCAAAGTCGAACAAATCCTCTTCCGGCTCCTTCAACTTTGTTGCTGGCTTGTTCGTCTCCCGTTTTGCACGTGCGGGGCTTGAGCTTCCATCTTGCTGCCGTTTTCCTGGAGCAGCAACAGCACCTTCGTCATATTCGTCGTATTCTTCAAACTTTTCACGTCTTGCAGTGGGTTCCTGGTACTCCATGTCACTTTGGCCACCAAAGCCGCCACCGTCGCCATAGACACCGCCACTAAAGCCCCCAAAATTCGCAGAACCACCGCTATTGTTACCAAAGCCACCCATTCTAGGTCCGCTACTGCCACCAAGGCCAAAGCCACCTCCTCCTTCGTAGCCACTATACTTGTTCCTATTCGCGCGTGCCTTCTTGCGCTCAGCACGAATCTTGTCAACATCGGAGAGTAACTCAGTCAACTCTTTCGATCTGTTTCGCACGTTGATACCCTGATCTTTGCCATTCATATCGATGTAGTGGAACTGGCGGAGCATCTTTAGCAGTGATAGATGTGATCGAGCATCATCAATGACCCTCTCGCTGCCATTTTTGATCAAAAATTCAAGTAGTTGGAGGGCCTTATATATCTGTCGCCACTCCTCAGCAGTCTTTTCAGTGAAGCGTTTGTATATCATAGGCATAACTTCATTTAGACCTTGGCTACAATGCCGTCAGCTACGTGTTTCATTCCTTATAATTTTCCAGAACCTGGAGAGCGCCTTACTAGGTAAAAGTGGCATTAGCAATTTCTTGCATGAGCGACGACGATGCGCCCCACCTAATGCTTAATGTCAACCACGTTTCTAGGCTTGTGTCGCGCGCTTGGCTATGTTGGCAAAAACGTACGGCTCATTATTGGTGGCTTCTCGAACTTTGGCCTCAATCTCGGTGTAATTCATAACCGCTGCACAAGTATTCAGCTTCGATCAACGTGACACATCCAGAAGTTCTAGCCTCTTGCTTTGAACCTACCATTTTGGACTTTGCGGACGCCCGCCTTCACATCGTACAGCGTAAGGTTGCTCACCGTTTCCCGCAAACTGCTCCAGTCCATGATCTATTTCTGTTGCCCGAAATAGACAAATGAGTTATATGAAATAGCCTCGTAGAATTCTACACTTTGGCAAAATGTCTAGGGACCCAGGATGGCCGTTGTCGAGACCAGACAAACGATTGAAGTTGGGAGCGCCTCCGTATGTGAGAAGGCACCTTGTGGCTCGCATTGAGCCTTGATTATGTAAGCGAGAGCAAGCTCCCAAGTCAATCCAACCTCACCTCCACAAAGACATTCTGGTTCCAAGTCCGGCGCAAGTAGTTGGTGAAATACTTCTTTGATAACTAAGTTGCAAATCAGGAACATCTGTAGCATTCCAATGTTGCAACTCTTGCTAGTTTTATTCTACTGTTCATAAGCTCTCTTGAGTGACGAGCAAAGTTCATAGCAACAAATATTTCCCGAGTGTTAAGGATAGGGAGTATTCAGTTGCGAAGAAAAGTGCATGAATTTTTCCGGAGTCCTACACTAATTAAGAAGCCCGGCTATAACCAGCGAGTTGCCTCTATCGCTCACAATGGCTTGACGTTGCAATTTTTACTACGACAAAAGCAACATAGGGTCAAGAGCTAAAGAGTTGAAACTACCCAGAAGTAGCATCATCGTCGAAATCTTTCTTATTCCTCCTCTCTGCCAGCATTATTCAGTTACGGAGTTTGCCAGCGAGTACGGCAGCGCCCAATTGCAACATCAGCGTGAACTGGCGGCATACAACGCGCAGAGAAGTAAGGGAAGCACAAAAAACAAGGGCACAATTTGTGAGTTAAATGTTCATTACGAACCATTCCGAGATTTGCTGCTCATGTGCGGATTGCTGGACTATGAATTGACAGAGCGTCTATATTGAAGACGTGTCAACGTCACTGATGGCAAACATGATGAACGAGACTTTTCATGCTTGATTCCCAAGAGATTCTTGAAATAACCGTTTAGCGAGGGCTAATGGATGATGGGAATGTATGTCAAATCGATATTGTTGTCTTATGAATCATGGTTTGCTCCGATGAAAATTGGTTCGGAGACTCTACGGTCAAGGTCCAGGTCCAGATCCAAGTCCAGGAGCGGAGAGGCAAGAAGTCTCACAAACACGTGATATAGGTCTTGGCCTTTTTAGGGTCCATCAAAGCCGTCGACTTTTGTTTGGACAAAACTGCGAATCCATCAATTGCATCAACGCCAGACATTGCCACTCTCATTTGCTGTACTTGTATCAATAGAACCTGTCATCTGCGCGAGCATCGTCATCGCTGAGTTCTTGGCGTGGTACCTCCACTCAAAGCAGCCGCCGCAGGCGTTGTCATCACGCTTTAGTGAACGAAACAAGTTCAACCGGCATTCCGTCGTCAAGGCACGTCACGTTTTCGCTGTGCATATAAGCCAAAAGGCCGGCTAGCTCTTCGGAAGACCAAGTCCACTTCCGGACAGGAAGCCAGGTCGTCGGTTTCGCATCTCGTGGACGAAAATAAATCGCTGACGGGCTTAGGCACATAGCACTTTGCTAGTCGACTTCGCAGGCCCAGCAAGCCTGCAGCTCCCACCCTTCGGCCCCCTCCAAGAAAAATTCCTCCGCATAAACCAACACCATGCATGGCCTGCCCCACCTCCGAACGGCCTTGAGCTCAGTGCCCCGCATCGCAGCTCTTCCAAAAACTTCGGCGGCCACTTTCAATGTTAGACACTTTTCTGCCTCATTGCCAGCCATGGTGAAGAAAGCATGGTTCGATGTCCAGTGGATGGGCCCCGTCGTCGAAGTCGACGAGAAGGGCAACGTCACCAAAACGGGGCCGGCAAAGCGTGAGTGGACCTCCACGGCTTAAGTTGATCTTATGGCCGTCTGGCGCCTGGAGAGAAATGCCTCTGACCACTGCCTCCAGAACAAAGCGGACGGATAAACTTCGAGCTTTATGACGATGTTGTGCCCAAGACGGTCGAGAACTTCCGCGCGCTCTGCGAGTCCAAAGATCCGAAGATGGGATACACAGGTTCCAAGTTCCATCGCGTGATACCGAACTTCATGCTTCAAGGCGGTGACTTCACCCGTGGCAACGTACGCTCTGAATTTACCCCACGCGTCTTTGGGCTGCTTGACTGTTGACACATGATCAGGGCACCGGTGGTAAATCCATCTATGGAGACAAGTTTGCTGACGAGAACTTCAAACTAAAGCACAACAAACCCTTCTTGTTGTCCATGGCAAACGCTGGGCCGAACACGTACATACCCATTCCCGCTCCATGACCATGATGACGACCTTGCAGCTAACTAATGCAGGAACGGCTCGCAATTCTTTATAACAACCGTTGTCACCTCATGGCTGGACGGCAAGCACGTCGTTTTTGGCGGCGTGCCCGAGGGCGACGTCGAGTCCTACAAAACGGTAAGGGGAATTGAGGCCGTCGGATCGAACAGCGGCCGAACAGAGAGCACAGTGACCATCACAAGCTGCGGGGCGGACCCCAAATGAAATGCTGCGTGAACGCGACACTACGAAGACACATGTACTGTAATCCTTCAATGCTGTAGTATACAAAGTCAAGATCAAGCGTTACAGGACAATGGCAGCGTACTCTCCAATATTTATCAACATAGTGCCAACTGTATCATGAGCACAATGGAAATAGATCAGGTCTTTCTCCATGTCCGCTCCCTCTTTCTCCCTTCTCGCTCCCTCTTTCTCTCTTCATCTCCGCACAAGCAATGTACTTTGCGTATGACAACCTCTTCTGGTGAATCACCGACTCATAACTATACGGAAAGCATGCCGTTCGGACATGGGGAGTGGTGGGGCATGGCGGGGTAGACTTCGCAAGTTTTCGCTCATTGCGATCCACATGTCACCTGCGCCCTTGGACGCAAAAACTTTCCTCATTGAGTACACATATCTCGCGGCCATGATCCAGTGTTTACTCTTGGCCTCCCGGCTTCGCAGACTTTTTTGCGGCGAAGTTCTTTGCGCAGAACGACGATTGTCGACAGTTCCATCTGATCTTGACGGAACAGAACACGATTCCTAGCAAACCGCAGCCATGAGCGGAGCAAGCTCGGCTCGAAAAGAGCAACAATACAGTCCAGATACTCGAGCAATACATGCAGACGATGGGCTGAACCAAATCACGGATGTTGCGCCAGCTCTGCACGTGTCAACTACGTTCAGGTACGACAACACAAATCTAAATCCTACAGGCGACGAGGAGGTAATGCTATGCTGCACTCCACAACGTGTCGCGCGGTAGATCGCTAAATTATTGCAAAGCTCGACTTTCTGGCAGCACCACCAGTATATTCGCGACTCGCTAGCCACAACACCACCCGTATTGAGGCAATATTATCGAGTCTTCTCAATGGCCACGCAATAACATACAGCTCTGGACTCAGCGCTTTCCATGCAATGCTTGTGTATTTGCGTCCTCGGGCAATCGTCATCGGCGAGGGCTATCATGGATGTCATGGCGTGATCGACATATGCACAAAGCTATGGGGACTGAAGAAGATCTCGCTCTCTGACGAGAGCGCCTGGTCCTCTCTAGAAAAGGGGGATATCATACACGTCGAAACGCCTCTCAATCCTACAGGCGAAGCTCGAAATCTAGAGTACTACAGGCGGAAGGCCAACGAGAAAGGTGCCTATCTGACTGTGGACGCGACCTTTGCACCTCCTCCGCTCCAAGACCCTTTTGCACAGGGCGCGGACATAGTCATGCACAGCGGTACCAAATATTTTGGAGGACACAGTGATATGCTTTGTGGTGTTCTAGCAGTGCCAAGGGATAAGAGAGAGTGGCTGGATGGGCTTTGGAAGGAACGTATGTATCTAGGCAGTGTAATGGGCAACATGGAACAGTGGCTTGGCGTCCGTAGCTTGCGGACACTTGGGCTTCGCGTGACGAGACAAAGCCAAAATACTGAAGCTCTCGTACAATGGCTGCACGAACAGATGAAGAAGGCGGACAGCCCGGTTAGCAAGACGGTCAGCAGACTGCAACACGCGTCGCTGCAGAAGGATGACATGACTTGGATCAAGAAGCAGATGCCTGGTGGCTTTGGTCCCGTGTTTTGCCTGTGGATGAGAGACAGAGAGACCGCAAAGTCCCTGCCTGGCAAGCTCCGTCTATTTCATCACGCCACCAGCTTGGGCGGCGTAGAGAGCTTGGTAGAATGGCGTAGGATGAGCGACCAGACGGTAGATGAGAGAGTGGTGAGAGTTAGCGTAGGAATCGAAAACTGGGAAGACCTTAGAGATGACATGGCGAACGCATTCGCACAGCTTGTCTAGACTTATGTACTTGTTGTGAGAGCTGACCTACTCGGAACATCACATCACAAGCTCTTGTCGGTCGTTCGAGGCGGTAGTCCCAAGTCCAGCCTCAGAACACAAAATTACAGCAATGTCTCGTTTCTCACGTAGTAGACTCTTTGGTGGTTGAAATTACGTGCGAAGATCAGAGAAAAGAACCCGTGTGCGAGATTCTCCGAGCGATTCAAGTTTGGCATACTTGATCTTCGTATCAACAGACCTCTGATTCATGGGGGAAAGACGGACAAGCCACGTTCTTCACGCAATTCCTCGCTGAGATTGCGAGGGCGTGATATTTGAAATGTTCAGGCACAACTTTTGATTTTGCTCTTTAATTTTTTTTCATATATCCTCGTCTTTGCATACAGGCCAATGGACGTTTGTCGACAAAAGATTCTACAACGCGCTGCCTTTTCCTGGCAACGCGATGCACTCGATCTCGACCGGCACGCCGAGAGGCAGGGCCTTCACGGCAACGCAGCTCCTGGCCGGCTTGTGCGTAAAGTACTTCGCGTAGGTCTCGTTCATCTCCTTGAAGTTGGCCATGTCGTCCAAAAACACGTTCACCTTGACAATTCTTTCGATGGAGCTGCCAGCTTCGGCCAGAATGGCCTTGATGTTCTCGCAGCACTGGGCGGTCTTATCGCCGATGCTTCCTTCGACCAACTTCCCATCCGGGGTTCCTGGTATTTGACCAGAGACGTAGATGGTTCCGCCGGCGATGATAGCTTGCGACTGGGCCAATTAGCGAAGCGCATTGTGGAGTGCCAACTGGCGTGGGCCTAAGGAGAACATACGTAAGGAGCGGCGACTGGCAGACAAAGGTCAGCTGATTGAAACCACTCAGGTTGTCTCGAGATTCAAAAAAAAGAGAAGAAAGAGGGCAAGGAAATGGGCAAGAGGTAAATACCTGGAAACGCCTTGTCGGTGTGAACTTTCTGCATGTCGGCCATGGTTCTATGGAAAGGGAATTGAGATGGCAATGGGCAAGCTGAGAGTTTGGACCTTGCGGCAACGTAAACTCCTCTGGCTATTCTAGAGGAGGACGATCTTTTAATAGCAAGTGAAAGCATTCGCAGAGCTGTGATTCATAGTTGATTTAGGGATATCTAACCCGTGAGCTCCACACGCGCCTTTGTGAAATCCGCTTCCGAAATCGGTCATTTCGCTGAAGAGGCTTCGAACGGCTGAGCAATGAGTCTCGATCTAGGCCGATCCTGGTTGTTGTAACATAAGCGTCTGAACCGAAGGTAACCGCTGTTGGAATTTATGGATTCAAGCCTAGATTTAGTGGTATCATCTCTAGATCAGACCCTTGGGTATCTGAGATAAATATTTATCTACCATCTGACACCTCGCAGTCGACGCCGCCTTTGTCTCAGCACGAGTGGTGCTATGACCGCACGGCGCTGTGCATGGACAAAAGGAGAATGTTGCAGGCCATAGAACGCCCTCATGACAGCTTCGTCTCTGTCGTAGCCTTCCCCCAAGCCTTCTCCAGATCTGCTTCTCCTACTTCTGGAACGGTTTCTGAAACTTCTGTTGCCTTCAGCTGTGCGCTTGGCATAGGCGTGACACCCTCCGTGCTTGTGCCTTCCGCAGTCACCACGCTGTCCGGTCTGACTTGGTGCCAAGAGGCTTCAACATTTTCTGCCAGCTCTGGAGCTTCGGCTTCAAAGTTGCTGCTGTATACAACTGCAGCAAAGGCCTCAAGATCCCTGACGCTCTCCATAGCGGAGAGGTATTCATTAGTGTTCCCACTGGCGCTGCCGATGCTATGAGCTTGTCGTGAGAATGTTGCCAAGGTAGATGCCACTTTTGCCCTCACGTCAGTGCCAGGCCCAACTATCTCGACTACACGGTCAGCATTTGCCGATGGGGGCGCTATCTTGTATGCTAATGTTGCTATTTTTGTATCAATGAGAAGGGAGAAAGCTGAGTCAAGGAGCAAGGTTAGAACATGAGCGAAAGCTGGGGAGTCGATCAGATCAGACGTTTCATCAAGGAGTCGTCGTAGCGCCGGGGTGATGGGAGGGTTTGAGGGCGGGTCTGAAGGAGACACCATGCCCGCTGCTTGCAGGAGATAAATCTCTTGATCTGCGGGGGGAAGGAGGTATTTCAGCCATTTTTGATTTCTGCACGGGGATTAGCTGGCGGCGAAGGCAGAAGAAGTTCACGTGGTGGGGACGTACTTTCTGTCGGCATCAGTGAAGCCTTCAATTTTTTTTCGAACCATGACAGTGAGCTCAGACAACCTGTGCAGTGTGATATCTTCACGGGGGTTGAGCGGCCCAAACACCTCCTTCACAGCCTCGACAACCTTCTCCATGACGTCTTTGCAGCCTCGATGCAGCAACCACCAGCTGAACGAGAGATATTTTCTGTTCGTCTCGAAATCGTTTCCATACGCATTCTCAAAGTTGTCGTCATCATGATTCTCCAGGCTGATCTTTGACGCCGCACCTGGAGGCGAGGCAAGCGAGACCACACTGGCAAGATAGTTCCTGCGGCCGAGAAGATTGAGCTGTATGCGCGTAAGCAGGGTGAGGAGAGCGAGAGTGTATATCAGCGTGAAAGCTCGTGATATGGCTGCAACGAGTCAGCGACTTTTCAGATGGATGAGTATACAAGGCACTCACAGTCGATTTTCATCTGGTTCCATAGCTGCGCCTTGCTCTTCTTCGGTTTCATCGCGGCTGGGTGTAACTTTGCTGGTGACGCCTCGGGGGCCGTTTCAGCCATCTGGCTGGTATGCACGAAGCTCTCACTGGCTAGACTCTTCTCGTCTCCATTGTCAACCGTGCTCGGCGGAGCGGATGGAAGGTCGGCCGTGGAGATTTCGGACGGCCCAACACTCTTCGCTAGCCTCTCCGCTCTCTGTTGCTGCAGTTCCTCCAGCAACTGCTCAACCGGCAGTGCTTCGAATATGTTGTCGACCGCGGTTGGTAATATGGCAAGGACGGTGAATGTGCAGTCCTCCTGGTTTTGCTCGAAGCGGCGACGAAGACTGTTGTAGAATGTCAGCGTCAATCGACGTGCTCCCTTTGCCAACAGGAAAGCAGGGCGCACTTCTCTTTCGCGATGCGCTCATCGCTCATGCGCTGCCGTGTCTCAGACAACTTGCCGATGGCATATTGAGCAACACCATAGCTGGCAGCCAGAACGCCAGCACCGATTGCAAAGGTGGTGCGATTGCGTCGCAGCCACTGACGGGTTGACGATAACATTGTTGGTGGCAGCTACAATGGTGATGATCTCATCACGCAAACGATGACAGAGCGCGCACAAGTCAGCGCAGGAGGAAGTAGTGGGAGCAGGAGCAGGAGCAACAGCAGGAGCAACAGCAGCAGGAACAGAAGATGAGAAGGAAAACGGACGAGAAAATCAGCTGCTGTCCATCACACGTTCTGCGCTGAGACGGACACACACATCACCACCCACGATCGGGCGGCCGTTTTCGACCTCGGCACGCGCGCGGCTTGGAGCACCCAGCGGCTGGTGCGCGGCAAATGGGCGAGTGGGCAGTCGGGCTCAGGAGGGCTCGGTGAAGTTATCAGGCTGGTGAGGAACGACCTGGGCAACGTCACTGCTTGTGCCGCGAGCGGACGCAGCGGTGGTGTTTGCGGTTCCACGCGCGTCTCCTCGTTGTGTCCTCCGCGTGCTGGACCGCCCTCACCCGCTTTACATCCTGCCCCCACGCCCCCCCTCGAGTCGGGCAGCCTCCCCCCCTACAGTCCGGTGCCCCCCGCCGTTGCGTCCCCCATTCCACCCAACTACCTGTGTAACGCCGCTCTGTTCTCCCGTGTCGGCGTTTTTCTCTCCTTCTTCTTCCTCTTTCGCCCATGACGATCTCCTGCATGCACGCCCCACCACCGCCCTCCAGCTCCAGGTCCTATGGCTCGCATAGTTACCCCTCCTTCTTTGGCTCAGCGCACATTTCCCGTGTAAAAATTAGTTTTCTTCTCCCTTAAAAATAATCTGTCTTGTGCCGCCCCGTTCGGTTCCTGATCGGCGTTCCACGAAGTCGGTTACAAGCGGCGTAAGACTAAAGGCTTCTCTTCTTCTTCTCGCGCAATCGCACAAAGTCTTCCGCAGCTGTCTCATCACAGCATCGACGGCATTTGCTTTCTCCTTTGCCGTCGCTGTTTTTCTCTCTGGGTCGATCCGTCCTGTCTTCTACTCATTCCGTACGACCTGTGTGATCTGGATGACTTAACGTGTTGATTTTCTCCTCATCTGTGGATCCCAACTGGCACCCAAACCAACATGGACCCACGACGCCCGCCTGAATACACGTTGGAGGTGTTCGCCGAGCCCGCATTCGTAAAGGATATTGTCAAGGCTATTGTGCGTCATATACTTACAGTGTCGTACCTGCATTTTGTTAACCAGCATGCTCAGTTGCACTGCGTTTTCTTCCACCGTTACTTCGTCCCCATCACCCCGCTGACCCGCGATCTTTTCGATCAGACTTTTCCCCAGATTGATGACTCGGACCTTGAGAACTTGATCGAGCAACGCGCTACACAGCTCGTACGTTACGTCGAATCACCCTCTTCCTCGCCCTATGGCGCATCAACCCCCGCAGGGCGGGCCCAGATTCTCATACAGTTCTTTGAGAAGAAGCGCAAGAAAAGTTACTTTTTCACCAAAGGCGATGAAACTGTTTGCTGGGAGCAATGGGTGCTGAACGTTACATGCGCTACGCCAAAAAACGATGCTGAAAAGCGCAAAGTACGACAAGCTATGGAGAAGAGTCTGAGCAAGACGTGCCTCAAAATTATCAATATCGTCAACCGCGAGAAGGATCACATTCCACCAATCACCGAGGCAGATACAAATCCTTTCCCATATCAGATCATCGTTAACCCTAGGAGCGACAACTGGGGAGCGAGAATTGGCATCTTTTGAACTGGCTTAGGCCCAATAGTCTAGCACAGCCATTTCGACGTGACTGGAAAAGCACTTCACGTTGCACTCGCCCAGATTCACCCAATGAAGCCCAACAAGGACACCCGCTCGAATCACGACTGAAGTCCGGCAGCGATGTACACGACTCTCAAGCCAGCGCAATCTACTTTGCCTTCACATCCCGCATGCGATAGGAGCGGTTGGAATCATTCCCCTTGCACTAAACACGGACAACGCTTCAGCTTATTTATGAAGATAGTCAAGTTGAGCTCGATGGAAAAGCATTCGAGATCAAGCAGAGCGCGGTCAATTCTTTGCACTTCGCCATGGTAGTCGCTGACTGTTGATGTCTAATGTTCCGATGGCCTTCTCGCAAGTTTCTCGGCGTTTGACAACCAGTCTTTAACTACCTGATCCATCTCTCCCACTTCTCTATGGACTATGTCGTTCACATAGGCAAGACGAGCTTGGGCATCTGCCTGCTGCATGCCATGGTCTGAAACTTTCCCAACAATTGCAGCATTTCTTGTGCTGGGAATTCGCAGCATCTCCTTTTGCGTATCAAAGCCTAGCTCCTTTGCTAGACTAACAACATAGTTGGTAAGGCTTTGATACGCCGATGGCTGCTTTGCCGCACCTTTCGCTCGAGCGAGCGAGCCAGATTTTGGACCAGGACCATCTTCAACTGTGCAAGTAGACTCAAACGTGGGCCGATCTGTCGCATCTATGCTGTCCAACCCACGTTCACTTCGTGTATTGAACCTACACCTCGCACCAGCGAGATTGTGACTACAGCACGGAATCGCAATGAATGGGGCAAAGTTCAGAAATGCGATCAGCGGCGTCCACGGCGTGAGCTCATCAGCATGATTACTCACAATGAAAGTGCCTTCCGGGAACTGTCCAGAATGAAATGCGCCAGTGTCACTCTCCGTTCCAGGCGCAATCTTCAGCACGGAAGGGGCAAGTATGCGTGCCGAGAGACAGTCCCGTACCTCAAGTGGGAATCGCCCCCAGCTCTTGCGTGGCCGAGCCTCCAGGCCCCATCCACGGTAGCCCTCCTGGATCAGGATGTTGACCAGTATACCATTTCCACATCCAATGTCTACAAACCCAGGGAATTCGCATCCAACAGGGTACATGTCTCTCCACAATTCAATCAAGAACGCGGCAATGCCAAGGTCCTCGAAAACATGCTTCGTAGGGTCTGTTTCTTCTGCCCAGTTGCCGATGAGTTGCTTCGCATATTTGATTTTGAGACGCGTGTACGTGTCCTGGAAACGTGGCTGCGGAATAATCTGGTCATGATGTACTCGCTTGGTGTAGCCAGATGCCTGTCCCGTAGAATGCTTATGAACGATATTCAGCAGGTTGAGCGCTGTGCGCTCAAGGCGGTGGTCAAGTTGATGAGATGCAAAGAAGTTGTAATATACAAAGAGGTTACCCGCGGCAGTTGACGGATTATACAAGTATCGTATAGCCAATCCACGAACTTTTGGATGATAAAATGGGATGCTGGAAACATCCGATACATGAGGTATCATGACAAAGATGTGATCCTCCTGTGTCGAGTTACCAGAATCGTGTTTTGTTAATTGAACGAATCTCGAGAAAAAATGGCAGGTCTGCAACAGCGCCGCGTCCAGAGACGGATTTCTCGGGATCATCTTGCGCACGATGGTCCTATTGTGATTATATCCGTCCAACATGAAGGCCTGTGGCCTGTACTCCTTTTTTAAGTGCTTGATTGCGTGATCGAAGGTCTCTTGCCCACTAGTATTGTCGAACATGGGAGCTTGCTTGCTGCTGTCGTAGTAAACATCTGCACGAAAGACGCACGATGAGGTTATATTTGGATTTTTAATCAGATTGTCAATCACTGCAAGAAAGTGTCGTGGCAAGAAGATAGCGTCCTTTTTTGAAACCAAAGCCCATAGTTCGCCGCTTCGTCCTAAGAAGGGACTGTCAAGCGCTTTGGCATGTTCCGAGTGCTGTGAGCGACTTGGTGGAGAAGATGGACTTGCGTCCGAGAATGCCTTCAAATCATCCATCGCCTCTTGTACATGGTATAGAACCTCCGATAACTCGCCTGAATAAAGTATTCAAGCACAAAACTCGGCGATCAACGAATTGGTTACGTTTATGTGAGCCCACAGAGAATATCTCAATAGACGACTCTTGAAGCGGACTAGCGCCGCCAAGACTTGAGCACGTGCATTAGCGCAAACACTTTGAAGCGACCAGATCCCGTTAAACATTCCAGAAACAGCAAACAGTATCAAGACCTCTGAATGAGTCACCTCCTTCAACGAAAGTCTATCAACACGTTTCGCCACGCTGCAGGACAGTTCACTTCTTCTCCATTTCGCTTCACAAGCCACAATTTCCAGTTCCCATTCGCGCGGTGCGCCTACGCCACTATGGCGGTCAAACAAGAATGGACGGCCAACTCGGTCCGCAAGCAGTTCATTGATTACTTCGAGCAGCGTGGGCACACGTATGTGCCATCCAGTCCAGTGGTTCCATTGAATGATCCTACCCTGCTGTTCACCAATGCAGGCATGAATCAGTTTAAGTCAATATTCCTCGGAACCGTGGATCCAAACAGCAATTTTGCAAAGCTTAAGCGCGCCGTGAACACGCAAAAGTGTATTCGTGCGGGCGGAAAGCACAATGATCTTGACGATGTCGGGAAGGACTCGTATCACCACACCTATTTTGAAATGTTGGGAAACTGGAGCTTCGGGGACTATTTTAAGAAAGAAGCCATCGCCTGGAGCTGGGAACTTCTCACCAAAGTCTACGGACTGGAGCCGGATCGGTTGTACGTCACGTATTTCGAGGGCGACCCGTCCCTGGGGTTAGAGCCAGATTTCGAAGCGAGAGATCTATGGAAGGCAGTTGGAGTAGCTGAGGATCATATCCTGAAGGGAAATGCCAAGGACAATTTCTGGGAGATGGGTGACCAGGGACCTTGTGGACCATGCTCTGAAGTGCATTATGATCGCATTGGCGGGCGAAATGCCGCGTCACTGGTCAATCAAGACGATCCAGATGTACTTGAAATCTGGAACAACGTCTTCATACAGTACAATCGAGAACCCGACAAGTCCTTGCGATCACTGCCAAACAAGCACGTTGACACAGGAATGGGTTTCGAACGTCTGCTCTCCATTCTCCAAAACAAGCGCTCAAACTATGACACAGATGTCTTCATGCCACTTTTCGCTCGCATTCAGGAACTTACAGGTGCTCGACCCTATTCTGGCAAGTTTGGCAAGGATGACAGCGATGGTATCGACACCGCATATCGAGTTCTTGCTGATCATGTGCGCATGACGGTGATTGCAATCTCTGATGGTGGCTTTCCTGAGAACGTCGGTCGTGGCTATGTTGTTCGCAGAGTTCTAAGGCGAGCGGTCCGTTACGCCCGACGCTACTTTAAGATCGAACCTGGCAAATTCCTTGGCCAGATTGCCGAAACACTTATTGCTCAGATTGGACACATTTTCCCCGCGGTTCAGGAGAAGCAAGACGAGATCATCAGAACTCTCAACGAAGAAGAGCTTGCTTTTGGTAAGACCTTGGATCGTGGCGAGGTCATGTTCGAAAAATTCGCGAAGCAAGCAGAAGCCACAGGCTCTAAACAGCTGTCAGGGGCCAATGTTTGGCTACTGTACGAATCATATGGCTTTCCTGACGACTTGACACAGATAATGGCCGACGAGAGAGGCTTGAAGATCGACCCTGAGGAGGTCAAGGCAGCTCAAGAGAGGGCTCGAGAGGCGAGTAAAGGACAGAAGACCGCTGCGGAAGCAACTATGAAACTTGACGTGCACTCTCTTGGAGATCTTGAGAAAGCAGGCGTTCCAAGAACTGACGACAAGTACAAGTTTGGACGTGAGGACGTGCGCTCTCAAATCAAGGCCATTTATTCAAATAAAAAATTCGCGCAGACTACGGAAGGAATTTCCAAAGATCAGCAAGTTGGCCTCTTGTTGGACAAGACCAGTTTTTATGCTGAGCAAGGTGGTCAAGTCGGTGATAGTGGACGGATTGTCATCGACGGAGAGGCAGAACTTAGTGTGGTTGACACGCAAGTTTTCAATGGCTATGTGCTGCATATCGGCTACATGTCGTACGGGAAGCTTAGCGTTGGCGACACCGTCATATGTGACTATGATGAGCTGCGTCGAGATCGCATAAGGCGAAATCATACCGGCACTCACACTTTAAATCTGAGCTTACGCGAGTTTCTGGGAAATGACGTCCACCAAAAGGGTTCATTGGTGGCAGCCGAGAAGCTCAGGTTCGACTTCTCGCATAATGCCCCAGTTACTGATGCTCAACTTGAGAAGATTGAGAAGTGGATCAGGAACGACATTGCGAAGGCGCTTCCAGTATATGCTAAGGAAGTCCCACTCGCTGAGGCTCGAGAGATTGAAGGTGTCCGAGCAGTTTTTGGAGAAACATATCCTGATCCTGTCCGCGTCGTGGTTTTAGGTGTTGATGTCGATGAGGTTCTAAAGGATAAGAAGAACCCGAAGTGGCGAGATATTAGCATCGAATTTTGCGGTGGTACGCATACGGCGACGACAAAGGATATTGACGACCTTGTGGTAATCGAAGAGAGCGGAATTGCCAAAGGCATTCGGCGCATCATTGCTGTCACTGGTCGCGATGCCCGCGAAGTGAAGGCAATAGCTGATGATATTGATGAACAAATATCTCGCCTCGAAAAGTTAAATCATGGTGAGGAACGCGATGTTCAATTCAAGTCCATTACCGAGACTTTGAACAAGGCAAACATTTCTGCATTGAGCAAGTCAAAGTTCAAGGCTAGACTTGGCCTGGTTGGCAAAGCTATTGTTGATGCTCAAAAGGCTGCGACAAAGGAGGAAAACAAGAAGGTTCTCGATCAAATCACCAGATTTTTTAAAGAGTCGCCAGACAAGCGAACCTATATCGCTAAGCTCGAAGGTCTAAGTCCAGGCTCAAAGGCTATCAGCGAAGCTCTGAAGCATACATCCACTAAGATGAAGGATAAAGCCGTCTATCTATTCGCAAATGATGTAGCAACTGGAAAAATCATGCATGGTGCCAGTGTTGGAGACCTCCTGCAAAAGGAAAAGCTTCTCGCTACAGAGTGGACTGCTGTTGTTTCAAAAGTGATCGGAGGCAAAGCGGGTGGCAAGGTACGTTTCTCCTCAATTTCCAGTGCACATTTCCATTGCTAATTTCGAACGAAGCCTGCAATGTCGGTGGGAAGCGGTGTTCATGCGGACAAGCTTGATGATGGTATTGAGGAAGCCCGCAAGTATCTCGAGGATCTAAAAATATGAAGGAGCATAAGATGCTTCTGTCGCGGGCCTCATATCAAAGCTCTGGAATTTATCCCCGGTATCCCTGGTTTATATCTAGACGAGACTTTCGTTACGCATATTTTCTGGTCAGCTATTTTAGGTTATGACTTGGTATTAGAGCTCTGAGGTATGCAAGTGTCAGTAGACCAAACTTTTGAGCCAATAAATATGAACAATCAAAAGCTCAGAAACCTCCTTTTCATTGTCGAATTGATTCTACATTTTCCCAATCATCCAGTTTGCCTCCAATGTCGCCGACCTTTGGTAGGAAGGGTGAAAAATGGTAAGAGAAAGTACCCGGGGTGAAAAGACGTGATCACGCAATTTTTATGAACAATATACCGATTTTATGGTTTAAAACTCAAACAGTGCTAAGTGTTGGAAGTTCATCTTGTCAGAAAATCAACGGAGCAATTCTTTGGGATCTAGCGAAAGTGATGATGTGAGAGCTTCCACGTCATCAACTTAAGCAGCATGTCGAACTCAAGTTCCAGAGGTCACTGAAGGTTGTAGATCATCCAAAGCTAATTCATCCTTGTATTTCCATTTCATTTGGTTAATTCTCGCGTATGCCACACCTCGGTTATCTGTCTCCTTAAATCTGGATTGGGCAACTGCGATTCCTGAAGAGCGTTTCACGGAATGCATATGTTGAACTGCAAATGCCCAGAAAAAGATATTTTTCATTCAAATGCGACAATGCCGCTTATCCTGATAGTGATAAAGTTTGCAACGAGGACAAACAGTCTTAGTTCTCCCTACGCTGTCGGACAGTCCACCAGCTTTTGTTTTATATGAACAGCTTACCAAGGCAATTTCTGGTTCTGCTCTAGTTCTAGGGCACTTCGGAAAAAAACATCCCCCGACGGCAAAACGGCCTGTCATAATTTCTAGGATGTTGAACTCCTTCATGATAGGATCGAGGTCAATCTGACCAGGTAACAAGGTAGCTCATCGCCCTATCGGATAACCTAGGCCGCACTTGTTCAACTCGTCATCACGTGGAAGCAAGTATTAGTGTGTCCACCAAGTCTCTAGCCAATAACGGCTTTCATCTTGCTAGTTTGAAGACTCCCCGCGTTAGATCTGAATCATTGCTCCCAAGATCTGATGAATCATTAGTGCAGTTCGCTATTCAGAACCCCACGGCAGCACTAATGGATACACGGAACATTTTCAAGAGGAGAAATGGTGAATGCTATTTAAGGAGTTCAGACCCTTTCGATCAGCTATGCAATCTTTGTTTGAATTTCACGTTAAGGTCGAACAACGGACTCTTCGTCTGCTGTAGCGCCTGTTCATCATGTCTTCGAATAAGCGACCTGTTCGGGTTGCAGGAGCTTCGGGAGGATATACGGACAGGCAACGTGCGATACATGACCTGGCTAAGGAGTGCGACGTCGATGTCATTACAGGAGGTGAGAGCACTTTTATTCACAAAGCACAATTGATTCGATCAATTGGCAGCATTCAAGACCACTATTAATGCCATTGGTTGGATAGACTGGATGGCGGAAGGCACCATGGTGATGCATGGCGTGAACAAATCGAAAAAAATCCAAGACCCCACAGTTGCGAGTGGACCATGCTACGATCCTTATTTCTTGGGCACGCTCGATCCCGCTCTCTCCGTGCTGCAGGAAAAGGGCATCAAGCTTGCAGTGAATGCGGGAGCGAGTGATGCCGCTCTTCTTGCCAAGGAGGTGGCCTCGAGGGTCCGAGAACGAGGGCTCAACCTAAAGGTGGCGTATATTGAAGGGGACGAATGCATTGATCAGATCAAAGAGCTTCGCAAAAAAGGTGATCCCTTAAGAAACCTCGACACTGGGAAGTCTATTGATGAGTGGGGATTTGAACCAATCTATGCTCAGTCAGTCATCCACTATGGTTTGGAAATGGCTGCTTTTCTCGACTAACCGCTTTAAATAGATGCTATCTGGGATCTTTTGGAATTGCCGAAGCATTGAGAAGAGGCGCAGACATTGTCATCGCTGGTCGAGTCGCGGACGCTGCTCCAACAGTTGGTGCGGCTATCTGGTGGCATGGCTGGGATCGAAGCAATTTAGATCAGCTTGCTGGCGCTCTCATGGCTGGACATATTATTGAATGCTCTGCTTATGCTACAGGCGGTTATTATGCAGGTTTCAAGGACCTCATGGACGGCTGTGAAAACCTTGGATTTCCAATTGCTGCCATTGAAGCGAACGGAGAGACCGTGTTCACGAAAGGAGCTGGTCCTGGTGGCGAGATGTCTGTAGGCACTGCAACATCTCAACTACTATACGAGATACAAGGCCCATACTACTTCAATTCGGACGTTGTGGCGGATATTGAAGGATTAACGTTGACCCAGATTGGCAAGGACCTTGTTCGGATGACAGGAGTCAAAGGTCTACCCCCGCCTCCGACGACCAAAGTCGGACTCACCAGCGAAACCGGTCGTCTCTGGCAGGCTGAGTTTCATTTCTTCTTCGTTGGACTAGACATCGAAGAAAAGGTAAGAGTCTTGCAATCTCTACTTCCACGGCCACCAGGCAAACGCAGAGTTGTTCTCATCTAAGCAGATATGGCAGTCGCTGATTTGAATTTGCGCAGGCAAAATGGACCGAGAAGCAAATCCGATATGCGATGCGTGACCACATTCACAAATTCACAACTCTCAAGTTCCACATGATAGGGTCCGCGAAAGAAGACGCCGACAGCCAAGATGCGGCGACTGTAGATTTCCGCGTCTTTGCACAGACGCGCGACCCTTCAATCGTCGGGGTAGGCAGCGGCCCTGCTGGGACGGGTCTTGGGACTATGACAACGGGAACCTTCGTCCGCTGGTGCCTGGAGAACTTTCTTCAGTCGTGCCCAGGAGCCACTGTAGAAGTTGACACGCGGCAATCCATGGCTCGGCCAATACTCGAGTACTGGCCTACTCTGATGCCTCAAGATCTGTTCCAAGAGCGTGTCATATTGGAGTGGTCTGGAGAATCAATCGATATACCAGGTCCAACCGAAACAGTGGTATATGGCCCGCAGAAGTCGTATGAACCAACGAATCCAGTTGACCTCTCATCTTTTGGACCCACAGTTCGAAAGCCGCTGGGATACGTCGCTCTCGGCCGGTCTGGTGATAAAGCTTCCGACGCAGACGTAGGCTTCTTTGTCAGAAATGACGATGAGTGGGACTGGCTACGGACGCTTTTGTCTACTGAAACCTTTATCACGCTACTTGGAAAGGAGTACCTGGGAAACCGGATTGACCGATGTGAGCTTCCCGGTGTCAAAGCCGTACACTTTTTGCTCAAAGACCATCTGGATCGTGGGTCCGTGAGTAGCTCCAGTATGGATCCATTCGGAAAGAACCTGTGCGAATTCATCAGAGCAAGACACGTGGATATCCCAGTCAGATTTCTGGAAAGAGGCAGGGTATAAGTGAAGCCGGGTTTCTTTTATTCGCTGCGTCGTCAAAGACGCCTGTTGGGCACGGGAAACTTCCTTGAGCAGGTCCACCCTCATGAGCTTTGTGTAGAGTATCTTGAGTAAGCTATTTCTGAAACATGTGCATATTCAGTAGTCGGGTTCAATGATTGCCTTTTAGCGATGTATGTCAGAAAATCTCTTAATCTATTGAAGTGAGCGAACATACGAGGATTCTACATCCAAAGTCTGTCATCCTCTTAGTTGTTCAGACATGCATTCTGGAAGACCTCATAATTTATAGCCAGCTGACTCTTCCTTTTGACCACCTTGTTTACATCTTGTTACAGGCTAATTTTATATCAAATAGCTGTTATGCTAGACACCACGAAATAGAGCATCCGTTAGTCCTCATCTATCCTTCTTTCGAATCTCGCTTGTGGATATGCGCGTTGAGTTCATTGAACGCCGCAAGTATTTCGTCTTGCTTTGATTCCCAGAGACCGCCTTCTCCACCCATAGGAGGCATTTTTTGTCCCGCCATTGCCGTCCTCGTGATTTCCTTTGATCCGAATGTTAGGGAAGGCATGGTTTCAATGACATGCATGGCGACCCCATTGAGGACCTGACGCAGTTGCTCGGCTGCTTTGGTTCCGCCGTGGCCACCATAGCTTACAATCATTGCGGCCTTCTTGTTCCATTCTTTGAATAGGAAGTCGATCGCATTCTTAAGAACTGCTGGATAGCCCCAGTTGTACTGAGGGAGGATGAAGATGAAGCCCTGATAATTTTGTACCTCCAGACTCCACTGCCTAGTATGCTCGTGTGCATATTCGGTGTAATCTCCTATTTGAGAAGGAATGCCGGGTTCGTCAAAGAACGGAAGCTGTCGCTCTGCCAGATCAATGATATGCAGCTGATCCTTGACAGCTGGTGAGTGTGAAACAACTGTCTGGATGACGAATTCGGCGATTTGAGGACAGACTCTTGGCTTCCTCGCGCTGCAGATTATGACTGCAATTTGTGGTGCTGACTCCATAACTTCTTATTGAGCTGCAGATTTTTCAGAAAACAGGAGATGATTACAATGCCATTCAGAATCCAGGAAACTAATGTGTATTGGAACATCATTTAGCATTTGTCCTTGCGAAAGTTCGGCGCGATCATGAGGCCGAGAATCCGATCGGCAAGAACCCAAGGCCAATGGCCGGTCCGCACAGAAAAAAAGTAGCATTCTGCGACTGAACGTTGAGGATACTAATAAGACCAAAATTACCTGGTCGAAATTCGAGGCTTAGAGGTTTGAGCCCAGCTCTGTCTTGATTTGCCGATGGTGGAAGAAAATCATTGCTTTGGTGTGAATATCGCCTAAATCACTAGTAACAGACGACATAAACCTGGGCTGAAATTTTAAGAGGGGAAAGATTTTGGCTCAAAAGGTCCCGAGCAACGCTCCACGTTGCATAGATAGCCACCATGAGACGCTGCCATAAAGCCTTTTGGATATACAGCTGTTCTTAGATCATTCAAACTTCAATATGTATAGACATAATCAGGTGGCTGACTGCTTTCTTGCAAATCCAACGTGCACTCTAGCATAGTACGAAGATACTTGATGTTGTTGATGCATTAATGCCTTATTGCCTATAAAATGAGGCAACAATCAATGTGTGCACGAGCCACCCCACAGCATATCGAAAATGTTCGACCACCACCAGCACAAAATTTGTTACACCACCCTTCCACCGACAGCACATCCGAACGAACACCATGGCGGTAGGCAAGAACAAGCGCCTTTCCAAGGGAAAGAAGGGCATCAAGAAGAAGACGGATCCGTTCGCCAAGAAGGACTGGTATTCGATCAAGGCCCCTTCAACCTTCGGTATCCGAGAGTACGTCGACGCTTAAATTCACCCGCACAAACACACATATCTGTGTTGTGGCATCAATTGGCATGAGACATGGACAACGGAAACTAATGAACACTCAGTGTCGGAAAGACTCTTGTCAACCGAACCACTGGTCTCAAAAATGCCAACGATGCGCTGAAGGGCAGAATCTTTGAGGTTTCGCTTGCGGATCTGCAGAAGGAAAGTGCTATCTATAGTTTCTCCCTCCTTCTTTTGATCAACGTCACTAATACCGTCTACAGGATGAGGATCATGCTTTCCGCAAGATCAAGCTGCGAGCCGACGAAGTTCAGGGCAAAAACGTCCTGACCAACTTCCACGGTCTTGACTTCACCTCTGACAAGCTGCGCTCGCTTGTTCGCAAGTGGCAAACGCTCATCGAGGCCAACGTTGTCGTCAAGACCACCGATGATTACCTCCTCCGACTATTCTGTATCGCTTTCACCAAACGCCGTCAGAATCAGGTCAAGAAGACTACCTACGCCGCCTCATCACAAATCCGACAGATTCGCAAGAAGATGACGGATATCATGCTGAGGGAGGCTCAGAGCTGCACGCTTAACCAGCTCGTCACCAAACTCATTCCAGAAGTCATTGGCCGTGAAATTGAAAAGTCTACCCAGGGCATTTACCCACTCCAGAACGTAAGTTCTTTCTAAGGACATATACTCCATAGTCAGTAGTAGCTTATGACATCAATAGGTCCACGTCCGCAAAGTCAAGCTGCTAAAGGCACCCAAGTTCGACCTCGGCGCTCTCCTCTCTCTGCACGGAGAATCGAGTGCTGACGACTCAGGCAAGCCAGTGAGCAAGGAGTTCAAGGAGCAGGTTCTTGATAGCGTGTAAGCGATCTTGGTGGCTGGTAAGGGTATGAAAGATCAACGGGGCAATGATGGCATTTTTCCAATGGTTAGCTCCGGGTTATAGGCATATCAGAGGCGTTTCAATACATGCTTTACGTGATATATAACCGGTGAAAGCAATTTTAAGCCGACAAAAGGCTTTGATTTACTCTTGACATTGGATTGTGAGACGATAAAACTATACAGTGGTTCCAAGCGCCTTTGTGATTCACTCCTACTCTTTGTCCTGTAACCATGACACCACAGCTCGCCGGAACTCCTCTGGTTTCTCACTTATAACCCAATGTCCGGCTTCAATATCTTGCAGTTCAAACCTTGGGAAAAAGCGTCCTATAACAGGCAGCGTCTCGTCTGCAACGTAGTGACTCCTAGTCCCCCGGATGAACAAAGTCGGTCCCTCATAGCGAATCTCGTCTGGATTGGTGTAGGGGAAATCCATCATCGCGTCCAGCGATTTGGCGAGGATGTCGATGGGAACCCGCCACACCAATTCTTCTTTGTTCGACGGCGACCGAATAAGATTTGTGAGCAAGAACTGGCGGACCGAAAGTTCCTACGGGGGCGCGTTAACAATTCAGAGCACGATGATATATGCCGGGTGACGGAGGGCAGAAAGTACCTTAGCGTAGGGTTTCAGGATCTCATCGGCCTCGCTCTGCCGCTTCGGACGTGCCTTGGCAACATCCCTCATCCCTTGAAGGTAGAGCGCGAAGTCGCTCTTGAAATTCGCGTCCACGGGAGCATTGTCCACGGGGATGAGATTCTTTACCGAAGAGGGGGACTGGAGGGCGACGCACATGGCCGCTTTCGCGCCCATGGAGTGGCCTATCAGCGTCGGATCCTTTATCTTGTGCTTCGAGAGAAAGTTCGATATGTCAGCCGCGAGGATGCGGTAGTCGTGGACGGGGTGGTGGGGCGAATCGCCGTGGTTGCGAAGATCCAGAGCGTAGACGGGACGGCCAAGTTCCTTTGCGAGCACCCTGTTTGGCCACCGTTAGGCCCTGCGAACCGCCGAGAACATTGGGGGAGGCGATGGGAAGGAGAGGAGTACTTGCTCATGGACCTGTTGTTCTTCTTGGAGCCGAAGAAGCCGTGTATGAAGACGATGGGATTATTCCGGGGGACGTCTTTGGGCGGCTCGTGTAGGTCGTACGCCAGGTCGACGACTTCGCGCGATGCGGCAAAGTGCCGTCTTTGCGGTGCTCTAGCGCATTTCAATTGGCGCAGTAAAGAGGGTAGGCGTGGTGTTGCCATTGCCGCGTTCTTCTTTTGCGTAGTTAAAGCAGCAAGAAAGCGGGAGCTCAAAATCTTGACGGGTAGGTAATCTGCGTAGCCTTGACCAAGCTCGGAATTTTTTTTTTTTGGGTTATTTATGCAATCTAGGTTAAGAGGACATGATTCAAGACGGTGGAAACGCGGAGAGAAAAAAAAAGATGCCAACTATTGTCCCAAGTACCAAAGGAAATCTTCGATTTGCTGTTTACAGTCATCATTGTCCTTCCGGGCTCGCCCATGCGCGCAGTGTCTGTCAAGGGCCAGCCGGCTCGAGCCTCGAGTTGAGCCTGCGCACATTGGCCAATCAGCTTGAGACTTTCAAAGATGCTTCTGAGTGGTGGTCGGGCTTGGTACGCGACTGGTGCTTTCCCCTCACGCATTGCACGTCATCCTCGATCACATCGCAACCAATCGGTCATACTCAGAAATCCAAAATGGATAGGTCGCCTGTTTCCTCTCTCCAACCTCAGCTGTTGTTGCTTGCGTTGTCTACCACACACGCCAGATTGAGATACACAGCATGCAGCGCAATACAAGCCTCGACAACCCGTGGAAGCAGATGTCTGCTGTCGGAGAGAAAGCGTTGTATGCAGACACGAAGGGTACAAGCTTCAGCAATGTGTCTGTGAGGAATACAGTGGGCACTGTCGGCTTGCTCGAATCTACGATCCTTCCGTCGATCAGCATCCAGTGAGTCAAATCGCTCTTGCGAGTATACTTTATAAGAAGCTTATGTGCATGCAGCGGTGGGCTGTCTATCATTGCCTATGGAATCGCCGTCTCGACCGACCGTCTTGAGGTCAAAGACCTCCTTTGGTAAGCCAAATCGCCACCTTCTCCACGTGCAAGTACTGATCCAAGCGGCAGGCCATCAGCTCAGCTTGCCAACGTCCTTTGGGCTGCTGTAGGCTCACGCATGTATCATCAAGGTATGCAGACCTCCATTTCCAGCTCACGAAACTGCTCCTGCTTGTCGATTTGGAACGCTGACCATGGCGGGGCATAGACATATCCTTCCCAAAAGCATGGTCTACTCTGGGCTGGAACGAGAAGGTGCTCGTGACGGGTATGACGCTCTGGGGCGGTCGTCTTTTTTCCCGCATTCTCGCCCGTACTTTGGCCCGCGGCGAAGACGATGCCCGCTACATTGAAGTGAAGAAGGAGAAGGACTTCTGGAGCAAGGCGCTCTTCACGCATTTCGTCCCGGAGGCACTCTTCCAGGCCGTCATCACGCTCCCATTCACGATTTCGTTTCGAGCGCTGCCTAGCGAAACCCTTCATGCCCCTAGCGAGTGGTTTCCTGTCATTCACAGTCTGGCCGTTGGACTGTTTAGCGCTGGCTTTGCGCTTGAGACGCTTGCCGACGCACAGCTGGACAAGCACAAGCAGAGTTCGACGGGCATGAAGACAGACGGTGTGTGGTCTATCGTCCGGCATCCTAAGTGAGCACTCGGCCTCCCGTTCTGTTGGACCAATGATGCAGCTGACATGTCCCTAGCTACCTGGGAGACGCCCTTATCCACGTCTCTTTCCCGATCATGCTTTACGGCAGCGGCTTGTTACACCCTCTCGCGCTCTTTAGCCCCATCGCGAATTACGTGTATCTTCGCTTTGTTGGTGGCGACCGCCCAACTGAGACGAGCCAGCGACGCCGGTACAGCACCTCGGACCCGGTCAAGTTCAAGCAGTTCGAGGCATACAGCGAGGAGAAAAACAGCTTCTGGCCGAGCACGAAAGAATTCCGAAATCCGTGGCTTTGGGTCATCGTTGGCGCTGGCGTAGTGGGAGCTGCTGTGGAGAGAGTGTTGAGGGACTATCTTTGAGGTCACGTGGGGGTTGATGAAGTTGGAAGGCGCACTCTTGGCCCCAGAGATTGAACATGTATATGCTGATTCAGCTGTTCTGAAAACGTCTACATCGGGGTGAATCATGCACGATCGCCGAGCTCACGACGGAGGGTTGGAAGTGAAAAAGAAGCGAAAAGAAAAAGAAAAAAAAAAACAAGGGGGTGGGGGAAGCCACGCAAGGAGTTTTAACGGAACCAACAATACAATGCAAACACGATTCGCAACACACTTGATGTGCCTCTCGTCAAAGTTAGCACGTGATCTGCGTTCTGCCAGAGGCTCTGTATTTTGGCGATGATCGCGTGCGAGCATGGGCAGCACGGTTTGATGGCAGAGTCTGCGGAGAAGAAAAAGAAGGCTTGCTTCTACGTTGACCCCGTCTGCCAGGGGCTCAGTGTCCTGCATTTGACGAGATGTGTGTTCATTTGCTTTAGCGCGTGGGAATCATAGGCCGTCTAGGTTCCACAACATGCTTTTCTTCGTCTGATCAACCGCTAAGACGCAGGCGGCCGACTTGGACTGAGCCAATCAATGTACGTCCAAGGACAGTTCGAAAGGAGGGCCACCCTCAAGCGTGGCATCGTTAGCATGGACGGATGCGGAGGTCATCACTGTAGCAAAGAAGCATGTTTTCTTTTGTCGCGGTTCAAGTGAGCAGGCCGTCGGAAATAAGAACAAGTGCGGGCAATTTCATGCGAAGGGGTAAGCAGGTGTCTGCAGACGGGGCGTCACGGACGGGGGGAACCCACGAGGAAGCATTGACTGGTGTGGTGCGAAGCGGATGAGGACGGCTGTCGGGCAGGATGGGACGATGGACGGACGTGTAGGTGTATATAGAGGTGTATCGATGGAAGGATGGAGGAACATTCCACGGGGGCGAAACATCAGGCAGCGGGCGACAGGCGTTTGCGACGACGGAAGCATGCAGAAACGAGTGTCGAGGTAAGGAACGGTAAGAACGGAGTGTGCGGTCAGTCCAGTCTGGCCGGCCGAGAGTGGACGTGGGCGGGACGGGCGTGCAGGGGGGCCCGACTGGCTTCGACGCTGCAACACCGCCCATTCGACTCGCTTTGGCGCAAATCGGCTCGCGTCTGTCGCAGCTTTCCGCCGTCTGCTTCCACACAGGAGAGGCAAAAGGGAAGAAAATTGAAAAATCAGAAAAAAATTGAAAAAAAAAAGAGAGCGACGTCGAGGATGGAAGGAGCTTGCGGTGACGAGACGGGGCGCATGCGCGCGACAGACGATGTACACCGCACGACTGCAGCGTGCAGGGATGGTGGCGAGGTGTGTGTGAGGGTGTGGGGAGGAGAAGCGCGCGAGAGAGGGACAGAGAGTGATATGCGTGTTTGTGGCAAAGCAGGTGCGCATGTATGTATGTGTACATACCACAGCATCTACGTATATGTGCGTGTGCGTGTGTGTTTTCTCTGTGGAGGGATTTGCTTACGTACTCTGCCATGCCCGCGTGCGTGTAAGCACATGTGCGTGACCGTGGCTCTGCGGTGTCTGTGGGCGCGTGCGCAGTGTAACTCCTGCAGCGTGAACGCGTTCGACAGCCGGCGCCCGGACACACAAAGCATCACAAGGCGTGCTTCTTCTTTCTGCTGCATCCGCGACGGAATGAAACGCGAGCAGAGAAAGCGGAGCAGGTGGCGTGCACGGCTGGCGTCCTGGCCGCCCGGCGGAGGGCGGGGGCAGAAGAAACGGAGAGAGAAGGGACGGACGAAAGAAGGATGCGACGAACAATGCAACGCGAAAAGAAGAACGGAAGAGTGAAGCATGTCGACAGCCAGAACAGAATGCTGCCAGCAACCGACGGACGCGCCTCTTCACCGCGCCCACGCGGCTGCGGCTCGCGGTCCACCTCGCTCCCCCATGCGCGCGCTGTCCGTCGCCCGCCCCCTGCGGACGCTCCCTCATTGGCGCCGTCCCTTTGCCCAGCGCCCCGACCCTTCTTGGACACTCTCCTGCTCCTGGACACGATAACTTTACGTTCCTGTACTGGCTACGCTGCCCTCATCCACCGCCCTTTTTCGCCCTCTCGTCCTGTCCTTCGTCTTCCCTCATTCCACTCTCCTATCCCTCGCCGCTGCAGCTGGAGTCGCTTGTCACGACTTGGCTGCGCTCCGCCTCCTCTGGTATTCATGTTCAACACCGCCGCCCTGTGCCTGTAGCGGATCCCGTTTCCTCGATACCGTGAGAGCCCGTGGGTCGCTTTCCCCCAGGGCTTAGGTTCAACCAAACTTGCAAGAGTCTGGTCGGCGACGACATCACAAGCATCCTCCCTCCCGCTCTCGATCCTTCCCGCCGTCAGGAGAAGCACCCATCCGCCCTCCCTTTTTCTACCTCTGCTCGAACCCCCCTTCGGACGCTTCTGCAGTCGCTCTCGCCCAAGCGAGCATGGCTCACAACATGTACGAGGTCGGCACTCGTGCGTGGCAGCCCGACCCCACGGAGGGATGGATCGCCTCCGAGGTCGAGGAGAAGACCGTCAACGGTGACAAGGTCAAGCTCGTCTTCAGACTGGCCAACGGCGAGGTACGTTCCTAGCTCCCTCCCACCTCCCCCGAGCCGCCTGCTTGAATCCGAGGCCTTGCAGCGTCCAGCTAACGCAACTACTCTCTCCCGCAGGCGAAGACGATCGAGACCACCCTGGACGTCCTCGACGACGACCAGGCCGGCACCCTGCCTCCGCTGATGAATCCTGCCATACTGGAGGCCTCAGACGACCTGACCAACCTCTCGCATCTGAACGAGCCTGCCGGTATGTCCGTCTGGAAAGCTGCGGCGGCACCGCCGCCGCCGCCCAGCCTTGCGGAGCGACGTTCAAGAAACCCTGCTGACGAGTTCCTGTAGTCCTCCAAGCGATCAAGCTCCGCTACGCGCAAAAGGAGATTTACACGTATTCCGGCATCGTGCTTATCGCTACGAATCCGTTCGCCAAGGTCGACTCGCTATACGTCAACGACATGGTGCAAATATACACGGGAAAGCAGAGAAGCTCGCAGGCGCCGCATTTGTTCGCCATCGCGGAGGAGGCCTTCACGTACGTTGGACGTCTTTGTACGCTGAGCTGAAACGTGAGCGTCGATTCTAACGGCAACGTAGACACATGCTTCGAGACAACAGAAATCAGACCATCGTCGTCTCCGGCGAATCCGGTGCCGGCAAGACGGTCAGCGCAAAATACGTCATGCGATACTTTGCAACCCGCGAATCACCCGACTCGCCGAAGCGCTCCAAGGGCAAGGGCGAAGCGATGAGCGAGACGGAGGAGCAGATTCTCGCCACCAATCCCATCATGGAGGCTTTTGGCAACGCAAAGACGACTCGAAACGACAACTCGTCCCGATTCGGAAAGTACATTGAGATTCTGTTCAATCAGCGGACGGAGATTATCGGCGCGAAGATCAGAACGTATCTGCTCGAGCGCTCAAGATTGGTCTTCCAGCCGCTCAAGGAGAGGAACTATCACATCTTCTATCAGCTTGTTGCCGGCACGACCGAGGCCGAGAGGCAGGAACTGGGCCTGCTACCTGTCAGCGACTTCCACTATATGAATCAGGGCAGCTCGCCGACGATCGACGGCGTGGACGACAAGGCCGAGTTCGACGCCACACGCTTGTCGCTCGCCAAGGTCGGCGTGTCTTCAGACAAGCAGACAAAGATTTTCGAGATCCTCGCCGCGCTGCTGCACATGGGAAACATCAAGATCACCGAGATCCGCAATCAGGGCGCAGTCCTCGGCTCCGACGAGCCGGCGCTGGTTCAGGCGTGTAAGCTGCTCGGCATCTCCGCCGCCGAGTTTGCCAAGTGGATCATCAAGAAGCAGATCAGTCTGCGAGGCGAGAAGATCACCTCGTCTCTCAATCAGGCGCAGGCCACCGTCGTCCGAGACTCGGTAGCCAAGTTCATCTACTCGAGCTTGTTCGACTGGCTGGTCGAGGTCATCAACCAAAGCTTGGCACCGGATTCGATCATGGCGCACGCCCACTCTTTCATCGGTGTTTTGGACATCTACGGCTTCGAGCACTTCGCAAAGAACTCGTTCGAGCAGTTCTGCATCAACTACGCCAACGAGAAGCTGCAGCAGGAGTTCAACCAGCACGTCTTTAAGCTCGAGCAGGAGGAGTACCAGCGCGAGGAGATCAACTGGAAGTTCATCGAGTTCTCCGACAACCAGCCTTGCATAGACCTCATCGAGGGGAAGCTCGGAGTGCTTTCGCTGCTCGACGAAGAATCGAGATTGCCCATGGGCTCGGACGAGCAATTTGTCACGAAGCTGCATCACAATTTCGCCGGCGACAAGGAAAAGTTCTACAAGAAGCCCCGATTTGGCAAGTCCGCCTTCACAATCTGCCACTATGCCATCGACGTGACGTACGAGTCCGACGGCTTCATCGAGAAGAACAGAGACACCGTGCCCGACGAGCACATGGAGGTCCTCAAGGCTTCGTCGAACGCCTTCCTCAAGGAGGTTCTTGAGGTGTCTGCTGCAGCAAGAGAAAAGGACGGCGCCGGTGCCGCGCCGAAATCTGGAGCCATCGCTACGTCCGGTCGGCGCGTCGGGGCCGTCAACCGAAAACCAACGCTGGGCGGCATCTTCAAATCCTCTCTGATCGAGCTCATGAACACCATCAACGCCACAGACGTTCACTACATCCGCTGTATCAAACCAAACGAGGCCAAGCAGGCTTGGAAGTTTGAAGGCCCAATGGTTCTCAGCCAGCTGCGAGCTTGCGGTGTGCTCGAGACGGTCAGAATATCTTGCGCCGGCTACCCGACGAGATGGACGTACGAGGATTTCTGTTGGCGATACTACATGCTGGTGCCGTCGCAACAGTGGACTCCCGAAGTTCGCATCATGGCTGACCGCATCCTGACCAAAGTGCTCGGTGCGGTGAAAGACGACCGCACCGACAAGTATCAGCTTGGCCTGACGAAGATCTTCTTCCGTGCCGGTATGCTTGCCCAGCTCGAGAACATGCGAAATGCCCGTCTCAACGAAGCGGCGATCATGATTCAGAAGAATTTGCGATGCATGTACTACCGACGTCGATATCTGGAGGCTCGTGAAGCCATCGTCGAATTCCAAACCGTGTCCCGGGGCTTCGTCGCGCGGATACGCGCCGAAAGCATCAGACGCACCAAGGCTGCCACCACGATCCAGTCTACCTGGCGTGGCTCGAAGCAGCGGAAGCAATACAACGCCACTCGCGGCAGCGTCGTCGCCTTTCAAGCCATCGCAAAGGCCTTCTTGTGCAGGAAGAACATCTTGGAAACCCGGGCGGGCAATGCCGCGGTCGTCATCCAGCGCAACTGGCGGTCGAGGAGAGAACTCAAGGCCTGGAGGAACTACCGGAAGAAGGTCATCATCATTCAGAGTTTGTGGCGCGGAAAGAAGGCGAGAAGGGGCTACAAGACGATGCGCGAGGAGGCTCGCGATCTGAAGCAGATCTCGTACAAGCTCGAAAACAAAGTCGTCGAGCTTACGCAGACGCTCGGCAGCGAGCGCAAGAAGAACAAGGAGATCGCTTCCGCGCTCGAGAATGCCGAGGCCCAGATCAAGTCGTGGAGGTCGAGACACAACGCGCTGGAGGCGAGAAATAAGGAGCTACAGGCCGAGGCGAACCAGTCCGGCATCAACGCCGCGAAGCTCTTGGCTCTGGAGGACGACTACAGGCGCCTGCAAATGAACTACGATGAGAGCACGGTGACGATGCGGCGCCTTCAAGAAGAGGAGAAGGCTCTTCGGCAGAAGCTCAAGGAGACAACGGAGGAACTCAAGGCCACGAAGCAACGCAGCAGCCACCAGGAAAGCGAGAAGATGTCGCTTCGCCAACAACTGGCAGAGCTGTCCGACCAACTCGAGCGCATCAAGCTCCAAGGTCCGATCAATGGCGTCGATACGAACGGCGTCGGCCACACACCCGTCGCCGGCCTTATCAACCTGGTGTCCGCCAAGCGACCAAAGAGGCGAAGCGCGGGCGCGGAAGCGATAAACACCGATCGCTTCAGCACCGCATACAACCCGCGACCCGTCTCGATGGCTGTCCCGGCTGGTGCAACCTCCCGCGACGCTTTCAGCCCGGGTCTTGACAACGTGGAGATGGAGCTCGAGGATCTGCTCAGCGATGAGGAGGGCCTAAACGACGAGGTCACCATGGGCCTTATCCGGAATCTCAAGATTCCCAACCCGACTTCGCAGCCACCGCCGAGCGACAAGGAGGTGCTCTTCCCGGCGTACCTTATCAACCTCGTCACTTCAGAGATGTGGAACAATGGTTTCGTCAAGGAGTCGGAACGCTTCCTGGCCAACGTCATGCAATCGATACAGCAGGAGGTCATGCAGCACGATGGCGATGAGGCCATCAATCCAGGTGCTTTCTGGCTGTCGAACGTGCACGAGATGCTTTCGTTCGTCTTCCTCGCCGAGGACTGGTACGAGCAGCAGAAAACCGACAACTACGAATACGATCGCCTGCTCGAGATCGTCAAACACGACCTCGAGAGCTTGGAGTTCAACATTTATCACACCTGGATGAAGGTGCTCAAGAAGAAGATGTACAAGATGATCATCCCGGCCATCATCGAATCTCAGTCCTTGCCGGGTTTCGTCACCAACGAGAGCAATCGCTTCCTCGGCAAGCTGCTACCCGGTAGCAACACCCCTGCATACAGCATGGACAATCTGCTCAGCTTGTTAAACAACGTGTACAAGGCGATGAAGGCCTACTACCTCGAGGACTCGATCATCACCCAGACCGTGACTGAACTGCTCCGTCTCGTCGGCGTCACGGCCTTTAACGATCTGCTCATGCGCCGCAACTTCCTCTCCTGGAAGCGCGGTCTGCAGATCAACTACAACATCACGCGCATCGAGGAGTGGTGCAAGTCACACGACATGCCCGAGGGAACTCTTCAACTTGAGCATCTCATGCAGGCAACCAAATTGCTGCAGCTCAAGAAGGCAACTCTCAACGACATTGAGATCATCCAGGACATTTGCTGGATGTTGTCTCCCAATCAGATTCAGAAGCTGCTCAACCAGTACTTGGTTGCCGATTACGAACAGCCCATCAATGGCGAGATCATGAAGGCCGTTGCAAGTCGAGTAACGGAGAAGAGCGACGTGCTGTTGTTGACGGCGGTCGACATGGAGGACAGTGGACCGTACGAGATCGCCGAGCCGCGCGTCATCACGGCTCTGGAAACGTACACGCCTTCCTGTAAGTCGTCTCCGCAAAGCGCCTTTTTCTTTTTTTTTTTTTCACCAAAGGGATGTAGGACTAATGAGCATGAACAGGGCTGCAAACACCGAGACTGAAGCGTCTCGCCGAGATTGTCAGCGCACAAGCGATCGCGCAGCAGAAAGAAGCCGAGTACGGGTCACCAAATCCGAATGGCAACGGCATACACGAGGGCGGACAAGTTCAGGGACTTGCCATCAGCGAGGTCGACGGTCTATAAATTCCGAATGACATCTGAGCTCAAAGCATGACTTGGATGCATTTGTTTGTACACTTGTCCTCCTTCTTGCTGTTCGTCAGCAGGCGGCGGACAAAATCAAACCCTTGGATCTCCTGTAAAACTTCTTCTTCTTCTTCTTCTTCTTCATCATCATCATCATTCTTCTTCTACTTTGTAGCGGTGGATGCAAGCGCATAGACCATTTCTGCACTTTTCGCAAGTTGATTTGTTGCTTGGTGATTAGGAGGGGGGTGGCAGGACGGCTAAGGAGTCTGGACTTCCGTACATTCTTAATCTTGACGTTGTAGGTAGAGAGAGCAAGGCTTTGTATCATGGTAGTGTGAGGTGGAAGGAGACGAAAGTGTGGCAGGCCCATGTAATTTTCCATGTGGACGGAGCTATCAATAATGCAGCGATATGTGGGCACATGTGGTGGGGCAAAAAAAAAGGAGGTAAATTCAAACACGATGTATGCTGCTCTCTACTTGCTTTGACAAATTCGCAAATGCATAGCGCTTTTCCGGGGGTTTTTTGTAGATGCTAGACTACTACCGCTGCTGCTACTTCTAGTGGTGCGAAATGTAAATGTTGATGAGGAGAAATACATGTCCTGTTATTTGTAATTGTCGCTTCTTCTTTGAATATGCTTCATCCCAAGTTCGCTATAAGCGACAGCTTGTTATTAGACTTGTCTTCTCAAAACCTTAGGTGCGGCCTCTTGAATATGTGCACTGCGCTCTTTCTAAGCGGAGGCAAGCGGAAGATTGCCTAATCGGGACGGGAGCGATTTCTTTTCAACAACGCGCCATGATAGATCGCGCCGACGACTGACAAAATCATTCAAAAGTGCAACGCCATTTTGAAATCGCCTGAACAATGCGAGTGGTCGCTCCTCGAGCATTCCTGCTTCAGTCGCATGCTCCCAGAGGACTGCCTTTCCAATTGGTTCGAAGGAACAACCCAATACGCAATTGTAGAACCTTCGCATCCGTGGCGAATGATTCCAGGTGAGCGATGACTCTTTCATGGGGCTCTATATTTCCGGAGCATACGCCTGACACCAAAAGCAGCTCATCTTACGATGTCGTCGTAATAGGCGGCGGGCATGCGGGTTGCGAAGCCAGCGCAGCAGCAGCCCGCTCAGGAGCCCGAACCGCGCTCGTCACGCCCAAGCTCGACAATCTCGGGGTCTGCTCGTGTAACCCGAGCTTTGGCGGTATAGGAAAGGGTACGATGCTACGAGAGATCGATGCTCTGGACGGTGTGGTGGGCAGAATCGTGGACAAGGCTGGCGTGCAATTTCGTGTGCTTAACCGCAGGAAGGGTCCTGCAGTCTGGGGACCGAGGGCACAGATAGACCGCTCGCTCTACAAACAGTACATGAAAGAGGAGATGACAAACTACAAGAACCTGACCATCGTGGAAGGGAGCGTGGCTGACATCATCGTCGAGAACGACGGCTCGCTTGAGCCTGGAGTACACGGCAGGATCACTGGCGTACGCTTGGAAGGAGGGCACGTTATACCTACGAAAAATGCCGTCATTACCACAGGCACGTTTCTGGGCGGCGAGATTCACATAGGTCTTGAGGCATACCCCTCGGGACGAATGGGTGAGGCGGCGACGTTGGGTTTGAGCAAGTCCCTCCGAGAAGCCGGGTTCAAGCTTGGTAGGCTCAAGACGGGTACGCCACCACGGCTGGACAAGAAGACGATCGATTTCAGCGCGTTGCAGCCGCAGGAGGGCGACAAGCCTCCCATGCCCTTCAGCTTTCTCAATGAGCGCGTTCAAGTGGAGAACCAACTTCTGTGCCATGCTACCTACACCAACCAGGCTACCCACGACATAATCCGAGCCAATCTAGGAAACAGCATTCACATCCGCGAGACTGTCAAAGGCCCCCGATACTGTCCCTCCCTGGAATCCAAGATCATAAAGTTCCCTTCCAAGCCGTCTCACATCATCTGGCTAGAGCCTGAAGGGTTCGACAGCGAGGTCATATATCCAAACGGCATATCCATGACTGTCCCAGTTGAGGCACAGGAAGCGATGCTTAAAACGATCGTCGGCCTAGAAAACGTTAAAATGCTGCAGCCTGGCTATGGAGTCGAGTACGACTACGTCGACCCTCGCAGTTTGCGTGCCACGCTGGAAACAAAGACCATCAAGGGCCTATTCCTGGCTGGCCAGATCAACGGCACAACAGGTTACGAGGAGGCGGCGGCACAGGGAGTTGTCGCCGGGATCAACGCTGGTCTTTCGGCTCAGGGAAAAGATCCCTTCGTACTCTCACGTGCAGATGCATACATTGGAATACTCATCGACGATCTAATCACCAAGGGCGTCAGTGAGCCGTATCGGATGTTCACCTCCCGCAGCGAGTACAGAATGTATCAGCGAGCGGACAATGCAGACCTGCGTCTCACCGCCAAGGGTTATGCTGCTGGCGTTGTCAGCGAGAAGCGCTGGGCGGCCTTTTCCGAACAGAGTGAACAAATCTCGTCGCTCACTTCGCTGCTTGAGAATACCGAAATGGGTTCGCAGCGCTGGCAAGACGCCGGCTTTAACGTCCGTACGGATAGCACTCGCAAAACAGCCTTTACGCTCCTGCGTGCCACGGGCGTCAACCTCGACACAATGTCCACCCTTCTTCCCGATATAAACAAGTACCCCCCCTCTATTCGACGGCGCGTCGAAATCGAGGGTGCGTACGCACCCTACGTTGAGATGCAGCGGGCCACTGCGGAAGCACTGCGCAGAGACGAGGACTTGAAATTACCGCTCGACATGGACTACGACAGTATATTTGGCCTAAGCATCGAAGAGCGGAACATACTCAAAATCACTAGGCCAGAGAGCGTGGGCCAAGCAAGAAGAGTGGAGGGTGTGACGCCGAACGGTGCGCTCCTACTAGCTATTGCGTTAAAGAGGCGACGCAAGGGCGACTATGTTCCTGTTGGTAATGTACCTGGGGAGCCTCAGAATGCAGTTGACATGGCTAGAGCTGAGGGCTGAGCTCTAAGACTTGGGACTTCTGCTTACCCGGATAGACCAGGAAGTGAGGTAAATATCCATGAGGCTGGCAACATCGTGAGACAAACCTCCCCTTCAACGAGTTACGGGCGAATTGACATCACAGGCTGGGTGCTTTTTTTTTCTCTCTCTTTAAAGCTAAGGAATGTAGCGAGCATTGGCAGCCCGCCTTGATTGATCGTCCGTCACGAGGCTCATCTCACTCACATACCTCGACTACCTGTTCACAACCGTGCTCTATGGCAAGTCCAGGGTATCACAATCGATACCATCGGAGGTCAAAGTCCAATACTGTCTAGTGCGTAGTCGCGAGGTCGATCCACCTTGGCTGCGGGAGAACGGTTGCCGATGACGATTGAGCGGTTCTGCGGATGACCGCCCCATCGCCTCCAGGCTCACCGTGATGAATCGATTTTGGTTAAGATCTGTGTCATAAGAACGGAACCTGTCGTAGACGACTAGTTTGTACTAATTAACGAGCCTTGCCAATGTAAATAAAAATACAACATAGAACATTCTGCATCTCTGCGTTCATCGATGAAAGATTGCTACAAGACAGCAGCTCGAAGCTTGTCGATAGTCTTGATGATTCACTAGCGACGCCAGCGTCGGTTCATTCAGCACGCAATTGTGCTACGCTTTCGTACTGTATAACACGATTGTGCAGCCGAGGCCGTCGTTCCCATTTACCACATCTACTGCCCTTGTTTCTCTGTCCAGCCGCTTTTAGCAACTGTTACCACCCACGCAGCGCAGGCAAGATCTCTGTGCGCGTCTCCCCGTACGCATCCACATCCGAACGTCCGTCTTTGGGTGGAAGCCGAGACCCGAGAGGATCGCGAGGGGACGGTGAACCGAGCAGCACGGGGTCGTCTTCTTGGAACCTCGAGACATCATCCGGGCGTGCTTTGGGCTCGGAGCTGTTTCCACGGTAGCGCGGTTGCACGTACGTGCATGCCTGGAGCCGGTTGCAGCATAGCTCGTCTTAGCAGAGGTCGACTTGCCATGCGTGCTTGACCCAATTCACTACAAGAATGCCAAGCTCTTAACTCTGCTACCGTGACGGGCTGAAGAGATGTCGAAATGCAGACGCCTGGCGCGCTGGATCCAGAGTAGCCGAGCAGTAGGACTTCCTGCCATTCTACATGGCCACGAAGGGAGAAAAGAAAGGTGGGCGGCCAGCTTTAGAGATCAAAGACTCGAGGAAAGGCCAATTCTCGAGCCCAATCGCCACGAACTAATAGTTGGTCAGTCGAGAAGGCCGCGTGACGCTGCAATGCTCTACGGTGAACAGGGCTGGCAAAATTCCTTTTCCCAAATGCTCGGCGACTCGATGGAGATGGAGCCGAGAATATATTCCACACGGCGAGTCACAAAACCAATAGAGGGCTAAGTGATCATTCGTTTCGCCGGGCCGTTGGATGGACGAGAGGTAGCGGACGTCAATCGTAGCACAACGGCCTTGCATATCGAACTCATGGAGTTCGCCCGACCTGGCCATCGGGCTTCCCAGTGCGAAGGGGTGCAACCGAATGCTCTGTTTTTACGGTCATGCGTGCTCACGAGTCTAGTGTCCGCAGCATGGGCCCCGAGCAACGGCGCAGGTGGCCGACACCTTCCGCGTACGCGCAACGACGGCGGGAAACGATCTGCTCTCTTTCTTTCTCTCTCTCTCTCTCGCAAAGCAAACCCTTTGCCGAGACTTACAGCTGTACCGTTCCTCGTCAACGCACCACGTCTGGTCTTTGTGGCGCCTTGCTTCTGCAAGCGAGGAGTCCTACAGTCTCCCCCCGGGGGGAACGGCTTAGGACGTGCTCGTCGTAGCGATCCACGATGGCGTGTGAGGACGTAACGATGGGGGCTGGTGGAATAGACTTTGTACGAGCGATAGGCCCAGGTCCCACCCACCTCGTTGTACAGAGAAGATCGGGTAACGCGCGGAGGCGTCCGCCGAGGGCTCGGATGCGAACCGTCGGCGGTGCTTGATAGTCCATGTCGTTTGCCCATTGTGGGTGTTTGCCTTTGTCTACACTTTTCTTGCACTGCACGATGTTCGGTCCGTGCAAAATGTACGAGATGCAAAAGCTAGTTTCACGCAAACTCTGGACGGGGCATGGTGACACGAACCAGATCTTTATATTCCCAGTCTTGCACCCGTGCAGAGAGGTGCAAAGTTCCATGGTTGAGGCAGGCCACTGAACATCTCAATTTGCTGCTCGGGTGTCGCTTGTACAACGTTCATCATGGTCCACTCGAGGCTCATACTCACAACCACCTTTGCTTGTGCTGCTTCGCAACAGGCTCCTTCAATCAGGATCCAAGACAAGACTGGATTCTTCTCGTCTTATGCCAGCAGCTTTCCAGGCTCCTCTTCCGACCCATTAACGCCCTGCGTATCGAAGCCAGAGAACGTGACGTGATGTTATTTTCCTTGCGGGAAGAATAGGTTGGGCTCAATGTTTACATTCTGGTGGTTCGTTGACGAAGCCAGGGTTACCCTCGTCTGAACAGATGGAGGCTGCACATTGAGTCCATTATAGCAGCTGCAGCATGGTTGTCCAGACCAACACGATCCAGAAAGTCCAGCGATCCTCGTCGGGCCTTTGACCCTTACAATCAACGGAGGTGGCTCCATCCGCTGGGAGGAATGCAGATGATGCACTTACTGCATGAAGGCGTCAGGCCACGCGGGATGATGCTGTTGCTTGCTGCTTTCAAATTTCACAGCTTCATACTTGCTTTCATGTGGCTGGCTGACGAACGGCAGGATATAGCGTTCTGCGCTGAGATTCTGAGGGAAAAAAAAAATTGAAAAGGAAAAAACGATGAGAGAAACTTAGAGTCGGGAATAACGATGCTCCTCGAACTGCGAACACGTCCGCACGGAAGGGAGATTGAGACAACGTTCAGCACGTGGCTCGCCCGTTGTTGACAGCTGAACGTTGCAATACTCAAGAGGAAAGCTGCTGCTGGTGACACATTTCTCATCCAAAACGATTTACGAACGGCAACGCGTCTGAGCCACGTTCTCCACCAAGGAACCGCAGAAGCTCCTAATTAGAAAAAAAATGGGTCGATGGCGTAGAGCTCGGTTTCAAATGCCTACGGCAGAACTGCTTCCCACATTATGTCCATGTGCAGTAGGCAAGTCAATAGTTGAATCAACGGTTCGTCGGCTATCTTCGCATTCTTCAGATGGTTCGAGCCTACCCACCTGGCGCATTATCGAACAAGGGAGGGGAGAAAAAATCAGTTGAGAGATATGTTGCCGGCATAATCCCAGCGATGATGCCTTCTAATCTCCAAGCCAACAGAAAACAACCGTGATCGAGGATCTCTGGATCTCCGCAAGGAACCCTCTCATGTTGGGACAAACGCTTTGATGGGCTAATTGAAGACCTGCACAACACAATCAACAGTAAATAATAACAAAAGAAAGGTAAACAAAGAAACTCGCACGACACGTCTCCCGGAAGGAGCATACGAAAGAGATGGCCAGAGTGAGTTCAAGTCGCAAAGACTTTCGCCGAACCAAGGGACTGCGAAAGGGACTGGGCTGCTGTTCTTAGTGTCAGGGGAAAAGCAGTCGAGCAGGATCAGCAAAGCATACGATAAGGCAGGCTGCGTTAGCGATCCTCGAAGCGAACAGTACCAGCCTGGTGTTCGCAGTTTTCTTTCGACACCATCGTGAACAAAGATCTCGCCACCTGCCGGCGTTGGTCGGTACAAAGGTCAGCACATGTCTCGAAGTTGCTTAGCACATGTGCCACATGTGCATCATCTCTGCTTGCATGTGGGAGGCTGCTGGACTTGCCCGGTTGAGAGAAAGCGCGGGACGTCTTGTCTGCCTTTTGCAGCACCTCGAAGTCGAGACTTTGGTCGTTATCGCCCTCGTTCCAGGGCTCAATTGCTATCCTCGCCACCTCTGTACTGGACTGCACTGTCATGCTGTAGTAGACTGCCACTTGTGGCGACCAAAAAAAAACCCCTCTCCGATGTCCCGAGCACGTAAAAACGAGCAAGATTTTTTGTTTGCTAGATTGGATCAGTCCTTGAGTCAGGACGCAAGGAACGCAACAACGCGGGAACTCAACCTGCATCCGCAGAGGGCTAACATGTGTTTGCGTACTGGCTGAACGCCCGTCCGATTCTGTGCCCCGCACAATACTTAGTTTAGCTCTTAAAAAATGGCGACTACTTTTGCAAGTCCACATTGCTTGCCGCGATTGGAGAATGACAGCGCTCGATGGCTGTGGGCTGGGCTTAGTTCCCGCGCAACCCATGATCAATTGATCATCGGGAAGCAGAAAAGCACGCAGTGCTAGTTGCTCACCCGTCCACTAGTGAGAGATCAAAATGCAACTGTGTGAATTTTGCGGAGAATGGAGCATGCGGGCCAAGCCCAAGCTGAAGACAGGACGTGTGGAGGCTTCGAGCCGATGCGATTGAGGCTTCGCGGGGCAGAGAGTCGCGTTGGGATGGAGGCACTCTTTCAACGCTTGCGAAAAGAAAAACAAAATGTGCAATGTCCCAGCCTCGAGCCGACACGCCCGAAACAGGCAGAGCAAAGGACAAAAGATCTAGGGGTCAGAGCATGTCAGCGTCCGAAGCTCCCTGTGGTGGTGGCCGGGTGCATTAGCCGGCAGGACAGCGTTCGCATGCCACAGTCTTCCAGGCCTGCCCACAGCGAACATCGGACCAATGACGTCCCAAGATCGCGCTCATGTAGAAACTAGTGTTCGTGGAACCAGCGTGCGTGAGCCGAGTTGTGAACGTCCGCTATCCCTCACGGTCGTTTGGCCAACCGCTTTCACGCACGCCAACGATGGTCCCGAAAAGAAGCGGACGAGCAACTGCCATGAGGGACTTCAGAAGCCGCGCCTGCGCCCGCTTCTCGCCACGGCAGGTTGCAGAAACGCCCGCGAGCGCAAAGAGCTCTTTCTTTCCTCCGTCTGCTTCTTTTCTTTTCTTCCCTCGCGCGCATCCGCCGGCAATCTCCCCGTTGGAGGTGTGATCCGGCCTGGAATGCTCGACATCTATTCAACGGCTGCGCCGTTGAGCAAGCCACCGCAGAAACAGAGCGCACCTGCGAATAAGACAAAGCGCACGCTGCATGGGGCTAGCTCGATGCATAGGTAAGGGATTTTGACAAGCACCGCGGATTGCGTTATGCGGGCCATCAGCCCTTGCTCTTCGACTAGCCCTGAGCAGCTAGGAGCGGGAGGATGACGGCCTTTTGATCCCATTGGCCGGCGTCGCACAACGCTGCCAAAACGCGGCCAGATGTTCTCGGCGATATTCCGGTTCATGTTTGGTGGGCAGCCACGTTCAGCCTTACGCAATTAATCTTCCACGGCAGATGCGCCTGTGACCTGCGGCAGCAGCAGAAGGCCCGACTCAAGACGTCCAGTCGTCGAGGAACTTCGCATCCCAAGCCACGACGCGGCACTGAGGCAGGAATGGTCGCGGTAGCGGGCGCCTTGCTCACGCGTTGCAGCATTCTGCGCGGTCATGGGAGAGATCAACAGGTTCTACGCTATTTCGTAAGAAGAACAGCAGGAAGAAGAGGAGGAGCACAAAGAAAGGAAGGAAAGGTTTTGACGTTGGAATAGCCACAGCTTATGCGCAGCGTTGCGGCTATGACGATGGCGCAGCTGGCCCCTCAGGCTCCTTATCCTCTTTGACAGCGAAATGCGCTGCCAGCGCAAGAAAGGTGGCGAAGCTGATACCGATAATCGCCCTCCCTCTTGAACCCTGCCTCTTCTTAAGTGATTCATCTTCGCCTAAGATGACAACGGCATCTTGGGTCCACAGGTAACTAGCCCCACTCCACACCGTCGTCCCCGCCACAACATACTGGAACCCCTGTAGGACGGTCTGGACATGTTCGACTGGTAACATTCCGGACGAGACCACAAGAGGAGAGAGGATAGTGCAACCGATCAAGCCCAGCTGCAAAAAGGTGTTCCACTTCGACACCTGCGTGGGATGCACCTCAGCCGACGGAAGTGAAAAGTCCCAGTAGCGCATGAACGTCTTTGGGGCTGGCAGAGAAGCGTAACGGTAATATATCGCAGCAATTCCCAAAGACATGTCTCTTCCAAAGATGAGCGTAGCTAGCCAGACTAAGCACCATGTCAGCAGAGCGACCACCCCGTGCCGGTTTTCTTTATTAATAAACAAATAAGAAAGAAGGAAAATTTAAGAATAAAAATAAAAACTCACGCGGCAACGCCCCCTTTATTGCTAAACATGCAACCAAGACGGCCATCAAGGCCTTGTCGGCCATGGGATCGATTACGCTCCCAACAACGGTCTGCAGCTTGTATTTTCTCGCCATCCACCCGTCGACCAGATCCGAAATGCCCGCGTAGGCAAACAAACCTGCGGCCCAGACATAGTCTTCGCGCAGGACGAGATAGCCAATGACCGGAGTCGCGAGCAGCCTCGAAAACGTAAGGATGTTGGGCAGAGTGTAGATATTCTCGTGTGGCGTAAGCACAGATATCCTCTCCCGCACCTGCTGGCTCAAAACTTTTGTGCCGTCAACGAGTCCTGACTTCGAGGACTTCCCCTATCATCTGGGTTAACGCCGAATCCGAATTTATAAACAGCTTTTTTTGGTAGAAGCTCTCGAAAACGGGAACTGCTACTAGAGCAGGGTTTCCGTGTGAAGATATTTCGCCAAAAAAAGAAAAAACCCCATCAAAAGTCATCATAAAAAATCAAAGAAAAGAGCGAACCACACCCTCCCAAGGCTCGGGTTCAGGCAGGTTCAGGCATGGCAGTCGTTATCTCGAGCTTCCCCCAAAAAAATAAATTAATTTAAAAAAACGTGTTCCAGATGTCTGAGCCGCGAGGTGATAAAACCGGGAAGTGAGAGAGCGCTTCGATCTTTACCTTGTCAACCGTGGCGTCGCCACTTTTGCTGGCGCCGTGTCGCGCAGGTACGGGATCCTCCTTGGCCCGTCGGGCGGTAACCCCCGTCGAGAAGAAGAAGACGCGGCATGGCTCGCATCTCGAAAGGCGTGTCAATCTCCTGTCGAAGCAGACGGTGGTGGCGAAAAGAAGGGAGGGTTAGGGAAGGGGGGGGGGGGGGGGGGGGGGGGCGAAAGGATGGAACTCACGCTGCTCGTCTTGCGAGACTCCTGCGAGACGTGCCCGACGAGGGCGCGAGTACGAAAAGAAGACGTCGCGTTCCCAATTGCCGCTCGAGGAGACGCGTAGTCCCGTTGATGGCAGAAATGCAAATGCCGTTGGACTGGCGAAGTGCCGGCGGTATTCGCTGATGTAATAGTTTTGAGGTTGTGAGTTGCGCCATAAGAGTTGATGATGCAAGGTCACAAAAAGTTCATCCCCGTTTCGTAAAACGGACACGTCCATGGGTTGCAGTCACGTGCGATCATACGGAGACACTTGGATCTTGTTCTCAGCATCGCTCCAAATGAGATTTTGATCAAGACTATCTGTACAAAACGTATATTTTTGTAAATTTTGGACAATATTACCGTTCCGCCGTAACTATGTAGCGTGAATATTCATGTTCGCATAAATGCATAGGGGTATAGCATGATATTTACAGGACTAAAGAAAAAGGATCACGATCTCGCGTCGGTATCTCCCCTCTTTATTTCTGTTCTTTCGCGATCGGAGTAGCGGAATCAAAAAAAAAATATGAACACAGAAAAAAAAATGGGGCGGTTATTGTCCCTCGTCTTTCATGCGACAAAGCCACCTCCAGCGGCGCTTGTCAGTGGGGGGGAATATACGTGAATTGGTTGTCCGTAACCCATGACGGCTGAGGTTATCGAGTGGTTGAACTGCATGATGGGTACTGTTTGTCGCCTCTTTGGCTGTGGCATCGAAAGCGGCTCTTGATATGTCGGCTGAATGGTGGACCAGTTTCCCGAGCCTTCTACTACCGACTCGTAACCGGTGGGCGACCCGTGCACGGCAAACATGTCCGGGGTAGTGCCTAATGAATGGGCATGCGTCAGCGCGGCGACCGAGGAGGTGTCGCTGGCGGTGGTTGTGAACCCTTGTATCTCCGGCATGTCCGGCATGTCCGGCATCTCGGTCTTGAAATGCGGCGGACCGCCAATGACGGAGTCTACGCGATCGTCGCGTGACGGGCCTTGGGAGAGACCATCAACCATGCTTGAACCCAAGTACTGAGAGCTGGGTTGCGAATAAGAGTACTGAGGCTGAAAGTAGTCTACCGGCGTGCAGCTGGCTGAGAGAGAAGCGTGAGGCGATTGAGAGATGCCAGGGTTGCTTAGCTGCGAAAATGGCGTGTCGTGTGCCGTGGTGATGGCATGTCCGTCGGTATAGAGTCGTAACGACGGCGGTTGGCTATACAAGGCCGTGCCTTGTATGGGCAGGACCGGAGGCGCCTGGAAAGGGTCGATCATGTCCTCCTCGGGATCTACTGCGCTAACTTTGAAGCTGTTCTTCATCAAGTCTTCGCGTGGTTGAAGACCCATCATGATCGGATCGAAATTTGGACGGGTGTATTTTCCAGCCTTCACGTCTTCAAGGTTGTAGTAAGAAACAATGTGGTGGTTCACGTTTTTGTACTTGACGTTCAACGTCTTTTTGATGAGGCCGTTGGGCTTGAAGCCATACGAATCCACCAGGGAACCGACCAGTTTTCGATCTTCCTCTGTTTTGTCGTTAGCATACGCGTCAGGACCATGCGGCAAGAGAACAAAGCGCATACCGGAATGGGCGCCGCCCAAGTTGAGCAGATTGTCGCCGTCTTCGCTGCCGCGCTTCCGTTTCTTGGCCTTCTTCTTCTCGCCTGCAGGAAAGGGTTCGCTGAGCTCTCGGTAGACCAGGAAATTACCCATGATCCGAGATGGACTCCAGGTCACGCCATCAGTCCATCTCTTGATGCCAGATGCGTTCTCCTCGTAGATGAAGACGTTACCGCTCACAATGATGGACGGCCGTTCTCGGTCATGTGGCCGGCGTGGAATGTGCGAGAGCTTGCCCTGAAGACAGGCCTCGAGAACCACAAGAGCGTCATATGTCGTGTGAATAAAACCGTGCCAAGTCGGCGTCATGCACTGTCCCCCCGAGTTCACGCCATGCAGATTCGAGACATCAGATCGTCGTGACTGAAAGTTTTCTGGTGCCGCGTTGGACAAAGACGCGCTTTGAAGCTGCTGGTGTGACAAGAGATGATGATGGTGCTCGTAGTTCCCTAACGGCAACGACTCAGGTGCCATTTAGGACCGAGCTCGGTAACTGCGAAGCAGAATTGAACGAATGTACACAACGCGACCGTTGTAGAGACCTAGATGCAGGAGTCAGTTTGGGCTTTGCGTTTTCTTTTTTTTTTCTTTTCTTTTTTTTACTTCGACTTCCTTTCCTTTCTCCTTCCCTTCTTTTGGGAGAGATGGGTGAGAAAGGGGGGGAGGGGTGTTTGTCTTCTGACAGAGCCAGCATTCTGACGCGCAAGAGCAAAAACAATCCGGGGCAAAAACACACCTTGAGCTGGTAGAAGCGCCAGAGAATTGTCGAAGTTCTACGAGGCGAACGATTATGGATGTTTGCGGAGTGATGCGACTCTTCGAGGTGACGAGGCCAAGGCTGGAGAGAGGAGAGCGCACGAGCAGTAATCTGATCTGCGGAAGCGTGGGAGCTGGGCCTCGAGAAGCTTAAGAGCTGGGAGAGACAGCTGAAGCGGCGTCCGACGAGACAGTGGCAGGTCCAGCGGGGCGAGTGCGGAAGCTGGTTGGTTGGTACGGCTGGGGCCGCGTTCCCGTGGTACACCAGGTCGAAGGCGTGGGCAATTGAGTGGAGCGGGCGGCGGGTCGACAACCAAAAAGGCGTTGGCGAGGTCCAAGAAGGCCGGAAGAAGCGGTTGCGAAAGGGCGGGCAGACAAGACAGAGACGGACAGGGAGGGCTGAGCCGAGCAGCTGCAAAGAGATATGGGGAGGTACGGAACAGATACTTGGGTATGCTGCAAGGCCAAAGGACCAGAAAAGGCGCGGGTGACAATTACAAAAAGGGCGACAAAAAGGCTAAGGCATATAGGCGACAGATAACAGGGCGGCTGGCTGAGGGAGAGCGGATGGGGAGGTGGGACCGAGTAAATAGGCGGCCCAAAGAATATAAAAAGACGTTGGCGAGGAGTGGTTGTATCGTGCCTGAGGGTCGGGGAGGAACCAGAGGGGGGAAAGCGGCAGTTCAAATGCAAGTCGAGACAGAAACGCACAGGTCAAGCATGAGCGGAGAAGGCGTGAGTGCGGACGTGAGGGTGTGAGGGCGTACGAGGGTGAGATGAGAGCGTGAGGGCGTGGGCGGGAGCGGGAATGGGCAGGAGTAAGTATGCGGAAAAGGCTGACGCTTGCTGAGGGAGCGGGATCAGCGACGTGAGAGACGCAGGCGGCCAGCAGCTTTTGGTTGTTTTCGAACACGGGCCGAATAATGACTTGCGAACGAAGCGTGGAATCATCGACGTTCAATTTCGTGAGTCGAGCGGACTGTGCTTTGGGCAAGCTGGGCCAGCCCAGACTAGGGCCAGCGGGGACCTTTCTTTGGGGGGGGGGAGGGGGGAGGGGAGGGGGAGGGGGCATGGGCATGGGCATGGATTTGGGCTCGGGCGTTGGGCTTGGGCGTTGGCGCGGGCGTGGGTACGGGGCTGGCCGGCTGAGGTTTTGAGTTTGGATGCGCGGCGACGGTTGCTGTGCGCCCAGCAGCAGCGGCGGCGGCAGCAGCAGCAGTGGAGGCGCCGGCTGCATATGCGCAGCGCTGGGATGAGGGTGAGCGTCACACTACGCCGAGCTGGGCCGGTGCCGTGCTGTGCTGCGCTGTGCTGTGCTGTGCGGGAGCACGGGGTGTGCGCTGGCCTGGCTTCGGTCCGATCGCGCTAAGCCGGGCCCTGCTCGCACCACCCCTGCTCTGACTTGCAGCGCCGTTGCAGGGCCTCCCTCAGCCTGAGCCCGCTGGGCAGCTGCCGGAGTGCGGCGCCGTGCTGTGCTGTGCGGCGCTGTACTGTGCTGTGCTGCGCTGCGCCGCGCGTGCTCTCGCCCGCCGCGCAGCTGCCTGGACGTGTGTCTCCGTACGAACCGCGCGAGACCTGTGCCGTGTGAAGAACGAAAATGTTCAGGCAGGAGGAGAGCCCTCCAGTCGAACTCGCTGCGCTCGCCGCCGCTGTCACTGCGACTGCTGTTGCCTCGTCCTCCGTGCTCGGCTGCCGCCACCGCCGCCGCCACAGAGCAGCTGGACACATCGTCGCTCTGCTCCTGCTGCGTCCGTTGCTCCTGTCACTGCCACTGCCCGTCGCATCGTCGCAGGTCGTGCCTGGCCAAAAAGGCCCAAACCACTCGTCTCCACCAGGCGTCTGAGCCCGTTTTACGGCTCTTCTTTCTTCTTGACCGGCCCCGGTTCCTGGTCGCGGAGACGCGCCATCCTGGCCACCGATAGCGTGCGTTGCTCGCGCTTGCTTGCGCCTTGCCTTTGCCTGCCCGTTGATGCTAGATCTGCCCCGTCAATCCCTCCCCCAACTGCCCGTCAGAACCGTTCGTCGCTGGCACGCAGCCCGTGCCCTGTGCCAGCCACAACCCCCCTCCAGGTTACACAACCCACCGTCTACTTCAACCTTTTCGCAACTCCGGCCAGCTCGCACAAAAGTCTCCCACATCCGTCGCCGTACCGAACTGAACCTCCAGTCTGCTCTCCCGTTGCCGTGCAGCGCCGGCACACCGAACCGCTTGTTTCTTTGTGAAACGGCCCATTAGTCGTGCTCGACGGTCTGGAGCAGAGGCCCGATCCTGTGCACATCCGCATCTGACGCGATAGTGGATCGCCGTTCCATTGCCAATGCGCATGGCCTCAATTCTACGATGCCACCCGCTCTCCGCCGCTCACGCCGCTGCCCTTCATCGCTGCGCCTGCACAACGCTGCCCGCGCTGGTTCGCACTCTGGCAAGGGTGGCTCCGTTCATCGTCACCAGCCGTCATCACTTCGCCAGAAATGTTGCTGTGCCCCGGGCCTTGTTGTTCGGCGATCGTCGTCTAGCAACAAGATTGCTTCGCGCGCTCACGCTCTCTGTTTAATTGTGTTTTCGTCTTCTCAATGCATCTGTTGATATTTGCTCTTTGTTTACACAACAACCGGAAGTTGTCCCACGAGTGCCTCGTCCTCGTGAACCACACGTCCACCCCGCTGAACGAAGCGAAAGGGAAGAGGGCGTGTGGGACAACGCTCTGGTGCGTATGCGCATCAATGCACGCTGTTGCAAGAACTGCTAAAGAACCAATGTCCGCATGGACTCGAACCAGCCCAGTCTTCACACTCCACGCCACTTGTTCCTCGTCTGGCGTCGACAGCACTTGCAACTCGGCAGCCTCTGCACTTGAAATCCTGTTCGCTCCTCGCCTGCTTTTGGGCTGCGACACGCCTGCGATGACGAGGCGCCTGCACCATCGTGGATAACGTGGAACCATCTGGCTGCTCGCTCCCTCGTCAATTGTTCTGAACATACTTGGTCCACGAGACAGCGGCGTCGAAAAAGTGGGTTGGCTTGCGCTCGTGGCCAAACAACGCGATGGGCGACTACTAGACCTGCCGCACCACTGTGGACCTAACCTCCTGCCACTCATGTTGGCCGTATTGAATAAATGCGCCTTGGTGCAACTGCGCTCGAATGTTAACGAGTCGTGCATCCACCATTTTCGTTTTGGAGAAGCGTTGCTGTTCGACCTCTGCTGCATTAGCATCGAGACTTGGCGGCGTCAATGCGTCGAGATATCCACTTCAGCTACCCAATGTGCCACTAAAAAAAAAAGGACGCCGTTTGTCCGTTAGACGACACAGTGGCCACCATGAAGGGCTGGTTCGTGGTCTTCTGCACTCAGTGCTAGTCAGGGCGACTTGCATCGTGCGTCGGCATTGTCCTCGACAATCTAAGATAAGGTGCAAGCCTCTCCAACGAAAAACCCGATTCGACTTACGCTCATGTTCAAGGAATTCCCCAGCTCTTTTGCGACTCTGCCTCCAGCTGTACGCTACCCTTTCGCCCTACGCGGCACAAGTAAGAACAGACGAGGAAAGTTCAAAACGTGTCAGGCCGTTTCGACGGAAGAGGGGAAGACACGAAAGAAAAGAAACCTCCCTCGCTGTCGTCCTCGCCATCGCGTTTCCTTCGTCCACGCACGACAAATCGCACTTTGTATGTCACGTATCTTGTTTCTTGACGATGCGGCCGTATCTTCTCGCACAGCCTTACGCCAGTCACTGCACTGTCGTCGCCTTCTCTGCTGACTCGCTTGACCGCTCTACGAGCTACTGATCTGCTGATCCTGAAACCTAGACGTCCCTTCTCATCTCAGCCTCGTCCCGGCGGCCGTCGTTGGAGCGGCTTCGCCTGTCGTCATTGTGCAACCCTTTCCTATTTCTTTTTGAGGCCGGATAACGACTACACCACGTGCACCGGCTGGCGTTGGCCGCCGTTCCGTCGTCTTCGGCACGAAGGGCTAGGCCGCAGGCGGACTAGAATCTTGCGTCACGAGTCAGTACGCCTTTCTTGCGCGCTTCTGTCGCGCCCTTCACGCATGGATCCGCTCATGATTGAAACACAACGGTTTTGAAATTTGTCGAGCATGGTCAACTGCATGCCTCACTGGTCGCGTCATCAACCCCCTCCCCTCCCTTGCTTGACTCGCTCACATGTCGTCGGACGGGTAATGTCGCAATGGGAAGTCTTCCCGGCCTCTTTCACGGTCTCGACGACGCTATTTCGGGCCTCAGATGCGAAAGCCAGCAATTTTTTTTTTTCTCTCACTTTCTCTTCCTGTTAGAACGACGCTGATATGCTGCCGTTCTTATTGGTGCCAGACCCTCTCCTGCAAAGCTCCTCGTTGCTCCATATCGTTACCGTTAATGGGAAACCCTGCATCCTTTCTGCAAACAAACCTGACTTGTGCCTGCAGACCACACATCTCGCCATGCATTTGTCACGACTAGAAACTCACCCCTCCCCTCGAGCTTCGTAAATGGGAAGCCTGACAGGTGTCGGAGAATAAAAATTGCCGGGTTGGCGGCGAGCAAATTAAAGTGCTCTGCAAAGTAAATCGACGATGCGAGCGCCTCTTTTCTAGAAACGTTGCATCAATGCGCGAATGCATGACTTTTTTTTTCAGGCCTGATCATGCGGATGTAAACGGGTCAAACAAACGGGAACCGCCGAGGATGGAACGGACAACCGTGGAGTTACCTCAAATCTTTGCTTTCTACACTACAATAATGTTTGCCTGCATGCAAGCAATTTCTAAGAGGTCCCGTCGCTTATACTGTGTCTGGCGAGGTCATCGTTGGATCGGCCATACCCTGCGCTATAGCTTTAGCATATCTGGATCTCTTGCGGACGGTGGCCCCAAAAAAGCAGAAAAGGTATACAGGCACGATAAGTACCATGGCCAACCCCGCAAGCACAGTCGAGCCGTACGGCAAATGTTTGCCAGGCGGTCCGATTTTGGAATATACTAGCCGCAGCCGTCAGCAAGAACCTGGGACGGAACTCGCGGAGACGGAAGAACAGACTTACAATCCTTGACATAAAAAACAGAAACGCCAGCCCAGAGGTCTCGACAAAACCCATTGCCACCGGTGGCCGATGCCGACAGTCTTGGGCCGTACGAGGCGACCATGTAATCCACCGTAGCGCCGTATATTGCGTAGTTTGCAATGCCAACCAGGGCAAGCCAAAAATTTGGCACCAACCAGTGCCTTGGCGGTCCTGTCGCTGTCCAAGCAAAACCAATCATGCCAGTAGGCAGAAGAGGTGCTGTATATAGTAGCCATCTGAGACGAGTCTCGGGCGTCGCGGTCGAGCCAAATCTCTGCCGTTTCCCCTGCCGGCGTCCTATGTCCCAAACCCAGATAGCCCACCCGATGAGATATCCGATGCCGATGGAAATGAAGCAAAGGCCCCGCTGCCAGGGCACGAAATCCCACTGGTCCATGATCATGGGGAGCGACTCGAGGAAAGAGAAAATGAGCGCGTCGCTGAAACCACTGATCAGGGATAGGCATGTCACGATTGGCTCCATCGCGAGCATCTTGAATGGTCGAGTCCAAATACCAGCTGCGTCCTTCCAAAAGTCAATCGAAAGATGGCTGGTTTTATCGAGTTCAGCCTGGGTCCAAACCTGCTCGATACTTGCGTCCCGACGTCGTCTAGCCTCTTTCGCAACGAGTACACTAGATCGAGTCTCCGGAACCCAGATCGCGTGCAAGAGCTGCGCAGCCAAGCCGATCACGAACTGCGCGAGAAAGACCCACCGGCCTCCGACGAAGGACTCAAGGAAGCCTCCAATAACCGGCCCAACTATAGATCCCATGACGGACGCGCAAACTAGCGCCGCCATCGCATATTGCTGGCTGTCGGCGTCAAACTAGATGTATAATAAGCTCCACAGGCTCTATAAGTGGTAATCCATCCCTCACCATATCAGCGATTATGCCCAAGGTCACCGAGCCTCCCGCAGAACACAGCCCCCCCATGATCCTGCAGAAAAGGATGCCAGCTCCGATGCTGTCACCTTGGTCAGGCTTCCCAAATGCAGCCATGAAGATCTGTGGAAGTTGCCAAAGATTTACGAAGCCGAGACTCCATTGCAACGTCGGTCTTCTGCCGCTCTCCTCACTCCAGGGTGCCCACAGTTCGCAGCCGAACGCGTACGCCACCAGGAACAGTGACTGGCAGAGCGAGAGGATAGTTTCCGTTACCCCGTAAGTCTGTCGCAGCTCCACGAAGCAGTTACCCAAGATAGATGCGTTCAAGTTCATCGAGATCTGCTGGACGCAGAGTATCGTCACGATGAGCCATTTTTTCTTGCACGAGAAGGACCGCGCAAGACCGTTCTCGATCTCTTCTTCCCCAAGAATCCTGCCCTGCACATTCTTGCCCTTTCTTTTGTGGACCAGCACAGCCGTCTCCAGAGCCCCCACCGAAAGATTGTCCTGCTGTCCGCTTGAAGAACGAAGTTGCTTCTCTCCGCACGAGATTGAGAATTTCGTTTCACCTCCCGTGTAGCTCACCATATTTCTGGTGCCTGACGCCTGCCTATCAGTGAAATCCGCCGGCGATACTGATAAGAATTGTTACTTGTTACGTTGGACGAATGATGTTCAGGAATATCATCAGTAACGTGGGGAGAAAGTCGTTCAAGACACCGCCGAAGCGTCGAATTCTGTGTCTCGTAAAAGTTTATTGGAAGTAAGCGTCGTCTGTATTGTTGAAGATTCATAGATTGGTCGTCACGAGTACTCCTTTTCAGTCTGAAAAATTTTGACAGCAAACAAGATATTAAATCACAATGAGCAAGCGAGAGATTCAAAACCATGTGTACGTTCTTTTGTCCCGTCGTTCTTTTTATTCAAGACGTGTCTGAAACTCTTGTTGGTCTAATGCGGTTATCATTTCTCAAAAGGTCTTGCTTATGTTGGGGCTCATGTGGAGTTTGGCAACCTTTGGTTGCGTTCCACTTCCGTTGAACCAACTGGACCAAGTTCGTGGTCTGCAGAAAAAAATTTGCGTAACCCTTCAGTGGAGATAGACAAGCGCACGTGGGCAGTAAAGGTTGGAGAGTAGGATAAAGAACTAGAAAAGCTCCAATTTACATGCGACTCATCCTCTCGCGCGGAAAAGCCCGATCCTACATGAAGACCAGCGGCCTTCATGGCAGAAACGAGGTAAAATACGGGCGCAGAGCGTCATCGTAACGAGGACTTAATTCGAGCAGGCCCAAGGCCTTTGCGAATCTCATCCAGTTGCTCGAGCCCCGTTTTCGCCGTCCCCACCCGTACCCTCTTTTGGTGCTTGCCTACTTGAGAGTGGTTCTGGAGGAACTCGCTCATGATTGCGTTGAAGTCAGAGCGGACCAGCTGCGGCGCCTGGCTCGAAGCTCTAGACATGCCCGTCATGCCCGAAACGCCCGAAAACATGGAGGCAGTGTCGTCGCCGGCGTCATCTTCACCGTATTCTTCCTCGATCTTGTCGAACCTGGCATCGAGAATCGACTGGCCTTCCGTCCGGGCAAGCACGGAGGAAGTCATACTGTAGCCGCTGGTGGATGTGAGCGCGCCTTTTCGTTTCTTCTTGCGTCCGCTGACAAGACTGGATGCACCTGTTATGGCTGATGACTGTAGGTCTAAACGTTTCTGGGCAGGGCCCAACTTTGCGTCTTTCTTAAACTTGCTGAATTCGGCCATCCAATCCCCGTCACCATGAGCGTCATCTGGTGGCTCGCTGTGGGGTAGAGGCACTCCGCTATTGCTGTCGAGTGCTTTTTCCTTTGGCGTGGACTCGTCAGCCCTGACTGTGCGATCCGACTCCCATCCCTCGTCATCGTCTTCGTTAGCCTCCCAGTTCGTTTGACCCCATTCATCCGGGTCGACTTCCTCCGCATCCGCAGCCAACGCTTCAAAGATGTCTTCGTCGTCGTCCACATAGGCTTCATCGTCCAGAGCTTCAAGCACCTCTCGCAATCTCGGATCCATGTCTGGCTGGAAGCCCGCGATGGAGTCTGGCACATTTTGCTGGTCCTGATACGTACGCGGGCGCACAAACTCTGAGGGGAGCATATCTTCCGGTAGCAATGACTGTGCGGTGGAGGCTACCGAGCTTGCATGGCTGATCCCACTTTCACTTTTGATGTCAAGATCTCTGAGAGCATCCTCGAGCTTCGATTTGGGTTTCTTAGACTTGAGCGGAGCTTCAATGAAATGTGCTTCTGTGCTTGTACCAAGTTCACGCATGTGCTGCATATAATCGTACTCCGTGTCGTCGAAATAAATGCCGTAATTGGCAGCTTCACCCTCATTTGCTCGGACACTCAGGCCGAATTCTTCCTCGAGTTCACCACGGTGCTTAATTTTGCTTCTGGCATCATGATCAACATGACCGCTTGCATCATCTCGAAGCTTCTTGATACGGTTTAGGTCAGTTTTCTCCGTAAAAACCATGTCTGATGCGTCCGCATCGTGAATTTTTGGGTCATCTTGTGACCTGAAGACAAGCGAAAATGTGGTCGCGTCTCTCTTGTTACTGCATCCTGTGAGTACGAGTACTGAGGCCAACAAATGACGGCACTGACATGAACTTTCTACGCGGCATCTTGGCTGATCAAACGCTTCGTGAAACGTTAAAAATCAAAGATCAGAAACTTGGTCTACAAAATTTCTGGCACTGCGGGAATGGCTTGCATGGGAGAGGCAAATTGTGGAGCCTTGAGGCCTTGGCAGTATTTCTGTCGACCGCGTGTTCAACCGCACTGTGTGCAGGAGATACTTTCCGCTTCAAAGCCCCCTCCAACTTGAAATCTTGGTTGAATAATTTTCGCATGGTATAAAATGTGCACTTGTGGCTACAGTTTAATATCGCGCATCTATTCTTAATTAAGGAAAATCTACAGTGCAGCTTTGTATCCCATGGCTTTAGCAGCATTGTAAGAGAGAAACTGTCAGCATATGGCTATAGATTTTCTTCACCATGACGCTAGCATAAATCTTTTCTCACGCCAAAACCTCATAAAGCAGCTTAGCTCAAGCTTTACAATCTACTCCAAACGCTTTGAAGTGAAGGTCATATGTATGGCTGGTGTAATAGTTCTATCAAAGTTCCGCATGGTATGTAACATCTCAGGCTAAATAGCAATATAGATCGTGCCAAGACTTTGCGTTCCTTCCCACAGAGTTTGGAACTCGTCAAGTCTGGAACGTTTAAGCTGAGGAGCCTGAGGCAGAAACCAGCAGCGAAACCGTGCTAAAGCTCCCTGTGTGAGGACAAAAGGACATAACGGAGCAGGAAGGCCTGCGAGTCACGTGTGCCAAGATGCTTCAGTATGCTCTCTACGCATTTCGAGGACGCATGTCACCAAAGACACAGCTCAACTCTCATCCGAGAATCGCGTGGTTTTGGCACTGAGTCAGCAACCATACTAAAAATTCTTTCTTAGCCGAGCCCCCTGTCTCTCATTTCACCTTCCTTATCTCACACCTCTTCCAGCATTTATCTACTATAGCTGTAAGGGTATATATATTATACCAACCAGCTATACTAGCTAATTGAGCTAGTATAGCCTGTCTTTTTGAGCGATCCTCATGCGCAAAGGGTGGTTGCGTGACAAAAATATTAATAACTAGAGGTTATTTAAGAGACTTTTATATATTTTGCGTTATTTAAAGCACGTGATATCAGCCGAGCGCATAAATCTTCTCGGATGAGAGTTGAGCTGGGTCTCAGGCGACCTGTAGGCTTCGCCTCAGCTTGGTTTGATTCCTCAGTACTCAGCTTTACCACCAACTTGGGCATATTGTTCCCCATCTCAGAATCACCCTTGCTTCGTTCCATTACAAAAGAACCCCGATAAGCCCAATGGCTTTGGCTTCAAACATGTCGCGAGATGTCAGACCTGTGTCACTAATTGGACTACTTGCCCTCCAGCTCAGTGAAAGATCAGGCACATCTTTCAAGAGGACGAACCAGAGAAGTAGGGAAGAAGCGCCTCCGGAAACGCCACGATGGATATGTTAGTCTTTGCTGTCATCGCGCTGTTTCCTAGCCATTTCTTGTTTGGTTGTTCCGCCCCAATAGAGCAGCATATCACAGTACTGTCTTGCAGTATCAGTTCAAGTTTTAAGCTCTTTGGATAATTTCTGATCACTGTTAAATCCTGCCGAGAGAGTGCGAAATGAACTTACAATTTATTATCGATTAAGGTGGCTTGGTAAACGGAACGCGGGAGGTCCGAGATTTGTCCTTTCTAAGCTCTTGTACTATGGTCAAATCGTAGATAAACGGCCGTTTCAAAAGCTTGTCGGAGTCAAACGCCACAGGAATATGAGCCGCATCATATCACGACTTCTGAATGCAGGGCCTGAGTTTTTGATTGAGTATTCCAGTATTCTTTCAGACTGAGTGGACGTATGAGGGAACATCTTGCATCTGTTATTCTGATAACTGGAAAAAGCGGATGCCAGATTGGAAGTGTTTTGGCGTTGGAATTACGAGACGGCGAGCTCATTTAAAAACTGTCTTGGAAGCAAGTTTTGCCTTCTACACAAGTACCTCGAGATTCAGTCGGGTTTCGATAAGAGCACCGAAGAGTGACCTAGAGATTGCTTCTGGCTACGAACAGACTTGCTCCCGCAGGGCCATTTTTGGAATTATATTTATGATGCTGATTATCAATGTTGCTTAATACTACTATTGCGGTGCAACAATCAAGCCAGCGGGTTGGACGTATTCAAGCTCTGGTGACGCGCAAGTGAAGCGAGGATGCTATGACAGATATATTCGAGCGGACCAAGATTCGACCTCACTTGGACTTTGTGTATGCAGCAACTGTCGTACAATTATGGAAGATGGGAAATACTGACCCACCGTCGCTCATTCGTAAACAAGTTTTCCGTCCGCTGCTTCGTCAACGCCTACCTACGACCTTTCAGACCCGCGTGCTTCAGACACAGTTTGTACAGGTGACTTTTTCGTCCCCCCCCCTCCTCTCCCCTCTTTCGATAGGAATATCTACGCGGACAATCGTCATCATCATCATGCCTATGCAGTGGACTGCAGATGCAGATGCAAAGGTGAGAAGTGAAATCACTCCAACGACCGAGAACAAAGTCCATGCAGGTTCTGACGCCTCGCCGCAGCTGTTCGCCGCGTTCATCCGCGTGCACGAAGTCAAGCCTGTCAATCTTCAGGCCCTAGCCGACGCGATGGGCAACGGTTTGTCCTTGATGTTCGCTGATTTCGGATCCGTGCTTCTGACTGATGCAAAACGCGTGTAGGGTGCACTCCCAAGGCCATTTCTCACAGGCTGGCGTTCATCAAGAAGAAAGGGGTGGCCGCTGACTCCGAACAAGACGCCAGTCCGTCGAAACCAAACAATCGCGCACGTGTAAACACCGTCCGAACGCCAAAGACGCCGAGGTCTGGCACAAAAAGCGGTGGCAAGAACGCATACGGTAAGCACACTTATTCTGAGTCTGAGGATGAAGACACGAGTCACCGCTCTGGAACAGGGAGCGATAGCAAAGAAATAAAGCACCATGACCATAGCGAGAGTCAAGATAAAGCCAACACACCTGTGGACTGTCGCTCTGGATTTCTCAGTTTGGATCCCCCCAAGTTGCGGCAAGATGCGAGGAGTAGCGGGACACCTGATCGCTGCTACAAGAAAGTGAAGATTGAGGACGATACGGAATGCTGATTGAAACGGTAGGATATGCTGGATTTTTGTTCTCATGAGTGACGGCACAAGGATTCCATCACTCTGGTCGACCACGTCTGCAAAATTCTGATCCCGCCGTTACTCATGCAAGAATGAGCAATTCGATGAGCCAAGATTAAGTCTATCTTCTCGTTAACATGATCTCGTCAATCGTTTTATCCGGTGACCTTCTATGACTTTTGTAGCAAAGAATTATTCTATGCTGTCCTAAGCCTTTTGCGTCCATGTTCATTGTCATACTCGACCTTGCCCTCTGTGCTCTTCCAATTCGCCTTCTCCGTCTTCTTTGACTTGCGTTTGTACCACGAGATGCCAAAGTAGAACAGATCGTTGTCTGTATCCTTCCTTAGTTTCTTCCCTGCCGCTGTAACCGACTTCTTGGAGCTTTCACCCTCATCTTTGGAGTCGTGGTCTTCATCCGTGGTATGGCCATGCTCGACAATTTTACCCATAGCCTTGTCGAGCTTTCTGCTGTTACTTTCAACCTTACTTGTGGAGAAGAAACTACTGTGAGTATTTGATTTCTTGTCAGCAGATGTTTTGTGCTTGGAAGCATCGGATCCGTCATCGTCTTCTTCCGTTGCTGCCTCAGTGTACTCATACATGAGCTTGATATCGCCTTTGATCAATGCCATGCCCCAGAGTGAGATCAAAACCCCGGGTACAAGGTATAACAGTGCTGGTTGTGGATGTTGAAATGTGATCATTACAAAAAGTGTGGTGATCATGCCGACGATATAGCCCACGAGACTCGACCAGAAGTAAGTCTTCTTGAAGGTGCCTATCTCAACGCCATCAGGTAGAGCATGTGAAGCGCCAATCCAAGACTGCGTCCAAAACTGATCTGTCCAATGCTTGCTAGGGGCGACATAGGGTGCCTTGATGACTTCCTCCCATTGTTCTCCAGTAGGCTTGGTTGTCTTCGTAGGCTTCTGCAGCCGCAAGTAATGGAGGAAAAGATCGAATCGCAGCGCTAGAGCAATCATCATTCCCGGAAGCACAACGTCGCCGAGTCCAAGCATCGAGAACTGGGCGACACCTTTCTTATCTGGCTCCCGCGGGATGAGTAATTTGATCGGTACGTCCAGATTCTTCGCAACAGTGACCATCATCGGCGTGTAGAAGACCATCACCACGTCATACACGAACAGTGCAGCAAGAATGAGGCTGCCAGTGTCAAACGTCGTGGGTGAAATTAGCTGCAATGCCGTGTACGAAAAAGCGAAGCCCATGAGATTTGTGAGCCACCACGTCTTCTCTACGAAATTGTAGTATGCCGTGGCAGCTAATCCGAGAATTGCACCGAGTATGCCGAGGGGCGAGAGGTGTATGCGAGCGGCAACTAAGCGGTGCACGTAAATTTTAAACGTGATCTTGTCTTCCACGTCCTGTCGTAGCTTCCACAGGGCCAGAACGACAGTCTTTGGCAGAGGAAGATAGGCCAGGAGACCTGGAAGTGGCGTCGAACGTCGCACAGTCTCCCTGCCCTTCGCGGAGATATTGATCGCCTCTTTCAAATTGTTGTTGACTTGCCAGATACCATTCATACTTGCATAGTACGTCGGAAACACAAGTCTTGCCCCAAGCTGCAGCACATCTGCTAGTAATTTGCACACACTGAACACACCCACCGAGCTGAAATAGTAGTTGAGCACCATATTCAGAAGATCGAGATCCTTCAAGTACTTGATCAGGAAATACAGCCCGGTGAGCGTTGCCCCGGCGAACAAAGGCAACAATATCGCGTCACTCCTGGAGAAGCCCTCCATGCGCTGAAACGAGTCCTCCTCATCGTCGTCGCTCTCACTATCATTTCCGTCTTTCCCCCCCGACTTACGTCTCTTTTGCGGTTTTGCAGCGGATGGAGGGCGCGTCAATGAAGCATGAGCTCCTATAACAATCGGGAACAGCGCGGCGAGGATCGTATGTAGCTCGGTCTTGAGGTAGGGTTGGACGAGACTGAATTGATACGCAAGGTGGCCTAGGATTTCACTCGCGATGCCTGGATCTGTCGAGTTTGCCATCATCAACCCCAAATCTCGAGCAATGCGGCGTTCGTTTGAGAGGCGTGATAGCTTCCAAACCAAAATGCCAGGGTGAGCTTTGCTTCAAAATGTCTCGATTAAAAAAGTCAGAACGAGAGGCAATGAGAAGTAATCAAATGAAAGTCGGCCTAGCAGTCATGGCACATCAGAGAGTGACTGGAGTCGTAGCGAAGGCAAAGGGAATGGGCGTAGGAAGGTAACATGTACGAACAAAGGCGTTTCACGGGCGAAGACACTCAATGCCCATGACGTGCAGCTTCCTCCATAAAGAGCAACCCATCTCCACTATTCAAACACCTGCCCTCGAGCGGTCTAGCCCCTTTCCTAATTCCCGCCGCGTCCCCACTTCGTTTACTTTTGTACACTGTAGCTCCGTGACATTAGTTGCAGAACGCTGTTTTCCGCATAGGCTTACTGTAAGTTGTCAAGATCTCGCAAGATTCTTCGATTGCCAGGTCCAGGAGCGATTTCAGGTGTTCAGTCTATCCGGGCACGCATAGACTCAAATCTGCGTGCACAAAGCACATCCGCAAGCACCATCTTTTAGACCGTTCCTTGGCTCCGTTTATATTTGGAATTGAGAGGATCGGTTTCGCATGGTCGAGTTTGCCTACTATCTTCGTATGATGTAATTACAAAACTCGAGGACATGGGCCGGTGCAATGCAATGAATGTTGCAACAAGCAGGAGAATTGCGTGAAGGCCGCGCTGGATTACATTGAGCCAACGTGAACGGTCGAGAAGTTTCGGCTAATTTGATTTATTATCTATGATTACAACCATGGCAATAGGGCTATGATTGTTTGCAACAAAACAATGTAGGAGCGCCATGCAAGTCCCAATGCAATTCGCCAAATTATGTGCAATTGACGTTCTTAAGCGACATCATGCGCCAATCAGGTCCTTCGGCAAGCACGCAAACACCGTACTTACAATCGCCATTATAGAACTGATCACTATTAACACCCAGTTGAGCGCTTTCTCAGCCCGACCAATCTCGCTGCTAAACAGCTTAAGGTGAAATGCCAACGGCAGGATGATGCAGATGGTAAAGCAGCACACGCTGCCTAACAGCGTCATGATGCGGTCAAAACTGGGGAACACAATTGCGATGCCGACGAAAATAAGTACGGTTAGGATGCGGATAGTCGCCTTGAGGAGACCTCGGTTGAAGCCCGACATGCCAACCAGAGAGTTTGACTGCGCAAGAGCGCGGGCGTCAAGTCCGGCCAAGATCTCAATTGTGGACACAATTGGACGAGCGTTAAGCGGGACTTTTGTGAGAGGGATGATCGCGATACATATCACAATGATGAAGCTGATTGCTTTCGGGTAGCCCGCCGTGGTCAGAATATTGCTCGTGATCTCATCACGCACGGCGTCGCCGAACATTAAAATGCCAATTACGGCCATGCCGAGATCGAGGAGGAAGGTGAATGCGTACGTGATATCAACGCCGCGGCGGTACTTGTAGGGGTGTCGCATGTCGCGATAGATGTTCGGAAAAACGGAGTGACCACCCCAGGGAGACATGAGTAGGCCGAGGGAAAGAGGGATGGTAGTCCAATTGATGGGGAAAAGATACTGTGTTGCCGGTTGCCGGAGAGATCCTGGCTGTTGCGGTTTGATAAGGCCGTCGATAAAGACGCATATCACTACTGTAATGGATGTGGTCAGTATCTAGTGTAATTTCCTGTAACGAGATTAAAAGGAGGGGACAAGTAGGTATAAACGCACTGCCAAAGCATGAGAGAATGCCGAGGACGGAGGTAAAGCTCAGCAGACGAAGCGGGAGGAAGGCAAGCGGCACGAGTATGAAAGCGGCGATGATCTTCCAGGCAACGACACCCAGACCGGGAATGAGGTCGTCCAAACTATCTGCGAAGAGCACGATCAAGGCGACATTCGCACCGAGTAGCTCCAGTGTGAACAGTATGCTGACCACGACGCGTGCCCCCTGCCCGAAAGACACGTACGCGAGGTCCGCAAAAGTTATGAGCGAGCTGTCGACGTCGAGACATTTGGCGAGCAACTTGGCGGTATACTGGGTGGAAATGACGGCAAAGAGATAGAAGAGCATGCCCACAACCCAGCCGGAGTAGTGAATCGCCAAGGGCAGACTGAGCAAGCCGACGCCGATGAGGACATTGACGGAGTTGAACACTGTCTGTGGTAAGGTGGACTGCCCAACGACGACATTGTACGCGACACCGTCCTCCTCCACCGTCTTGACCAACAGAGGTTCCCTCTCCTTGTCCGGTTCGGTGATGCCTTTAGCCTGCTGTTCGTTGAACAGCTGGGCGGCGTGGCGGATGGAGGAGCGGTTCAGCTTCGAGGTGACGCTGCCGTATTGGGTTCCGTACGAGCCGCCGAATGGGCTGTCAAGCGAGGGCTCCACGCTGAAAAGACTCTCTTCGCGCGAGTAGCGCCGCCGCTGCATGCTCAGCCGGCGGGCAAGTGATGTTTCGTTCCCACCAGGAGATGTGCCGACCCCACTATCGTCAAGGGCGTTGTCGGAGCCCCGTCGCCCGCCATCATGGAAAGCCTCTCGCAGCAGCGAACGTGCCTCGTCGGGGCTGTGTTCTATATCTCGACGGGTGTATGAAGGCTCGCCGTCGGTGTCGTCTGCGAAGCGGAAGGAGGGCCGGACGGGCGTGATCTCGAAAAATCCAGCAGCACGCTGCCAGGACGAAGCGAAACGGTCGATGCTGTTGACTCCGCCAGCATGCATGAACGACTCTAGGCGCAGAGCCATGGAAGACCTGTCCGCACGGAGATTCATGTCAGACCCAAAACGGGGACGAAGAGAGAAGTCGACCGTGGCGTATCAACATACCTCCGACGACGAAGATCACCGTCTTGGATCCCGTCGTTGGGGACGGCGAGATTCGAATGCGAAACAGTCCTGCTGACATTGTCTTGGGCGTCTTCGTCAAAATGCACGGCTTGGCCGCTGCCTGTGGACGAGAAGGAAGAGTCGCGGACGAGATTCTGCTCGGGACGAGTCCGCCATGTCGAAGGCTGCTTGCCTGGGTTCGTGCTCATCACCACGAGGGAAAGCTACCCCAGACAGATCTCGAACAAAGACGAGACCAGGACGGCGCAGTGGACAAGGAAAGCAGGCAAGAACAGCAAGCAAAAGAAGGGAAAGAAATCGAAATTACATCCAGAGATAAGTGGAGTAAGGCGAGACTGCAGAAATGGAGACGGAAATTCAAAGATATCAACCCTGCTAGACTGGCTGGATGAGCCCCACTTTGGCGGCGGGCGAGCTGCCTTTAGTGAAGTGACATGACACGCCCTGACCTAAGCACAACGAGGGCGTAGCGGAGACTACTCTCCTACACGGCAATGGCAGAAGTACGAGATGGGATGAGGAAGGCGAAGAAAGTGAGTGGGACCATGTGGCGGATCGAAAGACGCGAAGCAGAGAAGAGAAGAGGAGGCGGGGATAGCTGCTTGTGCGGATAGGGTAAGCGACAGGCGGGCGGGAGGGAGAGAGGGTGGGCAAGGGAGACTCACTAGCGTTAGCCGGAGTTGCAAAGGTGGAAGTCTGTGGATATGGTGTTCTTATGGAGTACTCTCTGTACATGGGGAGGGAATGGCCATGGTAGTGAGAGTTGGCGATCAAGCTTGGTGCTGGTGGGGTGGCGGTGGCGACAAGATCGTGACGGCAGAGAGGACTGGCAGTACAAGCAGGCGCAGCACGAGGAGCATTAGCAGCCGCAGCAGCAGCAGCACAGCGCTCAGTACGCAGCAAGCGAGAGCCCGGCAGCACGTCGACGGCACCGAGGAGCCAGCGACAGCGGTCCCGCCGACACGCCTGACTCACGGGCGGTGCCGGCGCGGTCCAAGGCGTGTTTTTGCGCGACGGCGTGAGAGTGCCAGTGTGCACTAGGGAGCACCACCTGGACACAAGCAAACGGGATGGCAGCCTCACGACGAGTCGACCGTTCAGACCGAGACGAAGAAAGCCTAAGTGAGCAGATGGATTGGAAGAAAGACGTGGCCGGAGTCCTCGACGGGGAGCAGCCTTTTTTTCTCCGTCGTGGGCAACGAGGGGTGCAAGGCGAACGCATTGGACGTGGTTTTGCTTTGGCGCGACCACTCATGGCTTGCCGGGCCAGCGAGAGGAGACCTCGGCGGAGCCAACGCACTCAGCCGTTTTCGTCGCCGCCAGGCATCCGCACAAAAGGCAGAGGAATTAAAGCGGTCGTCGAGCGTGCGCAGAGTGTGTGAGTGTCTGTGAGTACGCACGAAGGCGCGTGCGTGCGAGCGCCAGGACGGGAGGGACAATGTAGAGGGAGAGAAAGCATTTCACATTCGCACCCACACGTGTGTCTCAGTGGACACATGCACGCGTGTCCGAATGGATGTGCGTGCTGTGCGAATCTGTGTGCGCCCATGGTCGAAGACAGACACACGAGCTTATACACGCAAGTGTCAGTGTTCGCGGGTGTGTATCTGCGTGTACGGGTGTAGGTGTGTATGTGTGTGGACACATGTCTCTGCATACGCCATGTGCTCGATCCATGCTGCAAAAGCAGCGCGCATACGTCCACTGAGTGCATCTGTGTAGATCGAGTTCTCTGTAAGCGTGTACTCCGTTCACGTCCATCCATTCGACTGGCCCGTCGTCCGTACCTACACCGAGTTTTTCCACGGCGCAAGCGCAGCACTGCCTGGTTCTGCAAAAACACCACAAACAAATCGACCGCTTTGTTCCCATCCCACACCCGCTGTTTTCCTCTCTCCCGCCCGTTCTTCGTCCTGCCGCCCTTCATTTCTCCTCGTGCTTTTGCCGCTCTGCTCTGTCCTCGACCGTTTCCACCTCTGGAGGCGAAGCCACCCACGTAACACAGACCCTCCCTCGACGCCGTTCCCACCCAAATTCGAAACACCACTTTTTTCGTCCTCCAAAAATTCCCCCCTTCCCTCCAACCCGCCTCCCACCCCTTCGCAAACACCTCACCATCCTCTGACCCGGTCTGCCCTTCCAGCAGCACAGCCGTAGTCATGAGTACTCCGCAGGCAAACGAGGCCGAGAAGAATATCGAGATATGGAAGATCAAGAAGCTGATCAAGCGTCTTGAGCAGGCGTACGTCGCACCACCCCACCACTGCGTTCCCCCATCTGAACACTCTTGTACACGTATGCACATGCGCACAAACATGGCCCCAATCTGTCTAACTGCACATGCGTGTGTCCTGGCCGTTCATGCGGGAGGCTAACTTGCGTTCAAAGGCGTGGCAATGGCACCAGCATGATCTCGCTCATCATTCCGCCAAAGTCGCAAATCTCACAGCAGGCAAAGATGTTGGCTGAAGAATTCGTACGTACAAGTGCCATCTGCCACTCCTCAAAATCCTGCTCCTGCTGTGTCCCCAGGCTGATGTCGAACCTCCCTCTCTCCAGGGCACGGCGTCCAACATCAAGTCCCGTGTAAATCGTCTTTCCGTCCTTTCGGCCATCACCTCGACCCAGCAGCGTCTCAAGCTCTACTCCAAGGTCCCTCCCAACGGCCTGGTGATCTACTGTGGTGAAATCATCACCAGCGAGGGGAAAGAGCGTAAGATCAACATCGACTTCGAGCCCTTCAAGCCCATCAACACCTCGCTCTACCTGTGCGACAACAAGTTCCACACAGAGGCTCTCAGCGAGCTACTGGAGTCGGACCAGAAGTTTGGCTTCATCATCATGGATGGAAACGGTGCTCTCTTCGGCACCTTGAGCGGGAACACGCGCGAGGTCGTCCAAAAGTTCTCCGTCGACCTGCCCAAGAAGCATGGTCGTGGTGGTCAGTCCGCTCTGCGTTTTGCCCGTCTACGTGAAGAAAAACGTCACAACTACGTGCGCAAGGTTGCCGAGCTGGCCGTGCAGAACTTCATCACCAACGACAAGGTCAACGTCGCCGGTCTCATTCTCGCCGGTAGCGCTGATTTTAAGAACGACCTCAACCAATCTGACATGTTTGATCAGCGTCTGCAAAGCAAGGTTATCAAGGTGGTCGACGTCTCGTATGGTGGCGAAAACGGCTTCAACCAGGCCATCGAGCTTGCCTCCGAGACGTTGTCCAACGTCAAGTTCATCCAGGAGAAGAAGTTGATCAATGCCTACTTCGATGAGATCTCCCAAGACACGGGCAAAGTCTGCTACGGCATCGACGATACTCTCAAGGCACTCGAACTCGGTGCGTGCGAGACGCTCATCGTATACGAGAACCTCGAGATCACTCGCTGGGTCTTGCGCCCCTCAGATGGCAGCTCTGACATCATTCTCCACACCACCAAGGAGCAGGAGGCTAACCGTGAGCTTTTCATGGACAAGTCCACCGGCCAGGAAATGGAGGTTGTCGAGCAGCAGCCCTTCCTCGAGTGGCTCGCCGAGAAGTACCGCGACTTCGGCGCTACCCTCGAGTTCGTATCCGACCGCTCCTCCGAGGGCAATCAGTTTGTCAAGGGATTCGGTGGTATCGGTGCCATCTTGCGTTACAAGGTCAACTTTGAGCAGCTCGCTGATGTCGATGACGAGGACGAATTCTACGATGGTACGCATGCTGCCCTTCCTTCTCCGTCGTCTACATTGATAGCTATGTTCCACTTGACCAGCAAAAGAATGAGGGGTGGAACACCAGTGTGCATATTGGGCAGTGCTAACGAGAGACTACTACAGATTGACGGTTTGGTACCCTCGCAGTAAGCGAGGCGCATACTCCTGAGACCCCTCCTCCAGGTCTTCAGACGGCGCTTCGCGAATCGCGCTCCTTGGCGAGCGCTTTCTTGGAGGCGAGCGAATCCTTGAACCACGCTGAACCGACAGCGTGCTCGTCCCGAGCTCGCTTGTAAACCGAATCAATCCATGCGCGTAGTGTTGAATTTGAGGAGGGTAAGTCAGCGCTCAGTAGTCAGCTAGAAAAAAAAAACAAAAGAGAAAAGCAAAGCCACACCGCTTGTTCGGTACCATGTGAAAGGACGGCCATTCACTTGTACAAACATATGCTAAAGTTATCAACAAGCAGGACAAAAGATCTGTGAAAGGAACAAGCGAGGATATGCTCCGATGCGAATGTGACATCGAGCGCGTGTCCTACCCCTCCGTGGAGACAATCCAGTATGAAGAGAGGCGTCTTTCCTTCGAGACAATCATCGCCTTCCTTGGGAACTGATCGACGTTGAGCCACAAACCAGATGGAGGGTTGAAATATGTCTCGGCATATCAGTCTTTCGTTTAACTAGCCCTACCCAGATTTGGTCTTTTGTCACTTGAGCGGTTGCTGCTGCACATTCATTTCCAAAGGATGAAAAATGAGAAAGTTTAAAAAACCAGAAACTATAATCCTACAATTTTTTCAAAATAGAATCGTCGTGATTTGCTGGAAAGGCACGATGGATTTGAGCGTTGAGACCGGCTTCTTCGGCAAAGCCAGCCCATGATCTAAGATGTTTCGTCAATGTGTCCATTGCTGTTGGCCATCGTGTAGCCCTAGAATCCAGTTTAATCCAGCTTTGCTTCCCTGCCTCAGATCCCCCATACTTGCACTGCCGACTTGCGAAAGGCCGCTCAAATTCAGTAAATTTGCCAGCTGCCAGTTGCCCTAATGCTCCGGCGAGTTCTGGCTCCGCACGTTCAGTTGCTGCGGCCCGCGCACTACATATAGCCTTTCCGAGGCCACAAAGGAGGTCGCTTCGCGTTCATATTGGCCGTGATTTGACAGCTCTCCATCCCTCTTCCGACATCGGTTGGCGCCCTGCTTTCTCACCATGGTGAAATTTCAGAAGTACATGTCCAGAAATTTGGCAGGCCCTAAAAGCCGAACACGCGACAAAACTCGTCTCCTCCACGAGCGAGTCCTCCTCTGTCGACAGAGAGGCCTGATAACGCGTGCGTCGGAAAAGAGAAAAATGACTTTGAAGTCGCCCAGGCTGCCACCGGGCATCGAGCAGTACGTCATGGGTGAGGACTGGTCTTCGTCACTTCGGGTAGCGTACCTAGGCCCCAAAGGCTCCTTCACCCACCAGGTAAGTAGACTAGACGCTACCAGACGCGCACGCCGCCATCGCCAACCCCTGAGCCTTAGTGCATGAAGATATATGTACAGACCTGGTTTTGAGCTATGTTGGCGGGCTAGGTCAAGAGCTTGGGGTCAAGATTGAAAACGAAAGGGGGCGGGGGAGAGAAATGTGTTCCAATGAATAAAGATCTAAAGAGAAAAAGAGAACATGCCATTCGCCCCGCAACGTCGTCGCCTATCGCGAACACGGGGTCGAAGGCTTGCTGAGAAGCTTTCTTGTTCGCCGTCAGCGTGAGCCCTAGCATAGCCGAGAGTCTCAACAGAGCATCTCAAAGCACACGCGAACAAGAGGGGAGAGGGGGTGTGGCACGTTTGGGGAGTGGCGTGAAGTGGAAACGAGTTTGTGAATATGCTGATGCCGAGACCTAGGCAGCACTGCAGGCTTTCAAAAATGAGGAGCTGGAGCCTCACGTCGACTTCCAGTCGGTCTTCATGGCGGTCCACACCGGCGCCGCAGACCGCGGCGTGATCCCGATCGAGAACAGCACCAACGGCTTCGTCGTCCAGATCCTCGACCTGTTCGCCAAGGAGCTAGACGTTTCCATCGTAGGCGAGACGTACGTGGCGGTTCAGCAGAGCTTGCTCGGCCGCCAGCGGAGACCGGCGTCCTCACCGAACGAGATCCCCGACCTGAGCCACCTGAGAACGCTGTACACGCATCCGCAGGCGTGGGGCCAATGCACGCCGTTCCTGACTCGGTACCTGCGCAACGTCGAGCGGGTGGACACGACGTCGACATCCAAGGCGGCCGAGCTGGTCTCACACGACAAGAGCGGCGAGAGCGCCGCGATCTGCTCGCCGCTGGCGGCGGACCTGTACGGCCTCGACGTGCTGGTGCCCAGCATCGAGGAGAAGAAGGGCAACACGACGCGGTTCCTGGTGCTCAGGCGGTCCGGTACACCGCTGTCGTCGCCCGAGCGCGAGACGCCCGGCTCCGGCCCCGCCCGCTACAAGACCCTCATCCTGTTCACCATCCCGCACGCCCAGCCGTCGTCGCTGGCTAACGCGCTCGCCGCCTTCGGCAAGCACGGCATCAACCTGACCAGCCTCAACTCGCGGCCCAGCGGCGACCGCAAGTGGAACTACGTCTTCTTCGCCGAGTTTTGGGGCAACATCACCGACCCAGACGTCGAGGCCGCCCTCAGGGACGTCTCCGGTGTCGTGCAGGGCTGGAAGTGGATAGGCAGCTGGCTGTCAAGAGGCGACGGCGGATAAAGACGCGCGCGCGCGACGATAGCGAAACGTGATCTCTAAATTTGTGTTGGGGCGAGCTACATGACTCTTCTAATCTTTGGTCTCCACATTACTACTATGTGGACCAGCTATGTATCAAGAGACGCATATGCAACGAGATACCAGTCTTTCCAAAGAGAACACGTACACTCGGTCACCGGCCGACCTGGCCATTCTTCTGACGTTCCCCCCCCCCCCCCCAAAAAAAATAAAAATATCGTGCTGCGCTTCTCTTTCCCGTGACGCGTGACGCCCCTGTGATCATCAGATTGCGCTGTCGTGGACGTTTTCCGTTTCAACACGTTTGCCCTCTGACCAAGACCGCGTCCCAAGAGAAAATCCCAAAGCCTAGCCGCATGGGCGAGAATGAGCGCTTCGAAGCGTAGAGCGTCCATCGTCGTCTTGTCTCGGAAGCGCCTCGAGTGTGACCTTTGCCGTGCGGTGCTGACAGCGCCCGCCACCGCACCGTTCGAATATTTCCACAGTAGAATTTATTCAGATTTTCAGTTTTGTCACAGCATTTGCACGAACGAGGAAAAGGGAGCCGAAGTAGACGAGCGCGGAGCGCACTATCAGTCCCCGTCAGAACGGACTGTGCAAGCAAGTCATGTCCCAACGACGGGGACCGTGTCTGGTGCAGCCGGAATACTTCGATCGTTCAAGGCTGATGATCACAGAATAGTACAGTCGGAGGGGCCCAGGTTTTGGCAGCGCTCGAGCAATTGACGGAGATGAGCGTCAAAAGTAAGAGGCTAGAGGAAAGCTTTATGACCCAAAAAAATATGAGAATAACACTCAACAAGAGACCTAAAATTTTTTGGTCGAGATATTACTTCTCTTCGTCCTTGCCTTGCCAGTGGGCATCATGGTGACCCTGCGTGTGTCACTGCAGAAATGTGGCCACACGTCCAGCGGCCGGCATCGTCTCCGGTGTCGTGCAGGGCTGGAAGTGGATAGGCAGCTGGCTGTCAAGAGGCGACGGCGGATAAAGACGCGCGCGCGCGACGATAGCGAAACGTGATCTCTAAATTTGTGTTGGGGCGAGCTACATGACTCTTCTAATCTTTGGTCTCCACATTACTACTATGTGGACCAGCTATGTATCAAGAGACGCATATGCAACGAGATACCAGTCTTTCCAAAGAGAACACGTACACTCGGTCACCGGCCGACCTGGCCATTCTTCTGACGTTCCCCCCCCCCCCCCCCAAAAAAAATAAAAATATCGTGCTGCGCTTCTCTTTCCCGTGACGCGTGACGCCCCTGTGATCATCAGATTGCGCTGTCGTGGACGTTTTCCGTTTCAACACGTTTGCCCTCTGACCAAGACCGCGTCCCAAGAGAAAATCCCAAAGCCTAGCCGCATGGGCGAGAATGAGCGCTTCGAAGCGTAGAGCGTCCATCGTCGTCTTGTCTCGGAAGCGCCTCGAGTGTGACCTTTGCCGTGCGGTGCTGACAGCGCCCGCCACCGCACCGTTCGAATATTTCCACAGTAGAATTTATTCAGATTTTCAGTTTTGTCACAGCATTTGCACGAACGAGGAAAAGGGAGCCGAAGTAGACGAGCGCGGAGCGCACTATCAGTCCCCGTCAGAACGGACTGTGCAAGCAAGTCATGTCCCAACGACGGGGACCGTGTCTGGTGCAGCCGGAATACTTCGATCGTTCAAGGCTGATGATCACAGAATAGTACAGTCGGAGGGGCCCAGGTTTTGGCAGCGCTCGAGCAATTGACGGAGATGAGCGTCAAAAGTAAGAGGCTAGAGGAAAGCTTTATGACCCAAAAAAATATGAGAATAACACTCAACAAGAGACCTAAAATTTTTTGGTCGAGATATTACTTCTCTTCGTCCTTGCCTTGCCAGTGGGCATCATGGTGACCCTGCGTGTGTCACTGCAGAAATGTGGCCACACGTCCAGCGGCCGGCATCGTCTGGCTCACTGCAGCACGCGTCTCCAAAAAAAAAAAAAAAGCCGAACCTTCACGAGATCGTCGCAACAGCCAGACAAACGGCTGCCGACAGGAAAAAGCGTGCGACAAAGCACAGTCAAGCCTAAGTATGCGTGTCCAACGGTCAGATGTGGAGTTATATAGACATTGAGTCAAGGTTGCGTTCAACAATCGGCCAAGTGGTCAATTGGAGATTGCAGGATCCACCTGCCCGGTGGCGCAATTGGTTAGCGCGTCTGACTGTTAGTCCTATCAGGATGAAATCAGGAGGTTGAGAGTTCAAGCCTCTCCCGGGCAGCTTCTTTTTGTCGTTGTACGACATAAAAGATTGAAAACAATCGATCGGTCGGTCGATTGGAAATCGCAAGATCTTACTTGCCCGGTGGCGCAATTGGTTAGCGCGTCTGACTGTTAGTCCCATCCGGATGAAATCAGGAGGTTGAGAGTTCAAGCCTCTCCCGGGCAGTTTCTTTTTTGCGTTTTGCACGTCATAATATTTTTTTTTGCCTTTGTGGGATGTCTCCACGAGCTCCTTCCCTTGTCATGCTCTTTTAATGAATCCGTCCGAGTGGATGCGAATCCAACGGTATAGCAAACCCCCAGCTTTTTAAGTATACGGAGATGCTCCTGCTTATGCATGATTCAGGACCAGTCAAAGATTGTATATGCCATTTCAGCGCGTGTCCACATGCCTGTGATAGTTCGCACTGTGCCTGCGGTTCCGGACAGAAGTAGGCATTGCGAAGTTCCATGTTCTGTATTCTAAGATGCAAATCTACTCATCGTGAGGCTTGATCTTCATGTTGAATCACAACCAGTCTATCCGATGCGAATGAGCTCTTCCGAAGCTTTGGGGGACCACGCGATGCAAAAGTTTTATTTCCCATCACAAAACTGCACAACAGCCCACTTCCCGCTCCAGGCCCACTTCCTTGCGTCCAACCCGCTGTCTTTGACTCCCTTCTCCCACCGCTCGTACGGGCCTGGCCCGGCTTCCAGGGCTCTGAGCTCCTCGTCCTTTCCTTGCGGTAGCCCGACCACTACATCACCCTTGCACGTCCTCAGAGCTAGGACTCGCAGCCCAGAACCAGGACCAAGCGGTCCGATAGCAGTGGAGAAAGGCGTTGTCGGGTCCCACATTGCCTGCGATTTTGTGTCAGTTGAGGACATCCTACGCCACAGCCTTGGCTTAGGTTCAGGCATCGACTTACGTCGCCGGTGAGCTTCCTGTAATTCAGGTCACCCTTGAAGATGCACAGCTCGCTCTGCTTAAGGTCTTCATGCAGACAAGGCGCTGTGCCCGGTAGGCGCCAAAAGCTCCCACCTTCCGTCCAAAACGTGTTTGGCCTTATAACCAACTTCCCTTCTGCATGGAGATTCGCCCACCGGTCGAAAAGAAATTTCAATTCATCCACTTCCTTGTCGGAAAGAGGCGGCGGCGTCTTACCTGCGTTAGTATCCTCCTCTGACAGGGTCTCGTAGAAGCCTCGGGGATCGGCCAGGGCGCCCAGCAGATCGCTGAAGTCCTTAGGGACCACGTCCGACACGAACCACGGCATGGTCTTTGGGTGCAGGACAACTGTCGTCGCGAGGCCCACAGTCAGCAAATACCCAGCTAAGACGAGGTCGACAAACAACTCGAACCCTGCGTTGTCGAGGATGAAATCAATACGGCGCTCTTTTTTCCCGCTCTTCTGGGCAGTGTAGAGGGCTTCGAAGGCGGCACCGAGGTCGTTGACGAGCACCTTGCTTCTGCTCGCGGAGCGTGCCTCGCTGCCCTGCAACTTCTGGAGGTCATCATGGGACAGATTCGTCAATAATGACAGATCAGTAGCGTTGCCCCAAAGACAAATCTCGCACATGTCTCTGAAGACAGCCTCCTCCGCGGCGGCCAGTTCCGCCTCCGTCTGCGCATGCTTGAGTGTGTGCTCCGCTTCGAGCTGCGTGACGATCTCCTTGTACTGAGCTGCGAGCTCGAGGACAGCGGCACGCGATGAGCGGAAAGTGGACATCTTGGAGGCAGCAAAAACATCGTAATCTTGCCACTTCTTGCTGAGGCGAAAGATAGCATGCATGCGTCTAGCTGTGTTCGTCAGATGAGCGTGATCAAGGCACAGGAGGACGGAAATGAAACCAAGACATGTACAAGTGCGTGCATGCTTGACTGCACCTACCTGTACAAGTAGCATTCACTGTACAGCCATGGAGCATTAAACCATTTTAGCTCGCCTCCAAACTTGGCCTCCAGCTGGCTGAGCTCCTGGTTATACTTGTCGACGTCAGGGAGGCCATCGTCGCTCAGAGGCACGAGCCTGCGGTCATGCTGTAGTTCGTACTTCAGCCCAGCGAGTTGAGCAATGATCTGCTTGCCCTCGGCCTGGACTTCAGGGTCTGTGGCCTTTGCCGTGGCTCGATGGACGTCGTCGATAGCCTGGGTCTGTTCTACGTGTCAGCGTCTCCGCTCACATTACTTCCAGAATTCACAAATGAGATTGTCCATTCACATACCAGAATAACAGGCCAACGATCTCGCGCGGACGGGTAGGCGAAGCTGTTCTTGTCGGCGGTGCTCCACGGGGCTGCAGAATTGTTAGAACACGGAACAGGCTCGAACACGTAGACGAAGGGGAATTTTTCCGTACGCGTCTGTGTCTCAAACTCCATGTCTATGTCGAGGTTTGCTTTCTCTTCACCTGCTGGCGGGGTCGAGGATTATTGGTTGGATCGTCCGAGCAGATCATCGTCAAAAAAGGCCAGCGTTAATGCGTCAGCGGTGCGACCGATGTCGGAGCGCGGGGCATTGCCCGCCGAGCGAAGCACGCTGTTTGCTCTGTTTCAGAGCAGGATGGGTTCGTTTATTTTATACCAAATTTTTTCATCTGGACACATGGCTTTACACGGTGCGATTAGCCATACGCAGAACAACGCAAAGATCGAAGAGTTGGTGCATGCGGCCGCGTATGTGGCGTTCGGCACTCCAGCCCTACGCGATCGCAGGCTTGCTCTTGGCCGCCACGATGCCCGCATCCAAGAATCAGTAAGAACACGGGCAAGGAATAAATCACGACTAGATATGCAACACCCACCACCAAAAGGCGTCTATCGCAAAGCTGCATTCCTCCTGCTGCTCCAGTCGCGTCGGCAAGATCCACGCGATCCTGCCGATCTCCACGCCAACTTTTCCTGTTCCTGACGCCAATGGCTAATCAAAGCTGGTCTGAACGTGGTGGCTGGCAACCACCCAGCCATCGCTCAACCACAGCATTTTTCGACGACAGCACATATATATGGCGACTTTGGTCGCGTCGAACCGAGCGATTTTCCATTTACTCCAAAGACTTCGGCAGTGCATCCTGACACTGTACTCCTTCTCTACCTGTTGGTGTCCGACTCACCTGTGTGCTCGCGCCCCTGACCCCAGGGTGACAGTGTTTCACACTTCCCCACATTCACCTTGTCTATAGAGTGCATTATCACCAGGCTCGTCCAATCGACGTCGCCCAAAGCCTTCGTTACCGCTAACATGGCACACGCGGCTGCTTCGGCAGACTCTCGCGCCATTCCTCATTCTCATGCGAACGCCTGCAGGAGTTCATCTCCCTCGTCGCGATCTTCGAGCCCAAGGTTTAACATCGCAGACTTCGAGCGCTCAACTCGACTGCCACATTCTGCGCTGACGGCCGCCTCCTCAAGGGAGACGTCGTATGCTTCGCAGGCGAACATCGACGACTTGGATTTTGCCAGCAGCAGCACCACTACAACCCCCGCATCTGCGAGCACCGCGCTTGGCCGTACCTACGCCAAGGGTCTGAACTCTTCCTTCCTCAAGCGATCGGCGTCGAAGCTGCTACAACGCCGTCTATCGACCTCGAACCTGCCCATCACGCCTCCGGCTTCGCAGCCCGGCTCCGGAGCCAGCTCGCCCACGAAGTCTCTGGCCAGCTTCGTTACCGGCGACAGCAGCAACACTTCCAACACATTATCCAGCAGCGCTAGCAAAGCCAGTGTTAGAGCGCGCAGTGCTTCGCGCGTCATCTTTGACAACTACTTCAACGGAGATTCGAACAGAGTGCATATCGGTGTCCTATCTCCACAGCAGCACGCGCGAACCTATTCCGTGCCTGTAGCTCCGTCGTTCTCCCGTGAGACGCTTCCCGCTCACGAGGACGGCTACGAGCCGGATTGCGAGACAAATATGAGTACATCTTCTTATACTCGCTCTCCACCGAGGATCCGCCCGCGTAGGAGTCCCACCGCGGAGAGTGGCTCCTCGACTACGTACGCCGGCAAGATTGGCGCCTGGTGGAACAGCACCAAACAGGCAACCCTTGCACCTAAGTCGTCCACTTCGGCTTCGTCCGCACCATCTGCAGCGCAGGACCCCGCGGCCGATGACCCACTGCTCAGCCTGTCCGTCACGCAGGCTCTTTTCCCCCACGGCCCTGTCGACCCCCTCAATCCGAGCTCCTTCAACGACCTACTAACTGCGGCCGAGGCAGTTATATCCACATATCAGAATGCATATGCGCAGCGCGTTGCGGAATTGTCCTTTCTCCGTTCTGAGACAGCGCTCAAACAAGATGAGCTTGAGGAGTGTGAGACCCGGGCGCAACACTTGAAGATGCAGCTCGTGGACTTGAGCGAGCAGTGCAACGCGCAGAAGGAGAAGGCAGACCTGCTTGAGGGTATGTTAAGAGATAGGGAAAGCGAGGCCGCGTCGTCGGCGGCCGTGGCGCCGGACGGCACGGCGATCTGCCAGTGTGGGAGCAGAATCAGACTGAGTGAGCAGGAAGAAGGTAAAGCAAGCAGGCAGCGGAGGGGGCCAAGTAGTCGGGCAGGTAGCGATTCCGGTTTTGAAAGTGATGGCGACAGCGTGTTCTCTGCCCATAACGAACACCAGAACGATACGGCGGCGACGGCTAAGGGCAAAATGCTTCGACAATCACCACATTCTAGTCTCCACATTGCTAATTACACATCGCATCCTGCGTATTCGAGCAGCGGCAATAGCGATCTGCGACGCGAGAACGAATTACTGCGAGCGAGGGTTTTGGAACTCGAGAGTGCCGTAGAGGGCTGTTTGGGCATGCTGTCGAACCCGCTTGCACTGTAGAGAACAGGAGTCTTCTTTCTCTTTCTTTTCTCCCGCGTTAAGTGTAGGCTGGGAATTTTCTGAGAAATTGCATATACCCCCCAAAATCAAAGGTCAAGGGCTTTATAGACATGTGTATAAACCGGGAATCAAAATATCTTGCCATGCTACAGCCATGTTCTTCTCATCTTTTCTTCTCATGCTGTGAACTTTTGGGCGATGAGGAGCTTTGTTTCTTGGGTAGAAGGAGTAACATTCGGTGAAAGTCAACCTTTTGGCAAGGGGAAAGGGATATACATCGCTTTTCGGACATAAGAACTCATTGCCTTTGGGAAGATTGCTAAATTGTTACGCTCAGGAGAATTTCGGGACCATGTCACAAAGCTGTTTTGACAGAGTCCCATCCGAGTAATCGTATGGAGAAACGGAAACACAATGCTTTTGTTGTCACCAATGATCGATCTAGTTGCTGAATGTCCGTGTCTTTCTGCTTTGTTCGTGAGCCAAGAATTCCGCTCTGGGCGTTGATTGAATGGCGAGAAGGAAATATGGAAAAGCACTGGCATTGTCTGATATGAAAGGCGCACAAATTGGCCCATGTAGATGACTTTCAAACATGAGTCTCTTGTCACAACGACTATCCAGCCGAGTGAAAGTCATTGCGCTCCATGGTTTATCATAAACGTGGATCCGCACAAGTCGCTGTGAAAACTCCGCACACAGATTTCAACAAGGCGTCGCATTTCCCACGCCTCCACCAGATAAGCTCGATCTAGAAGCCTACAGAACGCGTGTCGAAAGCCCCCATAGTCTCTCCTCGTAAGCAAGGCTAGTAAAGATATCCATGTGCCATCACGTTCACACCGTTTACCAGTGCGGCTGCGAAAAACATGACATCTCGAGGTGTTTCACGGCATGGCTTCGCGCGTCCGACTGCCGAAAACCTAGCAGCAGCTCCGTGTGCTCGTACTTGAATTGTCGTAACTGCGGCCAGCTATACTCCACCTTTCACCTAAAGAAGCAGTCGCAGAACGCACCCAGTCGTGCGGCTGGGCGGAGGGCGAGAGGCTACAAGTATTGAGCGTTCTCACCGTGACGAGCGCAAGTCGACGTCGTGAAAGCGCTGGCGGTAAGTTTGGGTGCTTGCCCTCAAGCCGGTTTACCTTTGCAGTAGGAATTGCTTCCAAAGTAACTGATGGGCGAGTATGAGAGTGGGCTTTGCTGTGAATGCAGATGGGTACGGATTCTCTTTCCTGGACTTCGCCGGGCTTGTTGTAGTGGCATAATGGACCGAAGCCTGCCTTATGATTTGGAATGAGATGTGGTCTTTGCAAATATCTACAAAACATAGAGCATATCTCTGCGCGATGATCCTTCGTGCACTAATACGAGGGTTTTCGGGTTCGAAATCAGCGATAACTTTTTCGCCTATACTGACCACTGGTGTATTGAGTCTTTATTTACACTATTATGGAGACTTTCACTCCTGTCTTCCCGATCTGTTGTGAATGTAGACAGTATCTTCGTGATTACAAGTTGTATGACATGGCCTGCGTAACACTTTGTTTGAAGGAGGTCAACGAAGCACTGTGGCCAACGTACATCGAAATATTTATCGGCGTAATGAAGGCGGCTTGCGGATTAAAAGAATTTAAGAGTGGAACTTCTGACTACATTATGTGCCGTCGTACGCTCGGTTGGAAAGAATTGCCGAAACGGTGATTGAAAAGAGAGGTGTAATGTAATTTTGGTGAGCTGCAGAGCTTAAGCCAACGCTTAGCAGCCGAGGAAAGCTACCCACATCAGCCCATATCATGTATTGACGTGTGTTTCGCTACTTTAAAATACAATACCTTTAAGTCGAGTGCTCAGGTAACAAAATGGTTCAATTCATTCGTATGCAAAGCGACAGATTTTGTAACCTTAATCCGTCAACTCGAAATTCAACGGAAGATCATACTGGGAACGGCTCGGGCGTCCACCCAAATGACGTCGTTGTGAGAACAATTGTCCTGGGATAGTGAAGCAATTACGCCTACTACAATGTAGCGCAATGCTACCATACCATACGTAGTTTTCCATGTCGCCAGGGCATTTCAAGAACGCGTATTTAAGCTACAACCAGCAAGCCTACTTTGGCAAATTGATTGTACCCCAGATTTTGATCCCTTTTCGTCCAATCGCCCGGATTTGCAGGTCCACGAATTGCCTCGGCCCACCAGCCCCAAACCCCGCGAGATCCAGGTAACGAGTCAAACATCCTCGCGTAACAGCTCGTTCTCCATGCGAGCGCTCTTCATATTGCCGCTAATCGCCGGTTTGACATGACAAGGTCTGGTCTGTTCAGATTGCCTTCGTCAGTCCTAGATCTTGTTCGGAATCACGTCGCGATCAATTCTTCAAAGTCAGGAAACCGGCAGCTCGCATCCGCAATTACATTTCCGCGCCTGAGCACCTGCATATTTTCGAACGCGAGGTTCTGCAGTCAAGAGGTTCGCGATCGAGGACCACTTTGGGACGCGAAGCAGAAACAGACGCATAGACTTAGGGATAAGATGAGCCGTGTAGAAGACCATCAGATTACGGAGAAGGGGAAGAAGTCGCCGTCGGTGCCAAAGCCAAGTTCAAGGTAAGCTCGGATTCATCGGCATTTTGACATTAACAGTGAGCGCTGACGCCAAATGATCAGTGTTGTACTAATTTCGCCAACGAACCAAGTCCTTCTACTTCACCGCGTCCAGACTTCAACGTCTTTCCCCTCCGCGCACGTATTCCCTGGAGGCAATGTGTCGGAATTCCATGACGGTAGAGCACCGGAGCCCAATGAACCAGGGCGACACGTCGATGGGCCCGCGTATAGGCTTGCAGCCATTCGCGAGACGTTTGAAGAGAGTGGCATAGCGCTCGCGCATACGAGCTCGGGCCGCCTCCTCGAGCTCAGCGAGCAGGACAGAGAGACAGGCAGGAAGCTAATACACAGTGGCAAGGTGCCATTTAGGCAATGGTTGTCCGAGAAGGGTGGGACGCCTGATGTTGATGGTTTGATCCCCTTCACACGCTGGATCACCCCAATTGGCCCTCCCAAGCGCTTTACTACGCAGATGTATCTATATTTCCTGCCTACTGCATCTCGTGTGCTTGATCGAACCCCACTGTCTAGCACGGAGGAGACGCTGATTCCGACGCCGACACCAGACGGAGGTGTCGAGCACACCGCAGCGCAGTTTTTACCTCCTCAGAAGTGGATCGAACTTGCGAGCTCCGGCAAGATCATCATGTTCCCGCCGCAGTTTTTCCTGCTCAGCATGGTTGCGCAGTTCCTGAAGCCGTCGCCGTCGCTGAGTATCTCTGAGCTAGAGCAACAACGCGCCCAGCTGCGGGAGTTTGCAAGGGGAGGTGACCCACTATGGTCTGAAGTTTGCATCAGTCCCGCTGCGCTGATTGGTAAGTTGGGCGATGGTAGGACGGTAATGGCATTGGATAACCCAGGTGAGGGTTTGGAGAAGAAGGGCAGACGGGGAACGAAGGAATACGTGATCATCACGGAATTTAGCAAGGGAGGGCCGAGGAGGCTGCAATTGAAGACGAGAAAAGAGGTCATGCAAGACTTGAAAGACGATGTCAAGAACAGCGGGACTGCATATAGTCATCATTTGCAACATATTCAGACGAAGAATACACGGGAGAAATTGTAGTAGACTTGTGTAGAATAGACTACATATATATGCACAAGTTCGTTGCTTTCTGGCCGCTCCAATACATCGCCATTCCGCCGCCGCCGTCATTTTGATTGGGTTCCGCGAACTCGAGAGGTAAGTTGAAGAGACTTGATGAAGTCGATAGGATCCCAGCATTTCACGTGACCTGAAGTCCTGTTCTCCCCGCCTTGCCTGATTCGCCTTAGTGGATTTGTCGCACACAGAATTTCCAACGTCAACGAGGATCAAATTCGTGACAACGACCAAAAAACCCAGGGCAGCTCACACACACACCCACACACGAAAGCTCCGACACTCTCTAAGCCCCAGTCAAAATGGAGAACGAACGTACGTCGCCCGGAAGGAAAGCTGGATAAGATGAAGAAGAATAAGCAGGGAAGAGATATTGACTTTTTTTGTCTCGCAGGCGGTGAACTCGTCGACATTTACGTCCCACGCAAGTGCTCGGCCACCAACCGCATCATCACCGCAAAGGACCATGCCAGCGTGCAGATCAGCATTGCCAAGGGTACGCCACTTCTCTCTGCACGATTCCGTTCCTCCCCTTTGTCAATCGAGCAGGAGTTGAGAATGGAAGAAAGGGCACAGAGCCAGAGCCGGCTGACGCAAGGACACAGTTGATGAGAACGGCCGCGCGACCGGCGAGACCCAGATGTACGCCCTGTGCGGCTTCGTGCGGGGAATGGGCGAGGGCGACGACGCGCTAAACAGGCTGGCACAGAAGGACGGCTTCCTCAAGAACGTGTGGAGCGCGAGCCGCTAAGCGTAGCGGCGCTCGAGCAGGCACTGTTTCGATGTACGAAGGGTCCGGAGGTGAGTCTTTTTTTCTTTTTTGTTCCTTAGGATCGGCGTAAAGAGAAGGGGAGCCAAGCGCGGAGCGTAGTTCTTGCTAATCGAGATGACAGTCCTTGTTTTCCATCACGGTTTTTTACGCGGACAATCTGAGCTTTTTGACAATGCATTGTCTTGTCTTTTCATCATCATCACGGGGGCTGGGAAACGGATTACTCGATAGAGAAAAAGACAAGCGCCCGGTCGTAGCATGGTCGCTGTTGGCGTGATGAACGGCTCAGGCAGGAAGATCGAACAAACCACAGAAGAGATACGAGAAAAGAACAAAATTCACGATCTCAACCCTCCCAAAGAATATCGCTTTTGCCTTTTTGCCCTTTGCAATCGCAAAAATCTGCCCTATCCCGTTACTCCTTTCCTGTGACACTTGACCCAACGCGCATATTCAAGGCTTCCTCAGGTTCCGCTCCATATCTGACGAAGTAAAGTATTCGACGCAAGATCGACGGCGTGACCGACCGTCGTGTCGGGAACTTCGCCTCTGAAAGTCTGCGCCGGTTGAGACTCGCGGCCGCGGAACAGATACGGGCGATACAGCTTTCAAACCTGTGAGCATCCTAGCAAAGCAGACTTGCTTGTGAAATCAGTCCGACAGCTCCGATAGTGCAAGCATACGAGATTTTTTTTTCTGGCTTCTCGAATTGGCCGTACAGGCTCATATAAAATTACAATCGTAAAGAATACAAAGGCACAATGGGTATCTCATATATAACGCGCACACAATGAACAAGCCAGCCGTGTACAGATCACCGCTCGGGCTCCACGAGCCGAACCCTCTTCCCTTCCTCACCTAGCAGACCTCTCGCTCCTTTCACGGCCCCGCTCTCTCTGACTCTCCTGCCGTCGCCTTTGACGCTGCCCATCGCATTTTTCGCCTTTTCCTCTTCCATTCGCTTGACAAGTTCGCTCCTGTACATCCCGCGCACGCATGCACACCCGCACCCGGCCGTTGCGCAACGTCCGCCAAGCTCGGGAACATTCGGCTGCGTCTGTAGACACGCGGCGTGGGCGCCGTGGCCGCAGGTGAGGCAGAACTGCCAAAGCGACGGGTGCTCGAGCTTTGGCTCGTCGTTACCCGAGGCGTTCGGAACAGGCGCCGATGGTGAGGGCGATGAAGACGTTGGAGGCTTGACGGACGCGCTGAAGTCCAACCTGCCATTGGCGCAGATGCGGATGGCTGGTACTTTGGCGTCCTCCATCTTCCTTGCGCGCTTCGTCATCGTGAACGGGGAGTACTTCTGCCAACATACTGGGCACAGGTCGTGACCCTTGTTACACTTTTCGCATTTGCGCGTTGCCGAGCTGACTGGTTTGTTGCATTTGGCGCACACGAGCTCGACAGTCGAGCTCCGCAGAAGATGATCCTGGAAAGCGCCGAGGTGAGGGTATACTAGATTTCGTAGCATCACCAAAGATGTAAAGAGCATACACTTCTCCAGCTGCTCCTGATAAGCCATGCAGACGGCCTCCACCTGAAGGGGATGGATATCGAAGCGTGCAAGATGTACAAGGTGACCTGAGAGGATGGCGTGTATTTCGTCCGTCTCCAGGCCCACTTCGACTTTGCAATAGTGGGCATATTCTTGCAAAATATGTCGTGTTTGCGCCAAGCGCGTCTGTCCAGCGACTTCATACTCGTGAGCGGCCAGACTGGCGCTGTTCGGCAGGAATGGCGAGAGCAGCATCATCAGGTGGACGATCTGCTGGGCATCGGGTACAAGCGCCGTGTGGTACATGAACAATTTTTGCAGCATTTTGCCAGCTGTTATTGGATACGTGCGGCTGAGAGAGATGCCCGGCGGCCTCTCAAAGTCGTCAAGGATCAAATCCTTGGAGTTCATGTTGACAACGGGCCGTACAGCTGGTGCGGCAATGCGCGCCCGCTGTTTAGCATCATGGCGAGGGATGTCACTACGTTTGGGTGGTTCCACGGAACGTGGGTCAGTTGCATCTCCAAGTATCTGCGCCGGAAATAGCGACGGATTGAGCGCCTTCGTACCGAGGGGGCTTTCAGATAGTTGTAGTGAATCGAAGCTCCCGTTGAAGACATCTCCCTTAGAACTTCCAGACTGACTTGCTTCCTCGCCTGACTGACCAAAACTATCAGTGGCGCTGCGCTCGTGAGTCTGTTCGGCAGGTAGAAGATCTTCCGGGATACTACTCATGCTCAGCTGCCGGTCGCGGAGGCTGTTCATAGATTGCGCCAACGAGTGCTCATTCTTTGACTCGGAAGACGAAGGGAACATTGCAAAGCTGTCGTCGGAATTGTGCCTATACATGGGCGGTGGTATGTTGACGGCCGGGCTAGAATCTTTACGAGGCGTGTCGAGGTCGAGAAGTGCCTTTGGCTGGGCTCGCCAGTTAGCAATCTGTGCCTTGCGCTCGTTGATGTCGTTTGTGTTGAACCAGCTTGTCCCTGCTTCAAGGTTCTCGCGGCGTTGCCTCTTCTGTGCGGTGGCCGCAGTCGAAATTTGCGCCGCTTGGTGCATGCCTGACGAACCTCCAGAAACAACGGAGGGTGGGAGGGACAATTGATCATCGTGCGGCGGCTCAGGGATATTGTGATGCAAATTCGACGAGTGAGAACTGTTCGCGGACACATGCGGTTTCGCGAGCGGCGTAGGCATATTACTGTCACTTTCTACAACATGGCCGTCTGGAATGGCGGCTCGACTCGTATCAGCAACGGCAGCAGAGCCGGACGCAAAGAGAGTATCTTCGCCGTCGAAAACAGGGAATGAAATGTCAGGCAGGGTAAGGAACGGATCTTCAGGCTGTTCTGCTTTAGACAGCCTAGCTCGCCGGCGCTGCTCGCCGTTTGTGAGCACTTCCCGTTGCAATACTGCGCCTACGCCCATCCAAACCTGTGCTGCGCGATGATTTCCCGCTCGATCTGCATAGTTTGCATTCTGCTCGAACGGCTTTGAGACGTTCTTGTAGCTCTCCACAGTCGGCTTATCTGGCAGTGCGGCTGTCTTATACTTTTGGGCCAGAAACAAAAACGTGTTGATATCGCTAGATCCAGGCAGAGGACCACGCAGCGCGGTCTGGTGCGGTAGCGTGTTGTCCTTAACCTGGCTCAGAGTGGCATCAAGTTCGGCCAGCGTATCCTTGTCTAAGGACGGCGGTGTGCCTGCCAAGGATTTGGAGCTGCGGTTGCTCAGTGTCCTCTCATGGTGCCTGGGCTGATAGGACGAGGAGAGAAAAGTATCATCTATGGAATCATCTGCACTGCTCCGGCTGAGCTCCGGCACGCCTGTCTTGGGCATGACTCGCCTTGCAGCAGGATTCGGAGCGTCCGGGAGGGAAAGCTCCATATCAGAACGTCTGCGACGCGTGCGCTTCTGACCGAACGCGACCATCTCGCCCGTTGGAGAGATTGCGAATGTCGACAATGGTCTGCGATCGATCGTCTTTGGCGCATACTTGACGTCTGTTTGGTAAAATTCACCTTCGCGGCCCACGCTCCACAGCAGGTCGATCGAGTGCCACAGCATGTCGGTCGGGGCGGTGCGCGAGGTATAGACCTCACGGAAGGGGATATAGGGTCGGCGAAAGTCCCACAGGTGAATCACCGGGTGCTTCTCGTCGTAAGAGGTCACCACCTGGGTCGCCTGCCAGGAGCCCCGGCCGTGCTCGTCCCCAGACCAACAGGGAGGTCTCCAGCGCGCATTGGTGACCGTGTACGGGGTTCGCAACGTCCAGGCTGGCTTTTGTCGTTTGTGATCGGACGAGAAGTCCCAGATCTTCAACATTCCATAGGATCTGTTCCCGGACATGCGGTCCTGACCTGCGCTGAGCAGATGCTTGCCGTCTGGGTGCCAGTCGACAGAGGTGCAGCCTCCATCGTGAGCGTTGTTAATCTTCAATTTGGCTGCCTTTGGGCTTCGATAGTCCCATCGCTGGACGGCGCCAGAGTCGGTGCCCAACGCGAATTCTAGACCGTCTGATGGTGACCATCTGACGTCCCGAACAGCATCGCTTTGGCCACTATACTTAGCGCGCGCAGTGATCGACGCAACCTCGGGCCTCATGTCGCGCAAATCCCAAAATCTGACGGAGCCATCGTGGCTAGCGGAAAGGAGCAGCGCACCGTGGTGAGGGCTAAAGGCGACTCGGTGAACTTGCCGATGGTGCTCATGCAGTCTTGAAACTTCGATGCCAGGTCGGACGAGGTCGTATATGACGACCTTCCCATTGGTCGCTGCACACGCAATGAAGTTGGAATAGGGACCGTGGGACCATTTGACGTCGTGGATGTCCAGGTTGTCGCGATGCCGGGTAGCGTTATGCCTGTCGTGGCTGTACAATGCTTCGCGGATGTTGAGATCCTCGGAACAGGTGGTTCCATTGACACGGACCGTCTCGAGTATCTCTCGTCCTGCGAGAATGGCATGTGTCCGATCCTGATTGATGTCCAACGCCGCGATCTCGGCGGTTACCTTAGCCTTAAATTTGGCATACTGTGATGTGAGAGGGCTGTAGCTGCATTGAATAACGTCAGCATGCTTTCTCTTGCTCAATTACATGCTCGGGCCCTGACGAGTCGCGCTCGTGCTTCGTGCAGGAGCAAATGGCAGCAGTAACATCATCGTCATCGTAATCACCACCGACATGATCGTCAGCATGCGCGCTAGGACTCCTTGCCCTGAGAGGCTTGGGCAAGGTCAGACGTCTGGAGGAAAAAAAAATTCTACACCGCCATTATACTCATGCACGAAAATGCAGCATCCGTCAAGAATCAGGATAGAGAGTTGACCAGTTGAAGCACGGCAAGGGTCTTTTGTTTAGGAAGCTTACCCAGGTAACTGCGGGAAGGCTGCCGCCCTTCCTCCCTCCCGACCCGGCTGGGCGGTTGCAGGTCGCGAGCCGTAGGTGGTGAATGACTGGGTAACGAATCTGGTAAATGCACTGCGCTTTGGTTCTGGCAGAGGGGGTGGAGGAGGGATGACTGGGGGCGCCGCGACAGAGGGCGTGATGTTTGGGATCCGCCTCGGATGTTGTTCTGCCATTGATGCAGCAAAACGCGAGACGGAGGACAACAGAAAGGAAGACAGACAAAACACGAGTGGGCTCGTGCCGCTTCAAACGACTTTTGGCCAACCCGTTTACGGGTTCAGCATGGTTGCTTCCAATGAGAAGTTGGGGGGGAGGGGAAAAAAGGCTCTCCAGCAGTAAGGTCGGATATCTAGCGCCAAGACCAGGCAAGGAACTGAAACTCAAGGACAGAGGAATGCAGCAGCCGATGCAGGTCGGAGCTGTGCCGAATGGCAAGCATGCAACACAGAATAGAAAGCAGCGGGGACGTAGTCTCAGACAGGAGAATGCTGAAGGATCATGCCGGGTGCTTGGGGTGATGAGGGAATCCCAAAATCCCAAGCTTCCAGGCCCGGCTCGCCGGGGCAGCGTTCGCAACGAGCCGGGGCAAATGAGAAGCGAGGTGAATGGATGGAGTGGCGCAAGTTTGGGCTCGTCTGCGGATCGGAGGGCGGACTTTTTGCTTCAGATGGATGGACAACAGGTGCGTGATGGCGATGCAGGTCGTGCAGCTGAAGAGTAGGTGAGCAAGTGTGGAGCGAGAGCCTGAGCGAGCTTAGCACCGCGGCGGCGGGCAGACAGTGTTCCCCGCTAAGGCCGCTGTCGGCGGCCCGATTGGCCACGCAGCCGTGGGTTTGGTGTGCTGGATCCAGCCAGAGATGCTGACTGTGTATTCGGACAGCCAGAACCTACCTGGGGCGGGAGTTCGTCGAGACGGCAACAGACTGCACGCCTGCTGGCGCCGTCCGTCCGTCTGCCGGACAGGTGTCGAGCGGTCTCCGGCTAAGCGATGCGCGAGGGAAGGACGAACGCAAGGACAGGGAACGCACGAGGCCAACAGATTGGACGCAAGGCGAGACACAGCGCCGCCAATCGTCAACGACGACACGTGCCGCAGCGATTGAAAGGCCGGGTGTGGTAATGGTTGCGCGTGCGAGCACTGTGTGTACGTACCGAGTGCGTGTTCGTGTGACTGCGAGCCGGCGAGCGTAGCGGAATCATGTCAGCCGGGCAGCCGTCACGCGCAGACACTCGGGGACACCCACTTGTTCTACGTTCAGACGTGAGAGGAAGACAAAATCAAGCTTAGGCTCGCACATGTACGCGGCTGGCGGACGCTGTCTTCCTGCCAGCTGTCACGGCGGCGACAGCAGACCGATCGCTTGGCGAGCCCGTCTTACACGCCAAACCGCGGCGAAGAATCCGTCTAGTCTGTCTCCAGACCCCGGCGTGCTTATCCGTTGAGGACGAAGGACGGTGGAGGTGGACAGAGAGAGCTGACGAGCGCGTGTACGTGTTCATGATGAGTAACCACAACGTAGTGTGGCGACAAGTCGACACGTGACGAGTGAGAATCCAGGTGGACGGGCGCGACGGTGGCGATGATGACGATCGCAGCGTGCTGGCGAGAGTGTCACAAGCAGCAAAGTCATTTATTGATTACGATCATCCCAGGGGCGAGGCGCAGCTGAGTAGACGGGCGCCCGAACTGATACGTACTCGAACATTTGGAGACAACACACGGCCTGCCCCATCGGCCGGCTCGAGGGCCAGGCCTCTGTTGCGCGTGTCGACCAGTCCTATCAAGTCACGCCCTTTGCTACGTACCACCAGTGTACCGCATGTGTTTCTGCTCTTTCCAGCGCCTGGCGCGTGGCGCGTGTGAGGATCGAAACAGTGAACAGGCACGGCGGGCCAGGACATGGGGCCAATGGGTGGATTTGTGGATCGGGTGGACCAGCCTACTGACGGACGTCCCCCATTGTCGAAATCGCAAGTTGAAAGCAAACAAAGAGACGGGGAAGAAGCAGAACGAAGCGAGGGCCGTTTCGAGCAAGCTGAGGCATTCCTGTGAACGACAGCGCAGGGCGTGGTGTGTGTAGCGGGTAGCGAGCACCACGTACCAAGTACCAAGTGCGATGTAGCAAGCACCATGGATCATGGACCATGTATCATGTACCATGTACCACAGACCAAGTACCACGTACCATGGACGTCATGCAGGACGGATGTGTGCTCGTGTAATTTCGCTGCTCAACAAAGTTGCGGTGCCTGATCCGGGCGTTTCGCATCTGCAACCCAGCGGCAGAAAGGGCTCTAGAAGAAAGTGCGGACAAAGAAACGCAGGCGTTCTCTTACACAACACCATCACCGTCCCTCCAACCCCCTCCCTAGTGCTCTGTACCTGTTCGGCTTCACAGTCAAGCGGCGCATGCACGCACGCAGACACCCACTCAACCGATGGCACAACGAGCCGGACTTCACTCGTTCGCCCGTCCATCGATTCCGCTTTTTCCCACGGCATCCCTACCTGCGCTTCGTACGAGCAGTACGCGCGCCATATCGCCTTCTGCCACACCCCCCCGTCCTCCAGCTCCCTCCACACCACCTCCAATAATTGTCCTTTCCTCGCTTCTCAGCGTTGGGCCCACCCCAGACCTTTCTCGCAATCCACCAAACCACCAAATCCAATCTAGGTAGGCTAGGGCTAAGGGGGAGAAAAAATTGAGCGATGGTCCAATCTCATGGTCCCCTTCGTCGCCGACCAGCCTGCCCTTCGAACCCTGCCTAGCCTTGCCCGGTGCGGTAGGTCGAGGACAGCAGTAGTTGTGAACTGCGCGTGCGTGCGTGAGACACAGAGAGAGGTGTGTGAGGAGCAGGCGTGGCCAGAGGACGTGTGCTTGGTGCGCGCCGCCGGGCTTCGAGGGCCAGGAGATGCAGCCTCGATTCCATCTGCCATCGCTTCGCATCACATCGCGTGCCGGCCGCCAGACGAAAGGCATCGCGCGCGGCGAAGCGGGCCCGGCCAATGCGACGGGGCGCGCGAGACACTGAGGCCGTGGCGGGCGGCGCCCCCTCGCCGAGTCGCTGGCCGCTGTCCCGTTTCTGGGTCTGGGCGGAGCCAGCTGGGACCGCTAGCCCGGCTGCTAGCAAGTGTCATCGCGCATCGTTCGCTCGTCGCCCAGCTCACATGCCACCACCTCTCCGCGACAAGTATAACCTCCTCCACCGACGAACCTGACTAGAACCTGACCTGAACGCTACGCCACACTCGCAGGACCACACCCTGCCCGGAACATGCGCGCCTGCATAAAAGACGCCCGCTGATGCTCGCCCGCACCCGTTTTCTTTCAACTGTTCGGTCTCGGCAATCGATCAGACCAGCCGGGGGGAAAGAGTGTATACATCGGATTTTTCTTAGATCCAGTCTCGCGCGCTCTTCACCTCCCCCATCCCGTCTTGTGCTTCTCCTTTGCTATTTTCCTCCCAATTCCTTCGTCACTCCTCCCCTCTCCCTCTTTCGTCTCTTTGTCCTCTTCCCTCCTGTCCCTCCCGACGGCCTCGTGCGTTCCTCCCCTCCGCCAAGCCTCATCCCGCCATAAGCAGATCGACTGTACCGCAAGAGCCGACTGCCCAACCTGGCCTCCGCATACGTCTTCACATCACTCGTTTGAGGGACCGCGTACGCGCTTGCTTGCTCGCCTGTGTTTTTGTGTGCTCGTGCGCGCGAAGAAGAGAAGCACACATAACGCAAAAGGGAGAGAGTGAGATAGAGAAGCGTGTGTGCGCGCGAGAGAGCGTGTGTGTGAGAACGCGTGAGAGAGAGAGAGAGAGAGAGAGAGAGTGTGTGTGTGTGTGTGTGTGTGTGAGAGAGAGAGAGAGAGAGAGAGAGACAGAGAGAGTGTGTGTGTGCGTGTGCGCGTGTGCGCGTGCTTGAGAGAGTGAGTGTGAGACTGAGAGCGTGAGTGTGTGTGCTCTTGCGCGTGCATGTGCTTCGAGATTGAGAAAGAGAGCGAGTCAGTGAGAGAAGAGTAGAGCGAGTAAGGGGAGAGTCGCAGAAGAGAGACCAGACCGAGTTCCAGAGTAGTAGAGCGGCTTGCGTGAAAGGTGGTAGGAAGGAAGCTTCACCACCGTCTTCCCGTTCCTCGCCCGCGATGCTGTTGTCCATCCTGGTCATTTCGTCACCATGGAACCATGAGAAGACGGTGTCAAAGATCCTGCATGTCCTCCAGTTCGCCTACCCGCTCGTCCTCCTCTTCTTCTTCATCCTCGCCTTCGCCGTTCAGAGCGTCTTGACCGCCTCCCCGAGCGACGACAGCGAGGAGCAGACGCCCAAGGTCCAGTTCGGTCCCGGTGGCAAGCCGCTGCCCATCCGCACAAACTCGTTCAAGCGGGCCGCGCCCACGGACTTCTCACGGTCGCGAAAGCTCATCTTCGAATGGCTCTCTGCCTTCGCCTGCCTCACCTGGGTCGCCAGCGCTGCCGTCGTCATCTTCCACGCCCTGTACGACCGCAAATCTGGATGGTGGGTGGGCCAAGCTCCTACGGTATGTATAACCTCCTCTCCCACTGCTACAAATCTTGCAAGAGCTAGGGCTTTGGGCACGAGAGATTGGGGGCGAGGCACTTTGGGATTCTCATTTTTCTTTTCCTTGTGGAATTTTTGGTTCTTTTTTTGGCTGATCTCGTACTACTGCCAGATCTACATTGTCGGTTCGTTCTTCGTCTACTCGTTGCTTCTCATCTCCCTCATCGACACGAAACCCTCGCCCACTTCAGCACAATTGGCAACATGGATCTTAGCCGTGGTCGCTGAAGCGGCCGTCTTCGCTCTGGACGTGGCTATCAAGAGGCGGGATCACAAGATTGATATCTGGGAAGGCCTGGACGTAGCGATCACGCTCGTGCGCTTCCTCGTCCTGTTCGCTCTCCTCGGCTTTTATTTGGTGTTCACCAAGCTCTCGCCACAGAATACAAACTACGACAGCGACGTTAGCGAGTCTTCGTCTTTGCTACCTAGGAATGATGCCTCTCAGGCTTCGCTCAATGGCATGGCCAACGGCACCTCTGGCTATGGTACGACGGGCGGCCGCAAGCACGGCCACGGAGGCCACCCACACCACGGCGGCGGGGACGAACCAGGCTGGGTCCGGCCGCAGAAGAATCCCTCGCGCAGCTGGTGGGAGTACTTGAAGCGCTACTCGATCCTGTTTCAATACCTATGGCCCTCCAAGGACCTCCGTCTTCAGCTCATGATGATCCTATGCGTATGCATTGTGATCGTGCAACGCGGCGTCAATGTTCTTGTACCCTACCAGGTCGGCGTTATCACAAATGAGCTGTCTGGAGATGACGGTCCGGTGCGCATGCCCTGGCTGTCCGTGTGCTTGTACATCGGATACCGACTGCTACAAGGTAACAACGGGCTGCTTGGCGCTTTGCGATCGACTGCTTGGATTCCCATCAGCCAATACTCGTACCGCGAGATCTCGGTCGCCTCGTTTGAACATGTGCACAGCCTGAGCCTGGATTTCCATCTCGGAAAGAAGACCGGCGAGGTGCTTTCGGCCATGAACAAGGGCTCGTCAATCAACACGTTTTTGGAGCAGGTCACCTTCAACGTGGTGCCCATGATGATTGACCTGGTCGTCGCCATTGTCTTCTTTTTGACCGCGTTCGATGCATACTATGCCCTGGTTATTACCGTTGTGACATTTTGGTACATTTATCTCACGATCCGGATGGCTACGTGGCGTGCCGACATCAGACGCGACATGGTCAACGCCGACAGAGAGGAGGATGCAGTCAAGTGAGTTGAAAGATCCATGCCTATATTTGCTCATGCTATCGTGGCTAACCGCATTAGGAACGACTCCATGGTCTCGTACGAGACGGTCAAGTACTTCAACGCAGAGAACTATGAGTTTGAACGCTACAAGCGCGCCGTGAAGAAGTACCAGGATGCCGAGTACAGGGTGCTCTACTCGCTGCAGATCATGAACGTGACTCAGAATATGGTCTTCATGCTCGGTCTTATGATCACCTGCTTTATTGCCGCGTACCAAGTAACCAGAGGTCAGATCAAGGTTGGAAAGTTCATGACGCTGCTCACGTACATGTCGCAACTGCAGCAGCCACTCAACTACTTTGGCACGTTCTATCGTATGATTCAGTCTGCCATGATCAGCTCGGAACGCATGCTGGAGCTGTTCAAGGAGAAGCCCACCGTGGTTGACAAGCCGGACGCAAAGGAGCTTCCAACCTGCGAGGGCGACGTGCGCTTCAACGACGTATACTTCGCATACGACCAGCGCAAGGAGGCCCTTAAAGGCCTGAACTTCCACTGCAAGCCTGGGACGACAACGGCCTTCGTGGGCGAGTCTGGTGGGGGCAAGTCCACTGTTTTCCGACTGCTCTTCCGATTTTACAACGTAAAGTCCGGCAGCATTCAGGTCGACGGACACGATGTGGGAGATATCACCATTGATTCGCTGCGCAGACACATTGGCGTCGTACCGCAGGACACTGTGCTGTTTAACGAAACGCTCATGTACAACCTGAAGTATGCGAAGCCTGACGCAACAGATGAGGAGGTGTACGACGCTTGCCGCGCGGCCAGCATACACGACCGCATCATGTCTTTCCCGGACGCATATGAGACCAAGGTGGGCGACAGGGGGCTGCGGCTATCCGGCGGAGAGAAGCAGCGCGTTGCGATTGCTAGGACGATCCTGAAAGGCCCCCGCATTATATTGCTGGATGAGGCGACGGCTGCTCTAGACACGGACACGGAGCAGCACATCCAAAACGCGCTAAAAACGCTGGGTCAGGGCCGGACGATGCTGGTGATCGCTCACCGGCTCAGCACTATCACTCAGGCAGACCAGATTCTGGTGCTGCAAGATGGCCGGGTCATCGAGCGGGGCACGCACGAGGAGTTGCTCGAGCTGAACGGCCGCTACAAGGTCATGTGGAAGAAGCAGATTCGCGCCGAGCGTGTCGCCCACGAGGCTAAGGAGTTGCAGATGAAGGCAGACAAGCTGCGTAGGGAGTTCAAATCTGGAGAGGTCAACGACAACAGCGAAGGTTCCTCGTCGTCAAGCTCGCCCAGCACCAGCGAAGGCGAGGGTAAGAGCAACAAGAAGCATACGGAGAAGTCTTCGAGGAAGCCGTCGCGCTCGACCCGCTCCACTAATAGTAGCTCTGCTGGCGCCGGGAATTCCTCATCCAAGACTGATAACGGCAACACGCTTCCAAACGGACACCCTTAACTCCACGTACCATGTGGAAAGCGGCCTTCTTATGCAAAGAGCCTTAATAATTTTTCCCCCGCCTCACGCGTGCGTCCTGCGTTATTTCCTGCTCACAACGCGCACACATCGTCAACCTCAAAACGTTAGTTTTGACTTGGTCGCCGCAGCGACTACACATCTTCTGGACGCTTTCATCGTCGATTTTTCCCTTGCCCTTCAACTTGATGTTGCATTTGACAAGTGCCGGCCTGCGGCGCGACATTGGATCTCACGAAGGGGCAAGTATCATTTTACCAACCAGCCTTCAAACCAGGCGGTCGATTAATTCTTTCCGGTGGAGAACTCTTTTCTTACGAGCCTACAAATTTTTCAAACCCCCCATCCCCATCCCCTCTTCTCCCCCCTAATGCTCCTTCAAAGTTGCTTTCGCTACATGACGGGTCACAACGGAGGAAAACACACGGGGGCCACAGCCCTCGAGATGGCAGAGTATCTGGAACAAAAGCATCATTGTTCGGTAACATATTCATTGGTATCGCTGTTTTCTTGTGGCCAGAAAACACAAATTGGGTGGCAGGAGCATTTCAAGTTTCATTTGGATCCAGTTCGTTTCTCACATTTTACGCTTTCACTTTTCCTTTGCTTTTTTTTTTTCGGAGGCTTTCTTGAATGAAATTAGTGTTGCTAGATTGGTCAGGCTGTAGGATGGATGGGAACTTTTCCGTCCTTTTTTTCTTCTCATTTTCCAAAAGGCTGAGCGTACAACACTCATCAGCTGGAGCTGCTCTTGCTACAAGAACAAGAGAAAAAGAGAAAGAGATGGGCTTCACGGCTCTTTCTGAATATCGCGATAGGTGGTTAGCGATTGGCATACATACAGGGGCGGACAAGACGACTCCTTTCTTGACGAGATCATGGCGGGCGGCTAATTTGCATTTTCTTTTTGCTGTCTGGTATTTTTTTTTTTCAAAATAAAACAGAGGGATTGAAATACACTGTTCTGCGTTTACCTCTTTTGCCCGGTCCAAGCAAGTGAGTTGGCAGCGCTGCGCTTTCTTCTTTCCTTCGCGCCAATCTTCTTGCACGTAGACGTGCTCTAGCGTCTCAACGCCTGCTTTCAAGCACCAAGCTGAGTTTTGTCCCCGGAAAGTGAAATCGTACGTGCGTGCGCATGTATGTCTCAGTCCGTCGGAGAAGTCTCCATGGCTGTCTATGTGGTCATGTGTGTATGGAGTATCCACGGCCCACAGACTCCGCTGACCCGGAGCTTCGCGCCCCTTTCGCCCCCGTTCGTCTTTTTAGAACTACCATCGCAATCGTCCCGTCTCCAGATCGCCCCGATCGATTACTGTGCTTCCTGCATGCATTTGCTTCTCCGCCCTTTCCCCGCTTGACACACATGGCATTGCACGTACATGTATGCACGTTATCTGCAAGGGATCTTTCTTCTGAGCGCCTCACTATATTTTTAAGCTTTCTAGCGTAAAAGATGGCTTTTTTTTTTTCCCCTTTGACCTGGAACAGAGCGTAAAATTTTTCTCTCGTCTCTCTCTTGTCTCTCGGGAGATGCCTTCCTCACCGACATTGTGCTTGCATGGACCTGCTCGTCGCCCTGGAAGCGTCAGGTCGGCATGAAAGTTGAGCCGTATAGGGGTTCACTTAACATACCTGCGATTCTCGATACATGCATCCCGAGCGCGGTGTCTTGGCACTACGATCCTTGGATCACACGAATATCACGTGCGGGAGGGGAATCACCAGCCACAGATCATCCTCACACTGAATCACTAGCGTCGTTTCTTCATGTGGCTTGTGAGTGCTTGTGTTTGTGTGTGGCCAGACCCGCGTCTTTGCTTTGGTGGCCGGATCGAATGAACACGCAAACCAGTCCTGGTGTCATCGGTACCCGCACAGGCTGCAGAAGGCCAGAAGATACAACGCGTACGAAAGAAGAGCTTGATGGCATTTGCTACGGCGCCCGCAACATAAAGTCACTTGGCAATCCTTTCCTGCTTCTGTTCCTCTTTCTTGCAATTATCTTTGCTCCACCATAACCCGCGAAGCTCGCTCTCTTGTTCGCTCACCCACCCCCCGTCCAGCCCACCTCTCAAATTGACGTCCGGTCCCGCGCCCACGACAATCGCACTCACGACAACCGCATTCCTCGACGCAGCTCCTGCATAGTCCGTCGCTGACAGCCCCCTTGTGCGCTCTCCTCTCCTCACTACCTCTCAGGTCTCGCGGCGCAGCTCAATCCTTGCACATCCTCGCCTCTCCCAGGTGACGGCTCGTTCTTTTGCAACCAACCCCATCGTCATGGCGGACATGCTCGGCGGCGGCGGTGCTGCAGGCGGGCTCGGAAACGGTGTCCCTCTTGAGCAGTGGTGGCTCGAGATGCCACCCGTGACGCGGTACTGGACAACGGCCTCGGTCATCTGCAGCGTGCTGGTGCAGTGTCATGTCATCTCGCCGTTCAACATGTTCTACAGCGTGCGCGCCGTCTTCAACAAGGGACAGGTAAGCCTCCCGTCTCCGCCGACCAATGTAGTCAAGATGGACTCGGCACGACCGCATACGTTCTCAGAGCAGCACCCTAACAGAATGACGTGCGTAGTACTGGCGCCTCATCTCGACCTTCATCTACTTCGGTCCCCTCTCCCTCGACCTCGTTTTCCACATCTTCTTCACGCAGCGGTACTCCCGTCTCCTTGAAGAGTCTTCGGGACGCTCCCCGGCCAAGTTCATGTACCTCCTCACATTCGCCTCCCTGTGCCTGCTCTGCCTCGCACCGCTCTTCTCCATCGCCTTCCTCGGCACCGCCCTCAGCAGCGTCCTCGTCTACATCTGGTCGCGTCGCAACCCGGACACCCAGCTCTCCTTTCTGGGACTGCTCGTCTTCAAAGCGCCCTGGCTGCCCTGGGTGCTCATGGCCTTCAGCTTTGCGGTGCACGGCACGGTGCCCAAGGATGAGATCTGTGGAGTCGTCGTTGGTCACTGCTGGTACTACTTCAACGACATTTACCCGCCCACCCACGGCGGCTCGCGACCCCTGGACCCACCGAGCTGGTGGATCAGACTGTGGGAACCCCAACAGGCCGACGCGTTGCTGGAAGCAGAAAACACTGGCGCGGCAGACGTTCAGGGCGACCTGGCTGCTGCCGCCGCCGCGCCTGTTCCGGCACCGCAGTGAGTCGGGCCTTGTGCATTGATTCTTGAGGTCATAAAAGAAAATTCGTGAGGGTAATTTTAGAAAAGCATAGCGCTGGAGTTGGGTTTGGAAAAACATGTACAGCACGTATGGCGACGCTACTTTGTGCGGATAGAAGCCGTGGTACGGTCACACGATACCCTTTGCATCAAATTCGCATGTAGCCCTGCTGGACCTGCCTACATGCAGGCGTTCTAGCAAATTTAGACATGTGACTAGCAGCCATTACAAATGCGGATTGAAATTTACGTGCAAAAGTCCTGAGAATCTCTGGAAACGTTGAGATGATCGAGCGCTCCTTTGTCTTTATTCTTCAATTCGTGGGCATCGTCAAGGGCTGCGGGGCCGACTATCTACAAGGCTCGATCCTTCCAGCTATACTTCCATATACCTATAACGCCGAAACAGCATTCATCAGACCAGCAATGTCAAAATGATATCAGGTTCTTTGGCTTCATGACGGCCTATTGTGGCGGCTTCTTGTTGGAGTCATAAATTTTGCCAGCGTCGCTCATGCCTGAGAAATACCTCTCAAACGTTCGACCCTCAAGATCGTGCTTGTCCCCCGACCAGGTCTTCTTGTCTATCCTTCGGAAATACACGCGCTTACCGAACTTCCACGTTTCGATGCCGGCAAAGAACAGGATGGTGGCTACGACGACGATTGCCCACTCCCACGTGATGCTCTCGTGCTTGAAGACGACTCTGTTCAAACCGGGAATGTATATGATGGGGAAGATGGTCACGAAGCCGGCGATGACGGACCAGAATAGGAACTTGTTGGCCCACACCTCGCGAATCCATTGCGTCAGATAATGCGGGGAGTCCGGTCTCATGCGGAAGAATGATCTCCGCATGTGCATCATCTCCCATGCCAAGAACAGAGAGAACCACGTCAGGCACGCGAAGGCGGTTGCACGGGCCCGGAAAACGGTGTCGCACTGCGACGAGTACGCGTCGTTGCAGCCGACGCCGAATCCATCGTCTCCCGGACCGTACACGACGAGGACGAAGGAAGAGAGACACAGAGCAGCGATCCAGACTCCATAAACGACCGTGTCGATCATGACCTCGATGGTGAAGACACCACGTTTCAGGTTGTGAGGCGGGCGCTGAAGAATGTCCGCAGAAGCGGGCTCGAAGCCGAGGCCCATATCGGGGAAAGAGGAAGTGACCATGATAATCCACATGATTTCGACTAAACAATCGATTGATTAGACACCATCGAGCACAGGCTTGGCGAGGTCTAAGTACTTACCCGGAGTGATGGGAAACACGGAGAAGTCGTCCGAATCCTTGAAGACGAGGCCAACTAGCAAAATGATAGCCTGAGCCACGTTCTGAGCGAGAAGATGCAGGATGAATTTCTTGATGTTGTCAAACATTCGACGACCCTCTTCGATGGCATTCAAGATGGAGGCAAAATTGTCGTCCGTGAGCACGATGTCAGACGCGTCTTTGGCGACGTCAGAGCCGGACTGGCCCATAGCGATACCAACATCGGCACGCTTTAGCGAGGGGGAATCATTTACACCATCGCCCGTCATGGCAGCGAAAGCCTTTCGTCGATGCAAAGCGTCAATCATGCGAACCTTGGTGTTTGGTGCGCACCGAGCGATGACCAAGGGCAAGACTGGGAGTGCGTCAATTTCGTCATCTGAGAGTTTGTCGAACTGCGATGCTGTCATGACCATGGCATCTTGCATTTCCTTGCCATAATCTTTCATACGAGCTGGCAGGATACCCACTTCCTTTGCAATGGCGGCTGCGGTGCCGGGGTGATCGCCGGTCAACATGTGGACGATGATACCCGCGTTCTGGCAACTTTTGACTGAGCGAGCCGACTCCAAACGTGGAGGATCGTAGAGGCCGATTAATCCGCGGAATGTTAAGTTTTTCTCGATCTCGCCCCGGTCTATTTCGCTCTCGCTTGAGTATTCACCTTCAAAATGACGACTCGCCAGTGCTAGAACTCGAAGTCCCTGTGAGGCCATGGCTTCCATGTTCTCCAAGATGTCCTTCTCGATCTCTTCGTTTATAGGAACTGCATCCTGGCCAGCTTTAAGGTGAATCATCGAGCAAGCTGCAACAATACGCTCAACAGCACCTTTGGTAAAAACAAAATCTTTTTCTGTCTCTAGATTCTTGAAGAGTACCGACATGCGTTTCACATCACTGTCAAAAGGGTATTCAGCAATCTGCTTCCATGTTGGGTTCTGCCCAGTGGTCCATCGAGGACGACCCCAACCAAATCGAGAAGCAAAAACCTGAATGGCAATTTCGGTAGGGTCACCTCGAGCGTGATAGTTGCCATCTTCACCTTTATGGATGTTGGCAAGGTTGGCGAGGGCGGCAACATAAAGGAAATCTTTCAGATACTGGTTATCGTTTAGCATCTCGTCAGTATCCTGGCCTTCACCCTTCTCAGAAAAAGCACTCTTTTTGACCTTAGTCGGAGGAAGTGCATCGAATGTGACGCCGCCCTTGGTAGGATTGAATGGCTCATCAATGTCGCCAACAGAGTATGTGCCCTTTGCTGGGATCCAAGCTTTCTTTGCCACCATTTTACCCTGAGTAATTGTTCCAGTCTTGTCGCTACAGATATCTAGATTAAGTTTCAGTTGGAAAAATGGCTGTTTTTGATACACACGAATACTAACCGGTGACAGCTCCAAGGGCTTCAAGAGCCTTCATATTACGGACAATGACATTCCTCTCCACCATTCGCTTCGTACCCGCAGCCATAGTAATCGTAAGCACGACAATCAGAGAAGCCGGAATCATGGAGAGTCCTGTTCCAACTGCATAAATTATGACTTCCGTGTTATTTGAGAAACGATTCGCGGCGAGCACAATGATTGCGCACACGACGGCGATGCCAAAAAGTAGACAAGCTAGTCGAGAAAGCTTTTTCTGCAGCGGAGTGCCGACATTGACGCCAAGGAAGCGACCGAACGCATCCCACGCTGTCAGACCCCAAGCCTGAGCATAGCTGCGAGGACTAGCGTAGCCCTTCGAGTTTCGGCGGACAGGTCGAACGCGTGATTCAGATCCGCGCAACGCTGCAGCAATAGATCCGATCTCCGTGAACATACCAGTAGCAAAAACAACGCCTCGAGCACGGCCTTTCGTTACAGTCGAAGAGGCGTAGGCAACATTTAGGCGATCGCCTGGTCCTGTGTCTTCATCGAAAATCTCCTCTGCTTCTTTGCGAACGGGAAGAGATTCTCCAGTAAGGAGAGCCTCGTCTGTCTCAAAATTGAGTGCTTCGAACAGTCTCAAGTCCTAAAAAATAGTATCAGCATGGCCACGGCATTCGACGCAGTAAAGAGGTACGGTACTTACCGCTGGCACAGTATCACCGGTTTTCAGGACTATCACATCTCCAGGAACGACTTCCATGTTAGAAATTGTTATCTCGTTGCCATCTCGAATCACGACTGCAGTGGGCGAGGCAAGGTTACGCAGGGAGTCCATGGTCTTCTCCGCTTGACATTCTTGACCAAATCCGATGACAATATTCAAAATGATGACAGCTGTGACAACGCCGCCTTCAATCTATGGTAATGTTATTGAAATATCTCGTAAAATAGCCAGAAGCCGTAACTTACATAGGAGCCAATGCCGTAGGAAACGGCCATTGCCAATATCAAGACGAGGATCATGGCATTGGCAATCTGACGGATCAAGATCTTTGTGGCATTCACACCGCCGGCGTCACCGATTTGGTTGTTGCCGTACTCGGCGTGCCGCTTTTTCGCTTCGACTGTGGTGAGACCGTCATCCGTGGTCGTGTGGAGCTCGGATATAACCTGATCTGCGGAGAGTGCATGAGCAGGTTTGCTTAACGGTTTGTTCGACTGGCCGGAGACATGATTCTTGAGGACCAATTGGATGTCTGACTTTTTACCCATGGTGGACACTAGAAGTGAGGGGTGAATCAAATGTATGTTGACGTATATTTGGGTATCACTTGTTTGAAACGAGTGGAAGGAGCTGTTTCTTCAAAACGTCCCGGCCCTTGGGTCCAAAGACAGTGGGGGCGGGCATGGCGATTCTTAAGTACTCTTGACATTCGCCTCCGGTCACCTCAGTATCTTTATCGAAGCGGAGGATTTCTGGAAGGCTTCTTTGGCTAGGTGACGCGAGCCAAGTATGCTCGTACTGGTCGCCACGAACAACGGTAGACGCTAGGGCCTTGGCGGTTCGCGAGAGCGAAGATGAAATGAGAGACGCTACACTGCTGAGAACGCATTGAGGCGTCGAGTACGTGCGATGATCCCTGCTACCCAGTTACGTAGGTATCAGGAGTGCAAATAGCTTTGAGCTTTGCGAGTTCTCTTTGAACCAAATGTATGCGACATATGGGTGCAATGTCCAGTCCTTCCGTGGTGTAGAATGGAGCGCAGACATTGCCAAGCCTGCGGTATGCTTGAAATGGTGGATCCCGCCCTCTTGGCCTCTCAGCGGAGGGCAATGGAGCTCATTGATTGGGTCCGAGAGAGCAGCGCCAAGACCTAGGAGCGGAATGTTGGCTTGGGAGTTGCGGGTTGCGCTGTTTCTGCACAAGGCAGGTGGACGAACATGGCATGCATTGCGTGCTTTGTCCGACGTGAGCCGAACGCAACATATTAGTCGAGTTCGGGTGTAGGAAGCATATTTCTATGTCGTTGATGCCAAGCTTGAGTCTCTCCGTTCCCCCAGAGAAAGACGGAACAAATACCGTCCCCGTGTCGACTTCCCCTCACGGGGCAGAGGACTAGGCATTACTGAAAAAGGTAATCCGGCTGCCCGATGGTCGTCACGGCTGTAGCAGTATGTTCTACAGGATTTGTACTTAAGTGGGCTAATTTCCAAGTATGCTTGCCAAGTGGTATGAACTTTCATCATCTCAATTATATAAAAAATCACCCAAAGCAAAGGCAATGCGTGCTGCAAGATACTACGGGAAGGAAGATATTCGTATCGAACAAGTGCCCGAACCAGAACTCAAAAAGGGCGAGATCAAGCTCGCACCGGCGTATGTGGGTATCTGCGGAACGGATCGTAAGCCCTCTTGAAAGCTCCAAAGACCCGGCTTCTAGAGTCCTGACAGAACCATCGCAGTTCATGAGTATCTTGGAGGGTAAAATGGGAAACGCCCAGATTAACAGCCATCTATCAGCCGTCTAACTTCTCATCAGTCCCAACTTTGCGCCTGTGACGCCACATCCAATCACGAAAGATACTATACCGGTAACGTTTGGGCACGAACTGAGCGGCGTCGTCAAAGATCCTGGAGATAGCGAATTCAACGAGGGCGATAAGATTGTCGTGCGCCCCTCACTATTTTGCTCATCTTGCGCTGCATGCTCTGCCCATGCCGAGAATGTGTGTCACAGTGCGGGCTTTATTGGACTTAGCGGAGGAGGTGGCGGTCTCGCTGATTATTTGACCGTGCCCGCAAGCTATGCGCTGAAGCTACCTGACAATGTGCCTCTAGATGTTGGTGCTTTAGTTGAACCGCTCGCCGTGGCATGGCACGCGACAGCGGCAGCTCCGTTGAATGTTGATGATACGGCACTGATAATGGGAGGTGGTCCCATTGGCCTCGCTGTGGTTCAATGCCTTCGAGCGCAGGGTCTGAAGAACATAATTGTTGCCGAAATAGCATCGCGTCGCCAGGAATTCGCAAAGAGTTTTGGAGCTGCACACGTTATAAACCCTATATCTGACAATGTGGTTGAAATTTCTAGGAAGCTCAGCAACGGAACCGGTCCTGACGTAGTTTTTGATTGTGCCGGAGTGCCTGCTAGCTTGAAAACGTCATGCAATGCAGTCAAGGCACGAGGCACCGTCGTAAACGTGGCAATTTGGGAGAAGGAAGTTCCGTTCAATCCGTGCTGGCTAGTATTCAAAGAGGCTAGTTACACTGGCGTACTTGGCTATCAGCACCAAGATTGGATAGCCGTACTAGAACATCTCAGAGATGGTGAGTTGTTCTTTCTTCCAACGATTTGAGCGGTTGAGTATCTAATTCGGGACACAAGGGTCTCTAAGACCGGAAAACATGATCACCAGCAAGATTAGCCTCGAAGATCTCATTCCAAAGGGCTTTATGCCGCTGATCAACGAGAAAGAGTCGCACGTCAAGATTCTCGTAGACATCCAGGGTCGTGACACTTAAAAGAAATTGCCCGAGCTTCTGGGATTAGGCCCCCCTAATGCGTGCCTGATGAGCCGTTTCTGAGACTCTGACAGCGGCGCAGCGGGATACCGAATGCTGACGCTTGCGACAAGATAGCCTCTTATAGATGGATCTTTGAACGTGCACATGCCTAGCCCTGCACGTTCCTCGTGCCACGTAGCAGGCGTGGGTCCAGGATGCGAAAATATAACTTCCTTACCACAAATGCTTGTGATGGACTTTTCCCAGCCACAAAGTGCCTCAACAAGTGTAATCTCAAGTGTACAATGTAAATCGTAGTCTGAACGCGTGAAAACAGGATGCTGTTTCTCGACCAATTCAAAGTGAAGTTCTCGCGTACCCTCCCGGGTTTCATGGCCTGCGCCTTCAAACTTGATTTTGCTTTTGGGTTTGAGACCTCGAGGTATGGGAACTTCCATTATGCACTCTTCTTGTGTTATGATGCCCGTTTGGGGATTGTACTTGTCCCGTTTTACTCGAAATTTCTTTTTGACACCGTAAAACATGTCTTCAAGAGATACACTGATCTGGCGAACGTCTGGCTCAATTGGTAGGCTCTCATGCAATTGACGCGGGCTGATATAAGGCTTAGGATTAGGGGAGGCTTCATTCTGGGCTCGAGAGTTGCCACGAGATCGTCCTTGATTTAGGGGTGGTTGGACAGAAGGGCCAAACAGAGGAAAGTCCGCTATGCCAGGGTCTTCTTCCCTAAAGAAGTCGCCGAAGGTGTCCATGGGATTCTCAAAATGAAATTTTGGCACAATCCTCCCAGTGCGTGCGCTTCTATGATCACGTTTCCCGCTCTCCAGAACAGTTGGCAAAGATGTGCGCGGATCTGGACCGTACATGTTCGTTGCACCATGCGGATACCCGTAGTCCCAGTATGTATCCACGTGAGGATCATAGGGAGAAAAAGGAGCTGATCTAGGAGAGCGCGATAGTGATGGACGAGATTTCATAGATGATGCTCTTCTGAGACCTTCAGGCAGTGCAGGTGGTAACATATCTGGTTTATATCCAGGATCAAATGCTGTGCCCTCAACAAATGAGCGTGGACGTTCTGCATTTTGCGATGTCGAGGATCGTGGTCGACGACTTCCGGAATCCCCAAATAGGCTATTGGTACGGCCAAGATCTACGCTTTTGTGCTTACCACTTGACGTCCATTTGCCGCTTTCCGGTTTTGCGGCATCAGACGTGCTGGTTGCTCCTTCTGAATATTTCTCCTGAAGCTTTCTGTTGAGTCGAGCAATTTCGTCTTCGAGTTCCTGTAAAGACTTAGACAATGGACGATCAGCATGACTGTCGCGCTTCTGAAGTGAAGAGGTTTGATTGACCTCGGTGTCCTGCACTGCTTTATTTGCCGCGCCATCGACATCGTTAACTCCGGCAGCCGTTTTGAGCGGCGAAGCGGAGGATGCAGCAACCTTGCTCGATGATGGTTCAAATTGCTTCGGATCTGTAGCTTGCCTAATTACCACCTGGGGGGGTGTTTGTGGATGACTCGTCCTCTTGGGATGCGTCTGCTCAACCTTGGCGGGGTCGATGACTGAGGAGTCTTCTTTATGTACGTAGTGCACATGTTCGACATTGTACTTGACTTCATCCTCACCATCGGTGTCATCGACGTCTTCCACTGTTGGCTGATAAGGACTAATTGGGGCCGAGGTAGTTTCTTTTCCCTTCTCTGCGGGCTGCAGACGAGAAGATGCCTCGGGGGAGGAGGAAAGTGCTCGCGGCGCTTTGGGTGCTTTGGGTGCTAGTCGTGTCCAGTCCTCCCTGTTGGTAATATAGTCGGACAATCTTTGGAAGGCATGGGCATGCTTTTTAAGATTCGAAAATATGTTCTGATTTCTTGACTTCTCCTCCGCCCCAGACCTTGGGCTTCGGCTTGGCCTACGGTCTCTATTTGGATGAATCAAATGTTGCAAGGCTTCAAGATTATCTTCCGCCAACCTCGATAGGTCAAGGATATCCCTGGAAATTCGTGATGCATCACTTCTTCTGCGAAAATCTGGTTGCAGAATAGCGACCTGAAGGCTGCTCGTAGCGTCGAGTAATAATTGCACTGTAAACGCATGAGCCGAAGTGTTGGGGGCCAGAGACGATTACTAAAAATAGACTCGGGGGAGAAACAAAGTTTCTTAGCGCACGTGCAAAAAAGGCAAGATAGGGGAAAGCTGTTGTTGAGAAGAGAGAGTGAAAGTGGAAAATAGCTTGAATATGGTTCGGTGTTCATCAGCTTTCAAAGAACGCATGGGATAGCTGCAAGTCGTGACCGCGCAGCGGCATCGAGCACATCTGAGGATGAAGTCTGCGCCAGACGAATCCAAGGTGTGGCATCGTCCAGCACATGATGAGACAGGGCGAGAAGGTGTGTACAAAGCACAAAATATAAGTGAGAAGAAGAGTACGTACGCTGCTCTGAGGTTTTGGATCCTCTCTCGAACTGGATAAGCAAAGAGCGCGAGATGGCCTTCAAGGCATCGAGCTCTGCTTGCAACGCCGCCATGGTATAACAGCTTCGCTAGAGCAAGCAGAACTGAAAGAAGAGGAAATTCCAGAACCAAAATAGCTTGTAGGAATCAAATCGTTCATTTCGAACCAAGCCGGAAGGCAGCCACAAATAAGGGGAGAGGAGTCAAACGAGCGAAAGAAAGGGACAACGATAGAACGAAAACGTCCGACCAGGCAGAAGCAAGCAGGCCTTGGGTCTGGTATGCTTGAGACCATGCACGAGGGCGTGCGAACTAGGGCGTGCGAGAGCGGGTGAGGGCGCGGAGGGAGCAGTGTGGGTGCCGGTGCGAGTGCGAGTGCGAGTGCGAGTGTGTATGTGTACGAGTCGTAGGCTGTTAATAATAATGAAGGTTGCTCACCTGAGCGCTGGCTCTCGACCACGGCTCTTGCCATGTGTCGGCTGATCCTGCCTTGGCCATTGCGTGCAGACTCTCGCTTGCCCGCTCCTTCCCGGACTTGCTGGGGAGGCCTCCCTCGTTCCTGCCTCCGTTACTCGGCGCTCTCGGGTACCAGGACAAAGTTGCAGCTGGCCTGCTTGTTGTGGCCTTGCGGACTGAGGCAGCATCAGGAGCTCTCTTTTGGCTAGTCTTCCACTACCAAGCTCCTCACTTGAGCGGTCTAATTGAGTATCTTCTTGTGATGCTGTCATATGCCCCGTCCACCAGGTCGCATTGACTTTTGCATGCAGCTCATAATGAGTGGCGAGCACGGCCGACCATACTCCTCACCAGCCCGCGGACTTCACTAAATTCTAGTCGAAATCATGGACGTCGTTGCGGTACGTTCCCGAGACCCCACTAGCGTGCATCCTGTGATGCCTTGCTTGGGGGTGGTCAGGCTAATTGCTGTGTAGGCAGTCTCTGGCTACATCAGCCGTATGGTTTCTGTGGGGGATAGCACGGCTGGAGGGTCGTCAACCAAGATGAAGATTTTGCTGTATGTTTTTGTCACACTTGCAATGTGCGGAATCAGTACGTCTAGCTAATGGCTCTAATGGTAGACTCGATGCCGATACTGTAGGTTTGTCTTACCTTGAGCAGCAGTCTCCACATATCTAAGCTGAATGCTCCGCGAAGGTGTCCATTGTGTCGACCGCTACCACACAGAGTGCCCTGCTCAACCATGAAGTCTTCCTCACCGATCGCCTTGACAACCAAGCCCGCGAGAAGATGCGTCATCTACGTTGCTTGTGCTTCGTTCGACCCTCACCAGATTCCATACAGTTTCTCATAGACGAACTGCGCGACCCCAAGTATGGTGAATACTATCTGTACTTTAGCAACATCGTCAAAAAGTCTGCGCTGGAACGACTAGCGGAAGCTGATGACCATGAGGTCGTACGCGCGGTTCAAGAGCATTTTGCAGACTATCTCGTGATAAATCCTGATCTCATGTCCCTTAACTTGACTTTTCCCCAGCGCCGCATATGGAGCAATAGTCCAGATATGTGGAATACTGATTCGTTGCAACGGACTACAGAGGGTATAATCGCTCTGTTATTGTCGTTGAAAAAGAAGCCACTTATAAGATATGCAAGGAATAGCTTATTAGCAAAGAAGCTTGCCACCGAAGTACGATATCAGATGACGCAAGAAGATCAGCTGTTCGACTTCAGGAAAACCGATACCCCTCCCATTCTGTTGATCCTGGATAGGAGAGATGACCCGGTTACTCCGCTTTTAACACAATGGACATACCAGGCCATGGTACACGAGCTTCTGGGTATTAGAAATGGTCGCGTCGACCTAAGCGACGTGCCAGATATACGTCCTGAACTCAAGGTACTCTTTTGGTCAACGTGATTCTAGATACCCTTCGCTGATAAATCAATCCCCAGGAGATCGTACTCCAGCAAGACCAAGACCCATTTTTCAAGAAGAATATGTATCTCAACTTCGGCGACCTTGGCCAGAACGCAAAGGAATACGTCGAGCAATACGCAGCGAAGCGGCAAGGCAACAGTCAGATGGAGTCGATTGCTGATATGAAGCGTTTTATTGAAGAGTACCCAGAATTTAGAAAGCTTTCGAGCAACGTGACAAAGCACATCACGTTAGTAGGGGAGTTGAGTAGGCGTGTTGGGCAAGATAATTTGTTAGACGTGAGTGAGCTGGAGCAGAGCATAGCCTGTAATGACAATCACTCTCACGATCTTAGGGTGCGTATTTGTCTCTCTTTTGAAGTGTAGAAAGGCTTGAAACGATACTAACAAGACGGCGTGTAGCAATTACAAATATTAATTCGCAATCCAAATGTCTCAGCGACGAACAAATTGCGGCTTATCGCCATATACGCTTTGCGCTATTCAAAATCAACTAATAACAATACACCAGCCCTAATGGAGCTCCTTGCCGCAACCACAACCCTTCCCAAAAATCGCATTGACATAGTCACGAAGCTCCTTGATTACCACAATTCTCTGCAGGCTGTTCCTCAAGCAGGGGGCCCAGGCGGCCTACCAGACCTATTTCAGTCTGGATCATTTTTCTCTGGAGCGCGTGACCGGCTGTCCCGAGGACTCAAGGGCGTTGAGAACGTATATACACAGCATTCCCCACGTCTGGAGGCTATCCTACAGGACTTGATCAACCGAAGGCTCAAAGATAGCATGTTCCCATTCTTGGAAGGCGGAGGGCAAACGCGCGACAAACCACAGGATATAATTGTTTTCATCGTAGGCGGTGCTACCTACGAGGAGGCCAGGGTGGTAGCCCAAATTAATGCGAGCTCACCGGGTGTGAGGGTCGTTCTCGGTGGGACCACTATACACAACAGCGAAAGTTTTTTGGAGGAGGTAGAGGACGCGGTGGATTCTTGGCCAAGAGCTCGCGAAAGTACTGCAGAGGGGAGACTCAGACGTGAGATTGGCCGGTAACAGAAGGACACAAAGCAAATAAGGGGGGCAAACAATAGACAAGGAGCTTTGCAAGAGAACGTGATTTGTCGTGAAATGGCAAAATACTAAAGGGAATATTCACGTACGTTATAGCGTTATAGAAGAAAAGTCTATTCACATGCGCTGAAAAGACGTGCGATATTTGACTGTTTTCTCCCGAAGGCGTATCGTACACATCTCATAGCATGTCTCCACATCAAGCTCTGATAACCCGTCAATCCTCGCGATAGATATGTACAATACGGGTATGAAGGCCTCCTCTTTTGCTTTATGCATGTTCGTTCCACTGCGTGACAAATTACGAGCTTGCTGAGACTAACTCCTTCACTTTACTCTCGATAGCCTTTTCGTCAAGGTCTAGAACGCGTGTTAGCTCTGCCCTATATTCACAGCGCAGAAAGAAAGGGGTCGAAACACATACTACTCAAAGGAACCATTTTTTCCTTTCCATACTCTGTCCCAACCACGTAAGCAATCGACCAACTACAGATAGATGTTCAAGGCGAGCATACCATATCGTGCCCACACCTTTGGCTGAACGTCGAACGCCTCTCGTATCAAGATAGGAGTGTGGGGGTTGTGCTTCTTCATTGTCGGATACGATCTTAGCAGGAATTGTCTTTTATACATAAGTGAGCTCAGCGAAAGCCGTGGATGGATTGCAGTACTACGGACCTAGTAGCGGCGCTGTGATCCGACTTCTGGCACAGATGGAAGCGAAGCTCTTTGAGGCTCTGAGAAAAGGCATATTTAGTTGCCATCGTGCAAGGCAGAGTGGTCAATGGTAAGTTGTTCAATCAATGACAAGACTCGCGGTGCTTGAGGGAAGGTCGCTCAAGAAAGCTCGGGCGCAGAATCGGGAGGTGGTGCCAAGACTCGCCTCAGCCCGGACTTATCGTGCCCCAACTCCGCCGTCATCGCCAAAGAGCAAAGTCCAAAGCCCAACAACATCAGTCATTGCCCGAGCATACACCACCAATTACATTTCTTTCTTACCCCCCTATCGCGGGGTTACAAAATCTCCTCTCTTAGCCATACTTCACCATGTCGCAACGAGCAGGTCTCCGGCTGCTGCAGGCGTCCAAGCAGGCCGGCGTAAGATCCTCTTTCAGACAGGCCTTTTTCCGCCGAAATGCCTCGACAGCGGCAGAAGCATCACCAGCTAGCACGGAAGGACAGAGCGCATTCCAGAAGCTGTGGAACAGCCCGGTTGGCCCCAAGACGGTGCACTTTTGGTACGCAAATCCACCCGCCCCGGTGTGCGTCATGCTCCCTCGAGGAGCTTGAAGTCACTTACGAGACATGCGGGATCTATGGAAACACTGACGCATTCCAGGGCACCGATAATGAAGTGGGGAATTGTTCTTGCTGGCGCAGCAGATATGGCACGACCTGCTGAGAAGCTGTCCCTGACGCAGAACTTTGCGCTGATGTGTACGGGCGCTATCTGGACGCGTTGGTGTCTGATCATCAAGCCTAAGAACGTCTTGTACGTTTACCTCCCGACTATCCACTCCATCTGCCTATCTTGAGGCTACAGTGCAAAATCATGCTGACCACTAGCTTTTGCAGCCTCGCGACGGTCAACGCGTTCTTGTTCTGTGTTGGTGCCACACAAGTCACAAGGATAGCCCTCTATAGGCGAAGCGAGAAGGGAAAGAATGCCGTGGAGGAGGCCAAGGAAGCGGTGCAGGAGAAGGTTGAGACTCTCAAACAGTAGAAGGGCACATTTAGATATCGGGGAGGAAGTGATAATCGAAAAGACACGGACCCAAGTTCCTAGAGGCGATCTCCTAGCTACTTCTACTTCGGAGTACACGGCATAATCTACAATTCCCATAATCCAAATGTGCATACCCGATTTTCTCTGTCGTGGCTGAATACAGCACTGCTGCTTTTTGTTTACCAGCAGAATTGCTCAAATTTCTCGGCCATTGCTTGAAAAGGGTGTTGTTTCTCGTCCTCTTATGTCTAGTCCTTTCAAAATGTTTGAAGAGGCAAAACGTGTATGTTTTGATTTCGTTGTATTGCTCCATTCCACGGGATGGTAGCGGAGAAGAGAAAGCAGGCTTGTGAGTCCTAGACACGGGAGCATTTTGACGTCTTCAATTTATCAGGTCACGAACAGCCACCTATGCGGATTTTGCCTCAGGATATGTGAGGGCTGCTCTATCATGCTTAACAAGGATGAGCGGGCGCTCTCAGGAGATCGTTTAGATTTCGCTAAGGTGAAATAACCAAAGCAGATGCAGCCCAAATTTGAGTTCGAAGCGTAGTTCATGCTGATTCGTTGAGCTGCGCAACAAGGCTGTTTTTAGAGCAGATCGACTTGCAAGCATTTAGCTGCGCAGACTAAAGCTTCCTACGAGGACCGAGACCGTGGCATTCTCCGAGTTCAAGTTGCATTGGGCAAAGCGTCCCAAACCGCAGGCACATTTTGGCGAAGCCCTGCATTTTCAGCCACCAATACTTGCGCCCGTGAAACAGTTCGCCAAATGAGAAAGACCGGACAACATGAGCTGAGCCTCGCTTCAACATGGAACGAGGCCGCCGCATCATCAAATCTATAAATGGGGTCGACGTCCCCCGCGTCGATAGTGGATTGCTGAGCGTCCTTGTCCTACCGCGAATCGTTGCGCCTCGGGGCAATGGCAAATTACTTTCAGCAATGGGCGCCGCAGTTCACGCAAAATACCGAGTACCAACCGGTCCATAATCCACATAGCGAAGAACCACCGTCGAACGTTGGGAAACCATCGGAATTTTTCATTCAAGACCACCAGAATCAGGAACTTCTTCTGCCGCAAAGCAGATACAAATCACCCCGGCTGTTCAGGTCAAATTTCGGAGGCCTGAAGCGAACACTTGTCTTCTTCCTTTGTGTCGCGCTCTCTGTTCTGCTCGTGAATATCTTCTGGCTGCTGTACGCCAAAACACATTACGGTGGGATCGAATCTGGATACGGGATCATCCAACGTGGAGACTGCAATGAAGTGAAGAAGACGAACACATGGCTGCATTTATTGATTAACATCCTATCCACGCTATTGTTGACCGGAAGCAATGCCTTTATGTCAACCTACTCCTGCCCGAGCAGAAAGGAAGTTGATAGAGCACATGCCCGGAAAAAGTGGTTGCATGTTGGAATGCTGAGCTTCCGAAATTTGACCAGGATTGCAAAAAGGAAGAGCCTCGTCGTCATTCTTTTGTGCTTGAGCAGCGTGCCTTTTCATCTACTGTTCGTTCTTCATGGAACGTCGTAATTGACCCAGCCTGTGCTGATGTGATCTCAGATACAATTCCATGGTGTTTGTCTCTCTCAGCTCAAACAATTACTACTGGGCAGTTGCAACCGAAGATTTCGCAAATGGTGAGCCGTTCAATCTGACGGGGCCTCTTTTCTCATTCGGCGGAAGTGGGGAGTTTTTCCGGATTCCACAGCTTCCAGACGGCTCTGCAGACTCTACTCTTGCTGCCATACCATACGACCAGGGTGAGGTTGATAAGCTCTATGCTTATTTTGATGGAATTCAACAGAACGCGTCGAAATGGGAGACCCTTAGCAATTACGACTGCATCAAAGCGTATTCAAATGTTTTTCTTGCAGGACGTCGCAACGTGATCCTCGTTTCGAGCCAAAGGAACGATACAAATTCTATCCTCAAGTACGATAGCTCCGTCCTCGTGAGCGGCAACTTAGATAATAATTGGTGGATATGTTCTTCCAATGGCCAGGATGGAGGCAACCTAGTATGTCAGCCTGACAGCTATCTCCCCAAGGCGGATGAATGGACTGTGTTTGGCTATCCTATTGATCACTGTCTCAGTGAGCAGGTGGAAGATGTGTGTGAGGTTGAATTCAGCCTGTTGATAATGATTTTGGTCATATCGTTCAATCTCCTGAAAGTGTTGGCAATGTCTTTTGTGCTGTGGAGGTATAAAACAGAGCACATTCTCACCTCGGTTGGTGACGCGGCTGCGAGCTTTCTGGCGAGAGAAGATGACACGACGAGAGGCATGTGCCTTGCCGATCGGGTAAACATCAAACACCTTTGGCGCATCCCTGGCGCTGGCCTTCCATACAGCGACAAAAGGCTACGATGGGCTCAATCAGTCAACAAAGGAAAGTGGACGTTTTTTGCATTGCTGCTCGGAGTTTCGTATGGTCTTATTGCTTTATTTGGTGCCTGGGGTTTTTCTCACACCAAGAAAAGGGGTGTCAGTATGTCGTTTTCTTCTCTTTGGCAACTCGGCTTCGGTACCCCTCATCAAGATGCCATTGTGATTTACGACCTCCAAGGTATTAGCACAATCGGCATGGCCGTCTTGGCAAATTTACCGCAGATTTTCCTAGCCATGGTTTGGTTACTTTACATGGGGATCATTACTACCATGTTCCTCGCCTCAGACTGGGCCCGCTATAGCTCGCGGGCACAATCGCTGATGGTCAGCAGCCCTAAAGGCGAACAACGAAGTATGTGGTTCCTTGGTGCACCTTTTGCCTATGGGAGCGTTCTTCTCGTTCTGCAGATCATCCTCCATTGGTTGATCTCCCAGGCCATTTTTGTTATCTCAATAATGATATACAATCCAGATGGCAGTCCTGCACAGTCACTCTCGAAATTCGTCAACTGCGGATATTCTCCGATTGCTATCATCTTCTCTATCATCGGAGCAACTGTCATAGTAATGAGCGCAATTGCACTTTCGATGAGAAGGTTCCCTACGGGAGCGCCACCTGTGGTGGCAACATGCAGCGCGGCAATCAGCTCAGCATGTCACCTAACAGCCGGTTTGCACAATGAAGCCGTAGTTTACGAGAAGCTACTGTGGGGACAATCTTCAGTAGGTTTGAATGGTGTTGCACATTGCTCTCTAGTACCAGCGAGTCATGCTCGAACAGGCCAAGTACAGCCACCCATTCCCGGAAGACTCTACTCAGGCCTGGAACACGATCCTCTGTACTAAATATTCACTTGTTCATAACTCATTCCATAGAATCAAGATTTACATAAAGAAACTTGCGTTCACTGTGCATCTTCATGGCGTCCCTGAAGAGCTAAAACATCAAAATTGAAGTCCCGCCAAGATTGAAATTATAGCTAAGAATGGACTGAACATGTGTGAAGTCAGTCCGCCATTGTTTCCAATCTGCCCTGCTGACGTCTCCACGCCTCCAACGCCGCTTCTTGTTTGCCCATTGTTTAAAGTCGTCCTAACTCCACTGGATGCAGGTCCACCTATTTTCGGCGTTGGTACTCCTGACATTCCAGCCATCTCAGGCATGCCCGTTGGCGGAGAGGTCGCAACATTTTGAGGGGATGGCATAACGTTGTGCGGACTCGGTAGGTTCTTCGGGAGTTGTGGTGTGCCCTTTGGGGGTGATGGCATGTTTCCCACAACCCCTGTATCAGTTCCTGGTGCAACAGGCATTGCTTTGTCTGGTGCAGATACATTAGCTGGACCCTTCGTCCCATCATCCGAAGGAGGGAGCCCTGATGTAGGTACAAGATTTCCGCTTGCTGAAGAGGTAATGTCACTCAAAGGTGTCGGCAATGTGCTTAGCGATGACGGCAACCCACTCATCGGAATCGATACAGCATTCGGAGGACTTGGTGGTTTTGCCCGCAAAGTTGGGGATTCAGGCCAAACGCTCGGGTTCGCGAGTCCTAGGGTGAGAGTGATTTCGCTGACGGCAGAAGAAGTCATGATTCCTGGAGATGGAGAACCTGGAGCGATGGGGTTATCTCCGTGAACTAGCTGCTCGTTAGGAAAAACCGTTTCGATCTTTTCATAGTTCAAGTCAGGATCTAAACGCCAACAATAGCGCCTGTTCTTAAGTGGCTTCTCCTCAAATCAATCTTTGCTTCTTCACGAGCTGGATCTTTCGCTCTCAAGTACTGTGAACAGTCGACTTCCTCTGCCATGCCTAAGACGACATCGACGTTATTTGCCGGCCCTATCAAAGCATGCCATGTAGCATCATCTCTGCGTAATCGAATATTAACGCAGTCTACAGCAATTGTGCCTGACTTAAGACTATTCTGGACCCCCAGGTTTTGTGGATTCACGTCCCTGCCTGTAGCCGCTAGGTTACAATCACTAAAAGTGTATGAATGTTATAAAAGGAGCGTACGTACAGACACAAGATTCAGCTATGACGACATAAATACTATTGCCTGGATTCTCAGGAGCTGGACGGCCATTTAAATCTGATTTCGCGTTGAGTCGAAGGCATTTCCCACAGAAATGTATTTCACCCTTGGTGGAACCAGGAGTAATCAAAGTAACGGATGCCGATGAACCAGACTAAGTTGAGTGATGTTAAACACTGAAATCATAATGCATGTTGATTTACACATACGGAATTGTAAAACATACACTCCCCGGAGTGTTCTTTGCGGTTTGAATTTCCGATTTTCGTCCTCTCCATACGACGAGAATCTCCCATTATAAATTCCAGCTTCTATCAAGTGTGCCTGCAGCAGTATTATGCTTCGAGTCAACAACTTCGACATCTTTGATGGTAAAGCTGGGCAAGGTGGACGAAAGCAGCAAAAAGCTGATCCATTGGCCAAAGCCTTATTTAGCACCTAGAAATCGATTCCATACCGTTAAATGAAGCTTTAAAAAGGATGAACAGCTGAATCTCATTATATGAGATTACAGTGAAGTAGTCGTTTGATGTTTCTCCCCACATTTTGCGGATCTGGTGGTCACTGGTCATCTACATCTCACAAATAACAAAACCTTGCTAACAATGGCCAAACACTTGGCAGCAAATCTAGAGATGGAGGCAGAAACAAAAGCAGGGTATCATTCTTTCTAATTGCGATTTATTTAGAGATAAAGTCTCGGATTTGGTCTCTTCCGAGTGTAGCGTCCTTCAAATTAGACACATCCTCAATTGATTGGGCTTCTTTCATGACCGACTTTGCTTGCTTTCTCCAAGTCATCCATATAATCGGCTACTGATCTTGCCCTCTTAGTTTCATCTTTCGGATTAGTGTCAAAATCTTCAGGCTCCTTGTGGATATGACTACGACTTGAGCGGCCCGGCATGTTAAGACTAGGTTAGGTCTCAAATCTATGATAAGTCAATATTCGTAGGGCAGACTCGAACCTCTGAGAGCCATGTAAGCTTTCCCAGAGAATCTCGCTCTATGATGATAGTTTTGCTCATTCTACCTATCCAAACTCACCAACAAAATCTAAAACACTTCTTCTCTTGATCGTGCAAGTCTTCCTATTAACTTATGCTTTGTCCAGGAGCCGCTTCATTGTAGTTCAGTGCCTGAACCACATATAGTACTCCACGTATGTGTCCGCCCAAGCTCTTATTTGATTGTATCCTTACAAAGAACAAAGTCGCAGATGAATCTTTGATTATGCAAGGGGTGCTAAGATAACAGTGTACAAGTCGATGCGAAGTCTTGGAAAGCAGCGGCCTTTTAGCGAGACTGCATTCGCATCTTAGTATTGTCCATGCGGCTAAATTCCCTGAACATACATTAGGACTTTGAAGGCATCGATAAATGCTCCTAGCATTATTGACGAAGCTTGGAAGTACTGTCGCCATAAAGTAGCTGGCCAAGGGCATCGAAGCGTTAATGATCACGGTCTTGTCGCAGATGGACTGAACATATCATTCGAGTAACATTCAGTTCCATGCATTTGTCCTTCGTATTCATGAGCGCGTCTCCTTCGGTTCCCTCTCACGCCTCATTCTCCACACTGTGTAGATCTAGTAAATCCCCTGGTCCAACCTTCCTCTCAAGTAAATACGCACCCCCCGGCTTTAACTTGCGATAGTATTCGGGGTTGTAGCTCAACTCTTTAAACCCGACCTTTTCATACCATTTTCTTGCTTGTTCGTTTGTTTCCCACACGTGTGCTGTAACAGTTCCCACGCCATACTCATGAATAGCACGTGCAGTAACTTGCCTAAGCAGTGCCCTCGCGAGCTTCATTCCCCTAAACGGTGCTAGGGTGGTCAAAGTGGATATGTAGAGGCTTGGATTTGGATCTGTTTGTGCTGGGTGGGAGATCAGTCTACAGCGTACACCGGCCACAACTCTTGACGCCTGAGTTGTGGCGTCAGTCCAGATTGCCACCATGGATATACGAGATGCGACCTCATCAGTCAGGATATCGTTATAGAATTTGTCAGGATATGGAACCGGAAGCAACAAGCTTGTCATACGCCGGAAGGAAGGGAGCGTGTCGACCGTTATGCGTACCAGGTCAACATTTGGAGGAAGCTCAATCGTCGAGTCGACGGGACGATTCTGGAGAGAAGTGTAGGTGACCCCAGTTGCATTCGTTGTAGTTTCTTTCGCACAATAGTCTTCCTTCTCTGTCATAATGTTCTTCTCTGCGGAGGCTTTGGGTTTCATAGGCTCGTTGGCAGTAGCAGCGCTTGATTGCGAGATACCATTGTGTTTCTCGGACTGTGGCTGGGACATGTTCAGCCAGCCAGCCAAAGTAGTCTGTACCATCGCATTCTACTATTCGGTAAAATTAGATACTTAAGCTCTTAGTGCCCAACATTGCTATTGTAACATTCTGATGGGCGCTGTCTTTGACTGTGAAGATGCGGCGGGAGTCGGAGGTTGTGGTCACAGCGCCCGTGCTCATGATTGAAGTAAAGGAAGACGTCGACCCTTCTAGCCAGCCATTGTTCAACGTATTTTTTTGCGCGACAGCTGCAACACATCGCGAGAATGGGCGCAGGCAACTCAAAGCCCGAGGAGGGCCTTGCTCAGCATGTTTTCAAAGCGTATGTGTTAAATTGAGCTTTACTCCCACTTCTGCGATCACTGATGAGATGAGATAGGGATACGCCAACCAGATTTTCGGGTGACCTTGTAGAATCGTTGCAGGACAGCTCACAGGTACCTCACAGCCATGAATACCAGTTGCTGCTATTCCACAAAGTATACTAATAAGGTTATTTGATGCAGTCCGATGCGACGCGGTCGGCCAATCTGGAGCTCAAAATCCAAACCCGCGTGACCTCCGAACTTGAGAAACTGGCTGCTGAGGAAGAGGCCAAATATAAGGCCGTCGCCGAGTCGATATCTAAACAAGCAGAGGAAACACCTTCTTCCGATGAAAACCCTTCTCTAACCGACAAGCTCACTGGTGTCGCCGCTGAAAAGGAGCGCAAAGCACAACTTAGTCACTCGTCCGTCAGCAAGGAGATCGCAGACCTGCGCAAAAAGCTTGAAAGTAGGAAGAAAATTGAACAAGTAGATGCGGGAGTGGAGAAGGCGAAGGAGGAACTTGTGCAGTGTTTAAGATTGAACGATAGAAGACCATTGGACTGCTGGGCTGAAAAGGAGGCATTCAAGCGCGAAGTAAGCAGATTGGAGAGGGAATTTGTGGAGAGAACTGTTCGATAAAGCGTGCACATTCGCATATATGGCACAACAAGAGAAGTAGACCGTGTATCTATATACAATGAGGGCATTGGAGACGTAGATTTGTGTTTCAAGAACAAGCAATGAAAACCAACAACAGAAAGAATCAGGTTCTGAAGAACTGAAATGTTATATAAACAGCCTCTAAATCTGAACCTTGAGCTTCTCCGCTATCCTCTCTTCGCTATCAAAGTAGATAAAAGTAGGTCAAAGGCCAAATTATCTAACAGCTCACGTATCTCTCCGATGCCGCAGATATAACGTCATTCGTGAATGGCATAAAATATAATTACATTGACTCCGGAGGGATGAAAATCTAGCCGAAAGTATAAGTAATACAAGGGTAAGACGATCATGTCAGAAAACGCAGCGTTCAAGAGTTCTATGATGGTTTACTGACTAGATTTAATCTAGAATAGGTTCATCCAAGGGTGATCGATTCAGCTAAGATGGAAAAATCGAACACTACCCAAGCAGAGGCGGCGCAGCACATTTATAGTGTTCGAGCGTCCATGTACGACAACTCATTTCACCCTAGTTTTGCAGAGCACATTGTCAACTCACTTGAGCTCAAGCCTGGAGAGAGAATCTTGGATTTGGCTTGCGGCACCGGCCTTGTTACTCTTCTAGCAGCCGATGCTGTCGGTTCAACAGGTTCCGTTGTTGGGGTGGACATAACACAAGAAATGCTAAACGAGCTACATACCAAGATTACTGAAGCTCCGAGAGACCGCTATAAGCACGTCACTATATACAACTACGACATTACTAAACTCCATGAGATGACCAATTTGATGCGAGGAACTTTTGATGCTATCTCATGTACTGCAGCATTGTCCTTGCTCCGAGAACCTGATGTTGCACTCCAGAACTGGATAGAGTATCTCAAACCCGGTGGGAGAATAATTGTGGATGTTATGGACGTTGATGCTTTGCCCGAGGAGATTGCAATGGAGCGAATATACCATCGCTTGGGCATTGAGTCGCCATTCCACAGACTCTGGTTGGAAGATAGCATATCTCTTCGCAAGATCTTACAACAGTCTGGCTTGGATGTAAAACGTACGTGGATTATGGAGCCTAGGAAGCTGGGAGTCTCGTACCTCAGCATAGACAGCTGGGAGAAGAAGTTTAATGCTATCATTCATACGCCGCCACACCAGGCACTGGCGGATAAAGGGCTAGTGCAGCAGGCAAAGGTTTTATTTGAAGAGGAGTGGACAAAACTTGCAACTCATAATGGAAAAGTGAAGGATTTTGACGGTGTCTGGATTGGTCTTGCGCACAAACCAGTTCACACGGCACCCGTTGGAAGAGGGAGCTGTGCATGTGGCGCCATCCACTGGACTGCATATGCTAGAGGAACAGGAGGAACAAACTGCTACTGTGCAACTTGTCGCAAGATATCTGGTTCCCCGTACATAACATTTGTTCACGTTCCCCTCTCGCGCCTGATATTTGATCCTCCCCACGGAAAACCGTATATGCAGACGTACTGTGCATCTCCGCACGCTGAAAGAGGATTCTGCTCTCAGTGTGCGAGTACTCTAACTATGTGGTACAAAGAAGACCCGGACATCATCGCAATCGCGGTGGGGAGTCTGGATGAAGATCAGAGTGATGCCACGTTTTTCAGCCGGCCGATCCAGAACATATATTTGAAAGATTTACCAAAGTGGTACAAACTTCCTGACGATGGGCTTTTTGGGCATCAAACTATGAGATCCGCAGGGAAATTATTAGGCAAAGAGTGACACGAAAAATATGCATAATCATGGGAATTTCAAATGTTAAATTTCTTTGGTCATTCTAAAAGTCATTAAGCTTAAAATATTATCCCAATTATTTAATTTAATTCGTGAAATAATCTCTGTCTGCCACCGGAACGAAGTCTTGTTGCTACGGTTCATGTCAGGAAAAAAAGCTGAGCTCCTTGCGTGCGCTGAAGGATATCAAAAGTTTTCCAGATTTTTTTTTTGTCTTTATGCTTCTTGTCGACTTAAAGCCTTCAGCTCAGTGAGATAGGTCTGTATAAAGACTCCGGTAGGAATTCAGAGAGACGTTAAAGTCAGACCAATCTAAATTTTTGCTATCCTTGCCTCTATATCATTATATCTTCTGCTTAAAAAGGTTTCATAAAGGCCGTACTGATGATCACCAGGCCGCTTGACTTACATTTTAAGATTTTGGATCAAAAAAATTCTCATTGAAGCACGCCTTAAACCCGTAAAAGAGGAAAAGTAAAGCACGGAAGAAACTAATAACTAGCCAGAAAAATAACTAGCAGCCAAAACATAACCTCGACGCGATCTTAATCTTTGCGTTTATTGAATGTTGCCACGGACTTCAGCGATCATGTCAACCTAAGGAAGCTGCAAGGTACTTAAAGACCACCAACAGCCTAATAAAGAATAGAATATGGCAATTACCGTTCTTTCTCAAGTTAATTTCTAGAAGGATGAATTAGTAAGCCAGGGCCGAGGTAAGTTATCACAGAGGCTCAAATATTTGTCTTTCAACAAAAACAGCTCTGAAGGACACGAAATCTGCTATCAGGATCCAACCATCTCCATAGAATACTTCAAATGATTTATGAACAATTACAGTCAAACATTTAAGAGAGCAGTACAAAAGCGAAAATTAGATGCTTTCAACCTTCCAATTATCCTCTTTTGTAAGCTAGAATGTGCGATGGACTTCATTGCTCTACGTTGCGATCGAACGAAGGATAGGAAGTTGGAATGAAGGCAATGTCGAAATCTCTTGTTTAGTGTAACACAATGCTAAAATTATTTCTTGTTCGTCCTGGATTGACCTCAACTTTAGGGAATGATCTTGCTTTGGTCTCGACCCGTGGGCTGAGCACCCATAGAGAGTAGTACAGCTTAGCTGAAATCTTCTGTTCCAACTTCTTGAATCCAAGGCTGTCCATTATATCTTCGAGCCGTCGTTCGCTTAAATATCGCGAGTTTGTGATGCATGGAGCAGGTAGCACAAAGAACAACAGAGGCAGGATTCGTTCCAGGCTAAATCTTAGGAAATTACACGTCCGACGTAGCATGTCCCCTCGAGCTTCAGGCTCTGGTACGTAGTTGATAACCAAAGAAAGAGATATAATATCAAAACTTTCTGCTTCGGAGACAGGCAGAGGACGTTTCATGAAGTCCTGTTGCTGAATCTTTGGGTCTTGCGAATTGAGATCAATCCACGTCATGTCGAACAAGCCGGATCTGGAGCACGCATTGCTCGTTGAGAGAGCCCCGACTTCTAGCATTCGAAGTCTATCGTTCTTGCGACGGAGCTCGTACTTCTGAAGCCATTGCATGAGCACTTTTGAGCTGTCGCCGCCTCGAGCAAGTGATTGACCTGTGATGCTAGCAACTTGGTACGTTTTGAGACCACCGCGTTTCTCAATTTCGCGATGTAACGCTTCCGCCTTGCCTTTATCTCCTGACTTGATTGCTTGAGCAAGTTCTTTATTCAGTTGATGATGGGTTCGGATAATTGCCCTAGTAGCTTTGGACGGCAGAGATCTTTTGAGGTGTTGAGCCAGCGGTGGCCGCCCTGAAGATAGTCCACCTTTAAGGTCCTGTTTCGGCATGAGACAAATTATGCATTGCTATTGTTCTTCTCTTTTTTTTTTTTGTTTTGCAAGGAAGCCCGAGATTCTACCTTGGTATGGTGTGTGGCCTTGCAGCCTTACGAAGCTTGCTTCGGTGCGCTGCTTCGGACTTGCGCTCGCGCCGAGCTGCTTTCCGCAACTCTAAAATCAGATCGACAGACACGACCATTGGTAAAGCTTTTACTGAATGGCACTACGCTAACTGCTGACGTCATGTATCGCGAACAATCTTTCTGCCTGAATATCATAGCTGAGCTTTCCACTGTTACTATTGCTGTCCCCTTTGTGGATATTTGTAAGCCGAGGGGTCATCGAGGCACAATTATCTACCAATCCGGCTTTCTGCTGATGCAGCAACCTCAAGGGATTAGCATGGCTTATCCAGACTGAAATAGGAGCTCATTGGCTTATTTTGAGGGGTCACCGCAAAGTTAACTAAAGAGCGGCATATACGAGGCTGTCGACGAGGATAGTCACATTCTGGACCTTTGAGGACCAGCACCTAAGAGTCGGAACCTGATAGATGTGTGGCCAAATCTGCACTAATTATGCAATCTGGGTTTGTTATAATAGACCGAAAAGTCCTTGAGAAATCTGAGCAAAGGGTCAATCCTGAGTATCCCCTACAACTCGCAATCTCAACAGACTCTTAACCTATATCGCACTGTCTTTGTCAAGTACCTCATTATGAAGGCCGTTATTGTCAAAGAAATGGGTAGCGAGGCTACCGTTGTTGACGACTTCGAGATACCAGTACCTGGAGACGATCAAATACTCGTCCAATCCATCTACACGGCGATCAACCCAGTGTAAGATGATCACACCATTCGGCTGCACGCTGTTGCTGAAACAATTACACAGAGATTCGTATATGGCGTCTTCAGGTATCCTTGTGCTCAGTTGGCCACTGGTTCTTGGGTGTGACGCTTCCGGCGTGGTCGTCAAAGCAGGACAGAAAGCTCAAGGACCTACTGGACCTCTTAAAGTTGGTGATGCGGTGCTGGGCTGTACAAGGCTTGGCGACAAAGCGTATGGCACCGCTCAAGAATACGTAAATTCAATTAGAATCACGTTCTGTATTCTTTCCCTGACGCACTTTTTGTCTAGTTTCTTATGGATGCCGCCCTTACAACTCCAAAGCCTGATAATATCTCCATGGCCGAAGCGGCGACGGTTGGGGTCGGATTCTACACTGCGTGTCTTGGTGTCTTTGACGGTTTGAACATCCCCATCCCTAGGAGTCTTCAGGAACTTCCACATGCTGGTGAGGAATGGGCTCTCGTCCTTGGCGGCTCCAGCAGTGTCGGTAAATTTGCCCTTCAGCTGCTCAAGGCTTTGGGGTACAAAGTAGTTGTTACCTGCTCTCCAAAGTCTTCCGAAGTAAGAGACCTAACAAGCTATGTGTGATTGAGAGCTAGACTGACACCTTATGAAGATGCTTAGGTCCCTCGGCGCAAGCGAAACTCTTGACTACAAGAAACCCGAAACAGAACTGCTTAAGCTTCTCTACTCTACCACCGGTGGCAAATTGATACGAATCTTCGATGCAGTAGCCTCTAACCATGACTTCGTCAAGGCCTTTTACGAGAATGTTGAGGGTGAAAAGTTCTTTTCAACAACTAATGACTGGACACCTTTCGAGCCATCTGATTTTAACGGTGCACGCATCAGTTCCGTTAAGCTTGGCTCCATTGGTCGTCCTGATGCTGCTGAACTGAATAATACTATCACCAAACTGATTCCCCTCATGTTTCACATGCTCAAGACTGGTATGGTGCAACCTGCAGAATACGAGCTCATTGGCAATACTGGCTTTACCAGTGTCATTGAAGCTTGGGGATATCAGCAGACCGGCAAAGCTGGTTCAAAGAAGGTGCTTGTGAAACTGCAGGATTTTTGATAGGATGAGACAGAAAATATTGGGAGGCATCCAAAGTGTAGAGCCCTCATTCTACGAAGTCGTGTCATTCGTTCAAGATCTACAATTGAGGTAATTTTCACGGCCGTCGCTTTCGTTATTCAACTTCCATAGCTATGCAATGAAGACGACTATTCCACGAAACGCACCTTATATCTGAGTAGTGAGCAGTCCTAATTCTTCCAACTCGATTTCATCATCTCCTTGTTCCCGATTGTCACCCCTGTTATCTCCATGAATACCTCTTCCACGGTCGTCCCGTCCCAAACGCCTTTTCGGGACACCTTTTTACTCCCTTTCGCTTTCTTGGAAGATTTCTTCGTGCTTGAGATGTCTCTGTTCAATTGTTCAACGTGGTCTCTGCTGCTCTGCTTATACGATCGTGCATCATAACTCGACTGCTCCCACGAAACAGTCTGCGTTGACGCATTGCGCATGCAGTATTGCCCTTTAGCACGATCTGAGCAGAAGGTGAGATCCTTCTCTGTACATGCTGCTGAGGCAGTCTTGACATATTCTCCGACTTCCGGCGTTGCAAAATGTACGTGGGGTGAAGCTCGTCGTTGTTGGCTACACCGTGCATATGGATGGCGGGATCGTTCTCGATATAAAGCTTTAAGTTCGTGATCTGCAAGAACTGATAGTGGCCGTGAATCCTGAATAGGATATCCTTCGCTGCCTGATGTTGTTTTGGGCTTTCTGTCTCGGTCTCGTTGATGCAGTTTGCGGTTGTCGTAACTATCCCGAGCCTCTCTATTTTACACCAAAAATTAGTACACGTAGCATCTCCAATGCTACCATCAACATCAACCAATCAGGCAGAGGGCAGACGAATAAATCAGTCAGATTCATAACCGTGATCATCGTAATAACGACGACCACGGGACACTTCATGCGAACGGTACCTGGAAACTTGGCCATCGTGTCCTCGTCTTTCACGCTTCTCCTTCTTATCAGCATGCTGTTTCTCCCACAAGTTGGCACCAAAGCCGCCAAGTACTGCGCCTGCGAGGGTTCCGAAACGGTTGCCACGACCGACTTGGTTGCCGATTAAACCGCCGGCGACAACGCCAAGGGCTGAAGAAGCAACATCGCGATTGCTCTTCAGAGCATCCTTAGCCTGTGCTGCTATCGAGCGGCTGCGCCTTCTTTCTTTGCGACGGTCATCATCTCGATGTCGATTACGGTCCCTTGAATGATCTCGAGAGCTGTCAATTGATCTGGATCTTGAGCGTTCTTCGTCATGAATGTTTCGGTCGCTTCTAGATCTGCGGTCGCGGTGACCACGGCGATGACTATCTCTTGAAGGTGATCGTGAAGGGGTCCAGTTGTCCTGGGGAGGAACGTAGGTCGGATAGGCGCCGCCTGTGGCATAACCGTTTGGCCCAGCGGACATATTGTACGGAGCTAGAGCACGTCAGTATCCTGTTTAATAACATTGAGTTTGCCAGATTAATCACGCACCTTGATATGACTGAGCATCTGGCATGTGATATTGTTGCTGCTGAGGCGGTTGGTGCCCACTTGTGAAATTCTCAGCGTAACCAGCGTGTGGTGTATAGCCAGGGTTTATAGAATTACGCCTTGGCTCCCAGCTCCCTTGAGGCTGATTTTGAGGCGACGGTGCAAAAGAAGACGCCATGTAGTACTGATTACCCAACCTCTCCGTATTAGGACGAGGGTGTTCAGTCTCCACTGAAGATAAATTGGATTGATAAGGCGGAGCAGCGGTCTGTATGGAGTCAATCATGGTATTCTTCTTCTCTTATCAACGTTTATCTGTGAAACTCACTTGTCGGTTTGAGTACAGCCCAGAATTTTGCGTTGATAATTCTGAGTCACGATCATATATATCCTTTTTCATGTAGCTCGCGTCATTTCCAGTGAATCGTCTATCTGATTCAAGCCGCTCATTTGGGTAGTCTTCGTATGCCTGGACAGGTGGCGGTGGAAAATATGGACCGGTCCCGGGTTCCCACGATGGAGGAATTCCGCGTGACTGCTGATATTGGTCTCGCGTCATTCCGTCCGAATCATAACCACGGTCCAAATGCTGACTGCTTGTGTAACGACGATTCCGCCGCGTTGGCCGCTGTGAAAGCCTTCTCCTTGATGACTCTTCTGTGTCATTTCCAGATTCAGACGCCGAGTAGTCTTCACTTTTTTCTTTCTTTCTGCTATTTGCCTGCGATCGAACGTCTTCATCATTGCTACGGCTGTCACTGTTGTCGTGCATCTTCTTCCCAGCGTCCTTCTTCTTCTTCTTTTTGTCCGATTTCGATTTGGAACGACCGAATTTTATTGGGGTTTCCTCGCCTTCAGGCCTGAAATAAGATAGAGTGTGAAATGCTTTGTCCGGGATCTTCTCAGAGCCAATGCTCAATGCCTTCAGCGCGAGCAAGGCCATTTTGGGAGTAAGTTCTTGGGGATATCGTCGCGGTAGCTTAGCTTTGGCACGCTTGACGTCAGTTAGAGCTTAAACTAGTGACGAATGTTTACGTTTTTGTGAGGCAAAGGACCCGTAATTTTATGCCGTCTTGGGAATAGGGTTTTGAAATGGAAGGTTGCTTAGCCAGGGAGAGTGTTCAAGATGAAAGAGTCCTATTCTTTAGAAGTAAGTCGAGCGCTTCTTCATCTTTGCTGAACACAGAGAGTAGGTAACGATTGGTTCTAACAAACATCGAGGTCGCGTCACCACACAGCCCTGATACAGTCGGTGCATGACGTCATACGCATGGGTGAGGATTCTACTCCAACATTCCGCCAAGGATCATGACAAGTACAAGCGCTGGTTCTTCTATCGAAGCAGTCCAGATATCAAGACCTTGGCCAACGGTTCAGCTCTAGGCAACGTGTGGGCCTCTATTTATCGCTGCTACAGACCTTATCGCGACATTTTTAGGAAATGCTCCCATTGTTTTTCTCTTGGATAACGGCGAATACAAGAAAAGTATGCACGTTAACAAGATCCTGATAGCATGTGTTAAGATCGCAATGTGCTTGATTGCAATATTGGTAACTGGGGGACTAGTCTGTGTGGATACATAAGTGCATGTGTTATGAGACAGCAACACGCATTGACGGTAGAATATCCTTTGCGACTGCTGGTACTAACGACTAGGGAGTCTTATTAGGATAGAGTACATGTATGGCATGTTTAATATGCAACCCTTGGCTCATACAAGTTATGCTCAGTATTGCCTGTTTCTAAGTTGTGGCTCTTGCAAAGATGAGCCCTTCCCTCGAGAGCTAGCTCCGAACTCCCGGATAGGAAAGCGGCTCCGCAGATCTCGAATAACTTAGGCCATAACTCACGTGCAATTCTTCACAGCTTGACTTATTGGCGACTCGGCTTCTTGGTATCACTCAACTTCGCTGATATGCTGCTGGCTAACTTGTAGGACACAAACTTACTATGTTCTATACTAGAGAATGCATAGCAAATTGGCCTTTCTTACCAGAGCCTAATGAACTTCAGATGGGGTCAGCGGCTAGCATCGGCTCGGAACGGTAAGTTTCCATATTTCAGTATATAACCTAACTTCATATTTAAATTATATTATCGTTAAGAACATTTCTGAGCAGCACAGTGGCGATATCGGAGTGTAACCAGTAAAGAAATATCATGCATGACAATCCTGAGCTGGGTCTTAGTGCATCCGTTGATAAGCGGGCCGGTAACTTGCCATTCAACTTATCTGACCCGCCAACACAAGTGGAGAAGGGCACGGGACTTTGGTCAAATGGCCTAGATGACAGGATGGGGAGAACAGCATATAAAAAGTAAATCGGAGCTGAGCGCAATGTCCGACTGATACCTTAATGTCTCCTTAACCATCCATCCTTAATCTGCTTGTCCTCTACAGTGCCTATCTGCCTGTCTGTTGATTCCCAGCCTTTTTGGTCTCTCTCGTTACTTCATTCGCATAGAAGCAGTTTCCAGCATCATGAAATCACGAAGCATATTTCGGCAAATAAACATTCTCAAAAGAGATTTTGCTCAGTCGACAACATGCAGGATCCAGCAACAACGCCGAGTACATTCCAGCGGCCCGAAGAATACCATCGCCGCAAGAGCCTCTGATTCTGCAATCCCAATATCGACCCGGAGACTCTCACATTCGAATAAACTCAGCTTAGCATTGCTACCAACAAGCTCGGTAGTCCGAACTTACATGATCACATCCATGTCATCTTCTCCAATGTTGCTCAAGGCCTGCTTCGCGATGTTACGGCAGATGCTGAAATCGAACTCCATCTTCATGAATCCTGAGAGGAACCCACTCCTAAGCTGGGTTTTCAAGCAAACATTCTACGCCCAATTTTGCGCTGGAGAAAACAAACGAGAGGTACAAAGTACTGTTGATGAATTGAAGCACATGGGCTACTCTGGAACTATATTAGAGTACGCGCTTGAAGTTCTTGAAGGTGAAGTCCCCACCCCTGAAGAAACAACGAGGGAAATCGAAACTTTTCGGAAAGGTATGCTGGAAACGATAGAAATGGCCAGACCTGGCGACTTCATTGGCTTGAAGTAAGTGCCTCAGATGAGTTAGGAGATTGAACCCTTTTTGACTCTCGCAGATGGTCAGGACTTGGTCGACAGTCATTGCATTTGCTGCAGAAGAATCAGCCACCTACGGAAGCCATGAAAAGATGCATATACGAGCTGTGCGATGCTGCAAAGGCGAAAGGCACGTTCTTTTTACCAGGCGCGGAAGAAGAGTCAACAGGCGTTAACAGCGGAATTGACTCGTGGACAATTGATCTGATGAGAAAATACAACAAAGACAAACCATTCATGTATAACACATATCAGTGCTACCTCAAGTCTACACCAAGACGAATCGCATATTTGCTTGAAACTGCGGAGAAAGAAGGCTTTATACCGGGAATCAAACTTGTTCGGGGTGCATACCTGAGCCACGAGCCGAGATCTGCGGTCTTGCAATCATGGGAAGAAACAAATGAACAATACGACGGGATCGTTGAAGCACTTCTCAAAAGAAAGTGGAACGCCACGCTGCCACCACCCAGCGGATCTTCCACAGATCTCTCTACTCAATATAGTCTCTTGCTGGCAACTCACAATGCAGAGTCCATTAGGAAGGCGCAAGCCATTCGCAATGAGCAATTGAAAAAGGGAGAGTATCGAGTCGAGTTGGGATATGCACAACTGCAAGGGATGGCTGACGACATAAGCTGCGAACTCTTAGACTCTAGCAGAAATTCAGCTGGTGAACCTGTCGACAAACCTCGAATCTTCAAAGCGGCTACATGGGGAACGCTAACAGAATGCATGAATTTCTTGCTCAGAAGAGCTTTCGAGAACCAAGATGCAATGGGAAGAACGGTTGAAACAAGGAAAGCTATGGCGAATGAACTGAAACGGAGGCTGCTTCATACTATTGGATTAAGGCGGACATGAAGCGGAGAATATATCAGAGCTTTTCTTAAGAGCTGTGATAACATGAACTAGACTCAGATCAGCCAACTTCTTTCAATGTTGACTTACTTACGACTTTTAAAGTGGAAACACGTGACGACCGCAATTCAGTTACCTCGGGTGGCAAGGATTCAATTGAGGAGATGCGCAACTAGTCCATAGCACGCAGATCAAACGGACTGAAAAGCTTCGTTTTGGCCTGAATACATAAACTAATTCTCAATAAGCTCTTTATCCGTACAGATAGGGTGCGAACTAAGAAGTCCCGGCGAATGTCGAAATTGACGATCAAGATAAGAGTTGGATCATCCTGTAAATTGCGCCTAACATTTATTTAGCCTTTCAAGCAAAATCACTGGACAACTGGGCCCGTGTCGTCAGAGTACACAAATCTAGGGTTCTGAATCTTGAAACTTGCAGGAATTTGGTCCATACTCCAGAAGTGATTAATCTGGCAATTTTAAGCTTAAACTCAAGATGAACGAGTATGGAACGCTACCAGGAGGTTCGCTGGCATCTATCAAGCCATTCGAACTGCACATTCCTGAGCAGCAAATTATTGACTTTAAACAATTACTGAAGCTGACGCCTCTTGCTTCCGCAACCTACGAGAATCAGCAAGAAGATCGTCGTTACGGAGTAACTCGAAAATGGCTTGGTGAAGCGAAAGAGTATTGGCTTAACCAGTTCGATTGGCGGAACTGCGAGAAGCATATCAATAGTTTTCCGAACTTCAAGGCCGAAATCGTGGACGACAATGGAGATACGTTTCAGATTCATTTCGCTGCACTGTTCTCGAAGAAGAATGATGCCGTACCGATCGCATTCTTTCATGGTTGGCCTGGTCAGTTCGTACCGATCCCGATTCTTAAACTCACAGCATAGCTCAACTAATTCATCCCGCCTACAGGTTCATTTTTGGAATTTTTGCCAATGATGGATGTTATCAGAAAAAAATATCCTGCTTCGAGTCTGCCCTATCACATAGTGGTTCCATCTCTCGTTGGTTATACGTTGAGTTCCGGTCCACCTTTAGACAAGACATTCACATCAAAAGACATTGCTCGGATCATGGACAAGCTGATGAAAATGTTGGGATTTGGAAGTGGCTATGTTGCCCAGGGAGGCGACATTGGGAGCGGTGTCACTCGGATCCTAGCCACTGGCTATGAGTCATGCAAAGCTGTTCACTTAAACTTCTGTCCTGCGGACTACCAAAATATGCCGTTCGATAAGATTAACAATGCTGAGAAAGAAGCGCTGCAGCGGAGGAAGGAATGGTCCCCATACGGCACTGCTTATGCGATGGAGCACGGCACACGACCGGCGACCATAGGTTTCGCGCTGGCTGCAAACCCACTTTCATTGCTGTCCTGGATAGGCGAGAAGTTCTTAGAATGGACAGATGAGGATCCTTCTCTTGATACCATTTTGGAAGCAATATCCTTGTACTGGTTCACTGAGACCTTTCCAAGGTGCATCTACCCTTATCGAGAGAGATGGGGGCGGAAGGAACCCGAAGATCACGAAAGTGGTGCAAAAAGTAGATGGGGAGGTTACATAGACAAGCCCTTCGGATTTTCATGGTTTCCATATGAGTTGATTCCTACGCCAAAGGTTCTGGCGGCAAAAACAGGTAACATGGTTTGGCACCGTCAGCACACCAAAGGGGGCCATTTTGCAGCTTTGGAACGGCCAGTGGATTTTGCACAAGACATGGAGGATTTTGTCGCTACAGTTTTGCCGATGATTACGATTTCGAAGTAAGATGGTTGCCTTCATTTTATGCCAATTCTAACCAGCTTCTAATAGATCTGTTAATACTCGGTTGTAGCAATTCTCAAAACCTACAAAGCTACCAAATGTACTCCTATGAGAAAGCTCCGAACACCCCCCCCCCCCCCACAACAAAAAAAACTCAAAAATAAAAATAAAAAGCAAAAGAGTAAAAAGACTGAAGGACATGGAACTTGCTTTTGATTGTACTACAAGTTCAATAAAATAATTACAATTTCGATTTCTCCACACCCAAGTACCTGTCTGTAGACGCTAGGACACCGTTCAGCTGCTCCCTAGAGAGCTCGCTAATCCCCAGTTGCCCCATGGTGATTTCCAACTCTGCTTTCAAGCATTTGAAGACTTCCTCGACACCATTTTGTCCATTGACAGCAAGTCCATAGACGTAAGGCCTCCCTAAGAGGACAGCGTTTGCCCCCAATGCCATCGCTTTGACAATGTCACTAGCCGTGCGGATACCACTGTCGAACAAAATGGTAAGTTTCGAAGTTATTGATGGATCAGAACAGATGTTCGCGAGGCAATCAAGACTTGAAATTGCGCCGCTCAATTGGCGGCCGCCGTGGTTCGAAACAATGATGCCGTCCATGCCATGCTCAATGGCAAGACGTGCGTCATGAATACTCTGGATGCCTTTCAGTACAATGGGCCCGTCCCAATGCTTCCGCAGTAGCGACAGCTGATCCCATGATTTAAACGTGCCTGAATTCATTTCGGCAAGCCAGGCCCTGCTCTTTCGGAGGGATTTGGATTTCGCGATGAGTTTAGCCATGAGCAAGGGCGACTTCCCAGCTCTGCTCAGGAGATCTTTCAAGTCCTTTGCCGAAGGAGGCGGCAAAGCCTCGAAGTCTTTGTTGAATGCAGGATCTGAGAGGCCGATTTGAATTCCTTGGCCCTGGTACAAAAACGGTAGGTACGAGCGATCCAAGTCGCGGGGGCGCCAGCCGAGAACGAAGGTGTCAAGAGTGACAACTAGGGTTGTGAATCCAGCAGCTTTGGCCCTGTTTAACAGCGATATCGTGATATGGTCTGACTTAGGCCAGTAGAGCTGGTACCACCTCTCGCCGTTGCCATTCGCCTTGCCGATCTGCTCGATTGTTCTCGTCGCCGCTGACGACAGGATCATGGGAACATTCTGTGCCTCGCAAGCTTTAGCGGTTGCAATCTCGGCGTCGCGATGCGCAATTTCCTGGACGCCAATGGGAGCCGCAAGAATCGGGCTGTCGTATTCTTTGCCAAAAAGCGTAACTCGCGTACTACGTTGGGTGACATCACGCAGCATTCGAGGGATGAGCGGGTATTTGTCGAAGGCCTCCCGATTAGCTTTCTGAGTAACACCAAGAGCCGCCGAACCGTCAATGTAGTCCCAGGCCTCTGGGGTCAAGACCTTTTTCGCCTGTTCTTGGAGTTTCTCGGGGCACGTGGATTGGATCGGCGGCGCAAAAGCCCCATAGATGTCGCGCTGGTACTCAGAGTGGTTGGTTGGTTTCAAAGGCATGATCGGATGAAAATATGTTCAGAGAAAGACCTTGGAAGATTTTGAAGATTCAAAATGTCGAACTCGTCATCGAAACAGAGTCGCGGGGTGATAGAGAAATGGACGCAGTGATGCCTCGGCCCAAAGGCTCGCACATCAAAAGACGTGCTATTCTAAGCCGCAAGGTGAGCATCGGTGACCAGGTATTTCATTGCCAACGTAGAATTTACCAAACAAAGATGAGCTGAGATGCAATTTATACATAATTGTCGGAAATGCTACAGAGCATTCCCAGCTGAACCATAGTTCTTGATTCTGATGTTGTGTTGACGATTGCAAAGAAATTATTGAACGGCCCCAAAGCAAAACGCGTGAAAGCGTAAGTTCAGCGAGATGCAGTCAATTAGGTGAAGCATTGTCAAACCGTAGCGAAATCGCATTCATATAAGTGCGAGCCCGTCATCTCGACAGTAATAGACCATGGACCTCATCTTGGAGCTCGACTCGCTCCTGATGCATAGAACTAGCAGAGAGGGGGAAAAAAGCGTGGCACTCAGTTAGTTCGAAGTTGCATTGTTCGCTGATGTCTGCAGTACTTTGATTGATGCCACAGCCACATTAACGCTGGCTTCAGACGTCTGCTCTGCTTTTAATCTTCAACGAAGTACCATTGTTTGTCTTCATGCACGTATGCGACAATGACGATTCAGTTCTTGTACGAAGACTGGCAAGTACGCAGCATTGCGCAGTGGCAAAAAGCGTGCTATGTGTTAGGAAGAGGCTTGGAAGAGCATTATATCAATACGAGGCATAGTGGAATACTTGAACATACGTTCACAGACGACGTCAAGCACTTGCCGTCTCTGTGTAATATGAACAGATCACTGCATTCGTCGACGGCAGAACCCACGTGAGCACGCGAAAGCCACTAAACGAAGATTTTAGGACCAATTCGCCTGCGTTGTCCGCTGTAACATCATTTCAAATAGAAAAGACGCCCGCTTTTACAGGTATATAGTGGCTGCCTGCATTCTGCATGCCTTTCAAGTTTGGTACACAATCGTCTACTTTCACTGGTTACAGAGTGCTAGAAGCGGAGGTTGATCGAAACACAGGGGCCAATGCTACGTGATTTGTGCAGTGTTCTCCATTGAAGCAGTGGCACACCAAATTAATCGCCTCGCACATCTTATTTGTCTCTTAATAAACGCTGCATCCTCAAAAAAAAAAAAAAAAAACCTGCGCTGAAGGCTACACGAGATCACGTGCCTTCTGTTTATTCCTCTGGGAGAATGGAAACCCCCTGAAACCTGAGTTTGATAGCCGTGAAACCGTGTTTTGACCTCGAAATACGAAGTGATGAGGTAAATGGTCACAAGGGTATGGGAAACACATCTTGTAGAAAAGGAGAAGGGCCCGTTGAATCTACAAACAAGAAGAGATTATGGAACAAGGTACTTCGTGCATTAGAGGGGTGGATATGCAGTTTGTCGTTTTACAGATGAAGGGTAAGGACGTATAAAAAAGCAGACGTACAACTCCTTGTGCAACTAATTCATGAAGTGAGACCTCATGTTCGTTGAGCAAGAAAGTCTTTGGCTACATCATCCGAAGCACCCCATGATAGCTTTATCCGCCGCTCAGGCATGTCCAAAAGTTTTGGGGCGGTCGCAATTCTCACTGTCTGACGCAAGCAGCTTGTGTCGCCGCCGTAGAGAGGTTGTGGATCAAACAAGACGTCCACAACAGATTCGGGCTCCAGATACCTCGCGTCGAGCACAGAGGCATCAAAGATCCACTCTTGAAATGCAACTGTAGCAATGCGAACAGGAAGGTCACGCAAGATTCCCAGAATTGCCAGCGCATGTTTTTTAAACCTCCTGTCGACATGGCCGACTTGCCGTTGCGACGAACCATGTCGATCCTCGTCCGTCCCCTGAGACCTCCAGCTGTCGACCTTCAAGATCACGTGCAGTGACTTCAGCGTCCTGCACAGGGTGACCAGCTCCATAAGGTTTGCAGCCTCCATGGCCACAGTCTTCTGCAAGGGGGCGTCGAGGAGTGGGATCGTCACCTGCACGTGCACCAAGCGTGCGAGGAGCGGATCCGGATTGCCCGTGTACAAGATCTGGCCGACGGTTGGTTGGTGTTCGAGACGACACGCGCTCATGCGGAGGTTGTTGAGATCGAGCGCTACCACGTTCACTTCTAGGAACTGTTGGCGCGCGATCGTGTAGAGTCGACGGCATGAGCGCATCGGCCGAAGCAGGATGCGAAGCTTGTTCGACAGATGGTCTGAGATCAAGCATCTTAAAGGGATATTTGCTTCGTTGCGGAGGCCATGTTGGTACATCATGGCGTAACTGCATATGTGGCCGAGCAGCTCGTTGGGGAGATCAAGCAGGCCAACTGCCATTTTCCAAGGCAAAAGGTCCGTCCAAATCTAATGGTCGCAAGGCTGTATTAGTGACATTGGTGATGAATTTAGAGTATTCTAGTGCACAATCATACTCATATCAGCAGCCTCCTGAGCAGATTGATAGCCGATGGATCGTGTAAAGACGAATTATATTTCTCGTGCGCTAAGTAAATTAATCATAAAGAGCCGTCGACTTGCGTTCTTTTATGCATTCCATGTAGATTCTCCTGTACAACGTAAGAACAGAATACGTCACTCAGCTGAGGGGTAGCGAAAGTCTAGATCGAACGGAGCAAGGGTCGTGTTGAGCCAAACTGCGATGTGCAGAATAAATTCTCACAGCTAGTTTATCGTTTCCTGCTTGCATACATGTGCAACGATTCGAGGTGAAAAAGCGACATTCACGAATCTCACTACAAATAACGACAGAGATTATTGTGTGCTATCTTGGACTACGATGTCCATGTTTGAGGAGAATTCGTTAAGATAGTCCGACTCCAGTAGATTGACGCAATTCAAAACCACTGGCCTTGATACTCTTCGTTGATCCGTCGACCACTGGCTTCAACACAAATTGAGAGCACACTTGAGCCATCAATCGCGGATCACCAGTATTAAAGTGCCTAATTGAGAAGAGCAACTTTTGCTGCACAGCTACTTCGTCCTTAAAGACTGCCAATCAATTAGTACGGCGATCCTGAGATGCTGTAAAGATTACTTGCCTAGCCTGCGGCGAAGCTTCGTCTCCACTCGTATTTGTGGTAGCCATCTCCATTTCCACCTTTTCTAGAAGCCTCCTAACGTCAACCCCCTTTTTCATCGCGTCCTGAATTGCCAAGCTCAGCGCCTTTTCCTCCTCGTCCATGGCCAGGAACGGCCTCACATACTCCTCGAAATACCCCTTGGGAATGCCCTGCGCAACTGCATCTTTGATTCCAGCGTTCAGCTTGCGCAAGTACTCCGCGTTGGCGGCGGACTTCGCCTCAGTTGTGTTCTTACGGTCGACGTACACAATCGCCCTTATCTTCTGGATGCGTCCGTGACGAAGATCTGCAGGCTTCCACTCCCCATTGGTATCTTGCCACCTACCCCAAAATTCCGCAGTCAAAAGCTCTTTCTCGTAGCCCCTTCCTTCCTCGGCCATCTCCTTCTCCAGCGCAACCTCGTCGTCTCTCTCAAGCCTGTACACCACGCCGTATACTCGGTCTTTATCCTGTCTCAGGTCGCCACCAAGGGGTCCTAGCCACTTAGCAGTATCGGGACTGAAGGGCGCGGGAGGAGCCTCGACAATGTTGGCAGTCCCATTGGAAGAGATCTGAAAGCGCCAGTGACGGAGACGGGCAATGCCCACTACTTCAGCGCCGGGGCAGATCTTCTTCATGGACTCTGCATGCAAGTTGATGCCATAGGCGATATAGAGGGTTCGAGGATCGCGCATTGGGGAAGGCGAGCGGGAGCGATCTATTCGCGGAAGTTGAAGTGGAGAGACGCGGTCCATCGTGTATGCGTGGGCGGAAGACAATGTTTAAACGGCACGAAAATGTGTATTTTGCACTCTCTAGTCTCGAGGCTGTAAAGGTGTCCGAAAGTTTGTGTAATCCCGGACACCAAATCCGACCGTAGGTGTGCTGCTGAAGCTTACTCGGTGTGTAACTTTGAACAAGGTCAAGACGGCAAGAGGCGATCTGCTCCACGGAGAGATTGGAAGCGCAAAACAAAAGTTGGATTTGATCGAGGGAGCGGTAGGACGATCAAGTACGCCTCACTCATGTGCTGGTCATCAAGCGCGACGAAAGATGTCTGGGCATTGACATTCTTTTTACCAGTTGCTCTCAACACGGGCTTCTGCTCTCAAAAAATAATTGGACGCTCCGCCCTGCCAGCCTGACCCTGCTCGCACCATCCAAATACGGAAAGCGACCCTCGATCAGGGTCTGACCTAAGCTTCCGCGCCATCCCAAACATCGCGACTGCCGAAAATAGACGGCGAATCTGTCCACTCTGTCGTCTTTTCTGGCCACGTCGTGAAGAAACTGCCGGTAATATCACAAGCTTCTTCGCTTGCCGTGAGAACCACCGACCACCGATTTCGTGGATGCCTCCACATCATCTGCACTCCAAGCGGACGCTTTGCACATGCAGAAACACGTCCACTGCTCTTCATGTCTGTTCAGTCCAATTGCCCGGTGGCGTTCCAAGGCGTGACGAGTTCTTTGGGTAGTCTTCGAGTTGCTGGTCCGTACGAAGGCGTGCTGACGAGGAAATGCGCTGCTCACATCGCAGGGCTCGAATCTGAAAGATCGTCTCGTTCTTCAAAACTCGTTGTAAGTAGAAGGTAGAAGCGACAGGTCCCGGAGACCGTCTCGCGCTCGTACATATCGGATAAGATGCACTGGATATCTTATCACGAACAGGATCAAATCGTCGAGCTGGGCGAATGAGATTATTGCTTGAATTTACCCCCGCGAAATAATTGCCAAAAAAAAAAAAAAAACATCGTCAGCAGAAAATCACGAAATTCTCACCAGCCAATGCTAAACCTCTCTAGCTGCCGATGCATGGAAATGATCATACTCGATCTCCATTTCCATTTCAGCACCCAAATTGAGAGGCGAATTTGCCGTTTTATGGCGCAAAAAAAAATCGATCAAGGCTGGAAAGTGATTCGTTTTGCAAACAACCGTATCCTGTCATTGTTTGGCTTCAGAGGACTAGAACCATATGTATACTACACAAGTGCTATCGGATCTCTCTTTTCGCTTCTCATCATGGGCAGAGATGCTGAAAATTCGTTTAACACTAGTTTATACTCTTCAATCAAGCTTGAAGAGGCGGGATGGAACAAGCTCTCTCTTGTTCTTCTGCACATTGCCAGTGCCGACAGTACCACCAGTTACGCCCTGAGCAACTCCGCTGATCTTAGTCTGGGAAGCAGCCCGTTGCAGCTGAACCAACGAGTTTGGATTGTTGTCCTGGTCGTAGGTTAGAAACGAAGGTGTGGACGTTCAGGGAAGCACTCACGTCAGTCGAGGGGTTGATAGCACCGACCATGCTCGCCTGGCAATGGTCATTCTGGTTTTGGGCGCAGTAGAATGTGATTGGGTTGGTGTCCTTCACTGTCAACGAAAATGTCGGTTGGCCGGTGGTCTTGCCGGCGGTGCCGATGAGGAATCCTGAATTAAATTTGCCGCTGGGTTGGCAGGCAGCTGAGCTGCTTCCTCCTCCTGAGGTGACAGTGTGGTTCTAATTGCACATGGTCAGTATTGGGGCAAAAGCAAAGCAAGAAAAAGAAAGGGTGAGACAAGGGAGCCGGGAACGTTGTGAGAGCCAAGAGAAAGGAATAAACATACACCGGCGACCCAGATGAACTGGACCGTGTCACCAACGGCGGCGTTGACAGTGGGAGGATCGAAAACCCTCTGGCCGTTGGTGCCAACCTGGATTTGATGCGTGGCAGCAAATGCCGCAGAAATGCAAGCCGAAGCAGCAACGATGGACTTGGTGAAATGCATGGTTGAGGAAGTGATTTTGTGCAAGAATGAATCGACCAGCGAGTGAAAACGGCAAATGACCAATGCGAATGAATCTGTCGGTGGAGCTAACCAGTAGCCAAAGGAGAGTAGAGAATCGAACGGATGTGACAAACAAACGAATGTGCTGTGAAGAACTCTTGGTATCTCTTGGCAGCGCTCCTTATATACACCTTCGCTCTGGCTGTCAAAGCTGTAAAGACGCTAAGGCCAAGAAAAACACCGCGTATGTGTAACGTGTGTTTTCGAAACGGCAGTTGACGCCTGTAATCATTTCCAAACTAAGGGTGCTCATGTGAGACGTTGAAGTTCACGTTTCATGTTTTGCCCGTCTTTGCTTTTGTGCGGTCGTAGACCTGACCTCGGCAGCTCTCAGCGCAGCGTATGGCAGGGCTTAGTTGCAGCTTGCGTCTCACAAAACCCAGGCCAAATCGGCGGTCTGCTTCGCCCAAAACATTGTGCCTAACGCTGGTGGATAATCCCCTTGATCATCTCCGCGTCACAATCTAATCAGTTCTCGCCTGACGCGAACCCCGCGCCCTCGATGTGGACGAAGGGTGCAATGTAGAAACTCGAGTCCATCTAGCCCGCCGTCTCACGTCGCTGTCAGGGAGCCTGCGCTGCTATTTTGGTTTCGGCTTGGTGCGATCCGCGTTTGTTGCACCTCTCTGTTTGCTCGCTAAGGACAGGAAAGACGTGCGCATTCGCGCCCGACTTCGAACATCCCAGAGCATCTTCGGTGGACCTGACCGAAGTGACCGAGTGCATGTGTGAACTGATCCGCCGGACATTCGTTCAGCGCAGTGGACGCTCCAACTGTACAACCATAGTGCAGGAAAACAATTAGTCACGTCCCAGTCGAGATACCTCGACAGCATTGACACCCATGTGTGTGCGGGGTGGCTGGGAAAATCCAACGCCTGCCACCGTTGGGGGCCTCGCGGCCATGATCTCAGCCACTCTAGCCAGGCCCAGATGTCGCAGAACCAAAAAAAAAAATCCAGGGGTCAGAGTTCGTACCTCGCCGGCGTGTCCTACGTCATCGGCTTATCTCAGGTCTGATAATCTGGCATCTAAGGAGCGACGTTCTCAGGAAACACTCGGGTCCGTCCTTCCCGACTCAATCCCAATTGTTCGTTTTCATAACAGGATAGAGCCTTAATTACATTCTCCAAACCCGTTGTTTGTCGTCCGTCCATTCTTCGTCGTCAGCAAGTTTGTAGGTCAGCTGGTGATGCCTCTTCTCGGACGGCTGCAACAGCACGAGGAAACGTGCAATATCGGAGTCGTAGCGCGAAGACGACGATGTCTTTGCAGGTAACAGACCTCACTCTAAGTGTCGAAACTTTCGACGGTTGGAGACGACCATGTGATTAAGGTGACAGACCCAGTAACCTAAAGGCAAATTCGAATGTCTGGCCACGGCCTTCGAGTGGCAGCTGGTCCGGAATCAGCTCATCGCCATGACAGTGTCCTCAATCTGGAGCATCCAGCAACATCAACTGTCAAATTACCCTGATCACTCTGTGTGACTTCGTTTATTTATTCCTATTGAAGCCATCAGCTGATTAGATACAAAACGCATCGAATTTACAAAGTCATACAAAGTTTTGATTTAAAAAAAATACTTAAATCCCGTGGAGTGGATGAGGATACTCTGAAAGCTGGGCTGTCGAGAGATTGCTAGGATAAATGAAAGTATTTAATCGACATGGAAGTTTTCATGGGAAGAAGAGGGCCAGCGAGTATGAATAGAAGAGATCGATAGCGAGGAACTAAGATATATCAAATATGCAAAGAGGTAAGCCAACAGATGATGGCAAAGCAAACATATCATTCCAGACCTGACGTTGAACGAGGCAGATCTTGGCTGCTCGCTATCTTGCTTGGCAATTTCTTCCCATGTCTTGGTCTCGTATCCTCATTCCTCTTGCCAAGCTCGTCGACAAGATGATAAGAAAAAAATGTTTCTCCTAGTGTAACTCGTGCATGTTTTTGCGCGCATTTCCATGGGGGACATGGCTCGAAGGGTTGCCCCAGCGCCCGAGATGGAGGCCATGACCTTGCCGAAATCGATGCGTGCTTGGACTTTCACTTCTGCAGGACTACCGAAGGATGTCCTCGAGTTCCAAGCGGAGGCGGCAATGCCAGCTCTGCCGACTGCAAGATCCGTCTTGATCAGGGTATCCCACGTTGCTTTGCATCCGGGCTCCCTTATCATGATGAATCTGGTTCCCAGGTTCTTTCGAAAATTTCCGGCGACTGCTGAAACCGACTTCTCTGGAACGGTCGTTGCCGCTGGAGACGACGTCGCCACAGCTCCAGCAGATCTGACTGACGAGAGATCGTTTCCCATAGGCTCCGCTGTTTTTGGAACGATCCCAGTGGCAACGCATCTCAAAGGATCCGGAGCGCTCGCAGAGTATCTCGTCGTCGACGTGGACAGCATTGCGAAGAAACCAGGGAGGGCAGCAATGGACGAGGCAGCCGGACTGGCCATTTCCGCCGCGACAGCGCTTGATGTCGTCGATATGGCAGATATAACAGAAGCCCAAAGCGTCCTCGTCAACGCGCCGTGCGGCGGCGTTGGCTCCTTTGTGACGCAGCTCGTCAGGAGCAAAGTGGGACCGAATGGGCGGGTCGTCGGCGTGTGCTCAACGTCAAGTTCGGCACTCGCTATGAACCTTGGCTGCGATGAGACTGTGGAATATGACGCAAGGCCGGACGGTCAGTCGCTTGTAGAGTTTTACAAAGGCCTTCGCGGACGGCATGATCTCTTCGATGCTATTGTAGACTGCCACGGATCGCAGGATCTTTGGTGTTCGTCACCTCTGCTGCTTAAATCAGGGCCTCTGCATCATTACGCAACCGTTGGGCCCAAGTTCACTTCCTACTCGCTCACTGGAGTGCTGGTGACCGTGTGGCAGATGCTAAGGAACATGGTCACGCCGGTTTGGGCTGGCGGAGTTGATCGGAGTTATAGACAAGCAGCGTCGTTCGTCGACGCGGAGAAGCTGAAGAGAATCGCGGATTTAGTAGATGGCGGAATCATGAAAACGTACGTTGGCGGGTCGTGGAGATTCGAGGACGCCCTTGAGGCGTACGAAGTTGGCCTCCGCGGGCACGCCAAGGGAAAGCTTTTGATAAAGGTGGAGTGAGCACGAGAAGAACGAAGATTTGATGTTTCCAGCGAGAGAGAAGTCCGATGATGATCTTGTAACCTGATGTGCCAGCAAGACACAGTCAGACGGAGACACTTGAATCTCATCAAAAGGTTGCATTATGTTTAATTGTTCTCCAAAAACACAACGACGATAAGGGTTTCTCGAACAAACGGTATTCGATTGAGATGAAACTTGGCCCTCGTCAACGATTAAATTGAATGAACACGGGCTTTCTAGTAGAGAAAGAGCCTGCTAACATACCGGCATGAGGGAAGGTTAGAAAAATGTAGTTGAAAACAAACACAAAAACTCTGCTTGATCTCAATGCTGAAAATTGGGGGATTTTGCATTTTCATGAAAACTAATACATGGGATATTCACGGTTAAATCCAGGAGCAACATAACCACGATGAGGCACCTCCGTTCATAGCTCATAATCTGTCGCATCGTCTTCATTGTTGTTGTTGTTGTTGTGCTGATCTGTCCAGTCCTGCTGAATGACCGAGTCACTAGCATCAGTCCGTGGCTCTCCCTCACACTTCCCAAGGGCGGCATCTCGGTCTTCTTCTGGCATCGTAGATATGGATTGCCTCGCTCCATCACGAAACAGATACTCTCTTCTCATTCTATAAAACTTCTCTAAGCAATTGCGCCGCTGCTCCTGCGTCCAACCCTCGACGACAAGCGCAAACTCTGTGGCATTGGTGAATCCGAACATTTTAGCCATGGTACAGAATTGACGTCTCCGTACACTCTCCGGCGGGTTGTGCTTCCAATGCAATTTGACCTGATCACGGTCAAAGGTATCACGGAAGTCGTCGAAAATGGGACGATGGTCAACAGAGGCTTCGGCCGCCTCTGCAGCTTTGCGACTTATTCGTGCTTCGGTCTTTGATGTACCAATAACTTCGGAATTCTCGTGAGTGTACGAAACTCCTGCATTTGCAAGAATCGCTTGTACAGGACTGATTCTTGCTCTAGTCTCGTCGAACGGGACGTTCTTGCTGTTCTCTCCTTCCACGATCAGCGATTCCAGCTCCCTCATCGCGGCATCCTCGTCACCAAGAAGGTCTCCGTCATCTCCGGCGGCTTGGGACATGTCGATGTCTCCAATTGCCACACCAAGCCGACTCTCGGCTACATTTGTCTTATTTACGATCTGCTGTAACCGAACGCCCTCATTGTGATATGCGAACATGTTTGCCAGGCCAAAGATCTCACCTTTACGGTCTTTGTCATTCTGCACTCCAGTGAAGTAGCGGCGTTCGGAACTGGCAGTATAACCAATATTTGCCTGTTGTTGTTTGTATATTTGTCGCGCATAGACAATCTCCTCTATTGTTCCAGAACTTATCATACGGAAGACTTCGACATCTCTTGTCTGACCAATGCGGTATGCGCGATCTTGCGCCTGTAAATCATAAGCTGGGTTCCAATTAGGATCCATAATGACTACTTTGTTTGCAGACGTTATGTTGAGGCCCACGCCTCCAGCCTTGGTGCTGATCAAGAAAACAAACTGCCGCGGGTTTGTATTGAAATCATCAACTACTGTCATGCGTTCCTCTGGTCTCAAGGAGCCGTCAAGGTAAGAGACATTGTACGTTGCTTTAGACATGTCAAATAGACGAAGTAGCATCTTGAGCAATCGCACGCTGTGGCTGAACACGAGGACTTTATCCCCGTTCGCATGCCAGTACTGCAGGAGTTTCTGGAGAATTTTCCATTTACCGCAGAATTCTGGGTTTGCATATGTTCGTAAACTGTGTCCCTCTCGGTACAGCTCCTGCCAACTATCCGGCATCGCTGTCTTAAGATGTTCGATATCTTTCGACTGTTTTTCTTCAGAGTCACTTTTCGATGGTATTATCAAGGCAAGGTGATTTGAAATTTTCTGAAGGGTAACGATAGTTGGAAATACGTGCTTTCTCCAATCCTCGAAAGAATCCTCGGACGGCTGACAGCAGGATCCAGCTCGTTGCCCAGAACCGCAGGCACATGAGGTAGTCCAGTTGCGAATGAACTCAACTATTGGACTATAAACATAGTTCTCGTACGCCTCTACTTGAGTATCTGTGAGCGGGCAAAACACAACTTTGTCGCTTTTCTTCGGTAGCTGAGAAGCTATGAGCGATTTCATACGCCGCAAGAAGAACTGCGGCAGCAAATTGTTGACAAGCTTGTACGCCGTGCGACGTGCAAGTCCTAGCTGGTATGCACTTGCATTATGAGATTGACCGATCTTAAGAGGCTCACTAATCGATTGCTTCCATGAAGATAACGAACCAAATCTTCCAGGATTTGTCCAATTGAGAAGTGTCCACAGCTCTTCATAATTGTTTTGGATGGCCGTTCCCGTCAGACCAATACGACACAAAGCGTTGACATCGTTCATGGCTTTGGTGATCTCAGATTGACGGCCTTTGATTCCGTGGCATTCGTCAGCTACGACGCAATCCCAGTCAACAGTGTTGATCGCGCTTGCATTGAGACGGTATGTGGTGTACGAGGTAATCATAATCTCTGCACGGCCCTTGATAGCAGCTGACAGGGCAGCAGTCTTGTTGGTCGAAGTTCCATGAAAAGTGTACACTTTCCACCAGCCCCAGCGATCAAGTTCAGCCTTCCAATTCTCGATCAAGGAGTTGGGGCAGACTATGAGCGTTCTTGGATACCAAGCACTGTCATTGCTGCGAATCTTGCGCATGCGTTTGTCGTCACGCTCGTCGCCAGTCTTCCCATATGCAGCCGTGAGGAACGAAATGACTTGAATGGTCTTCCCTAAGCCCATGTCATCACCCAAAATTCCTCCACGCTGCCACACAAAAAGCTCATGGAGGAACTGCACGCCCTTGATCTGGTAGTCTCGAAGCCACTGCGCAATCGGTGCAGGTATGATACCACCAGAGTACTCAAGAACTATATCTTTGTATGGAGCACATGGTTTTGAGTTGTGCAGGTTTGGCTTCTCTAACAGGTCGTCAATGCGATCATCGTCCGAGAAATAGATCTCGTCAAATGCTGGGGGAAGCTTCAGTCCTGCGGTTCCGTAGAGCTCCTGTTCCTTTTCAAATGCGGCTTTCCTATCTCTCACGTAGTCCGGGATTTGGTCGTCTTCGAAAAAGTCCTCAGGGTCGGTGTTTTCATCATTCTCGAGATCCTTCCACACGGCTTCATGAGCGGGACGTCTCTGCCTTTCCCTTCTTCCGATTACAATGTTGGAGGACTGATTTTTTCTGCGATCAGAATTAGGAACGCCTTGAGCCGCTGGTGCCCCTGAGGATTTAGCCGTATATGTCGCTCGTTTTCGCTTTCTTGATTTTCTTTTTTTGAAGGCCAAGTACGCTTTATCCAAGCCTTCGTCATCAATTTCGCCTTCCGAGGACCAGCCTATTTTGTTCTCACGGGAGGTATCACCAGTCGGTCGTGTCGAATAAAATGTGGTCACTTCGTCCTGTTCTGCAGAAAAGTCCCTCTTCGGCTGAGATAGGATGCGGAGATCGCCAGGCTTGCCATAATTTCGAATTTCATCATCTCCTTCGTCTTCAGTATCTGAGCCTATGTCGCTGTGGACAGCATTTCCGAGGAATGATTTCGTGTTCAACAAATCCCTCTTTACAACTTCGGTGATGTCAAGGTCATGGGCGTTGTTCTCATCATTTTCATCGGGTCCTTCGGAGACGCGTGATTTGGCGTATTCGATTTCATCTCTTTCACGTCTAACGAAGTCGTTGATGAATGGACTCTGTCTCGACATGGTGCCTGCTTGTGAGCCTTGCACGAGACTAACGCAAGGTCACGCGAAGTAGGTGTCTACGGAAAGGCGGCGAAGGTGATGCAGATTCACTACAAAAGGGACATAGCAGCGCGCTATATCCCAGCGCCATGATCACAGGACGGATGATCCATATGCTCAGGAACAAAGGTGTTGCACTGTTGTTCGCATGTTGGCTGTTCTCAGCATTAGCGAGGCTGCCTACCGAAAATGTGGCGTCTTGTCTTGAGATGGTCCAAGCTCAAGCTGGGAAATCAAAATTTTGGGCCACATCTTTCGCATGCGACGGAAAGTATTTCGCTTTTTCGACATTCACAAATGCCTTTGGACACTTCTTCGTACTCACTGGCGCTTTTGCGTCTCGACGGCCGTCGGTGGAACGAGCTGCGACGACTCAGCGCACAGATCTCCACGCAAGCGGCGGCCGATGGCTCAAGCTACCTAGAGATGGGCAATACGAAGGTCATATGTACTGTGGCCGGGCCAGCAGAGGGCCGTCGCATAGGAGGCGGAAGCATTGCAGGGAGTGAAGCTACGATCCAAGTAAACATAAGCATTGCTGGCTTCAGCGGCGTCGAACGAAAACGAAAAGCAAGATCGGACAAGTTAGTCGCTGCACAAACACTCCCTTGCGTTGAAGCAGCGAATCTAATTACCAGATAGGCGCGTAGCAGAGATGCAGCATACAATCGTAAATGCGCTGCAGAGCACGCTTCACACAAGCCATTATCCGGGGTCCACCATCGCAATCAATCTGCACGTCCTCGCACAAGACGGGTCGCTACTTGCGGCTCTCATCAATGCCTCTACATTGGCGCTGATTGACGCCGGAGTGCCCATGTCGGACTATCTCACTGCTTGCACGGCGGGTAGCACGGTGAATGCCGCAGCATCACGATCAGCACCTCGACCACAAGCCGCTCTGCCAGGTCTTTCCAATCTCGCAGATGATGTAGAAGACCCGCTGCTTGACTTGAATAGTCTCGAAGAGCAAGAGTTACCATACTTGACTGTCGGCACGTTAGGAGCAACAGACAAGGTTGTGGTTTGCGTGCTTGAAACTCGAATGCATGCACATCGTTTAGAAGAAATGCTGGCTGTCGGTGTAGACGGTTGCGCACGAATTCGCGAGATATTGGACTCCGTGGTGCGTGCTCATGGAAAGAAGACATTGGAAGGAGACTGATCTACACCGTGTGATCACCAGAACGCAGCCGCATTGTTTTCCATCGCAGCGCCTGATTGGGAGGCCGCGAAATTTACGCAAGAGCAATGCCGGCATATCCCAACAATTGTAGGCGAGAACTAGTTGTTTCACTCCACAGAAGGGAACGCTAGCGATCGAAGCCAAGAATTAGCAACCAAGGTGTGGGCTTACAAAGCAAAGAGTCAAAGAGCAAGTGGAAAGCCACACGGAGGCCATGAGAGAGAGGCCTGGTTGTGAAAGAGATTCAGCTGTGGGTACCTGGCGTCAGAGCGGCGCGACGACGGACATAGCAGCGTAACTTGTAGCATTTGTATAATTAAAAGCCGCCGCTTCCAAACCGATCTCCATCTCCGGCCGGTATTCGTCCTGCGGTTGTCCAATTTTGTCATCGACGTGCTCGAGCGAAAGCGTGAGAAACGACTCTGCGTGACGTCACGCATCATGCGCTTACTTATCCAGAGGCCATGGGTTTGGCTCCGAATTGGGCCAACGGGCGTTAAGCCCTGCATAACGTAAAGCCAACCATGGTTTGCCTCGAGCTGCGTTATTCAGCACATTAGATCAGCCGCCTGCTTCAGCATATCCCAGTCCTCCGCCGTTAAGCCAGTCAGATCTTCCGGCGATCCCCGGTGCTCGGAGCAATTGTTCAGTAAACAAGTCGAATCTGATTGGTTTGAATATTCCACGAGCTGGCAGTCATGTAGCTTGGCTCTGCCTGGCGTTTGGAACCCTTGGAAATGCATTTCAAAGCTTCAGAGACTCTGCGTTAGGCTGACGAACATGTCGGATTTACAAAGCTTGGCCCGTATACGGATGGGGCCATGCCGCCGTGGATGAATGAGGATGAGAGAGGAGTCAGCACACGATGGGATAAATATCTACGATAGCTACCCGCCATAGGACTTGTACAGTACTTTTCTCTCGCCGTAAGCAAGTGTCAATCAGTTGGCGGTCTCATCGGCGAAGTTTGATATCGAAACAGCGGCGCCATCATATCTACGCTGAGTTTAAAGCATCCAGAGTGGCTTTTGATCCCGAATCATGACGGATCTGCTACGCGATGCGCCCATAGGGCAAATAATTCGATGGGTCACTGGAAACAAAGTCCTCAGATACCCCGAGGAAGACGAATCATGGACATGTCCCAGCCAGTACACAGACACGACCTCAGATCATCTCGACCGGCAAATGGAGGCACTTCGAGCAATCAACGAGCGCGAGGCAGCGTCTGGACCAGCCGAGCTAGAGGACGATAAGGAGAAACGTGAAGAGGTGGAAGAACCGCTGGAACGCTCTTCCAGCGACGCAACACGGGACGCACTACACGCCGAGCTCGCAAAGTTTGAGACGCAGCGCGAGGCGGATCCGGAAGCGCACTTCGAGGGCATCAGGGGGCCGACGACGACGCGAAGCCAGTTTTCGCGCGTTGCGACGAGACAGGCGCTGAGCAACTCGCACACGCGTGCAGATCTCGAGGAAGCCTTCAGACAGGCCACACTCGAGCCAGGACCCAGCGTCGCCATCGTACCCACCAAGCTGAGCGACGGCACTGTCCTGGTCGATTGGTACACGTCCGACGATCCGGCGAACCCGCAGAACTGGAGTCTGGGCAAGAGGCTCTTTGTGACCTTCCAGATCTGCATGTACACGACCGCGGTCTACATGGCCTCATCGATCTACTCTCCTGCCACTACGTACGTCGCGGAGCGCTTCGGTGTCAACATGCAACTTGCAAGCATGGGTCTGAGCATGTACGTTTTGGCGTACGGCCTCGGTCCATTGATCTTCGCGCCTCTTTCTGAATTGCCCCTCGTTGGTCGGAACCCGCCATACATGGTCACCTTCGCACTCTTTGTCATTCTCCTGATCCCGGCAGCTGTCGTCGACAACTTCCCCGGTCTTATCGTCCTCCGTTTCCTCCAGGGGTTTTTCGGAAGCCCATGCTTGGCAACCGGTGGCGCTAGCCTGCAGGACATGTTCTCCCTGATCAAGGTTCCGTATGTGCTCACTCTCTGGGCATTCGCAGCTACTTGCGGACCGGCACTTGGGCCAGTCATCTCCGGTTTCTCCATCCCCGTGGAAGGTTGGCGCTGGTCCATGTGGGAAATCCTCTGGCTGGCGGGCCCCATCTGGCTCCTTATGTTCCTATGCCTGCCAGAGACATCCCCTTCGAACATCCTCCTCCGCCGCGCCCAACGTCTTCGAAAGCGAACCGGTGAAACAAAGTTCCGATCCCAGAGTGAGATCGACCAGGCGAACTTGAAGCTCAACGACCTCTTTATCGAGAGCCTATGGCGCCCAATTCAGCTCATGCTCCTCGATCCGTCAATCGCATTCACGGCCGTCTACACCAGCTTGATCTATGGGATCTACTACAGCTTCTTCGAGGCTTTCCCCCTCGTGTACATAACCATGTACGGTTTCAACATCGGCCAGATGGGCTTGACCTTCCTGTCGATCACCGTCGGTGTCATGATCGCCATGACCATGTACTGGTCGTACATTTACTGGATTGTTGAGCCAGACTTCCGAAAGAACGGGTTGGGCGCTCCAGAGAAGCGGCTCGTCCCGGCTCTTTTCGCCGCCTTTTTGTTGCCCGTCGGTCTTTTCATCTTCGGTACGTAGCAGGCTCTGTTCCAAGGTCAGAGCACAAAATTTGCTAACGCAAGTTCGCAGCATGGGCATCCAACCCTACCGTTCATTGGATAGGCTCCGTCATCGGCATCTCAGTCTTCACCATCGGCATCTTCATCGTGATCCAGTGCATCTTCGTCTACCTACCTCTCTCATACCCTCAGTACGCAGCGAGTCTGTTCGCGGGCAACGACTTTGCCCGTTCGACTCTCGCGACGGGCGCCATCCACTTTTCGAGCCCGCTGTTCCACAATCTAGGCGTCGATCGCGGCGTCACTCTCCTCGGTGGTCTGACCGCAGGTTGCATCCTTGGTGTATTCACTCTCTACTTTTACGGAAGCAAGCTGAGGGCCAGAAGCCGATTTGCGGCCAAGTAGGGCTCGTGCGCCCGACAACATGTGATCATGACCCTCACGAATACTGGCAGCTCTCTCCACTTTGGATCACGAATTAGAAAAAAGCTTACGACCTGTACTAATTAATTGGATGAATGAAAATTTTTGCTCTCGACACGGTTCGATCCCTTGTAGCATAGCAAAATGTTGCGAGCTCTATACTTTTGTTAGACGATGAAGCACCTTTCAGCCGTAGTGTAATATTGCAACAATAGCATCTGATCCCTCGGTTTACCTCATGTGCTCTGCCAGAGCTGTGGAGCCTTTCCCTGGCCTCTTCCCTATCTATTCTTTCCTGTTAGTGCATGCTCGAGTCCGAGATAGACATACACACGTAGAAAGAACAAGCTGAAGGCCTGAATCTTAGGCATTAATTCTAGTAGCTATGAGGGGCTAATCGTCCGTCGTCAAGCGTGTCTTCTTCTTTCGACCACGTCTTATCATCGACGCGTCGACCACACACCCAAGGAACAAAGATACTCAAGAGTCGAAAGGCGAATTAAAAAAAAAATTCAAGACATCGCGCCATGCCCACGCAAAGAGTAGCTATTCGCAAGACACGCGCCGCAGCAAGTCTTAAACACTCTTCTCCAATTTTCTCTCCCTCGCTTCGCGTTTTACTTCCCCCCTTTCCATGGAAGAAAGCAAGGCAAACGCCCTAAGCCTCGCTTCACGCTCTCGCGCCCATCCGAGACCGGAATCGAAAATCGCTAGCTCCGCCCGCACCGAAACATACAGAGAAAAAAGGTAAAAGAAAAAGAGAAGGAAAGACGTTGGAGAGGCGCGGGGGAAAAAAGAGAGGGGGGTTGAGAAAAAAAAATAAGTGAACGATCCGATCTGCCACGGTTAAGGATGCGACGCTAGCGAAGCGGGCCGACCCGCGCGTGGAAGGACCCGCACGCCTCGCTTAAAAATAGCTTTTTGTTTCGGTGATCGAGCACGTGGGTGGAGTTTCTCCACCCCGCTGGGTTCATACGGTGGACCCCGGGGGGGGGGGGAGGAAAAGGAAGGGAAGGAGGGTTGCGCGTCACCCTCCCCTTCCGTCGTCCTAGCGGCGCGACGAAATGCCCTTGTCCGATCGCAGCAACAAGTCGGGTCGTAGGAGCGACGTGTGCGAAACGCTCGCCGACCTCAGACGCGAACAGGGCCCACTCGGGAAACAGGCTTTGTGCGCGGGTAAAGAGAAGGAAGAGTAGAGGAAAAAGAAAAAAAAAAAGTTGATGAAACGCCGATCGACCTCTCGCGTCCCTCCCGCCGCCGCCGCCGCCGCCGCTGCATACCTCCCTGACCTCATTCGACGGCGTACAAAGCACGATCGCGATCGCCGCCCCGTTGGACGGTCCCCATCAGCCCACCCGACCGGGGCTCCGAGGCCAAACCCGCAAAGTCCGACCTTTTACAGCCGAGTTCTCCGAGCCGCTGACGTGCGTTTGTGTTCCTTTTCGGCGCCCTGCCTTTATCCAAACGCCTTAGTTGCTCGCTGCCCAACCTCGGACGTTTGGTTGCAAAAGAGCTCCCAGTGACCTGTTTTCGTTCTGGCGTCTCGAGAAGGAGGGGAAGGAGATGCACGCGGCAAAGAGAAGTGGTGGCCCAGACACGTAAGACGACCGCCGGAACGCACTCAAGTGGGCATCATGATTGTCTTATTCGGGTCAAACGTGGACCGACCTGTGGGCCACGCGGTGACATCTCGCGATTCTCCTCGGGAGGACGAAGCGTAAGCATTGTAGGAAGCATCATGTGGCAGACGCAGTGAGCGACTACGGAATTATCCGTCCACTGCCGTGTTTGTTTTGTGCACTTGAAGCTGAGGATGATCAAGATTACGACGACGGTGCCGTTGCTTTCAAGTGACTTGATCGTCTTTCTTATACTAAAATGCTGAAAGACTGATTTTCACCGCGTGAGAGAAAAATGTGTATCGGATGTACCGTAGCAATGTATTTTTGTACCGCGTATAACGCGATTTCCTCGTCTCTCCTATTCTCCCATCCACCGTCGTATAAAGCCATCAACATCGAGTGAAATCTCTTTCCCAGGAGCTGTGAAGAAAGTATGCATACCAGACAAATATGGACATCCTTGCTTTACAAAGGTCCTGGATATATCCCCCTTTCCCCCCAAGTCGCGTGCGTTCAAACTAGCGCCCAAGAACGCCATACTTTAGGAAGCGCAAGCTAAAAAAAAAAAAAAAATAGAACCATGAAGAATAATAGAAAAAAAATTTTAAAAAAAAAAGCCTTGAAAATCATCAGAGCTCACAAGCCATGTCTTCTGAGTCCAGAGAGACAAGTCCGCGTCATTCCTGTCGAATGCAAGGCTCCGCGCACCCTATCCCAACAGATCTCCGTTACTGGTTCTTGCTTGTGCTCTTCTTGAACACGCCGCTGATTCTCTTCATGGTGCTCTGCCGCTTGTCCAATCCCGGTCTGCTATTGTTGTCGTTGCTCTGCGTCAAACTCGCCGTGGTCGTTCGACTTGCCGTTGTTCCCATCGTCTCCTTCTCACGACGGGCGTTAGTATGCGAATGGCCAACCATCTTATCAATCGTCTTGCCCAGCATCCCCAGCTCCGGGCCTTCTGCCTCATGTGACCGCAGTGGACTGGGGGTGCCAAAGTCTGTGACGCCGAGGCACTCATTGTCGTCCTCGTCATCGGCAGGCGTCGGTCCCGAGACTGTCGGGGTCACTGGCTTCTTGGAATCTACACGTACCGTGGGAATCTGTTCCAAAGGATTAGGCTTCTCAGGCGTGGGCGTCACCATATCGCTAGCGTTCAGCGGCTCTTGTGTCGACAGGTTGGACGCGCTCTTCGTCGTTTCCTTGGTGTTTGTGGTGGCAGCGGTAGACTCTTCGTCCTCGTCCGATTCAGAAACCACGCCTAAGGGTAACGATTCGGATGAGTCGGCGATCATGGACATGATCTGCGATTTGAGATTGCTGGAGACGGTAACCCGATTGTATGAGTCGTCTCTGCCGAGGCTGGGCCGTTCTGCCATGGTCGTTGTTTTCTATGCGCGTGTGATAGAGAAGGAGGTCAAAGCTGTGTGTTGGAATGTGTGCCGGTGATTGTGTGTCCTGACGGGCCTGTCAATGTACTTGGCGGATTGCGGGACCTGGAAATACAGTGCAGGCCGTCTGGTTATATACAAGTCTTGCGCTCGTGCCTTGTGAGGGTTATCAACATACGGACCGGGGTCGGGACTGTAGAAAAATATGCGCACACGGGAAGTGGAAAAAAAATAATGCTCCTGAGCCCGACTCGACTGGGGGGAGGCGAAGGGCTAGCTAGTGAGGCGCAGTCAAAGGGTGTGGGTTTTGGAGGAGTAAGAATTGGCAAATGGGAGAGGATTGGACTGGACGGGGGACAGTTGGGAACGATGTAGACGCACTTTCCTCTTGGAGAGCGGGTGAAGTGGAAGCTGCAGGTGACGTATACGACGAAATGCAAAAGGGTGAGTAGCAGCGCGGTGCTGACTGAGCATGCGACGGCGACGAATAAGGAGCTCAGCTGGGGGCAAGGGAATGACGAAGAGAGGGGCTAGAAGAGCAAAAAGAGCGGGAAGCTCGAAGCTTTTGGACTGGAGGCAAAAAGCTCTGGGGCCAGTCTTGGCTGCGAAGAATGTGGTTCACGCTGGGAAGGGTCTGACGATTGTCTGGCGTCGACTAACCTGCGGCGGGTCAACCGTCCTTTGACCGGTGTGTGCAACGGCGGACGGCGTGTTCGAGGACGAAGAGGGAGAAGAGAGCGAGCGCAAGGGGGAGGAGGGGAAGGCGGTTAGGGAGACTAAGACGCAGGCTCTAAGGAGGACGCAAACGGTAGAAGGAGGTGAAGAAGACGACGCTGGAGGAGAGAGGAAGAGAGAGAGGGAGTCAGAGGGAGTGAGAGAGAGAGAAAGAGAGGAATGGAAAAGCTGGGAACAGCATTGGCATTGGGCATTTGGAATTGGCATTGGCACGAATCTGGCACAGACGGTATGTTGCGTGCAGACTGATCGCTGACATGGTCGGGGGTGGGGACCACACGCGACGACGAGGTCGACACACACCACGGCGTGCTGGGCGCTGGACGCTGACGCTACGGAGAGTCTCGCCTGGGCGCTGTAGACGGGGGAGTCGAGTGGGGCAACGGCCGCCCGGCCTGGCTTGTCCCGCCGACGACTAAGCGACCGTCACGGCGTGCGCAGTCTCTGCAAGCGTGTGCAGCGTGTCAGCGTCGAACGAGCATGACTGATGACCGTCCGGCCCAAGCGACGCCGGCGCCTGAGGTCTTGGCTCGTCCCTTGCGTTGCGCACAACTCGCGTGCCGCCTGCGCGTCCGGCGAGTCTCGTGCGACGAACGAAAATCAGACGGCGAGAACGCGGCCGCGCTGCGTGACCGCCCCCCGCCGTGGACGGTGCAATCGTGACGTGCCTGCGACGCTTTGAGAGAGGCCTCGCGAACGCCATCCGCTTCCATTCTTCCTCCATGTCGACCGACCTGCGCACACGGACGAAGGCCGCCGTCCAATTCGTACCCAACGAGCGCGTCCGCAGCTGCGGGCTGATCACGCATCGTCTTCGCTCTGTGTCTGTCTTGTCTCACGTACACCAAAAGGCTAACGTCCGTCCGGCGCAACAGTAACTCTGCTCCGTCACTCGTCCCTCGGGGCCTGCCTCGTATGCGGACATGTGCTCATCTTCTCGTCCTCTGCGCCCTGGGTCTCGCAATAGCACGCCCCTTGTGACGGCCCAGTCCACGTTCGACCTGTGTCCAGTCTCTCCTCACACCAGATCTCGCTCTCTTCAAGCCCGTCAGTTGGAGAAATCTCCTGTCGTTTGGACCTCCCAGCTTCATGACACACGTGTTCACTCTCAGTCTCACTCTCAGTCTCAGTCTCACTCGCACACCAAGACACATACTCTCCCTCTCACCTTTCCTCCCTTCCTTTCCGTCCCTCCCTGCACCAACGTACCGCCCAACTCTATCTCGTCCGAGGTACACACCCATTTACGATTCCATCCTATATCTAGCACCTCTGGCTCGGCCTGCACATGTATCCCGGCGGCCCCCCTTTTTAAAATGCTTCCTCTGGGCCTCTGCACAACATCGTTGTTGCCGTTTCTACATCCAGCTCATAGTCGCTCCTTCTTTCTTTCCTTCGTTCCTTCCTTTCCCGCGCTACCGACGCTCTTCGCACTTTCCATTCAGAATTCCCCCAGTCGGGCTCTCACGGCTCTTGCCAGTGATCCGCGACCTGATCTTACTCTTCTCTCTTGCTACCCATATCTCATCTTCCCTCACTCCCCTCTGTCTCCGTCTCCCTCTCTCGTCTTCAAATACCCCCCCGTTTGGCACCGCTCCAATCAGCCGTCCGTACGCGAGCTCGAAGTGTATCTGTCTGTCCCACGTGGTGTGTGCCACGCCGAAGAAGTCCATGGGCAAGATGGGTGTGGCTTGAAGCCAGTCAGGCCAGGCATGCTCCACCTGTGTGCTCTGAACTCGGCCTGCACGTTGGGAAGTCGATGGTTGCCTCGTCTGCACGCAATTCGAAGCGAAGTCCTTTCGAGCTTGCACCTGCCTTTTTTCTCTCTTTTCTATCTCCTTTCGTGCGCCAACTTTGTGTCCAGGTCTTTGGTTCTTGATCGAGGCGAAGCTATCCACCAGCTTTGGGACCGTGTCGGTAGGTTTGTAACACGTCGGCTTGAGAAGCTCGACAAGCTGCTGCTCGCCGTCTGTAGTTTCTTGCATGGAAGCCTGCAAAGGCGCCATTTCCGGAAGTGACCGCATATGCTCAGCCATGGCAATTGCCTTTGCTCTCTCAAAGACTCTCTCAGTACGGTTGACGCACGAGATGTGGCCGTCTTATCGTTATGTAGCATTCTTAGGACTCGATCCTTTGAGAAGCCGCGTTTGGATATCTGCGGAACGTGTTTTGATGCGATCTGAAATTCGCCACTTTCTTTGTGCGTTGTGTCCGCTCGTCCTCCCGCAGGCGACATGGCGCTTTGTTTATGTCATTAGAAGGGCGATGGAATGGTAACCTCACAGCAAGCATCTGCACTATTGTCGCATTTACCAAAGCAGCCTCAATCAGAAGAGTCCCCCAGCCATGATCTCGATACCCGAAACAACGATGTGGTCACTTTCTCCTTTGACGGGTTCCAATTCAATTGTGGCTGTCACATAGTGTTGACGAAAAGCAGCTGGTCATGTACCTGAACCGACTCGATCATTATTTCTCTAGCAGGACGTCCTGGGTTTGAATCTGAACTTGCGCACCTTTCATCAGAGTTATTGGGCTGTTAATGAGGCGAGTCCCCCATCTCATGCGACTTTTCTAATAGTTTCACGTCGTCTTCACCGTAATCAGTTTTAAGGATGGCTGATTGCACCAATCTGTTTGTCGTTCTGAAAGTGAAGTGCTTGATTATCCCAGGCTTCGTCCCTGCAGAATATGCAGCGCGTCAGAGAATGCCGTCGAAGCGATAAAGACACCCGTCTATTGCCAGTAACTCTGCGGAAGCGGGAAGCGAGCTTTTCTGGCTCGGCTCCTTGGTGAGATCCTGCTGTTGTTGTCAGGACGTAACTTGTGACAGCAATGATGACGACAGCCGTGAGAAACAAATTGAGGCTTTTTTATCAATCCACACCTTCTCAATGAACGGATATTGGTCCGCCTGTCTTGGTCAGCCGTTAAACTTGAGTTTTTCTCCCCGTATTCCAGACAGGCAAATAAGGGAGAAGCTTGAGCCGCATCAAATCGGAGGAGGTGCAGAAAATTTGACTCCAAGATGCAGATGCTGCCTCGCCTAGCTCCCGCTTTAAAATACAATCTTCCCAAGAAATTATGGGGGTCAGCTAGATCGCACGCGTAGGGATTGAATGAAGCGGTGGCACATGATTCGTTCACAATAGCGATGCAGTAGACCTTTAGGCTTGATTTAAGTTGGAAGTGCGATGAAGAGCAAGAAGCTTTGGTGTACGGTTTCTGATTCTAATCTACAACGGGAGCGAGCCCTCCTGGCAGTTGCAAGGTGAGAAAACGCCGAGTGTCAAACTCACGCGACGGCGGAGCAAGAAGAAAACCAGCAAAACGAAATGTTCGAGCAAGACCCCCTTATCAGGCAGCACACAGTGGTACCATTCTGTTCGTAGCCGTGTCGCCCTTCCGTGTGTCGCAATCGTGTGTCCCAAGCCAAAACGCCAGTGCAGATCAATTTCGTACATGTAGAAGTCACTCAACGTCGACTCGATTCTTGGGGGCGAACCTTTTTTTTCTTTCTCTCTTCTTTTTTTCAAACAACATAAAAAAGCAAAGGGGAGGAGAGAGATGGAGGGGGAAGAGAGACTAACAGAATATAGCGCTGCGGCTCTGCTCGGTGGCTTGTTGACTGTTGTGCAGGTGCTGAGTCACGTCCAGCACGGTGATTATGTGCTCATGCCTGAGCGCCTTGTCCTTGCTCTTGCGTCGCGCCAGCAGCTGGGCCGTCTTCAGCACATTCTTGATCTGGCGGCCGTTCATGTTCATCAGCGACAGGGAGTTGAGCTGGGCGGCGCTGATGCGGTGCTCGCCCGGCATCTGGTCCAGGAAGTTCCTCCAGATGGCGCGACGGGACTCGACGGAGAGCTCTGGATAGTTGAGCGAGATATGAATGCGCGACTGGAAGGCTGAGTCGAACGTGTTCACGCGGTTAGTGGTCAGGAACATGATGCCTAAATGGTTTTTTCTAATCAGCGAATGTCTTGCTAAAAAAAAAGATGATTTATTCTTGTTTCTTCTTCGAATTTTTTTTTTTTAATTTTCTGGGGGCGGGAAAGGAGAGTTTGTTGTCCGCTGCTGCAGAGTATCTTACCTTCATAGTACTCGAGCACGCGCAGAAAGATCGACACGAGCTTGTTGCGCTCCAATTCGTGAAGAGACCGCTCTTCAAGGAAGACGTCGGCCTCGTCCAGCAGCAGGATGGCGTTCCACTTGGTGCACATCTCCAGGATGTCTTTGAGCGAAGTCTCGACCGTCCGCGGATCTAAACCGAGATCACCCGCGCTCATCATGTACAGCGGAACGCGCATCTCCTCAGCACAGCTCTCGGCCGTGAGCGTCTTTCCCACGCCAGGTGGGCCGCAAAGGAGCAGGATCATGCCTCTTCCTTTGCCTTCGATCACGTCGTCGAACTTGTTCATCTCGTCCTGCTGTGATTCTACAAATCCGAGAATGAGCTCCTTTTGCTGCGGTGGCAAGACAAGGCGATCAAAGGCGCCCTCGTTCCAGCTGATGTCGTGCACCGAGTTGACAAAGAAATTGAGCCACAGCTTGTTCTTGAGCGAGTAGCCACGCACCAGCGGAGAGCAGATCAACCGCTGCTCATCCGTAAGTGCCTGCTTCTCCGTGTCGTCACTCTCCAGAAAGTGACCGTCCACGGGCATGCCACCATCGCAGCACTCATCGTCATAAATACCATCATCATCCACATCATCATCGAGACCCGTGCCCCCCACCGTCTTGGAATCCTTCTTGTCTAACGCGGACACGAACACGGCATAATTTGGATTGAACCTATTCCACCCGTAGGTGTCTACGACGATTCTGCCGTCAATGTTGAACTTGTCCTTGGTGCCAAATGCGTTCAGCTTCCAGCCCACGCCCCTGTACGCTCGATAATGCGATCCCGCGAGCTGCTCAACCTTGGCACCGCGCTCCAGCAGACGCTGCCGAACTTCATCCTTTTCAGCATGGAAGTCGAGTGGGAAAGCCGACAGCGTGTTGATTTTTCGTGTGCCGGCGTATGACCCAATCTTGACATTGCACTTGTTGGTGCCGAATTTGCTGCCGTCCCAATCCACAAAACGGCCCGAGACCCATAAGCAGGGTGAGCCGTTCTGATCCATGGCATAGCGAGTGGAAATCAGTTGCAGGGCCGTGTCTTGTCCATCCTGCTTGGCGAAGATCAGCGATCCTGGCTGGAAGATGGTCCACAAGTGCTCAAACGTCATGACTCCTTTGCTAATCATATCCTGGCTGGATTCGATGAGGTCTTTGAACTCGACTTTAAGCACATTGAAAAGCAGATCCGCGTGTTTCTTCGTCTCTCGATCTTCTTCCGTGTCGTCTCCCAGCTTTGCGATCTCTTCCTGCAGCCGGCCCCAGCGATGTATGATGGGCTCAAATTTGCCGCTGAGTTCGAGACGCTTGAGGTTCACGGAGAGACCAGGATAGTCTTTGAGGACCTTCTGCAACAGTTTTTTCAGAAGCGGTGACTGAACCACGATGGAGTGCACGGAGAGCGTCTTTCGAGGGTTGTTGTAGACCTTGATGTTGCGGACTAAGAGCGCGTACTTGGCAGTAGCCTCGTTCTCGACGGGCGACTTCACGTCCTTCGGCACTGTGTCTTGCCATTGGAACCGGCCGCGTTTGTCTTCCTTGCCAGAGTACAGATTTTTGATTTGGGCCGCCATTCCAGGCTCGACAGGCTCGGATTCCTCCGTGACGTCCGTCGTGGACGGCGTCGGAGCACCATTCTCGTCACTCGACGTGTCCTTCTTGACAACCTTGCCATTTTCATCGACCAGGTGGCCTTCTTCCATCACGTTATCATTCATGGCGTCCCCTTCCCCTTCGTCGCTGGACGAAGAGTCGAGAGTGATGATTTTTCTGCTAGGCGGATATCGTCCAAACAGAGCCCGGCCGCAGCCGCCACGACCGCCGCGACCTCCTCTCAAGTTGTGCTGGAAAACGATATTTGTGTTGAGATGCAAAGGGTTAGTATATCGATCGTTCATACTTTGCTATCAGCCAAAGATATGCTTGCTCCGCGTCGAATTATGTACGGAAGTATAGCTCGCTATGTCTTTGTCCAAATGACAACGCAAATCTCAAAGCAACTTCGAGGCACGTAGCGAAGATTAATGGGACAGCGGCAGGCTAGGTTGCGGTCTTGACTGGCATTTATAATCTGAATCACATCAGTCAGAATGAGGCGAGCTGTTGCCTGGTCTGACTTCGCGACGAGATTAGGCTGTGTTGCGGATGCGGTGCCTAAGACAGGTTGACCGGTGCCTGCACATTCAAGTATGATGCCTCGCGGCCTGAAAAGAGCTGTCTCCTCAAACGATTACAATGCAGTTGTGAGTCGGAAGCGAAGGAAATGAAGGAGCCGCACTGGCGACTCTGTTCACACAGAGAGATGGGAGCGACTCCTCATTGGCAGTCTGCCCCGCCTTACGCTGAGCACTCGATCGAGCCACGATCTTGGTCGCTAGCCTTCGGGGCAGCAGACTCGTATCTTGGCTCAGCTTCATGCACGGCGGCATCGACTTGACAATGATTGCAAGACGACAACATTGGCTCGCTTGACGACAAATCGCTCGAGCAGAACGGGTGCTCTCAACTCCTAGCACGCACGATAACGGCTAGCGACAGCACAGATCTGGGATAAGGAAACGTGGCAGTGTATCGGTCGGTATTTGTCTGCTCGCATGCAAATGCGTTACCTCAATCGACGGCGAAGATGTTCCTCAGCGAGAACACTGTGTTCGCCCGCCGTTTCCGATGCGTTGACGGAAGAGCATCTCACACCACGGAAGCACCCGTGCTGCTTTGTTTCGATGGGCCACGGCCGCTAACGGAGTGATGATCTGCATTGGGATAGTGAGTGGGCCTTCCAAACAAAAATTCCGTTCGGCGTGCTGATACAACGAGTACTCTCACTTTCAGTCTTGACGTCTCGGAGTTTGACCCGGCTACCAGGCGTTTTACAGAGCAATTGTATTACTTTCAGGCAGGGATAGTGCGACGCATGCTAAAAGGCATAGAGCAGAGCTCAGAGCTCAACATTTCTGTAGTGGATCACGAAGATCACCAGAGACGTGAGAGACGGAGACTGCACCATCCCAGACCAAGCACGAGAACGAATTGCAAGCCGGAGGACAGGCAGGATACTCGGTGAAGCCAGGTTTTTTTTAACACGACAGCAAATGCATTTCCCGTGGGTTTGGAGAGAGGCGTGAAGGAAATGTGCACCTGCAAAAATCCAAGAATGTCCCTTGACGATGCAGATATCGTGACACCGTATCGAACCTCTCAAATGCGATCGCAGAGACATGCGCCGGCCTTGGCCAGAACGTGGGACACAATCACAGCAGCTGGAGCCAAGCCCTGGTCGACAGCTGTTACAGCAGAGACAAGCGTGTAGCTTGATGAAGACCCAGTGGAAAACGCTCCCGTTCGGCGTGCAGGCCGGATATGCACCACCGCTACTATTTCATGCAAAAGCCTTGTCGACTTTGCTTCAGTTTGACCATGGTAGACCACGGCGTCACCGCTGCTTGTAACATCGCGCGGCGGAGTCAGATCGCAGAGGCGAGAGACCAAATGCGACTCTGGGTCTCGACCTTACCGCTCTGTTGAGCTGTAACATGGACCAAAATCCGTTTGTAATGATATCAACGGCACCCACCTATACTCACCACAATCGACGCAGTCTCAGCACCTCCAAGACTGGGGGTTTTCTTTCTTTCTTTCTTCAAATCCCATGTGAAGGTGATGTACCTTTCCAGCCTTGCGGGTACACCCCATTTCTTCCGTTAGTTGCCGATTTTCGTATCCTCGAGTGCATCCTTATCGAGTGCTACGGCGTTTCCTGTGACGCGATGCGAGAGTATCTCGACCTGGTCTCTCTGTGCCCTTTCAGCCGGACGGCTACAAGACGAATAGGCACGGAGCGACGGTCGATGGTGGGCTGCTGAGATATGGCGTATCGCTCATCTTGCAAGCTTGCCCCACGCGGTCCGTCGTCTAGTAAGAAAAATTTCGACGAGGACTATCATCCGCCAACAAGATCGAAGGGGAACTCTTTGCTTGTTCTTTGTCAGGCAGCGACCGCGCCAACGACGACAGGATCGGCCAACCGATCCTAGCGAATCGTAGTCTGACTCCTCTTCAGCAATTCGTGAGTAATCCTGGTAGCACAACCCACTTTGTCTCCCTCACCAAGTGCCAGAGGGAAAAGCCGCCCGCGCTCCAGCGTTTCGTTCGCTTTCAGGGCATTGCGTCCAAAGACGCTCTAGCGCATCTTAGGCACACCTGAAAAAAGAGATAGCTCGGTTTGCACCAATCCGCCCCGACGGGCATGGCGGAACGCTTGCCTGTTACCTACGCCGTGCTATGATACCTTACTGCCTGTGCTTCTCAGCAATTTTTACATGAGCGAATAGTCATCCCACTTCCCTTCTCCTCCTCCCCCCTCTTTGACAATGTCCAACCCTCCGTCCCAGACTTTTGACTCTGCATCGTCGTCCACTCGCTACAACGAGGAGCAGTCTTCCACATCGGCCCATCCACCCTCGCACCACCCGGATCCCACCGTTCAAGACACAGATGCCGCCAAAAGAGGACTCCCCTCCGCCTCCGCCGCCAGCTCCTCCGAACTCTCCAGTCTTAAGATAAGCTTGAGGAACGCCTTGCGCCAGTTCCCGGACTTCCCGTCGCCGGGCATCCTGTTCGAGGACATCCTGCCCATCTTTGCCAACTACGAGCTGCACGAATCGCTGGTTCGCGCACTCGAACTCCACGTGAAATCAACCTACGCTCAGACTCCAGATGTCATCGTGGGACTGGACGCCAGAGGCTTCCTGTTCGGCCCATCTCTGGCGCTCCGGCTGAAGAGCAAGTTCGTACCCGTCCGAAAGCGAGGCAAGTTGCCCGGACCCACCGTGACGGCGTCATATCAGAAAGAGTATGGGGAGGATTTCTTCCAGATGCAGAGCGATGGCATTGCACCCGGCGAACGCGTCTTGGTTGTGGATGACATTATCGCTACAGGTGCGCACACACAATCTCTGCTGGGCGGCGAAGAGGTTTCGAAGAATCGCTAACGGCAAGCTACAGGTGGCTCCGCGGCCGCTGCAGGCTCCCTTGTGAAACAGCTAGGTGGCTCACTGCTGGGCTACGTCTTCATCCTTGAGCTGGATTTCCTCAAGGGTCGAGACAAGCTCGATGCTCCGGTCTTCACTCTTCTCACCGGCCAGGAGGAGAAGTCGACCTAGCCGACTACGCGACCGAGCCGGCGAAAGAGCCATCGCGGCATCAACTGCGCATACCATCCAACGTCGTGGGTGAATTGAAATTTTTTTTTTCAATCTATTTATTTTTCCTATCTTTTGCTTCGACAATAGACGGGGACACTGGCATAAGGATTAAGAAAAAATAACCCCTCCAGGCGTTCAGGCGGAATGGCTTTTTCATGATACCATGTCTATCCAGATAATGTCCCTAGATTCCTCTCTCCCTCTCACACATACACACAAACGCACACGCAGTCTCTCTCCCTCTCTTTCTCTCACTCTCTCCCATGGAAACCCCGCTCATCCAAATGGTTGTACCAACGACCTTCTTTGCACCGTCCTCCAATAATTTTTTTTTTGCTTTTTCCAACTGCCTCCCAAAGGGGAGCTTACGGGATGATTCGCGCTCTGACTCAGAGCGCCGTTTTGGTCTCGATCGGACCGTGTCATTCGATCAGTCGGCCCTCGGACATTCCCGAGCAAGAAAAAAAAAACCCCACCTATCCGTGCCGTCGTTTTGAGAGAGCGAAGGGGACAAGAGCAGGAGAAGAATGGGAGGATGTCTTTCTCTTTAAAAAAAAATTTAAAACAAATAAAATTTTACATCAATGGCACAATTGGGGGGACAGACGATAGCGTGCGGACGCAGTATAGATTCGGACGACGGACATCGCGTTTCGGTGCACAACGAATGTAGCTAATCAATAATCTGAACTCTCTGTCATTGCCGTCCCCGCCGTCGCTGCGGTTTTTTCTCCCCCCCTCCTTTCTGTGACGTGTTTTTTTTTTCTTCTTCTTCAGCCGTGCTGGGGTCACTGCTTCAGCTCTCTTCCCTCCCCTCCAACCCACCCTGGCTGCACCCAGCCGATGGTTCAGGCAGGTGGGTGGACGATCGCGAGGCAAGCAGCAGCTGCCAGTGGCTGCTTTGCTGCAAAAGCCCACGCATCAACGCACAGCCCCCGCCCAGACGTCTTCCATAATCCTTCTAGAAAATCAGGCCCAGAGGCAAACAACAAAGGATGTCAAAACTGAGTGTGTGTGCGTGTGTGCGTGTGCGTGAATGCCTGTGCGTGCGTTCGTGTGTGTGTGTGTGTGTGTGCGAGAGTGCGTGTGCTACTTGCTTTGCTGTGATCAACACCCCTTGCTCTTCGTACGTTCGTTTTTCCCTTGCATGAACGCGTTCGACCAGCATCGTCCGGACAAAGCGAAGGGGTAAAAAAGTGGAATGAAACGAGAGAAGCAAGCTCGTCTGCCGAGCCTCTAGTTGTCGGTAAGGTTCAACTCTCTTTTTCTATGTTTGTGTGTCTCTTTTACTCTCTCTCTCACCACACGCTCGCCCCCCTCCTTCCTGTGCACATTTATCGAGCCTTCACCCACACTGTACGCAATCAACCCTCATTCTCTTTTCTTATTTATCCCTTCTCTCATCCCCTCTCAACGGTTTGTCACATGCACGTCACAAGCATGAGCTCATGGATCGAATGACGTTGAACTTTTCTATTCCTTGGAGAGGGTGGTGCGAGCGCCCCTTGCTCCGCTGTTGCAGCACGATCCTGCATGGTGCATGATGTTTTGCGTCAACAAGTGTTTTGACCCATGGGCTTTGCGTCCCTGGTGCTATATATATAAAAATGTGTAGATGCGTGATTCTAACCGTTCCCATCGTCGATGCCACCGCCCTCGCTAAAAGAAAAAAAAAAAGTTCCAAGACAGATCTCCCTGTGATTCATCTACGGGTCGTGCTTAGAAACTTCGCTGCGCCGGTTCCCATGTTGGCCCTCCCCTTTCGCCAATCCTGCGCTTTCACGAAAGCCATTCTGCCCGCACACCGAAATGTCAAGATGGCCGGTATGCGGCTACATACGAGCGGTCGAGCGCTACAGCACCACGCCTACAACGCACAGTGAACGAAGAGCTAGGCGTGGCGTAAGAGGAAAGCCCCACCTCCGACGTGTACGGCCTAGTGAGCTCGTGCGCAGCGTGCTCGTCTTACCGCCGGTGGGCTCGGACGTCATCAGTGACAATGGTACGGGCTCGGCGAACGCACACGCATACCTTCGCAGACGTCATAGTCGGGAAACTGCTAGATGTTCTGCCGTGTTGAGTCCGGATAGTAGTTGCCGTCCGAAGCTAGATAGTAGCCTGGACGAGGATTAGTGACGGCTAAAGGATGAGCAGGGCCCTGTGCGCTGCCCGTGGTGGGAGAGGATTGAGCCGCATTGGTTGTGCTGGCTGTCATTCGTGAAGAAGAGTGAGGTTCCGCTCGAGGTGCGGCAGCCTGATATTCTCTTTGGTTGTGAGACCTTGGATAGTTGTGTGCATATTGTGGGGGATGCTCTGGGTAGTTGCCTGTGCTGAATTGTCGCGGCTGGCTGTTGAACTGATCTTGTGCAAACTCCGAGGCTTGACGGACACTGCCGTAGGTATAGCCAGACCCTGAATCCTCCGTGTTCGCATAGCGGCGCATTTCCTCTTGGGCATAGGGACTTCTCAACACGGGGGGATGCGCCGGATAAGAAGGAGGATGAGCATATTGTCCTTGGTACGTTTGAAGATTCGGTGCCGGCGCTCCTGTTCTTCTGGGCGGTTCTGAATATGAAGTGTTTCTGGGCGGTTCCGAATATGGAGAGCTGTTGGTCGGACCCCAGTACTGACGCGACCTATGAACCATAGAGTCCTCGTAGCCTGAAACGTTAGTTTGAATGCGCAGAAAGACAGGTAGTCATAATCTTACGGCCAGTGTCTCCCGAGCGTTCGTAGTTGGCCGAATCAGCCTTAAGGTCACGTATCATGTCTTCAGTGGGCGGGCGACTAGCAGCAATCCAATATCCAGGCTGGCCCTGCGACTTTTGAATCAGCATCGTGCCCCTCGTTTGCTTCGGACCGTAGTCGCACCTCGTTTTCCTCGCGTCCCTCGCCAGGCCGGACAAGCGCATCGTCGCCCAAATACCTTTGTATGTCTGCCTGGATGACGTCTCTCCTTATGCCAGCTGCGGGGATCCACCATTTGTAGTTTGGCCCGCTGGTGGTCGCCGTGCCATACGGAGCTGGCTGATGGCGGTGTTCATGGCGGCTCGCCATGGCTTTGTTGATGCCTGACGACCAACAGAGCAACGAGATCGCCTGCGTAAAAGACGAAGGTCGAGCGAAGCTAAAATTGGACGCAGACACGCAAACAGGCCACGCACCACGGCGGACGTCTCGAAAAAAAGAAAAGGTGATAATTGGATACCACGTTGGGCTACGCGAGGTTGATGTCAGCGCGAGCTCTTTGGGTGGTGACGACGAGCACGCAGCGACCGGTCAAAAGCTTGGCGGTAGCATGCTCGGCTGGTCTCGTGAAGAGACGCGAATTTGCCCCGCTTGTACACGGAGGTCCCATGGCCAATCCCTTGTGTTGTACTGATACACGAGCCGGAACCGGCCGAACAGAGCTGTACACACAGTGCAGACCCGGACGACGGGGGAAAATGCCACCAATGACAACGGAAGGGCGAAGGGGGGTTTTGATGCTTTTCGATATCAGAACTTGGGTGAGCGAGCGCAGTTCAGCGTATGTAGAACGAAGAGGAGAGAGTGAAAAAGGGAAGAAAAAATAAAAATAAAAATAAAAACCGCACAATTTTATTTGTTCTTTTTAGGTGACACATGCCCCGATGGATCGAATCCAGGCCGGTTGTCGTCGTCGTCTTTGCTAGAGTCCCTTCATACGCCTCAAACAGGTGGACAGCACGGCGGTAGTCGATCGTGAAAGTTGACCGTACCCCTCAAGCTCCTACGCGAGAGGGAGTGTTTACCCAGTATACGAGACAACAAAGGACGAACGAGGCATGGGAAGACGCGACCAATGCCAGGAAACCAAGAAAGGCTGGATAACGTATGCCTTCCCTCGCTTTGCATATTTGTAACCTGTACCGTCAGCAAGCATGCCCAGAGACATGCGCCTTGACATTCCATCGACGGCTGACACGGTGCAGTGTTACAGTTGTAGTTCGTGATCAGGATTGGGTGCCGTCACATGAAATTTTTTTTTCTTTGTGTAGAACACTACGTACAGAACGGCCAGCAGTGGCCAAATCATGGACTCTAGCTTGGTATGAACTGCATATTCTAAGCAGATGCGTAGGCGCAACAGGCCCTTAGCTGAAAGTTTGTTGCTCGATTACTTGTACAGGAAACATGCTTTTTTTGATGTTGCTGCGCACTGTCTTTGTGGTATCCCAGCAATTTCGAAGAAGAAAAAAAAAATGAACATATGTATACCTCATCTCTATGCGTTGTATGGAGCATTGTCGCGGATGACGTAGATTTCAATCACAAGAACGACGCATCCTACCGTCATGGCGATGGCAATGATGGGCAGGTTCTGACGAGCGAATTGAACGCCGCTCACGTGAATGTGCTTCCGCGCAAGTATGTCTCTCCAGAGCAGCCCTGCTAACGAACCGGAAAAGGCCGCGCTGAAGGCACCGTAGTTGACCCCAAGAGCCATGCTGTAGATGGTGCCCCAGAACGTTCGGTCGCTGATCGTGGTGCCTGCCTGTGCGTGAATGGCTTGCCATGTTTGAACGATGCGGGACAGAAGGATCGTCGTGCCAATATTCGTTCCAGCAAACTGTGCGAATTTAGCTACCTTTGCTTTTTTTTGAAGCTGGCGGAGAGCTTCCAGTTTCGGATGGACTTACGTTGCAGAGAACTGTAGACAAGAACCCCATTCCAGCAATGCTGCCGACGGTACCGGTCTTGTTTACCCAATGATCCCATCCATGCGCAAAAACCTGTACCCAACCCTTTGTGACGAGGGCTTGCACGAGAACGAACATGCAGAACGCAAAGGGTACAAGTGCGAACGGCAGATGGGTAAGCACAGCCGAAGACGTAGGGAATGTCTCCTGACACCACCTCCAAGCGCGACGCATTTGCGAGACGAGCGTTTTCGCCTCCGGCCTCCTCATCTCGGCCAGCTTTTCCTGAACGCGACGCTCGAAGTCGCGGGTAGAGACTTTCTCCGGATCGTCCGTCTGCGCTTGGGTGCTTGGGTGTCCCAGCTCGCTCGTCGCGATATCGTCCAACTGCTTCGGCTCGTCCGACACCACGTAGTTTTGCTCGTTGGATTCGAACGAGTAGGTGCGCATTTCCTCCAGTACGATTGCACGTGCCTTTGCCTCCTCCACGTCCCGTCGGCCCTTCTGCGCAATTTCGCGCGTCTCCTTCCTGTTGATCCATCCGGACACCAGATCGAAGCCAAAGCAAATCATCGCGGCCGGAAGGGTGACATAGAACACGGGATACTCGCCGCTGCTTTGCGCTGCAGCATTCAGGGCAAGAATTGCAACGAGAGTAGCAGCCATGATGAAAGCACTGAAAGCCGCTCCGCTCTTGTCGAGAAACGGATGCAAAATCTCTTCGAGAGACAGAACTTGCCCCTCCTCGCTATTCTCGGCGTTTTCCGTCTCCTCGGCGGTACCGCGTGCGTTTGGAATGTTCGGATTGACGGGCTTAGACTGAAGCCTAGCTTTGGCTGCCTCTGAAAGCTCATGCAACTTGATTGAGGATGGAATAAGCGTCTCGTCGTTGAAAACGATGTACATGAGAAAAGGAAACAAGATGATGACCGTGAAAATGACGGGAATTATGATGTTCGCGGTATAATGAAGGAACTTGATGTCAAAAGCTCCAGCGAGGACAAGGTTAGTGGGGTTCGATGAGACCAAAATGGCGGAAGCAATGTTCGCGATCGCGAATTGGGTGTGAATCCACGCTGTTGGCTGCTCAATGTTCTGGGAGACTCGAGTCATGTAGGCCAGGAACGCTGTCCCAGACAGGATGATGGGGTCGTTTCCAATAAAGCTTCCAAGGCCAAAGAAGAACGCGTATAGGTAGAAAAAGAGCCGATGACCGACGTCTCCCGCCCACTGTAGGACCTTGTAGGCCAGCCATCGAATCAAGCCGGAGGCGTCCACCGATATGGCAATGTAGGCCAGTGAAAGGAAGAAGATCATGATATCGTACGGAACGATGTGATTGGAGCCAATGATTCCATCGTGGACTTCTTTGCGACCAATTGCCAGGATAGCGAGAAGGAACAGATCCGCTATCAACGGCGCGGTGACAAAGTTAATAGGAAACCGCAGCGTCTTGAACCATTTCCCGCCATCCTCGGAGTCGGCTGCCGGCGGCCGGGGAATGATGCGCGCCCCATAGACGAGCCGCAAACATGCCTTCCACAGAGGGAGTGGGATGAAAACGGGTACATGGAATGGGAACAGGATGACGAGATCTAGGATTCGTGCGGTTTAGCCTCAAGATCTGTGGAAGAGTGCGGGTAACCTGGTCATGGTTGCTCGAACGGACGAACATGTCGATTGGACATTGCACACTCCACAAAAGCGTGCGAGCTCGGTCCATTCCGAGTGCATGAGACGACCTCTGTCCCGTGACGAGAGCGAAGTTGGGGGCGGCAATGGGTCTGCGAAGTGGACTTACTGGTGAGCACGAAGACAATCAACGTCACGATGGACCGCCACTCCCTGATTTTGCCGGTGTTAAGATCGATGGGCTCGTCGCTGGCCATCGCAGCATGGTCTCAAACGCAGAGGCTACGGCGCCGCTGCAACAGGCGGCTGTATTCGACGTATGTAAGTCTGAGGCCGAAGGCCAGATGTCACCTGACTGAGGCTTGGCCACGCAAAGACGCGGCCCAACCAAGCAGATTTGTCGCTCCACAGCCTCTCTTGGGCTTGGGAGCAAACAGTCGAGATGCTGAACGATGCAGAACCATGTGCTGAGGTTCCGACCTCGAATTGGCTCCGTGGGTTCTTGTGTGTGCCCACGGCTAAGGCCCGTTGAGAGGAGCGGACAGAATGTGGGCACCCCCAGCCGACCGTTGCGCTCATCGTGCATGCACTGCCACCAACACGGTTACTACACCGCTTCCAACCTCCCGCGTGCGCTCACCGGCCATCAGCTTCGTGTTTCCCCGCCGGCCCACGCTAGCGCGAGACTCTTGCTTTATTCGCGCGCCCTTTGGCTCTGCGACAGAAAAAGAGCACGGAGAGCGACCTGTCAGCCTCATTCCTCACGGCAGCACGCCATCTTCCGCGTCTTCGAGAAGCAGGGCGAGGCCTTGCGCTTGTCCAAGCGCTCACACGACTACCTTCCCTTCACAGCATCGCGGCTGTCAGACATCACAGGCTTCGCTTTCGTAATTGCCCTGCGTCCCGGTCAACGCCTTCATACACTTTAAACCTCGTTCCTTTGTACGGCGCTGGCCGGTCGACCTCCTCTCCGCGTTTCGTTGATGAACTCTGGCCCGTCCTGCCCGCCCACTATGTCTATCGACGCTTTGGAAGATATATTCTTCAAACGTTCATGACCTTTGTATTTTCGCGCATTACTACTGCATCCTCTGTACTCGCATTCTTGATGCGACGATAAGCAGGGCTATGCCAGTAGTCCACCAATACTCGCCACTTCCCACGCCCATCCAGCGCGCTACCATTGTGAACTCGAGTCTGCCTCCTCAGGCTGTGAATAGCACCCAGTCTGTTCTTGTCGTGTGTGCCTGGCCTGTGAGCGGCCAGTACGGGCCTGGATCGAGAATCCTGTACTACGCTCTTGTAGCGGCCTGCGTTCTTGCCAGACGACAATTATGGCTTCGAGACGCATGTCTGGCCGCTGCGCTTCTCTTTCCAGCCGTTGCCGCGATACACGGCATCGTGCTGGCAGCAATGCATGTTGACAATGCCGTCGACATGGACATTTATGGTGCCTTTCAGCTGTGCGCCATAGGCATCTTGACAGCCCCGCCAACCGTTCGACTCAGCAAAACGTATTGGAACCAGGTCCAAGGCCGAAATGTTATTTTTGTCTGGACAACTCTAATCCTAGCAGGTGAGATTAATGTTTTTTTTTAATTCTTATATTTTTTCCCGATTTGTTTTGAGGCACTGATCGCGCGCTGGGCACGCAGCAAAGCTGGATATGAGCTGGCATACTGCTCCATCCAACTATCTTCTGGCTCTCATGTAGACATGCGCTATTGATCTTGACTTCTCCTACCGCTAAATGCTCGCGTTGCAGCTAATCTCAACTAGGCTTACTTAGCTTGACTGTGGAGTTCTATCGAACATCACCTAAGCCTTGCGAGGGTCTTGCGTCAGGTAGCCCATTCCCATGGGGTCAAGACAATGCCTGCGGATTGACTTGTTCAGTCAATGATGGACCTTTCAGTCCTGCCAGACAAGACTCCGCGAACAACATCTACGTCATTCCGATCCCTCAACGCATCACCTTTGGAATGGGCACACTCTTTGCAGCTGCTTGCTGCGTTCCTGCTGTGCTTTCCATCATCTCAATATGGAACAAGATCATTGCAGACAATCGGGCGAAGAAAAAGAGGCTCCAGCAAAATGCGACCAGTCGGCGTGAACAGCTGAACCGAGAATCCATTGACCGAACCAACAAGATCATCCAGAGCCTGCTAAGTGTAGTGGAGATCCCAGTGTTCGCCGGTGCTGTCATTGCCTTGGTTATTCTTGGGGAGTTGAACTTTTGGAGTACACAAGTCAACTACATGACAGAAAGAATCGCTTCGATCGGCCAGTGGGCTCCAATTGCAGGCACAGGTTAGTAACTTTTGGCTCTCAAGTCCTTGAAATATGGTCACTAAATCGTTCATCTTCAGGCTTGGCTGTTGTTGGTGCTCTGGCACTTCGTATAACTGAGATGATTCAAAAGCACGATGGAGATACTGCTCCTCGTTCTTCTCTATCTAGCTATGAGGAAGAAAAGAGAAGGCCTACCATCGAACTACACGGACCGGACGATAATCCTGTTCACGTTGAACCCAGTTATGTCGCTGACAGTGGCCGCTTTGTTGAAGAACCAAGGAGCATGTCGATCAATGTACCTGAGCTTGTTCATGTCAAGGAAAGCACCGACCACGTAGAGCATGCTGTGTGCACTTCGTCGGACTTGGATCCGGATGAACGGTTACACCACGTGGAGACATACGCCAGCGCAAGCACGAGTGCTAGCCGAAGCAAGGACGCCGGCCGCAGCAAATTCGCTAGCATAGTCGCGAAAGTCACGGGGAGCCCTGGGCTCGATCGCGACGAACTAATATTCCAGGCTGCGAAGAAGGAGCTGCCTGAACTTCCCGGTGAGCGCAACCGCAACCCAATGCTACAACAACAGATAGAACGATTCGGTCGACACCGGAGCTCGTTTGGAGCCTCAAACGCCCCAAGCCTTTACGGTGAAAGCAATCCCAGCACATCAAGAGACCCATCACCTTTCCCGAGTCCGAATATGCCACATCGAAATAGGACTCTTCCAACATCACATTCAGCATCCCGGACGACATCGAGCCCGTTGCCTGGGCCTAGAGTCAACGCCGGCGAAGCACAGGCATCACGGACAACACGTGATAGGACCGCGTCAGAACCATTTGGTCCCCACGGTGGCGCGTCCAGCAGCTCGCCACTCGGTCGAAGCATGACCCTTGAGGTGCCACAAATGGGTCGAGGAAAAGGTAGATGGCCGTAAGTCGCTCCATGTTCACCTTGTCCCAGTCACGATATGGCCTCATTTTTTTTTGGCAACGTCCCCCTTGAAGGCACGCTTTGCAGACAAAACGCAAGCGTTTCCACGCAAAAAGAGCTAGTGCGGCAACGCCTCTTTGTCTAGAGATAAACAGAACTCCACAGCAGCAAAAGCTACTGGGGGTCTATGCCGCCGCGCGGATCCTGACGTGTCAAGACTCATTCCTTGATTTAGACATAGATGGGAGTGGGAAAAAGGATTTACCTTTGATCTTTATTTTGAAGAGATGATGTTGAATTTTGGGTCATACCATCTTCTGTGTAAAGTAGCGGGAGTAACTGACATTGATCTCGTGTACATGTACTTTATTATGACTAGAATTGAGATGCATCTCCGGGCTTTACCCTCGGTCAGGACGATTTTTAAAAGAGTAAACAGGCAAGTTTCAACTCTCCAAATGTTTGAGCCTCGTTGGTGAGAATCTTTTGAACGTCACTGGCTTTTATTAAAGGACTACATATGTATTGTTTGGAGAGGGAGCAGGGGTTACGTCATTTCACTATATATAACTTATATGACTACATATAAATCTGTGGGCCAGTTCTTAGCCAAGCCGTCGTGCCGTGGTTGAAGCAGCTGCAATTACAGCTTTGTCACATCGCATGCAACACACCCAAGGCCCTAGACTTCACGACACCTGTCCACAGGGATTCATCATGAATTCATTAAAAAAAAAACTTTTTTCCTAAAAGAAAAGGAGAGAACGAAAAGGAAAAAAAGACGAACCTCATACCTTGTGAAATTTAAATAGCCGTAAGAGCGAATCAACGTAAAACTGACGATTCCAGGCGCTAGGTTAAGGAGAGGATTGCTAAGACAACGACGGTTTTTTTATTTCCCTTGTAAGCGAGAGACATGGAGACAGGAACTGCAAAAAAAAAGCAATTGCGGGAGAGTTCTCAACTTGAACCGAAGAGATCGACATCGACTGTCGCTAGCGGCAAATTGTACGGAGCTTGAGCCAAATGGCTAACGGAGTACATTCAATTGCTACGAAACGCTTCCTGCCTGTCGATTTGAGATGGATCACGGCACATGTGACCCCTCAAGCTCCGGCGTCGCGAAGTATTCCGGTCTGTTGGGGGTTTCGCCGAGCGTCATCTGGAAAGGGCCCTCTGGTAGCTCGTTCTCGGGAACGACGTGCTCGCTGTGGGCCTCCTGTGGTTCTGCTTGACCCCAAGGGAGTTCCGCTGGTAAAACTGTGCCGCCCGGCGAGAGCAACGCGTCCGCAGCGGGAGTTGGCGGCTTCGGTCTCGTGATGTGATCTTCTCTCCAGGCGATGTTCCACATGTTCACGAAGCGTTCCGCCTGCGGTCGAGGGCTTCGACCAGAAAATTGGATTCGAAGCCAGAGCGGAACTTTGACCGGAGGTACCATTTGCGCAGCCTCAAGCTCCTCTTCCGTGGGGTCCGCGGGCAAGTAATTCTCGTCCCTTGCGTCGAGTCTTACGTTCTCGCTCTGCATCCTGGCCTCATGGAACCGCAGCACCGGATATTCGACTTGGTGGACGGAAATGGAGTTTGCGGGAAAGGATATGCTGTGGCGATATGGCCATTCTTTGTCTTGCCAGAGCAAAATGCACACATTACGCGCCATACCGCGATCGTGACCCTTTTCTTTGTGTGGGTGCCTATCCGACCATATGACATCGGTTTCGAAGTATACCAGCAATGTTTTGTCTCGCAGATCGGACATGAACTGAATACCGAAATCCTCCGTTAAAAATCTGTACGAGGGTAAGAAATCGTCTTCGAAATCTGGTCGGTCATTTTCATAGTGCACGACGTGATGTGGATTGCCGCTGAAGAAGACTTCGAATTCCCTTCTGGCATGTATGGAATGTTGGATCCCTGGAATTGATTCGCGCGGGACGGTATGCACAACCTTTTGTGAATTATAAATGCTGTCCCAATGTACTAAACGCGAATTATCAACCAGCTTAATGCATCGCCATGATTGAAGATAGATATCCACTTCCTGTCTCACACCCGCATTTAACGTCATTCTTGCGGTTTGGGACGGCAAGCTCGACATAGGCAACGGAGTAAAGCTGGTTGCGCTACCGCCAAGTCCCACGGAACTAAAAGGAGAGGTGAACGGAGTGGACATGCTCGGTGAAACAGAGATCGATGACGTGGAGCCTTGCCTGACAGCTCTAGGGGAGAGATTGTAGTAAGAACCATGCTGGGATGTGGTTGGTGATAGCGTTGGATACAAAACGCTGTCCCGCCTTTGACGAAACTCCGACGTATTCGTTGTCAAATGTTGACTCTCGTTTGTGAGCTCGAGCATTATCTGCATAAAAGTTGTGGACGAGCCCTCGAAGATCATGCGTGTTGGAATCCGAAATTGGCGAGCTGTTTGACCAACCCGTCTATTCATGACTTGCCAGATTGCCTCTACCATGCTTCGAAGCGGTTCCAGATTTTCCGTTGCACCTGGAACATGAATCGCTCTATTACGAGCCCGCTCATACATCGATCGAAGGCGCAGCAGCTTTCGATATATGACCTCGAACGGCTCATCTTCGCTCACGCCGAGATGAGCCGGGCTTCGACCTGCCGCCGCAGGCCCAAATTTGCTGGGCTGCAACAGACCTTTTTGGATACAATCTCTTTCATACTTTGTGAGAGTATCACCGCTGTTTTCGTTGTCCAGGATCACTGAACGACGAAGCGCTTTCAGGACAATGTAGGTCAGGAGTTTGTTCATGTCAAGCTGTAGCTCATATTCGAGCGCCTTGCACCTTTTAATATTGTCTGGGTTCTCATGATTTAGCGGGGATGACGGGCTCGAGTCTGTATTTCTGCGTCGCCAAACCTTCAATACCAGATCCTTGGTTTTCATGGCGATGCCAGGCGACTCAACATGCTCGACGCTCCCTTTCTTTGATCCATTGCCGAGAAAGTCTTCAAGGAATGTCTTGCACGTCTCGACTTTGCTCGCGAAAGAGTTCCTCTGTGGCAAAACCTCACGATACTCGTCAAGAACAACAGCGACATCCTGAAGAACGGTGCAGTAATGACATAAGGTCTCCAGAAGATTCTGGATAGGGGTAGGATAATAAGCTTTGCCGTGTTCGTATCTTTCCACGATTTTTTTCCCTTCTCTGGCGGCCTCAGAGAGAGAGCTGACAGTGGTGATGGTGTAGACCGGAACCATTGTCGTGTCCTCTTCAGCGATGGTAACAACCTGGGGCTGCTGTCTGCGCGTGCGCGAACTCTGTTGCGCTATTGGTCAGTTGCGAAAAAGAAGATCCGCGAGCGAGGCTTCGTAACGTACGGGAAAACGCATGTCTCCAGATCTCCAAGCTTTCACGCACGCAACAGAAATACTGTTTTCTGAGCACTGGATCACGCGCTTGATCGGCCGCGGGATGACTTTTCGACCTGCTGCGCCTCGGTGAAGGGATGGACGGCTTGTGGGATTGCTGGACTGGACATGCAACACGTGTGGTGAACTTGCAGTAGGCTACACCATATGAATCCCCAACCCAGTCAGCCACCATCATTTTATTGGCTGTTAACGCCTTTAAATTGCCGTCGGCACTCCTCTTCAGACGCTTTATTTAGGACGCTGGTGGGAGGTTTGCTCGCTATGGCGTTAGCGAGGCGAAGCCCTCGTTCTGCCTTATACGATGTCGAGTATGTGACCCTTTCGAGCCCCTCTGCCAGGCTTTGAGCATCGTTCATCTTTTTCTGTTTACTGTGGTTTGCTGCAAAAGAGAGTGGGCAGTCAAACGATCCCAGAACCGCCCTCTGGAAAAAGCGTTCATCAAAGTTTGGCATGTCCAGCAGCTCCTTTGAAAAGAAAAACCGCGGCTTTCTTGGGCCTAGAAGCGAGGCTCTTGCGACAAATGAACTTCGGGTTGGTGTATAGATCCATTACCAATTACTTCTGTTAAGAATTATCAGGCGCGTGAGGAGCTTCGCCTAGATATCGACGGAAATGGTTTCAACTGGCACGTCTGGGTACGTGTTACGACCTTGTATTCGTTATCTTTTTGCTGAATTTTTAAGGCCGTGGCCGCCTCCGGCTTCTTCACCGACAGCTATAATCTGTACGTCTGGTGACCATCGAGTAAGCAATTACAATCCACTAATCTCATAAGCTTTGCGACGAATGTGATCCTGCCGTCAATTGCCTACGTGTATTGGCAGACGGATGAAAATCCGTGGCGCGAGACATTCATCAATGCAATGACTCTTGGCGGATCTGCTATCGGGCAGCTTTTGTTCGGTATTCTGGCAGACGTGAAAGGAAGAAATAGTCTGTACGGAGTTGAGCTGGTGATTGTGATTTTTTCAACCATAGGAGTTGCTTCAGCCAGCTCAGGAATAGGCAACAACATGTCCATTCTTGCTTGGTTGGTAGCCTGGAGATTTGTTATGGGAATTGGCATTGGAGCAGAGCAAGTACCAACCTACATTGCGGACTCCACGTTTTTTCTCTAACGCCGACAGATATCCTTTATCAGCTGTTATCTGTTCGGAATGGTCCTCGACAAAAGCAAGAGCTCGGATGATGTCGGCGGTGTTTTTTATGCAACCTGTAGGTCAACTGCTAGCACAACTTGTTGGGCTCTGGGTAGTCCTTGGGCGGAAGTCACACCTTCAATCCCACTGTAGCAACGACGAGTCTAACCAGCTGTGTCGCGCCGAAGTCGACCGAATTTGGCGGATTGTAACCGGCGTTGGCGCCGCTCCAGCTCTTTTGGCGATCATATTTCGCTTCTTGATTTGGGATGCAGGTCTATACGTCTGGGAAGTCAAACAGGACATCCCTCGAGCCATTCGCAATTCGCAAAATGTTTATCCCAACATCCGGGCGAGAGCCGAATTAGGGACAGCGCGACTTATGAGCGGATGGAACGTGGAGCAGACCGAGGAGGAGTCAATGCCAATACAGTTTTCCCGAGAAGACTTGCGATATTATTTCATTGAGCAGGGCAACTGGAGATATTTAGCAGGTACCTCGATATGCTGGTTTCTTCTCGACTTCGCGTAATGCTATTGTCCCATTTACCTGCGCAGCCTGCTTACAGAGCTTAGGTTTTATGGACTCGGGATGAACAATCCCCGAACCATAGCAAAGATATTCGCGAACGCTCCAGTGAACGAGAACATCATCATCCCGAGCTGGAACACAAATCCACAAGACCCAGACGCAACCATATATGACACATTGAAGACAAATGCGGAGAGGAGCATATACACGGTATGCATCGCATCGCTTGCCGGTAGCGCTCTTTTCATCTTCTTTTCGAACTACATTCGACGTCGCAATTGGCTGATTGGCTCGTTTCTCGTCCAAGGCTTGGTATTCATCATTTCTGGTGGCACTTTCTATGCAGTCTTCCACAAGGGCAGTCACTTCGAGACGGTGGCCCTCGTTGCAATATGTCATTTTCTATTCAACTTTGGTGAGCTAAGTAAAAGCACAAACAGACAATCTCGGTGCTAACAGCAAGTCTAGGCGCAAATACACTTACCTTCATGATCCCGGCAGAGATTTTCCCGTCAACATATCGCTGCACCTGCCATGGAATATCAGCTGCTTCTGGAAAGATTGGCAGCATTGTCGTCTCACTGGTTTTGCGCAAGGTCGGCGTTGGAAGCGATCCAAACACAAACGCGTTAGGATACGTCTTCATCATCTTTGGCGTGGTCATGGCGATCGGTGCGTTCTTTGCGTGGGCGTGGATCCCCGATGTGCAAAATGGACGCGAAGAGGAGGGAGGCCTATTCAAGTTCCTTAAGCCTTTGCAAAACAAAACACTAGAAGAGCTTGGAGAAGGTTTGGCGCGAGCAGATCAAAGCGGGCAACGGATCGGCTTTCGCAACAAACTCCTGGGGTTGAAAAGAAGAACGTTTCGAAAGGGATCTGTATACACTAGCCATGTTGAGATGTCATAAGCTTTCCCGCGCGGAAGTCGAAGCTGCACACAGCTTATCTTGACGGAGGAGTCAAAATGGTATGCAAAATATCGAATGTACATATCAAGAATCCCGGTAGTTCCTACTGTTTTATCACACGAATTCGCTCTGCCTCCACTGAATTGATGCCTTAACATGAATCACTTTTTCGCGAGCTGCTCGTGAAGATCTTCTCTGACTACTACCAACCACAGTGTTGTCGGCGATATTTTCAATCTGACGCCGCTTTTTTCTTCTTTCGCCAAGCTCGCGTGTGGGCGGCTTGCTGTGCTCGGCCCAGCAATTGGATGCTCATCTTGCTCAACCGATGACTTCTTCTCGACCGGAAATCCAGACGGTGACAGCTGAGACTCCACCTCCACATTTGACTTTGACACCGGGTCATTCCGAAGCTCAACGCCTTCAATAAGATCTCGCAACGCTTTCATCACGTTTTCGGGATCGTCTGACGTTGCATTCACCGCGTCTAGTATATGATGTGTAGGCACGTGAACAAGATCTGCCAGGAGCGCGGTGTTTAGTATGTGAGCATGCAGTCCTCGCTTGTGAAACCAGTCCTTGTTCGCAGCCTGAGCGTACGCCTGCACCCGCTCAAGAGGTGTTTTGGGATTGGCACCTGCAGCGACAGCGGCTCCTGGCAACGAAAACACGCTACCGACGACTTTGGTAGCGGTACCAAGACTCAAGCCCACCGCGCCGCCAATGACACCGCTAACGACACCGATGGGATTGCCACGCTTCGCTTGGTAGCCAATCTCCTTGACCGTATCCTTAAAGTTGGCGACGACCTCCTTGCCGAACTGTTTCGGCACACGACCGACGGAGGCGGCGATGTCGCCGGCATGGCGCACGGCTCTCTTGCCCACCGTATCGGTCAGGAAAGCTGACACGGTGTCCAGAAAGGAGTACCAGCTGCTCGCTGGGATGCCATAGTTGAGCAAAATTGGGGCGTACGCCGGCAGAAACGGAGAGGATAGATCAGCCCATTGTTGAGGGATGGCGATCGGCCGTTGGATCGCTGACGGTGAACTGTAGTCCGGCGGTGATGCTTCATTGGTCAAAGGAAAATTGAACGGCTGTGATACTGTGGGCCCAATGGTTGGTGTTGCGCTTGCTCCAGTTGATTGTGGATAAATGTTTGAGGGTCCGGGAGTGCAGTCTTGATATGAGGGCAACTCGTCATCGCGGTCAAGTGAGTTCTCTCGGTCGTAATTCTGCCCTTGCTCTTGCGTCTGAGCGTGCGCCTTTGTATCTTTGTGCTTCGAGTCCATAGCTTATAGTCTGAATCAGAATCTGCCCATTTTCCCGATATCTTGGAGTTTTCTATGATTATATAGAGACGAAAATGCTCCCGTGAGGCTGTGCACACAGTACGATGCTTTGAGTCGGGGCTGTGTTCAGTCGTCGTCGAATGCACCACAAACAGTTAGCGTCTATGGTGACGGAACGGTTTCATATGAGCAGGCAGCAATTTTAAGAGATCGATGAACGTCATCGCATATCTCTTAAAATATGCAGCTCTGTTCTTCAGTGAAAATCGAAAGGTGAAGAGCAACAATGCTTCTGTCAGTCCGAGCCTTGTGTCCTGAGGAGCGCACTTTTCAGTACTTCCGCAGACCGATCATTCGCTCCCAAGAATGTCCTTGCCCCAGCTAACACAGAGGGCATTGAAGGCTATTCAATCAACGTTTACCGTCTCCTGCCTTTCTCAAGAGACGATTCACTTGTATTCGCTAGTTCCTGAATGGTGCAATGGCGTAGTTGTCACCAAGGCAGAGAGAGAGAGATAAAAGGCGGACCTAAAAGCACGAAGAGCAAGTTCTGATAAAAAGGCTGCTGCATTCTCGCAAATTTTCTGAAAGATGAAGTATTTTGTTCCCGAGCTTCAGTTCAGGCCCCTGTCAAACCATAGACTCTCACGGGAGGGCCGTCGAAATCTGCTTCTTACCGAAGGCCTGCGCTTCGCACCAGGCGGCTGCGAAAAGGGCTTCGGCTTCGCTCTTCGCGCCCCGAATTCGAAGTCCTCCCTCAAAGACTCTTGATATATCTCTTCGATGCTGGAAAATATGTCGTGGTACCACCAGTGGTTGCGGCCCGTCCCAGAGTCCTTTCTCGCTCGTGAGGACTGGCTTCTGATCTTCTCATCCTCTGCGTCTGCTGGGGGATCGCGCTCGGCAAACAAGTCTGCGCGTGCTGCTTTCAGAAATTCATCATACTCGGCGCGAGACTTCGAGTCCAACAAACACTCGGCAGCATCCTTGATTTGCTTAAACAGAGCTTCATCGCCGCCTTTGTCAGGGTGGTGTGCCAGCGCCAGCTTTTTGTACCTGTGCTTGATTTCGCGCGGAAGTGCTGAAGGCAAAACACCGAGCGTCTCGTAGTGCGATTTTTCCATAGGATAATGAGACGTCATTGGGGTTTGATATCAATACATGTTGCACTTGACCTGGAGCTCAGAAGAATCGTGAGAAGTGGCTTTAAAGCTCGGCTTACTAAACATGTGGAAAACGAAGCCGCATGAAGGCGTACGCAAACACGCAACACAATCTACTTTGTCATATCTGAGCTCTAGGACGACCTGTTGAGAACTTATATCTAAATTTTCAATAGATCATAGCTTACGATTGCCGCTTCTATAAAATCTTCATCGCCAGTCGTTCGAACAGCGCATCCACTTTCGTGAATAACTCTGATATCGTGAACGGCTTGGCTATCACATCATCCATACCGCTTGACAACGCAGCAGAGATCTGCTCTTCCCTTACATTCGCGGTAACAGCGACCACAGGGATATGACCATCCACTTTACCGTCATTCTCCATTCCTCTGATCCTCCGAACACAGTCTAAGCCATTCATCCTAGGCATTTCTAGGTCCATGAGGATAATCGAAAGTTCTCTGCCATCTTCTAGGCTGCAATATTTCGTCTTTTCCAGGAACTCTAGAGCTTCGATACCATCGTTTGCAACACCCACGTTGCACCCATACTTCTTGAGTTGCTTTACCAACACTTTTTGGTTAATTAGATTGTCTTCGACTACTAAGACGTGTAGTTTTGTTGAATCAAAAGATTTAGTGTCTGCTTTTGCGGGCAGTGATGCTGAAACCGAGCTCTTACTTCCAGCCTCTTGTCGTTGAGATGGAAGGTACTGAGATAATTTGGTAAGAGGCTCGGGCGAAACGTGACTGGCTAACTTGGGGACATGAGCTGCCTGCGTTCGACGAACTTTGATATAGAATCCGAATGTGCTTCCATGCCCAGCTTCCGATGCGACACCGATCGACCCTCCATGCAGTTCACAGAGTTGCTTACAGATAAACAGCCCTAGCCCGCTCCCGCCGTACTGAGCATGGGTCCTTGGCGATGCTTGTTTGAATCGCGCGAACAAAATCTGTTTTTGTGATGAAGTGAGTCCGACGCCTGTATCTTGTACACGGAAGTGCACATAGAGATCCTCCCCATCTCCCCAATCTTCCCCATCCGTCACATTCTCGTTTTTCCTTTTACTGGCCGGAACTAAGGTGAATCCAGGTACGATGGGTGACGTGGGAGGGAATTTAGATCCACCAACAGCGACAGTGATGACTCGATTCTCGACCTCCGACGTAAATTTGATTGCATTTGTTAGAAGATTGAGCAAAATTTGACGAACGCGACTCGGATCCAAGTTTACCCAGTCAACATTCAACTCTTTATACGAGTTATCGGTATTAAATTCGAGCTTTATATCCCTAGCCTGGAGTTCGGAGTCAACCATCTTGACAGAATGTCGAAGGATTTCAACTGGTTGCGCTGGGGTTGGAGTGATAAGAAGCAGGTTTGAGTCGAGCTTCGATATCGTGAGAATATCGTCCACAATGTTCTTTTGATGCTGAACACAGAGACTGATCGTACGAGCTGCATCGATGCAGTTATCCAACGTAACTCTCGAGGGTGGCGACTCCGTCGTGATGTATCTCTCGAGGGCGCTGCATATGTCGTCTGCGCATTGCAAGATAGCACTAAGCGGATTTCTCATCTCGTGTGACGTGATGTCAATAAACTCATTTTGCTGCCGCCTAGTCTCTTCCGCTTCGGCTAGCCTCCGGTTCTGCAAACCTTCTGCCCATTTGAGGTGTGAGATGTCAGTGATACAACCCATGATGGATCTCAGAGAACTGTCAGCGGCGAATTCAGGAGCGGCTGTGAACAAGACCCAGGTAGCAATAGGGTGTCCATCTGGATCAACAGAGCGACTCCCTTTCGCGGAAAGTTGAATTTCGCCGCTCCATGGCACATGATCATCCACGAGTTGCGACCATCCGTGGTCCATTACGGATCTGCTACTTTCCTCCACAAAATTTATCCAGGACATTGGCTCGATGTCGTCCTTTTCCAACCCTGTCATTTCGTAGAATCGGTCGTTCGCTTCCCGCATCACGCCCTGAGGTGTCACTAAGAACATTCCCAGAGGCGACAATTCCGTCATTCTTCGCATCCTGTCAGTCTGCAGCGCAAGTTGTTGACTGAGCTTTTCCTGTTCGAGAGCAGCGGCTTCTGCAGCGTCTCGAGATCTGCGAACTTCCTCCTCGAAAAGCAGGATGGATGCTAGCGATGTGGCAAGCGCTCTATTAAGCATATTTACGAAAGATTGGTAGCTTTCGTCGTATGGGCGCCGTGGATTCATGCCAATCAGGAGAAATGCCAGTACCTGATCCCCGTTTGTGGGACGAACCGGAAAGATAACAGCGTCTTGGCAAGGTTCACCAAATCCACGCCATTCTATACCTTCAAGAAGTGATAATGGGAGAGTGCCATCACGAGCGTGAAGAAGAGTAGGCTCTCGTGTACGCATTGCTTCTCGAAACGATGGAATGAACCCTTCTAAGCTCCTCTTCAGATCAAGTTGTGGTGGAGCCGCAGGATGTCCGGGGGGTACAGCAATGGACCCTTCGAAGTAACAAGACTTCATCGATATTGTGCTTCCTGATGATATCGATGAGTGGTCTTGATCCTCGCTGTCTGCCACGCTGTACAATAGCGCAAATGGTATGTCCCAAATATTTTCGTCTAGACCCTCTAGGACTCGTTTCCAGTACTGCTTCACAGACTTGGCGCGGGAAGTGCATTCACCAAGTCTGTTGATCGTCTGCATCATGCGTCGATGGCGCTCCATCTGCGTGGTCTCAAAAGGTGCGTTGTAAAATCCTAAGATTTTGTCCGTGTTGCCGTATAAAGGGGTCCAAGACCAGGAGAAAAATGTCTCTTCGAGCAATCCGTATCTTTCTATAGGCAGATAATCATTTTCTCTGCGGACTGAGAGACCCGTTCTCGCCATTTCAGCCATGAGGGGGGCAACGCCTTCCCAAAGCTCGGAAAACTCTCCAGAGAAACCTGTGCCCATCAGCGCAGGATGCTTGTTTCCGGCAACTTCTACCACGTAAGCTTCGTTGTATATCATTGTGAGATCGCTGCCCCAAAGTCTGAAATCTCGTATTAGTATAGCTTAGTTCGGGCAGGGCACGAACGCGATCATAAGACTACCGAAAACAGCGATATACGTACACAGAAATGGGATGCGGGTTGCTCATCGCAAGATTGACAATCTGTCTGAATTCTCTAGACCAGCTGGACATGGGCCCCAACGGAGTTGCCCCCCAGTTGATGCTGCGAGCAAACTTCATATGTTCGGTTAGATGACCTTTAGGATTCTCTGCCGTCCAATCCGCACACGCCTTCTCAGGGACTGACAGTATGATGGACTGGGTTTGTCGGGAAGAATTCCCACTTGAACTCTCACCGGATGTTTTTGAAGCCTTTGTAAAATTAAGTCTTTCAGCTTGTTTGGACGATGCTAGCGTTTGACCTGTGTAGGACCAGGATGTCGCATCTGATGGGTTCACCGACACCCTGTCAGACGATTGGCCTTCAGACTGCTCCGTTCTTTGTCTTTCGGAAGAAGAAAACGACCCAGAAGCAACCTCTATCGGTCCTCCAGATGCAAGCGTGCGCGATGGCACATTCTGTTTCCACAGCATATTACCAGAAATGAGACGCCATCGCCTCCTAATGGTGGATCCAGTCCACAGGAGGTCTTCAAACTCATGGAACAATGGGTATATGTCTTTCGAATCATCGTGTTTCGTAATGCCGGTAGCCCAGACTTTGAAGTCTTGGTACGCGCGAGAGCCAGAGGAAGAAGACGTGTTGGTCAGGATCTCTGCGCCTGTGATAACGTCAAACAGACGCTGATGCAGTCGCAAGGCTGAATTGGAGAAGACAGGCTTGAGGACGCTCCCGCGATTTGGAGATTCGTCGGCATCAGGGTCAAGATCGATGATAAAAGATGGGCGAGAATCCTGGTCAAGCAATTCACGCACGGTTAGCTGATCCAGTTCGCGGGCTGGATCATCCATGGCCACAAAGCTTGCACGGTCGCCAGAGATCACATACAAAGCCTGCACACTCTCCGTAGCTGCATGACGACAGGGCACGGCTGCGAGTGTGCGAAACTTCGTGCTTTTGCCGTTGCGCAAATGTATGGGAAAGTTTGTCGATTTTTGCAGCAATCCGGTTCGAAGCGCTCAGCCCGAGAAATGCCCATGAATCGACTAGCCCATGACGAGGTTTGGGGCGCATGTGGAGTCGCCCCCGATCGATGCTGTTGGTGCCGATCGAAGCACAGAGCATGTCAACTCACTTGAGCTAACTCAAGCTCGCAGTTTGCAAGCTGTGAATTACGTTCGAACAATAGAGTTCTAGCGTGCTGCAAGATCGCCAGGCAGGCACTCGGCACATTGCCTTGATCGAGCGCAGGTTTGAGATCTCGCTAGACCGCTCCCGCTTGGAGAATCAGCACAATGTACGACATTGGACAAGCTACAACATTTGATGGCCTCCCAGCCGACATCTCGTCCAACGCTCCTGAAGGCATTCTTTGGCTCAAGTCATTTTGGACAAGCCTCGACAGCCTCGACACGTCCGCTTCCCCACCATTGACCGCTGTGGTATCGCCAGTCTGTCAATTCCGCGTTAATGGGTCTGAGCCGCGAGATCTCAACCACATACAGGAATCTTTCTCGCAGCGTTCTCAATTCCTGAGCGAGTTTGGACACACAAAGTACCCTGTCAAGGTCATTGATGTGGATCTTGGAAACGGAAAACGGTTGCTCAGCGTGCAAAGTACAAGCGTGTGAGTAGAAGGAATCGTTTCAGATTGCCGTCTCGCATTCTCGCTAACTGTCCATCTAGATCCGTAATTAAAGCGGATCCAGACCAGACAGAACTCAGAGTAGCTGAGTCGACTGTCATAGAGCTTGAGACATACGAGGGGAAGCTTCTGGCGACGAACGTAGTCTCTTACTTGGATCCCATGCCAGTGTTGGCCAAGATGCAAGAAGTCACGACAATTCCTCAACCCTGAGCTATGGGCAGCGAGGCAAAGTAGGATAACAGCATGGAAAGGGTTGAAGTATTCAGTCATTTCGTATCATGTGATATGCACCGTCCTATCTAGCTGTAGACTATTCCCAGAAACGTGCGGATTAAAATGAAAAAGAAAATGCAACTATGCATTCTCAAACTTGTTAATCAAAGATCCAATGTAAGGCAGGATCTCGACCGTGAACACGTCTCCAGCTTTCAAACTTAACTTGGGCTTCTTGAAGACACCGACACCAGCAGGGGTGCCTGTTATGATCAAAGTACCGGCTTTGAGAGTGGTATCTTCAGAAAGATGAGAGATAATCTTAGGGACGCTGAAGATCAGGTCACTAGCAAGAACGGTTAGATCCAATACTTTCGAGGTCCTGCGATACGTACTCAATGCCACAATCCTGGACGACTTGACCGTTGTGTAAGCCTCTCAAGTGTAACTTGGCCGGATCTGGGATGAGTTCGGGGCTAACAAGCACCGGTCCTTCAGATTATGTTACCAACAATGAACTGACACCAGGCAATTGAGCATATTTACCGATGGGACAGGCGCCATCAAAGCTTTTTGAATGACTCCACTGCGTTGTTGCGAATTGAGCCGTTCGAGAGCTGACGTCATTGGAGGCGGTGTAGCCCAGAATGTAGTTTGGAGCGTCGGCTTCCGACACGTTCTTGCAGTCCTTGGATATGACGACGGCGAGCTCGCTCTCGTAGTCTCCCGAATCGTCCCGCTGGGTAGCCTTGGGCAGCGGCACCGGCGCCGGCCACGGATCGCCCAGACTCGTCTCTGGCTTCATGAACACAGACGGAATCTTGGGAATCTCAAAGCCACATTCTGCTGCGTGCTGCTTGTAGTTCAAACCTATGCACCGGATCGTCCCAACTTCTGACTGCTGGAGCGGCGAGAGCACGCGATCCACCTCGGCTTCCTCGCCCGTTGCGTTCCCCGGGCTCAACACAGACGACCCGCTGAAGACGGTGGCCGTGACAGGCTGGCCTTTGTACAGCGCAGCTCCGACATCTTGGATATCTGGCGATGGCTCGCCGATCAAAATCTTTGACGCATTGCCCTTCGGAACAAAGCGAATCAGTCCTGTGGGAAATCGTCAGCACGACAGTGCCCTTGCAATAGAAGAAGTTGTCTTCTCACGTTTCCAGGCTGCCATGTTTGTTGTTTTCAACGGTGCGCGAGGTCGATATGTCTGCACAAAGAAAGCCAATGGGCGGCGACAGCTACTATTTGGCTTGATTAATAACTGTAGAGACGCCTTCCGGAACTGAGGGGGGGCTACGTCCCGGTCCACGGAACTTTTCCACGGCACGTTTTGTTGCGAAGAACGGACTTTCGGGAGAACAGGCTTTGCTCCGCATGCGCCAACAACGACAAATTTCCACTTCCAGCTTGCCACTGAACAAGTCTCGGAATACTGTAGATTCGCAAGATTGACAATTCTTTCATTTCAAAATTGTGTTGAGTCATGGCTATACACTGTACCTGTACCTTGACGAGAGTCCGTCAAAGCTCATGAGATGATTCTCACTCGAAATGAGGTGCTAACGCGAACGGATTCACAAAACCGGGCTCAAATGCGTGTATGCTATCAAACTTCTGCGTGGCTCCTACAATATTACTGGCTATGTCCAAACTCAAATATTCCTTTTAATAATAGTAACAAAGACTCGAACAACCTGTCCACTAGCGGATGTTCCGTCGGCAGTAAAGTACGGTTTTCGAAATGTGCTCGCGGCATACAGCTGGAGATTCAACGCCGAGAATACCCAAACACAACGCGCCAACATGAAAAGGGGGTAGATTTTGGTCTACTCTACAGATGGGATCAACGGCCGAAGCGCCATCCCGTAGTCGCCCGCATTCGGCGTCCGCAAGCAGGTATGAATGTGAAACTTTTTCGGCTCCGTGTTGTTCAGGAAAACACCCGAGTGATGGTCGAACTCGACGACAATCACTGGGTTTTGGATCCGGTAGTAGAACGGATCGCTATCGCCGTAGCCCCCGATCCACGAGAAGTAGGTCTCGCTCTCGAAAGACAGAATATGCCTCAGGCGCAATTCCCTGGCCTTGTTCGGCAGATACAGCAGGTACTCGTTGAGGATATTTTCGACCAGTTTCTTCTGCTCGGCTGTCATGTCAGCCATGGTGATGCCTTCATAGGGCACGACTCTGTTGTCACGATACGCGCCACACAGGTGACGCTGGTCGTCCCTGTTCCACCTTCCCGGTGGCATGGCAGGATCGTGCATCAGTTTGTATATCTGAGCCTTTTGCTGAAGCTCGGGCGACAAGGATTGCATGAGCTGCAGCCCGAAGGCTTCTTCGTTTCGCAGAATCGTGGTCCCCGCATACGGACCGTCGTCGATCTCGTTTGGTTCGGCGCCAGTAAACCAAGGCGAGATGACTATCTGGCGTTGGTAGAAAAAGATATTCAAACATAAGTGGTGACCGTAGAACTGGTAGCCCCAAGGCCGTGTGGTCGAAGGGCGACCAAAGAGTACAAAATTGTATGAATATTCATTCATAATCTTGCGGGCCTGCACCAGCTCTCCCAGGAAATGATTGATTCGCATGGCAGAGACAGCCTTGTGATATCCTTCTGGCGAGAGCGTGGCTTTCAGGATGGCAAGAATCGCGTCTCGAATGTGAACGTCGACCTCGTCCATTCGAAGTCCTTTCTGGCTGAGATAAAACTCGGGATTGGACCATGTTCGCCATTCGTGCGAGTCGATGTGGAATGATATCTTTTCAACTTGCTCTCGACTTAGCAAGGTCTTCAAATCTTTCACCGCTCGCACAATCCGCTCGATTGGGACCTCCTCATCCTGCAAGGTGAACAAACCATCCCTTACACGTCCTTTTTCGTAGTCAGCCAGGGCCTTTCTTTTACGCAGAGATAGAGGAACGCACCGTCGTTCGTCACGCCCTTATACGGCTCCTGCAACAGATCCCTCCAATGCGTGTACAAGTTGAACAACCAAGGTGGGTTCTGGTGAACGAGAAGATCGTTCGCGTGCGCATATGCATCATTTTGTCGAGCAGCTATGAACCTAGGCTGGTTGAGATCGGGAAGACATGATCGAAACTCGCCAGTTGGCTTAGTTGAAACTTTGGTGGCGACTTCAAGACCCGTCATTGTATGTGAACAACGTAGTCGAATTGCCGAGAATGACCAGCGTTGGCTGTCCTCTTTCCAGAATCACAGGTTACCCGCTTAAGCACGAGTTAAACGAGTTTTATACCGAGTCTGACGATTCAACGTCCAGTGGTCCAATGGTTCCCCGGACTTTCCGGAGTGTGTAAGCACCCCGCAAAATCATCTCGCCATTGGCGCGGGTAAAGTCCCGTCGGGAAGGTTGCAGTTCATTGGTCAGATTTTTTTCGGTCGACAATGCATACAACGATTCGTCGTCCCGTTTATTTTCCAGAGCCACGAGTTGGTGAAGCATCGGCTTCTGCACGATGTCTTAGCTGCTACTTTGTTCAACACTGATCTCTTGAAATTAGGCCAAACTCTAGTTTTGTTCTGTGCATCCAAGCGCCACGTAAACAAGAGAGAACATAGTCTGCATTGACTATAACTTTGCCTTGCTATCACCACCATCTTGAGAGCATCTTACTCACGTGACGGACCAACTCTCGGAATACAATCGGATGTTCCGAGATCTTTTCTGCCGGGAGAGAAGCAGCACATAGCGAAGCCAAAGCACGAGATCTACCGTTAAAGCTTTACGATTGTTCATTTTGCGATCACGTAGATGGCGAACTCATCTGCTTTCCAGTGAATAATTCAAGGTTCGTTCCATATGGCGGCTGATTTCTTTGCGCCTCCACACTTTGATACTAGACCTATCGGCTCCACTCGTCTTTAAAGGCAGTACATGTTGGCTTCGGCGCACCAAACATATATGCCAGCTTTTGATAACTTTCGATATACAGAATTAAATATGGTTTGTCGATCCTAGGAACTATTTGTCACGTGTTAACTGTCTTAGGTCTCATCAGCTCCCAAGCTAGACATCATCATTGTTGGTGCTGGCCTCAGCGGCCTAGGAGCAGCCATATCATGTGCACTTGGTGGCCACTCTGTAAAAGTGCTTGAGGCAGCTTCGCAAATAGCTGAGGTGCGTTTCGCCAATACTCTACCGCTGAACCATACCTAAGACATGTGAAGGTCGGCGCAGGACTCCAGATCACGCCTAATGCTTCCAAGATCCTTCAGCACTGGCAGCTCCGGTCTTCGTTTTGGGAAGCCGGGGCCGAACCCACCAAGTTGACTGTGCATCGATATGATGGAAAAGTGCTGGCCCACCAATCGACATTCAGCGAAAAAATTCGATCGCGGTATGGAGCGCCGTTCATTGACATGCATCGAGCAGATCTGCAGCAAGCACTCGTTGCCAGAGCTAAAGACTTAGGCGTCCAGTTCTTCCTTGGGGAGCGCGTAGATGACATCGATTTCGAATCCACAACCGTGAGGACCGTGTCTGGCAACTCTTACTCTGGCGATCTGATAGTAGCTGCTGATGGTCTGTGGTCGAAATGTCGCGAGTTGTTTCTCGGACGCAAAGATGAGCCGCTACCAACCGGGGATTTGGCGTACCGTATCGTCCTTTCCGCCAAAGATATTGAGGATGAAGCACTCCGGAGCTGGATCCGCAATCCGGAATGTCACTTTTGGATTGGTCCGGAGTCTCATGTAGTAGGCTACTCGCTGAAGGGTGGAGAGCAATTCAACCTCGTGTTGCTATGTCCAGACAACCTGCCTGAAGGACTTGCACGGCAAGCAGGTTCGCTAGATGAAATGCGAAAGCTTTTCGAAGGCTGGGATCCTGTCCTCACGAGATTCCTCTCCTGCGTCAAGACCGTGGATAAGTGGAAGTTGATGCACCGTGAGGAGATGGAAAGCTGGGTCAACGAGAAAAGTAATTTGGTCTTCATGTACGTGGGAAGTCACATGTCTTCAATATTCCTCCCTAACAAGCCCCAGTGGAGATAGTTGTCACGCGATGCTGCCTTACTTAGCACAAGGAGCCAACAGTTCGCTTGAGGACGGAGCTGTACTAGGTCTTATCCTTGGTAAGATATCTGACAAGAGCCAGTTGGCTGGTGCACTGCACATGTACGAAAATCTACGAAAGAAGAGAGGCGAAGCAATCGTTCGAGAAACATTCAAACAAGTACGTAATGAGCTCTGCTTTACTCGGAGGCCATTGAACGACTAACATAATCTGCCAGCGCCGCGACTTCCATATGCCAGATGGCGCAGAGCAAGAAGCCCGAGACCGAATCTTTATGTCCAGGTTCGAGAAGGAGGATGAGACCAACGAACCCTTCCCCAGTCGTTGGACGTGTCCCGTAGTTCAGAGATGGTTATACGGCTATGACGCAGTTAGAGAAGTAGAAGAGGCTGTGGCGGCAAACCCGACTTTTCAATATTAAAGATCGGTAGTTGATGCAGCCAGAACTGCACGTTAGCGATAGGAAATACCACGCGTACCACATTTCCATCAACATTGATTTCGTAGCCGAATCTAAAATTCGTCGAGTGTATAGACGCAAACGATGTGGACTTAAAGACGGCCACAACCTTGTGTACATAGTAGAACGTGACTGAGATTTCCACCGAGCACATGCAAATAGAAGACAAGTAAGGATGATGACCGTATCAACTCGCGCCGCAAACAAGCAATTCACAACGCCTGCACGAACTCCAGGACTTGAGGCGAGAAGGAAAATGAAGCACGGGTATCCTTCCCATGCAAATGTCTTCCCCATAGCTATGCCCGCCCGAACTCCTCGCTTGATGAATAGCAGACCAGTGGAGGCAAGGAAAGGTATATGACTCGACGTCCTCGCAAAAAAGCTTCACGCTTTGTCCAATGTCTCCTCATCATCACCCTCGCTCCCGCTTGCCTCGTCGTCCACTTCCATGTCCTCGTCCTCGAAATCGCTGTCACTTCCTCCAAAATCCAACTCCTCCTCGTCCGAATCGCCCCAGTCGTCCATGTTGAAGCTAGGCTCGCGGACTGTTTTGTACGCATCTGCGGCAGTGGGCATCACATATCCCTCGGGAATATCTGCCTTGCTTGCCTCCAGATCGCGTTTGACCATCTCCTTGTAGGCCTCCGGGTCTTTCCTCAGCATCACACCGGCGTCCACGTTGGCCGGCGAACTAACCTCAGCGTCGTCTAGGAGGCTGAGCACGGAGATAAGTACGGACTCGACACGCTGGGAGGGGTTCCAGCGTTCAGCAGCCGATTCACCAGACATTTCGTCCTCGCCGGGCTGGTGCAGAATCGAGATGCACAGCCGGCCGTCCGGATAGATGTTGGGGTGGAAGAGCGGACGCAGGAACTTGAATGTAGGAGGTGAGTAGGGGTAGTCGCGAGGAAATGTCATCTTGGCTTTGAAGTAGCCGCCGTAGTAGAGCGAGTCTGGGTTGAGGACGATGAGGGCGACGTTCCATTCGAAAATCGACTCGTTGACGAGCTGAAGTCCGGCCAGTTAGCGAAACCTCTTGATGAAAAGGAAACAAAATGTCGGTACCTCAATATTGGTCCATTTTTCCTTCTGAAGCGAGCGGTACTCGTTCATGAGCACCCTCTCAGCGGTTGCCATTGTGTTGGAAGGCGATGTGATCTCGTGTCTGAGGAGGGGTGGATGCAGCGGAAAGCACTGCGCAAGCGGGCGGTTTACAAGAAACAGAAGGACACCGGTGGCTAGCAAAGGGTACGAAGGAGACGAGAGCGAACCAAGTAGAGAGAGCGAGTTGGTTATCCACGCAACGAAACGAGGTTGCGAGGCGTGAGACTGGAGCTTTGCGTGATGCAAGTCGATCCCCGGCGAAGTCGGAGTCGGCGGCAGAGAGAGGCTCAGATCTGGGTTTTGAACTGCGCGTCGAGAACTAGAACTACAAGGCGTCACTGCTGGCAAAGCGAACTTGTCATTGCCTACCGCAGCACAACCTATTGACTGCGAAACGAGCAGCAAAAACCTTGCTTCTTCCTATGGTCCCTGCGCAAGGCGCTCTTGCGAGTGGGCGAATGTGTGGGAGCGGGCCCGTCACTGAGATGTGCTGTGTCACCGGCAGAGTTCCAGCCGTTCTAATCGATAGCGATTCTCGATCTTGTCTCTCGCCTCGCTTCGGCGGGTCGGTCTGATCGCGAACGTTATGCTTTTCTGCGTTCAGCTATTCCGGAGCTCTCTTCTTGTCGGCGGAGAAAGGGGGCCACGCCATGATATATTCACACAGACTGTCGAGGGATTTGTCCAGGCAGCAAGGAAAGTATACGGAGCGCCGACGCCCCCCACAGATGATGGTGGTGGCGCATCGTGTTGCCTTCGGTCGCTCGTTTCCAAAATCAATGATCCCCCATGCCACTGGCCTCAGTTCCAGCAAGACAAGCGACGATGCTGGTCAGACCAAAATGTAGGGCATATGTCAGGGCCGACAACAGGGACAACTCACAGGCAGAAGGTTCAAGTATACAAGAGGCTTGCCAATGTGATGATGGAGGTCAACTTGCAATGGGACTTCAATGTAGCTACCAGAGTCGTTTCTACACCCCTTCTTCCTGCACGTCGTTTGCTTCCACTCAAACCATGAGACTTGCGTGTATAGGACGCACCTCATCGAGTCCTTTTATGATCGCCTCTCTCCATCTGTCGTTCCCGCTGGTCCATGCCGTGTACCTCAATCACTCCTCGACCTTGCATCTTCGACAGCTTTGCTCCAATCAAAGAATATGATGTACGAGCCTTCACTGACTGTGATAAGTGCGCTTCCCACAACACAACCTGTCCACAACCCGGCCAAATCTAGCTTTGGGGGCCCAAAGCACAGAAACAAAGCCAGCGGGACAGCGATGATGTAGTACACAAACAGATTGGCATATCCACCAACGGATTGCCTACCTAAGCCTCGCAGCAGGCCGTTCACTAGCGCGGTCGTAGCATCGAAAAGCTGGAATGCTGCTAAGACGGGCATGACAGCCGCAGCAAGGCGTACTACTTCCGGGTCGGAACTGAATGCTTGAGGCAGCTTAGTGCGTGCTGTTGCCATGATTGTCCCATCAATCAGTCCCATAACCACGAAAATAATAGCATACGTCTTTGTCGCCAACTTCGCTGCTGAGAGCGCTCCAGAGCCAATCAAGTTGCCTAGTCGCGTGCTGACAGCCACAGACACTGAGAACGGGATGTGGAACATGACGACGCAGATTGTCATAACTACTGATTGAGCGGCCAGATCTGCTGTGGATATGTAGCTTGACGAAAACGTCAGAATGTCGAATGCAAGCCACTCGGCCTCGACCATGATGATGCCTGGAAGGGCGAGCTTGACCATAGGGCCCCAGTTGCGGAATGCTTGCTTGGTGAACCCACCCCAACATTCGAGACTGGACGGCACTATGAACCGGACGTATAGGAAGAGACAGATGGGCAGGAGTGTGTTGCTGACTACCACCGCAAGTGCGGCACCACTAAGGCCTAAGCGAAGCACGAAGACGAAAACATAATTGAGCAAAACGTTGATGGGCGTGCAAATTAGCAGGACAACCAAACTGGCACCGAACAAGCCCTGTGCCTGAGTAAACCGTTTTCCCGCCTCGAAGAGAAAATATCCTGGCGTTCCGGCGAGAAGAATTCTTAGGTAGCCTCCGGCCAGGTACGCCAGATCTTGCTCCGGAACGAGATGAGCTAAAAGCCAGCCTGAGCAGATCCAGACTACTCCAACGGGGACGGTGACCAGGAACAGTAGGCATGTCATGCGCTGAAGGTGGAGTCCCACGAGTTCTTTGCGTCCAGAGCCGTAAGCCTGGGCACACAGCGTGTCGAGACCTATACAAAGTGAGCAACATGTCCAAAATCCAGAAAACGGCACATGAAATTACTTGTGGTCAGTCCTTCGTAGACAGCATAGCCCGTTATGCTTGCCGTCATGGTCGCTAGCGACACTGCTCCAAGCTCATCTGTGCCTATATGGCCTACCACGAAAACGGTCACAAGACTGAATGAATACTATTAACATGAGTTTCTGATCCTCTTCTCCAATTTCATTCTTGGAAAAATAAAAAAGCATACTTGCAGCAAGTACGTCAACGTCAACGGCAAGCTGTATTTGAACAACAGTTTTGACTCATGGCCAATTGTCGTGGTGTCTTCGACAATGCCGTGCGCTAGCAGCGGCTCCGTCTCTGAGAAGACCGTCGCGTGGCTCAGTTTTCGACCAGGTCCGTCGTCAATGAGTTTTGGAACCAGAGCGCTGCTGACGGAGAAACGACGCGGTCCAGCTGCGTCATCCATCGTGGCAGAACAGTATGAAAGAGATGGGCAGATTGGTCTAAGAACAATGATGCGAGAACGATGTCGGCGGCGATTAGACTGAGGGGAAAGCATTATGCTCTGATGCTGACCTATGATTGGCCGGTCCACATCACAAAGTTCATATCCTCCCGTCCTCATGACGACCCTCTTCGGCTCTTGGTCGATCATCCACCCTCGATCTCTTTCTCGAACCCGCCTGGTATCAAGGTCAAGAGATTGCTTTCCGATCCCGTATCCCAGGTCAAAATTAGTGCGCTGGTGTGATCCCGATAAAATTTGCGCAGAACTTTAATGTCATCTCGCACAATTCTCAACTGCTTTTCATATCAGCAGAATCAAAGTTCAATTCAATGCTTTCTTATGTGGACAATGGCAGCTGCTAGACCATGCTACGGAATGAAGACTTTGTAGATTGGTACTGTTAAGATGAGCAAAGACTCCTTCGTTCATAGGTTCCGCTGTTCGGACAGCCTTGATCTTAGGGGTAGCACAAAGAAAATACTCGAAACGGGTCGCATTTTGATAGATCTTATACCTCCTACGAAACGATCGAATGACTGCTCTTGAAGTTGTCAGAGTACTAGTAGCCTGAAAGCATTAACCTTCTCACCTCTCGTACAATTTTGCTGCGAAATAAGACGTGAAGCTCGAGTCTACAGAAATGTGGCCTTCGCTTCTCATGAACGAGCTAGAAAATAGTGCCATGCTGCAGGACGGCAAAGAGCTGAAGGTCTTGAGGTGTACGCACAATAAAGCCAACATGAGCGGGACTTCGCACAGCCCGCCTTGGCACTTCGGGAATATGCGTACGCGAAATCAAAGCGCATTTTTCGGGCCGTAACTATCGAAAACGCCTCGCGGCAGCTACGACGCGTATCCTCATAGGGCTTGGGAAATGGTCATTTCATCTAGTGCAAAAGATGAGGATTTAGACGGCGGCTTTGGCAGTGAGCTAACCGCCGCTATTTCGACTAAGTACATGCACACTTACAGCCACGCCCAAGAAATTCCCCTGAGCATCTACAGTCCAATGTTCGTTACCGCGTTCTGCATGCCAAATCTCATGTTTCAAGGCCAGCATCACTATTTTCTTTCGATATTCGCTGTCAACGATGCAAAAAGTTTTTCCAAATGGCCAAGCATTCTAGTGTAGCGCAGGCCAGCATTAAATATTATAATTTAGCAATGAGAAGCGAATGAGCTGAATTACTTTCTTTCTGATTAATGATTGCTGGTCGTCAATTACAACGTAATCTTGATCGTCTTGGACAAGCTGGGCACGCCCGCCGAGTTCATGGCAAACAGCATCCAATAACCTGGAAGGGCAATACCGGGATCACTCGGGATCGTAAACGAGTAGGACGTCACGCCTGTAAATGCTGGTGTGATGGGGATACGACGCTGATCGGTATTGACTGTGTGGGTAGCAGAGCCTAGACGGACGAGCGCGATGGAGGTGATGACGCTATCGGCGGTGAAGCTCATGGCCTTCCCGACCTTGATCGTCGTTGCGGAAACAGATTTGATAACCGGACGGACTGCAGGGTTGCCATTGTTGTCGAACAGATAAGGTGGCTGCCAGATCTGGCCATCATAGTGATTGTAATCACAGCCGTCGCAAAGACCACCACCACCAACCATGACGGTCGCATCAGGCATGAGCAAAGCAATACTGTGGTAGTTGCGGGGAACAGCCATAGCTCCCATGGTTGTCCACGTGTTGGTTGATGGCGTGTACAGCTCTGGGTACATGATAGATGAATCATCGTTGAATGGCGAACCAAAGTCCTGGCCGCCGACGACGAAAACTTGTCCGTTGGGGAGAGCGACACCATTGGCGAAAATACGCTTGAAGGACATTGGAGCCACCTTTTGTACCTGAGCCTGGGCACCAACTGTACCGGGGATAGTAATGATGTACGCATTGTTGACAGCCATGCTGCCGGAGTAGTTGGGAGAACCACCAGCAGCCAAGACTTTGCCGTTTACAGCGTCATACATGGTTGCAAAGCCACACATCTGATCCGTGGCATCACTTCGAGTACCTGCAGAAGTCACACCGCCGTTGCCGGTCGTCGTGTACCAGTTCATGGCCTTCGATGGACCGGCTTGAAAGACTGCCTGGTTCTTCCATGCGAAAAGCCAAGCGTGGTTGTCTTGACGGAAAAGTCCGGCGGTATCGGCAGTCAACATGGGTGTGACATCAGCACCATTCAACATGGTCCAGGTGTTGGTGGCTGGATTGTAGTATTCTCCGTTCTTCTTGTAGATACCACCAGACCACGAGCCACCAATGGTAAAGGTCCAACCGTTGGAAAGCGTCGTAGCAGCCTGGTAGCCACGAGGCTGCTGCATATTAGGGGCGGCAAACCATACTGCGTTGGGAGTCTGGTAGATGGAAGTGCGAGGTGCGTCATTGCCGCCAGTAACGACGATTTGGCCGTTGTGATCCATGTTGATACCGGGACAAAACATGTCATGTTGAGTGTTGCTAACAGCGGCCTTTGAAACGATTCCGGTTGAAGGGTTGTACAAAGCCGTAACTGTCACGCCGCCAACGGTGTTTTCCCAGCCGTTGCCAAGAGGATTCCAGGCAGCCCAGGCCAAAACTCCACCAGTGTCATATGTCACAGCAGCGGCGACAGGGACAACGGGAAAGTCAATTGTCATTCCCCATTGGCCATAAGTTTTCGGGTTCGGCGCGACGTAAGTAGCATCGAAGGAGACTAGGATTTCAGCGGCACTAGACCATGGGCCACGGTTACCAGCTTCGCTAAGAGCAGTCAAGCGGACATATCTGCACGTGGTTTCCTGGAATTGGACCAGTTTGGCCTGTGAGTTGTCGGCAAATTGACCTGTCGATACAGTCGTCCAAGTATTTCCGTCACTGCTGAGATCAATCCTGTACTGACCGATGTTGCCGTTGAAGTTGCCATCTTGGCGTGGCAAATATTGCAAGGCCTTGACGGGGAGAGTTGCCTGCATATCGATTTGGAACGTATGTGGAAATCCTGGTTGTGATTGACTCCATTCAGTGTGCCAAAAGGTGGTAGGATCGCCGTCCAACGCAAGGACAGCACTGTTGTTGACGGCCGCAGTTTCCTGGCTGTCCACAGTAACGATGAAGTTGGCCAAGTTGTTTGAACCGTCCAGAAGGTTGATCTCAGCGGCGCTTGTCCAGGGACCACGGTTTCCAGCTTCGGTGAGCGCAACCAATCTGAAATATCGTGCAGTAATTGGCGTCCATTCGACAAATTTTTGGGTCATAGTGTCCGCCCATGTGCCAGTTGCGATCGTAGTCCATGTGTTGCCGTCATCACTCTTCTGCACTTGATAGCTGCCAATGCGGCCGTTGGGACCACTTGAAGCTGGGCGAGGGACATAGGAAAGACCACCGACATTTACCGGCGTCCCCTGGTCGATCGTGAAGTAATGAGGCAGAGGCGGCTGAGCATTCACCCACTGGCTGTGCCAGAAAGTATTGGGGCTGCCATCGATCGCTGCAGATGCCGGCCAGGATTGCACGCTCGTCTCTTGACTGTCGGCGGTGACCTTCCAATTGGCACGCGCAACAGCTGCATGAGGGTTGGTGAGTACGTTGATTTCGGCAGCGCTTGACCACTGTTTTCCAGTGTTGGAGGCTTCAGTGGTAGCAGTCAAACGCATATACCTTGCAATGACCGGCGTGAACAAAGTAGTCTTCACGCTTGGATCATTCGCCCATGTGCCCGTTGCCGCGGTCGTCCAAGTGTTACCATCCAAGCTGTACTCGATCGTGTGGGTACCGATGTTACCATTCGAATTACCATCCTGACGAGGCGTGTATGAGAACCCATTGACGACATACTGATTTCTCATGTCCACGAGGATCCAGTGGGGCAGCGGAGCATCCGGGTTGTACGCGGTATGCCAAAACGTGGCCGCGTTATCATCTATGGCATTGGTGGCCGGGTTGCCAGGCTGAAAGCTATCCGTGGTCACTAGCCATCCTTCTCTCGAAATCGGGATAGGGGCAAGAGCCGTAGTAACAGCTGCGGAAACTGTATACAGGTTTAAGACGCCAAGCACAAGGGCGAGAAAGGAGGCTGATTTTTGAAACATTATGGATTATGCAACGAACATATAACTTAACGAGAGACTAGAAAAGCGATTAAAACGAGTGTATGGCCACGAAGGGCCGGAAAGGCGTGATATGATCTTGGCGATCAGAACGATTGACTTGGGTCAGTTGCAGACAACGAAGGAACGGAGTTGGGCGAAGAATGGTTAAGGTTGTCCCAGCTTCATAAAAAAGCGAGAGCAGCAGCCAAGAGAATTATACCTACTCCTTTGCCTCAAGCGGCCGAACAGCTCAAATGCCATCTTCTGCCCTGAACAGGGAAGACCGCTCGCGTGGCGTCCATTGTCTGATTTCAGCAAGCGGAGCCACGGCTTCCAACCAGCATGAAAGTTTGGAGCCAGCCATACCCATTGCGACAGAATAGGAACCAATGACAAAGAGCTTTCAGCTCAAGGCCAGCCCGAACGGGGATGCTGGATGGTATGTTTGCTAAAAGTGTTCATCCTCCAGCGCACACCCCCATGTCCCCCCATTTTAAAACAGAAGTCTTAGCTTCCGCACCCAAGCAAGCGCCTGGACGTACTGACTAGCCGCCAGATCGTGCGCTGCTACCGTAGGAGTGCGCGATGCTATTGAATAGGAGAGCGAAGTGCCCTTACTGTACGGGACCTCGCAGCCGATACAAAGATGCCTGGTCGCACTGAGAGCCCCGTACTGGATATTCATCCACATTTGCCCCGTTCACGGACGGCGTGGCCAGAAGCATATTCGGCATACCGACGACAACGGAACCAGGTAGGGAATCGTTGATTGGGCGGGTCGAATCTACGGCAAAATGCCCCTGACTTTCATCCGGACCTGAAGATTTGGGTCCGAGCGGCTCACGATCACTTGATGGCGTCGAGACGGACGCCACAAGTTCGCGCAGCATTGTGCACGCGATGACCAAGAAATTTAGGCAAAAAAGTATCGATAGCGCGTTGTTGATGGGGAGCGCGTGCGCACGCAGTAATAACAAAGGACAGAAGCAATCGTTACTGTCTCAAATGGACTTCATACTTCTCTTTCCTTTTGTGCATTGAAACGGCAACGTGCGCTTGGGTCACTCACACAACCAGAAAAATGCAAGGCATAATGCACGCTGCTGCGCCCAGACTTGGAGGAAACTTCGTGAAGAGAACGCCCAAGAGTGGGCCAGCGCAGGAGGGATTTGATGTGAACGCACACACTTGTTCGTCTGCTGGTCAAGAATAGTGTGGCACCAGCGCGTTACGCCACAGCGCCACATCTCGCCTCCTTTCACTTTTGCCATGCGACTACATCCTCAGCTCATACAAGTAAACCTCCCTTCGGTATGCGCGGTCTTGATAGCCTCGTACTTATTAACTATTGCCGAACGGATTTGAACACTACTAGACAAAGGAATCCACATTTCTTCCGACGCATCCGCAAAAGTCACCGCGTCGGATTTCAATTAGCGGGGCTCGGCTTCATGATGATAATTTTAGCCATTTAACGTGTCCCACCCCGTCTCTCCTTGTACGATCACAAGGCCTGTTATCGATAGGAACAATCACCACGCCGTCCGATCCAACAATCAAGCTCCCAACAATCAAGTTCTTAACCTCGACGTGCTCGTACCAACACTGCAGATCTTCGCTTTATTGTTCGGCTATCGTCGTCTGATAACGGACTTGTCCTCGTGGCTATACTTGACTTCCAGGCGTATGTTTTTATCCTCTCAAGGAACGAATACACCTAGCTGACAGTTACGTTGGAAAACCCTCGCTCTCTCTCGGCGGCGGAAACGGTGAAACGTGTTCGTGAACATATGACTGAAGCCGGATTTACATAAATTCAGCAGAAGGCATGATTCCATGACGGAACTTTCGTTCTTGCTCTCGATCTATTCTGTGTTTCATTGTCTTTATCCATTCTCCCTCATAACCACGTCACACGCTAAAGTCTTACAAAACGGTAAAGATTTGACTGCACCTTTATAGGAGCAAGTCGTCGAGTTATCCTGAGTAGAGCCACAACAGAGAGCTCAGCATTTTGTACATGCTGAGGCAAGTTGAGACCGTGCTTGTTGATTGCATAATGCCTGCCAAGTCCATCTCGTCGTCCGCAGAAGCATACAAAACTGGCTTTACTCATCCTCGACACCGTCGTTCCCCTTATGCAGGCTTTTCTCCGTCTCTACGTCTGTGCTTCCTTTTTTCCTAGACTTCTTGCCGTCTCCACTCTTCCTCGAAGAGCCGCTTCCCTCGCCTGCATCATCCTCCATCATGCTACTCATCTTCCTCCTGCGCTCAACAATAAGGCCCCGCAACCACTTGTTCTCCAATTCTAGCTGACCAACTTTCTGTTCGAGGCCTCGTACTTTCTCCGTCATCTCCATTGCTGTCTTTTCAAGGGCCTGCTCTCGTTCTTTTTTCTTCTGGCGGAAGCGCGCACTCGCCGCTGTGTTTCGACGTCGCTTTTCTTCTTCAACAGCGAGTAGATGCGCAGCTATTGCTGAATCTGGCTCTTGTGTCTCTGACGGTGATATGGGCACAAACTCGGTATTGAAGAACTGTGTGCCCGAGGCAAAGGGGTCATGATGTTTCACAGATGAATTCGCGGGGAAGTTGGGCGAATGACCGTTAGGATAGGATGTCGGTGGGAATCCTTGATTCTCCATACCTAGAAGTAGCGTGGGGATGGGATCATCAGCCCGACAGAAAGATGGCTCCCTCTCGTCGTGATTGTGGCTGTTGCAATGCTATTCCAGCTCAAAGAAAGAGCCCGTGGAGACTCTGAGCAACGACACTACGTGGGGGAAAAAGCCACCGGATATTGAGCAAAACGATATTCTTCGAATCTAGGCACCCTCTCATAATGGATGAACGGATCTGAAATAATGACGGCTTATTTTGGTTTTATTTGCCATTGTCGAGGGGTTTAACACAGCAAGGCCAAGATTCACGTGTTCCAGGGTTGGCACCCCGGATACGTGCTCGCAACCCTCAAGCACGTCATGCTCCAATTGCGTGATCAAGTACACAAAGTGATAGCGTGCCTTGCATCGATGCAGAATGGTTTCGTGTGAGTCTCTATAGCTCCGCAATTGGCCGGATATGATTTGACGTGTCGTCCATTCCGTGGTTAATCCCTTCGTTCGGATACAACTTGATGATATGAGCCGATAAATCCATCGCTATCAATGGCAGCTCTCCAAAATGAGAATTCAGTGTGCAACGCCATACTTTTATCTTTGAGGAGAGAACTTTCGGGTGCACCGCTGTCCAACCAAAACTGGACATTCATCGCTGTCCCCTGCACTTGTCAATTCAGTTTCGCAAGCTCGAAAGGAGGAGCTTGTGATCGTCAAGGGTTAAGCAAGTGCTTAGACGTCTAGCTCCTGGAGCCATGGAGACCACGTTTGGCATATCCGAAGCTTTTCAGTTGTGTGCAGCAATGATGCCATCGCCAACCACTAATATATCTGCAATAGATACACGATTTTAGCAGATTCTGGCAGGATTGGGACCAGAAATCTCGGAAGAGGCCAATTGCCAAACCATCAGGTACCATCGCATGGTCACATTAGCATCCTGAAGCATCCTCCCTCGGTAATTTTGTGTTGATGCGATCAGTGATTGGTATTCGATAAGACATGAATAGTAACATGTAAGCAGAATTTTGGAGTAGCACGAAGACCCCCCAAGTGGCATCCCTTTAGTTTACAAAATATGCTTCCAACACCTGTTCAGAGGAGCAGGGGTTCATTGCACCGGCCAAGATGCTGAAGCACCCATAGAATCAGCGAAAGCAAGGCTGACTGGTGCTATGTCTGAAGTAGTGAGATCGTGATGAGGACATATCTGTACAGGCCTAGCCTCGGCTTCCCGTTGTTCAGCGCCATTAACGTTGGTTATCCGTGAGTTGCGGGACGGAGTGTGATCGATAAAACATCTGGTCACTACTGCGGATTCCACGCTCCTTTATCCGCTGAAATTGAAGAGAACCTCCTCGTTTTCTGCTTTGCGCAGCTCGCAAGAGAACAAGACCGTCAATAATTCACGGTCAAAGCCAGAACTTCCATGAGCATTAGAAGAGCGTAAGGATTACCTGGCAGACGCCTTTACCACTGCTCCACCTAACTAATATGGTTCGAATTGATTCTATTAGCGCAAGAAAAGACATAAAATCATTCTCGATTTGCTGGGAGCATTAGGGCTCGATGTGTTGCAGCTCAAGCTAGGCCATCGGAGTGGAATCCCTCAGTATGCACTCTTGCTAAACAATTGACATGCTGTAAATTTAAACCCAGGAATTGTCTTTGGATTCATCTCAATAATGATGAAATGGACTAGAAATGAAGTCAAATTGAGACTCTACTGTCATAATCACGAGATCATATCCGATACCGCTCAACCCCAATTAGGCAAGCAGTCCCAAAATTCAGAGCGGCCTCCCGAGCGCTCTGCTCTAGCGGATGTACAACAATTGATCTACGTGCCATGCCAAAAGTCAAGAAGCAAAAGCTGAACAACAGCGGTCTACATTCCAAAACCCATGACAGGTGGCGATCAGGAAATACCGATCTGAAAGCAAAACCAACACAGAAGACCATCACAACTCCGAAGCGGAAGGAACACCAACAAAGACGAGCTTCTATAGTGCCGTTCGATGTATTCGATAACATTCTTTTGGTTGGTGAGGGCGATTTATCATTCACTCTATCACTGCTTCATGACCATGGATGTGCTTCTCTGACGGCCACGACGTACGATTCGTCCGCTACTCTGCTTGAAAAGTATCCCCATGCCAAGGATGCAGTACAACAGATTAAAGATGAAGACCAGGTGGTTCTACATGGTGTAGATGCAACGAAGCTCTCTTCAAATAAAGACGTGAGGAAGCAAGGGCCATTCGACATAATCATTTTTAATTTTCCACACACTGGTGGAATCTCTACCGATGTAAACCGGCAAGTTCGTGCAAACCAGGCTTTGTTGTCCGCTTTTTTCCAGTCCAGCATACCGCTTCTGAAATCACCGGACGGTACTATCCTCGTCACGCTCTTCGAGTCGGAGCCATACACGTTGTGGAACGTACGAGACCTGGCGCGACACGCTGGCCTGGTTGTTCTCCGAAGCTGGAAATTTGAACGCGAGGTGTATCCCTTGTACAAACATGCACGAACTATCGGCGTAGTTAAGAGCAAAAGTGGAGACGTCAGCGACACGGCATGGAAGGGTGAAGAGCGGCCGGCAAGGACGTACGAATTCGGACTGAAAGAAGGTCAGGGAGCTACTTCGTCCAGCCAGGGGAAGAAACGAAAAGGTACGAGCGCCGACAGCGAAGACGATAGTGATGAATAATACGAAACGAAATCAGTACTAGAATACGACTTCTATCCAGCCAGGCTTTTCAAGTTTCCATGGTGTACTAATCATCTCCAATTCATGAGACATTCGGACATTTCACGTCACTATTGTGTGCTTCCTCTTGACCGCACAAAATCTTTTCAACTAAAAACATATAAATGCTGATCTACTTACATACAAGACCCATAGTACAAATCTTCCAACAGGTACTTACTAAAGCCAGTATATGTAGCATCGATTTTCTCTTCTTCAGCAACCCTAGACTGTACTACTGGCTTCGAACTGAAAGTCTTCCTCGCTTTTGTTTGATTCATGATGTGCGGCTGCTATGGCTTCGTTTCCAGGACTGCGAACGCTATTTGATAGGAAACTGCGCCCCTGTGTTAGTAGTTGTTATGGACTATTGAGACGAAGTCTTTGTCAATTATACTATTTAAAGTCACAAGTTGCACACAAAAGCCATAGTCGCAGTCTAGCGGATTTGGCACCAAAAATCTTGCAAAGTACATGACCTTGGGTGTACTTGATGTCGGTCAGGCTCAGACTGTGATTGATAGGACGGACGTCTAATCAGCGGATTCGAAATCTCAGCAACCTGTGTGTATCCAAAAGATGCCTTCGCCATCGAGTCATGGTCAAATTGGGATTCTTTGATACCAATGCCAAAAGGTTGTGCCGAGCTGCGATAGCTGGAAGCTCGTGGATATCAATCTTGTAGGGAATGAAGGCCCTCAACAGGTCAGACTGCAGTTGACGAGTTTGCAAGCCATGCTGAACAAACCCTTTTGTTGTATCTGCATCTACAAATGCTTTATTCAATCTCTAGGAAATAGCCTTGCTCATTTTCACTATTATGATGATCGTATCACCCACTTCCGCGCATTCTTTTATTACGTTCTACAGCGAGCACAAAATTCAATACTTTGTATTCTCTAAAAATAATCTAAATCTGACAACAGTACAATTTCCAAGAGCGTAGCATTGATGATGGATTTCACTCGAAATATCTGATTACGACCGATGTGAACATGTACCACATATAAGCAACAACCAGATGATTCCGTACCCTACAATTCTTAGCGTTTTATTCGAAGCACTAAAAGCTTGCAAGATGCCATGACATCTGAAGTTTATAGTGCTCTTATTGAAGCATGGCTTGATGGTCGCGCTTCATGGTTTTTCAGCTGGATAGATTCCACTAAAGTTGGAGTCAGACATGCGGTTCACCGTATATCAACATCTTTGCGCAGAAATTTATCTCGGAAGAAAATGAAAAAAAAAGAAAAATCTGAGGATAGATAATTCAGAGTTACTGGGGAGAAATCTATCGGATGATGAGTCTTGAAATCAGAATTGTCTTTAACCAAATCGGTCCGAATATGGTGATGACATGTTCCCGACAGGGTAGACCGAACGCCTTCTACATCAGTGCCTCGAAGCTCTACACCCGTCAATCCATGAGCACTTGCCTCCGCACTATTTGCCGCCATGACAGAGTATGAATCTATCAAACTTGATCATGAGAAACACTTGCTCCTTGTAAGTTCAAGAAAAAAAAAACACAAGTCATGGCCGTCTTTGTACTGACTGTCCGTCCTTGGTTGCAATAGGATCAGCCCCTCCTTCGACTGCCTACTGAGCTCTCCCGACACAATCTCAAGACCGCTCAAATACAGATAAAAAGCGCTCAAGATAAGGTGACAGAGATTATATCTGCAGGTACAAAAGCGACAGCGCAAGCGTCTGCCGTGAGCCAGGAAGACGCCGCGTCGAAGGCGACTGCATCGCTCGACCAAGCCATAAACCGGCTCCAGACGCTCAAGCGGAAACTTTCGGCGCTTAATAGCTCTACGGAGCAGCTGTATAGACAGTCCGCTGCGCGAGTGCAGCACCTCGAGGATTTGTACAAGATCCCAAGCCTCGCAGACGTCAAATACGAAGAATGGAGCAGGATCCGGCTGGATCGGTTACTGATTGACTACCTGCTGCGGATGGGCTACACAGAGTCGGCGAAGGCGCTTGCGCGAGAGAAAAACATCGAAGATCTCGTGGACTGTGACGCTTTTGAACAGTGCCGCAAGGTGGAGCAAAGCCTTCGAATAGAGAGAAGAGTCGACGCGGCGTTGGCATGGTGCAACGAGAACAAAGGCACGTTGAAGAAGATGGGAAGCAACACGCTGGAGTACGAACTGCGGCTACAGCAGTACGTTGAGCTCGCGAGAACGGGGCATCGCACTGGCGATCTTAAGAAGTTCAACGAGGCCACGACACATGCGAAGAAGTATCTTAGCAGCCACCCCGAGTGGTCGTGGAAGACACGAGCTGCAATGCTTCTTGCCATCCCGCCGGCTGAGGATATCGAGACCCAAAACATGGACATTGATGACCCATACAATGTAAATTCACACCCCACGCAATCATCGAGTAGACACTAACGCAGCCTTAGAAACTATACTCGCCTACGCGCTGGTCATACCTCTCGTCTCTTTTCCTCGAAACCCACCACTCCATGTACCAACTCCCTCAGTCTCCGCTTCTACACATGGCCCTTACAGCAGGTCTCTCCGCTTTAAAAACCCCGGCTTGCCATTCAAAATACATATCGCCCACGTCGGGCCTCAACAGCTCACCTTCGCATCTCCCCTCTGGTGCGCTTTCACCACCTCTGAGAGACGACTTCGACTCCATGGATGGCGTAGTGAATGGTTCGAATGGTGGCGCCGAGGCGATGAACCTATCATCGAGCGTATGCCCGATCTGCAGCACGGAGTTGAACAAGCTGAGCAAGCACCTGCCTTTTGCACACCACGGGAAGAGCCATGTAGAACACGACCCCGTGATGCTGCCTAACGGCCACGTTTACGGGCGCGAACGTCTGGAAAGGCTGAGCGAGAAACTAGGAACACGGGAAGGATGGGTCAAAGACCCCATATATCGGGATACGGAGTACAAGTGGGAGGAAGTGCAAAAGGTCTTCTTTCTTTAGACGATGCTCGCGGGACACATGTTTACGAGCATCTCGGAATAGATATGGGAGCCTATAGCTCGCGATATCGTTTGAGCGAGTGACCAGAGACATGACTACTACAACTTTGGTCGAGATACGCGCAGAGACCGCCACAGTCAGTGCGTAGTTTCACTTGCTGTGCTTAAATTTTCCAGAAGAGAAAGAAATGAAAAAAGAACCGTCGTCGAACCCCTTCGGACGCGACGCTAGTCTCGACCTTCCGTTTTCCTCGTGTCGATTCCTATCTATTCTAGGCTTTCGAAGTAGCTTTCGACACGCTGCCATGTAGCGCTCCAACAAATTACTTGCATCGCGGAGAGAAATAGAAGAGCTTGAACTTTCGACGAGCTGCTGTCTTCGCTGGCGACGATGGTTGCCACCTGCAAAGGGGTCTCTGCGTTCCAACTCCCGGCAGAAGCCAACGTCCAGTTTTTGATCCACTCCCTCAGCGCTTCTCCCACTCGCCCACAAGGTGCCGAGAGCTCGCCATCGTCGGCGTCCCAACTCCACGTCGACCTTCCACTCGGCGTGTTCAAAACGCCGCCCTTGCACCAGTCCATCGCCCCCTCCCTTCCAGACTTTGCGAATGCACCGGTCAACCTCGCCAGGAAACGTGCGCGCCCATGTGGCCGTTTCCCAAAAGTCCCCGCGCCGTGTTGTCTCGACGCAACCTTGTACCGACGTCGCAGACCCGCGCATTGCTAGGAGCCAGGCAGGATCCGACTTTCTGGCCTATTACGAACGAAACCGTCAAAGCTCTGTCCTGTGCAGAGAATAAGGAAGGAGGGTTGGACCGAGTCTGTCCCGCTTCCCCTGCAGAACGTTCAAAGCGAGTTTTGCTTACACGGGGCCTGAAGAAATTCGGTCGACGAGAAGGAAGCACCCGCCCTGTAAGAGCGCGCATCCGCTGTTTGCCGATGGCGAGGTGATGTTTGAACCCTCCACCCTGGACAGTTCGCATTGCTTATGCGACTGATACTCGGCACAACAAGGATGAGCATGGTCATGTTTGGAGGTAAAAGGAGCGAACCGAAGATGAGGCGGGAGGAAA